GCAAATAGATCCCTGGTCAGGACTGATGTGGGAGGCGCTTTACTTTGAGCCTTACCAGCTTGTCTATGCTTCTCGGCGATGTCCCAGTTGTATGAGGCCGTCAAACGGTTCCTTACCTAAAAGTGAATGGCAGAACTATACCTTTTTTTGCAATGCCATAACGGTACGACACCTAATCCCGGCCGTGTGACTTAAGCCGGACGCCACACCAATCTTTCAGTGACTCGTGGGCATGGCCTGACATTAGGAATCCAAATATCGCAGCATATAGCTCGTCCGCCATTGATTCTTAGTCCAGGCACCCGAAGCTTGCGACTGGGACAATCGCCGGGCATTGAAATCCCGACAGGATGTGCCAGCATCAAGAGACAGCAGAACAGGAGTTTTTCTCAGCACTGCAGACGCATCGCTGTTTACTGTTCTCTTGTGGAACGTGCGGCAGCCTCAACTACGCTCTCACACAAGTCCTGCTTGTTATCCTGCTTGCTTGTTAATCTTGCCGTTCGTGATGACTGCCGCAGTCGCAGTAGTAATGGGATGTTATTCGGTCAGGGCGATGCTTTGTCCCATGACATCGTAAGGAAGGACCACAACATTTTGAATGCTGCTCTTGCTGATGATGATGCTTATGGACTGCCTTCATCATGATCAACAGCATTGCCCTAGGTGTCACACGATCTATAATGTCCATCCAAACTGAAAGCTGCTCCTAGTCCTCGACACGAGAGCCGGTGGAGTGGGGACAGACGCTGCCGGACGAAACTCACTTCTGTGGTTCCTGTGGTTCCCATCATCCTAAATGAAAAACTTGCTCTGAAGCGAGTCTGCCCGCGTAACGAAAAAAGAACACCAGACTCCGCTGGAGCCTAGAGCACAACCCATGGACCATTTCCCACCTTGTCTGCGCCCAAAAGACCCTCCTAGGGCTGCCCCTGGAACAGAACGTTTCTCTCGAGCGCGTTTTCGAAAGTTCGACCGATCATTCCGGACTCCAAATAGTTGGTTCGAGGAAGCCGAAGTAACCGGCATGGATAGCCTGGTGCAATTTTTCTGCTTTCAAGCAACTTCGAAATGGGTTGTAGCTGTGGAGTGCAAGATAGACCGAGAAGCGGTCAAGGGCAGGTAAGCGGGTGCACAACCCGTTCCCATCTCTCTCAAGTGCAAATAGTTGCCTCGTGTCAGGTATCTCTCTTCCACTAACACGCAATGGAAGCCAGCGTTACGCTTGGACGACGACGGACTGCGAGAAAAGGTAGGTCTTACTGCCTTCGCATTAGCTAGCATCAACAGACCTTTGAGAGCTTTGATATACGAGGGCTCGTTCAAGCACGATACTTATCATGGCGAGAGGCCATGCTCTCAGCTGTGTCAAACCCCTATTTATACTGGTTCGTAACGTTTTCCGATTCCGCGTGACGGTCAACGTTCCCGAAGAGAGACAGTAACGGATAGACGTCGATACTGTCATCTCCTCATCTCCAGGTAAACCTCTTGGTAGTTCTCTACCTTTGGTATGTAACGCACGGCTGGCAGAGTGTCCTCCATGGCATATCACAAGATCGCGTTCTGATATGCGTCTAACAAGCGTGGAGCTTGACCATAAGATTAAGGTTGAATAACAGAAACCGGTGCCACTGAGCCATACGGGGCTATACGGGCTAATGTGTCCGACAGGCGCGAATAGAAACCAATGATGTCTTGTAGAAAGCATCCAGTCAACCGCCCAGTCCCGGCACCCGCGGGCGTCAAGGCCGGGTTGTCCCAAAAGGTTGAAGTCGTCTCATCGTTTCTGCATCTCCTGGACATTGCCAACTGAATTGCGCCCTCTCGCAAAAGAACCCTCAGTTGAGAAAGTAGGCAAGAGGTACAAACAACCGAGGTGTGAAGGAAGGAATCCACGTTGAAGCATGGACTGCTGCTGCTGAGACGAATAGATATCGGGCCCCTTTGTTGATTGGGGTTGAGGACGCTGTAGCGATGGCGCCTTGAGGTCACCTTCGGCTTGCTCCACCTGGTTTGTGCCCTAGCTATGCAGAAGTCTCTCGCTTAGACCGTTTTGGGTCTCTGACGGCAAAGCGAACTGCGGTCAGAAGGAAACGATTGCGTTGACCATTGAGCGGAAGTCCTTTTTCCATTCAAGAAGCGGCAGTAGTGAAGCTAGCTGCTAGGCCATTGTCCAAAGGAAGTTGCTTTGACAGCACCCAGGCAAGCACATGCATGGGTGCAGCACGTCAGGTCTTGGATTTCGGCGCGGCGTGTGCTACAATATACCAGGATACCACTACTCAGTGGCAAGATCCTTCAGTGCTCGGATCTGCAAATTGTCAAAGACAGTAACTGGGCTTCAAAGCCACTTATCCAAGCACTATCAGTCATCCCCTGATAGTTTGGTCGAATCGTTCGACTTGTGCCAGTCTGTGGACGATGATCTGTGGGCCAGTATCTGCCCTGGGACACTCTCTGCCGCGTTGAACAGACAGGTCGAATAGAGATCATGTTCCAACGAGCGTCAAACGGCGCTTCCAGCTTTGGGGGCGCATGAAAGTGATCACCTGGGTCTCCGCTAGAGTACATCGTGAACCGGTAACAAGCAGGCCGGTATGAAGCGAAAGGAAACTTTGCCACGAGTTGAATATCCTCGGTCCGATACTGACAGGCCCCTGACTGAAAATGCTGCTGAAGATTCTGTTCATTATTCAAAAGCAGTGTTGATGGAAAGGCCATCCGAGCCTCGTCGACAGCGAGCATTGCTTCAGAGTCTTTGGTCAACTAGCTCGGACACCTGGCTCCTACCTGCCACTAGGATAGAGGTGTAATCTCGCTTGATGGATACTCTTGATTCTGCAGTGATTGGCCGTTATCACAGGCAGAGCGGTGAGAAACGATTGTTCCCCAGAGAATAGAACCCCATGTAGGCAAGCTACAGCTTCAACACAGAGCCTACTATTACCGTTCTTCTCCATTGGGCGTGGATCGAGGCAATAGACCGCCTGAGTCTGCAACCAGTAAAGAATACGGCGCACAAAGTTGCAAGACAGGGCGTCATCCACACCAGTAGCTTGTTAAGGTTCCTTAGCCAGCGTTCAAGGTAAACTCTGCCCCGTCGATGGTGCCCACGGCCTCGCTCCGAAGCCTGACTTAGCGGGAGGGGATGTATCATTGTTCCAGCACTATTCTGGCAAGGACCATCTGGGGCCGGCAATCATTTTGCTTGCAGATTGCGCTGTTCCAGCCACTGATATCGAGTTGCTCGTCCCTTTCGTACCCATTGATGGTCTGATTGTAGTCCGTGCAAGAGCTGGAGGGTGGAAGAATAGCGTCTATCCCAGGCACCCCGTAGTATCCGGGACTATTTGACTGGACGATTCAGTCCTGCCGTCATGTTTGTTTGCCAAGGTAGCTGAGATGAGGACTTCGTGAGAATTCGAGATAGAACGACGCCTACTAAATCCATGGGCTCTGGAGAAGATAGACTGACCAGAGAAGCACCTCGGGAGGAAGTGAGAGGAGGTCTTCGAACATGGTGGACTTTCAATCGTCGCGGTACAGATCCCCTTTCGCTATAGAGTCGAAATAACATCGGCTCAGCTGGTCAGGTAGTAGCCGTGGTAGGAGATTCGCGGATCCATCGCACTTGGCCGGCAGACGACGGCGCCTCCTTGGCCACAATTCCCGCAAGTGCCTCGTACACTGCACGATTTGAACTTACTGCTATCTAAGGTACTAATAATGCCGGAAGGCGCTGGGCTGCACGGCAGGATTATGCGAGAGCTGTATCTCCTGGCGGTTGTCAAGCTCTCTCAACCTGACCCCGTAAGCACGACTAGGTTTGACTCCATGGAGACACGCTCTCCGGCTGTTGGTTATTGTTGAGACACGACCCCGAGAAAAAGGTACCTGGAGTCACCAGCAGCTACAAATCTGCCAGAAGTTGCCAATGATTGATACCTGTGTAAGAGGAGCAGGAAAACACCCTTCGGCGATTGGTTCTATATGGCCACAGACCTTTTTGTATGCTCTTCTGATATAGAGTTTCCCCGGAGTGACAGGATCGGGAGGGCTTTCGACTGGGGCTTCAAGTCGGACAACCTATCCAAGCCATTGTAAACGGCACTGGCAGCTATAGAAAAAGACTGGCTTCCTGGGGAAGTGCGATGCTGGGACCTTCACACCGATCCAGCCCGCTATCGAAGACACATCACGCATAGTACATAATAATAGGTACGTACTAGTCACATCACTACTACCTACCTACTCTTACCATCTGAATGATTGTACGATCGACAGACGCCCACGGTCAGGATACCCACCGAGACCTCTTGTTGACCTTGTCCTATTTATTCTGTGCTTCTTCTCTGCTATGACTGATACTGGACGAGACAATTTCTTGATGCTGCTTATCGAGATTCGTAGAAGTAGTCATGTTAGCACTTTCGATGAAGGCTCAGCACGCTCGCCGCACTATAGTGACTATACTGCGATGCTATCAGATGTAGGCAGACCCCCGATCGATCGCAGGGAAGCCTTTGTTCAAGTGATCATGCCCCATCCGCTGGCTGGCAGCATGTCCACTTCAATTGCGGTCCTACCGCTTGCATCTGTCACTTCTAGTGGGTATCGACACAGACGGGGGCATCCAGACCCAAATCACCATGGGATACCGAGAAACTAAACCAATAACAAAAGCCACCGAGGCGTCCTTTCCTGTGGGTAGATTCGCTTCCGCCAGTGCCACCATTTCGAACCCGTTCTTATGATATCGTCACATCATTCGTTTGCTTGATCATGTCCCTACCCAATGCAGCTGCTGTCACCGTGCCGATGCCCAAGAGACCAGCGATAATAAGCCAGACAGCCAATTAAAGACGCCCGAAATGGAGAAATGGTGCAGCCTGTCGGCCCGCTCAAGAACCTGTGATAAGTCATGCAACTGAAAGGCCAGCCATTAGAAGATCTAGAGAGCCCAAGCAGGGTCGGCGAAATGTCATGTTGACAGTTGATCATCTCAAGGCCGATTCTGGCTGGTGTTGTCGCCGTACTTGATCCGGATCGTATTCAAGTGCCGGGTTCAAAGCACCCCGGTCGCGGGCATGGCGTAACGCCGGCAGCTGGCGTCTTCTTGCATTGATGAACCAGTTGCTGATCTGGAAGAACATACAGGTCAGTCAAGCCGTACGCACAACTCCGTATGGTAACATACCTGTGCAATCGTGAGGCCCGTTCTGGCCATGAAAGCCTGCTTATCCTCCTCAGTGGGATATGGATGGTCGAGGTGCTCATGAAACCAGGCACGCAGAATGTCGGTAATCTGCCTCGGTAGATTACCTCTACGCCTCCTGTTTCGCGTCTCTGTGTCCATTCCAACAGTTGGAGAAGAAGGATGATGCACCGTACTCGGAGACGAGGCATACTCGGTAGGACCATACGGCGACTGGTAAGCTACTCCTGCCCGGTACTCGTAAGGCGAAGGAGCATATCTGGCATAATCGACCTGTGGAACACTGGGTCGATTGGCTGGCGGATAGCCTTGTCCGTAGCGACCGGTGGTATCGTAATAAGCCGGTCTCTCTGCTGTATAAGAGTAGGTGTCCTGGACACCGTGTGTGGCAACTCCCGGCGGGGCCCCGTATGTTTGGGAGTAGGTGCCGGCTGGGGGAGGATATTGGGAGTCATAGCCCCCAATGTCCCGAATCGGCGGCAGACTAGGACTCGCTCGTGAAGACGGGAAAGGAGTTTGTGAGGAGTACTGAACACGCTGGGGAGCGTTGTAGGGGCCGACCATTTCCCCATACTGTGATGACGAGTTCCAGGAAGAACTTCGCCGCTGGTGGTGAGGCATTGGATACGACGACTCGACGCTGCGTGCAGACATGTTGTCAAAGCCCTCGACACTGGTCCCGGCCTGCGAGTGTTCTGGCGAGGGCGGATCTGATTTCGAGGCTACTGAGGGCGGCTGAAACGTTCTTTTGGTCATATTACTGGGCTGAAGAGAGACGGAAGAATCGCCAGACGGGGTCGAGTCCTGGGCGGAAGAGAAGTGGGTGCCGAGGATCTATGTTTTCTGTTAGAAAATTGAAACCCCACATCTTGACCATATTGAAGGCCGCGAACCTCTCTAAAAGGCGGCAATTGCTGTTGCTGTTGATGTTGCTGTTGATGTTGCTGTTGATGTTGCTGTTGCTGTGTAAGAAGAACTTGCGGAGTCCCTAGAAGTGGATCGCTGCGTTCCGGTCTTGTATGCTGGAGGTCAGAGGTGCAGGAAAAAGGAGCGTATGGATCCATCAAGGCATAAGAGGAATAATAGACAAGATCTGGGATACGAGAGAACCTCGTCAATGTCAAGAAAAAAGAAAAAGACCGTTGAGGGTAGGCAGTAGCCGTGAGTGTCAGACCAGGATGGGCTGCTTTAGAGCCACGGGTTCCTGTGCCACCAAGAGCACGGTGAGAGGAGGACGTTTAGAGAGAAAAAGGGTGCATGACCGAGATGCCAATGATGCATGCCTCTAGGGATCGGTGCCAGAAAGTGTGCATGACAGCCATGACATGGCGTTGTCGACGGTTGAAAGGGCATCCGCCCGAGCGGGAGAGGGGAGTGACTTGAGAAAAGATGGAGAGATGTCACTCACCGGGCACCCGAAAGCAGGAGACCACAACGAGCTTTGTTGTCCGGAGGAGGTTCTGGTCGATTAAGTCTGCCCAACCGGTGTCTGGTCTGTTCTGGTCTGTTCTGGTCGATGGCGACGGACAAAAGATTGTCCTTGATAGGCGTAGGAAAACAAAGATCAAAACTCGAGGCGGCAGGGCAGAAGGACTGGCAGTTTGAGATATAGGGCAGAGCTCCCAAGTTGGACCATTTGGGTTTGTTGCGGCGCGTGAGTGGCGTCGTAGTGGAGTTGTATCTGGATCGTGTGCATGATGGTTTTGAAGCCAGGTGATGTTGACGGGTGCACGGGTAGGGGTATTCATTTGGTGGAACAGCAGGGGGTGGAAGCACTCGCATGAGATGACCAGCCAGCAAGGACCAGGGAAGTTAAGTCCTAAGGGCATGGGTCCCCAAGACAGGGTTTGTCGATCTGGAAGGTGGGTGCGAGCGAGCGTGGGAGAAGGCTACTAGTCGTTGAATGATGTCGATGCATCTCCCATGGTGGACGCCAATGGAGTACAAAGGCGAATCAAATCTCCGTACCGCGCCGCGAGGAACAGGCCTGTCTGTGTCATGTCTGATAGGAGGGTACAGGTATGTATCGTTGGGACTGGAGAGCTGGGTGGCGGATGCCACTGTCGAGGAGCCGGAGGAAGAGGGGAGGAGGCTACTGTCGCCTGCGCCTCAGGGGAGAGCTGTATTGGTGGACTGTTGTGTGTCCACTTGTCTGGCAGAGCGCGATCACTGCCAGTGCCAGTGTGGAGGCAGGGACGTTTGCGTGTTCAGTCGCCATGCGAGGGCTAGGTACTTAACGTATCATGATGTTAATGGCCGTTGACCAAGGAGGCGGCACCAGGGACGTGGATTGGAGGAAAGCCATCGAGATCCGGCAAGGTTTGCATGGCCAGCTGGACTCTGGAGGCGCAGGAGACTACTCTGTAGTAGTAGGAGGAGTCATTACTGGCCCCGTACTGGCATCGCAGGATCGAGGTGTCTGTTCGCAGCTGCCGACTGGACGATAGGAGGAGAGTGGGTTCGGAAAATGGATGCCTGTCTGAGCTGGAAAAGAAAGGTATGGGGCACCACCGCTTTTCACCGTCCACTGTCCACTGTCCACTGTCGACCGTCCATCTTCCACCGTTGTCCAGCGCAGGGGAGCAAGGTGTTGGAAGTAAGGGAGGAGAGTGTGGACCTCCCATCTTGACAGCACAGACAAAGGGTGGGTGGCCAGGGGAGGGAGAGGAAGTTCATTGCTGACAGGTTGCGGGAGGATTGTGCCGCCCGTCACGAAAGCTGTGGAAAGGCGAAATGCTGTCTGTGCCGCCAAAGTCTAAATTCTCTCGTCTCTTGTCTCTCGTCTCGGATGCGGGACTCTGACTCTCGTACTCCGGCTCCGGCCTTACAATAACCAGCATCATAATGACTAGTATAATAATAATAGCATGCCCATGCCCAGGAAGAGAGGTTCGGATGGAGGAGGACGTGGGAGGACGTGGGAGGACATGGTTGGGCCGGAAGAGGCCATTTTGCTGGTGGAGCATGAGGAAAAGAGAACCGCCTGTATGTTCCTAGGGGTGGGCATACCTACGCCCAAAGCGATGAAAATGCTGGCATTTTACACGTATAACCATGCACGCCTGCCTCCTTAGGTGCATTTTTAGTCCTTGGACGGCGACAGTACCGTGAAGTCTGTGTTGTGGACTGCACAGTGCTAGTCGTCGAAGGCGGCGGCGGCGGCGCAGGTTGACGCCCAGATGGAGCGGATCTCTACCGAGAAGATGGCAGTCACAGTGTTGTTCACCCTCACTGCTTTTCGGCTTACAAAGTGTCTTCGCGACATACTTAGGGGGTGGGATAAGGCCAGGAAGTACTAGAGAGATCGAACCTATCCGTTGATCGATGTCCCGGGTACTTCCTGCCCGCCGTGACGGTCAAGCGAAGAAGGTCAGATTCGATCAAATCTTTCTTCAATTTTGGTGGGTGAAGTTTGGAAAATGTCATATCGGCGTGATTGGTGTCAGCCGAGCGAAATCTGGTGCTAGCACTTTAGCAGCTAATAAAAGAGGGACAGCAGAGAAGCGGGCCAAGGAGATGACGTTTGCTCCAATCAATCCCAGGCCACTTTCTACCGAGTATTTACCTTACTTCTGGCGACGGGTCTTGCAGGTACGTTGTGTACCTAACGGGCCTTATTATTTTTTAACGGCGTTCATAAGTGCCTGCCTAGGTCCTTACCTTACGCGAATTCCTGTAGTGATCTCACAGAGGCACAATATATGCCCAAAAGACGCGCAAAGCTGTATCGAATCTTGAACTTCCATTCCTTATGATCTGCGAAAGAAACAGTAGGGTCAAAATTTGAGCCCGCCGCCAGCGCTGCATGCGATGCCCTCGTTCCGAACTTTTTGCTGTCGACCAGGATATCCCCTGCATGCTATAGTGCTACCAGGATGAGAGCCGGTCCACTACCGCGAGACCAAGAGCAAAGGGCGTTGACGGCATCCGAATGCGGCCAGGAGGAGAACTTTTCAAGACGCCGTCTCTGCTTGCCAACAACTTGAACGGCACCGTTCCTGTACAGGAATAGACCGCTTGGTGGTCAATACTACTACTAGTAGTACTACGTACTTACTACCCCAGCTTTTACTCGGCGTTAGGCCCTGCAGCTGTGTCTACTAAAGGAATATGATAGGTGCCGGGAGCGAGCTTCACAAATTCTTGACATAACATACCTACCAGGAACCTTAGGTACCAGTTACAATGTGGTGTCCTTCTCCTCAACACATACAGAGTATACTCTGTACTTACCCAATATTGTCCGTTTACAGATGTCTTTCTTTTGATCACTACTGGTTGCGCACGATAGATAGGTATCTGATGGGATGATAACAATATGCCGACTCTGTATCCTTTGCCTTCCGTTGCAGCCACCTCTCTTGTTTCTATAGTAGTTGCCAATGTTTGGCCTCTCCCTTGCATACATACCTACATACCCACCTACATAACAGTAAGGGAGCGTTACGGGGCAGAGAAGGAGTACCTACCAGGCACCTTAGATACCTACCTTCCAGCCTCGTGTGCCATTGATCCCTGTCCCTTGTCATCTCCAGGTCAATTAGGTCATCCCTTGCATGAAAATGGCCAGTCCCCTTGGAGCCACCTACTACTCGTTCCGACGAGTGCATCTCAGCCCCTGGTCTCTGTCTTCCAGTCATCCGTCTTCCGAACATGATGCCCGCCGGTATTGAAGTGCGGTGCAGTGGTGGCGAGTACATGTACCTTTTGACTTTTGCCCTTGGCTACTGTCACTGTCAGACTCGGCGGCACACCAATCACCCTGACAGCGGCAACAATGTGCATCCGCCGTCTCTTGAACCATGGACTGAACCTGGCTGGCATGACCCGTATCCACAGCAGTAGGACCCTACCCAGCTAGCTAGTAGCATACCTATCAATGCTTCCTGCAAATATTGCTTGCATGGCCAGGATGTTGCACCCGCCTCTGGTCAGCTGGCGGTGCCACTACTTGGGTAGGAAGGATACGGTGTTACTATAGGTAGATGTTCACGTTACTACCATACACCAGTGGCAGGGCATACAAGGTATTATTAGGTAATTGACTGCCTCACCTTCAAGTTATCCACCATAAACATACCTACTACCGCGGGTAAGGTAGGTAGATATGTATTTGTACCTAAATCAATTAGGTGACTGTCTACTAAGGTAGGTACCTTAGGTACGCACCTTAGGCAACCTAACCTAATACTACTAGGTAGTAGTACGTACCTAGTACTTTTAGATCTGATCAGCTTCAAGCTGGGGCAGTGTCTACTAGTAGTACTAGTAGGTAGCTGCCGGTTGCCGCATCTGACCAGATACTCGGGTCCTGGCCTGCGCTGTCTCCTCTTCCCCTCCTCCCTCCTCCCTCCTCTCTGCTCTCTCTCTATTCTCCCTGCTTCCAACTTTCCATACCCCTTCTTTCAGGAACACCTGTTGCTTGCCGGCCGATGTGTCACTCACTGTGTCAAACACCCTGACTGTCTCCCCCGCTTTGCCTTCAGGTGTCAAACACCTCAGATCGATTGCTTATCTGCACCGAGATTCCGTGCATCCATTGTCCTACCCGGCTCACCATCGTGAGACCCATCGCCGCTCATATGCACCGCGACTTCTTCACCGCAGCCACCTCACTGCGGCACGAGTCAACAGAGTCAGGCCAACCAAGTCCAGGGAAATGCCCTGCGTTTTCTGACGTCCATGTGACTGGTCGATCTGGCCAGAGCAATTCCTGACCGCCTCTTGCTTGTATCCCTCGTGACGAGAACACACTTCCAAGTTCCCTTGCTTGTCCACAGCATTCCTCCGACGCGCAACGCCCGATCTCAACGCTGTGGCCTTGGCGAATCTTGCATGGTCCAATTGCCTTCGGCTCCTTACCGAACGTTCTGACCACGCCCCATCAGGACGTAAACATACGATCAACATCCTCCCTCTCCTAGACAAGATGTCCTACTGCTCCACACTGCGCTTCACAAATGGTGACGGTAAGGGAGGACTCGACCTCGCCAAGGATACTGCATCGGTTTGATTCCTTCCGATGAAACAGCACTCTTTTTCCAAGCTCCATTGGCACTCCTATAGAAGGGCGTGGTCGATGAGGGAGGTTGAACGTCGCAAGAAACGACACACAAAGTCCGTACGTCCATCTATGTTCAGCCTAACAAATGGCCCTCGCTTTGAAGTGCCCGACACGTGGCAGTGCTCAGAACGTGCATTCGCGATCGTCCTTCTCCTTGCTGTGAAACCAGGGATCCTTTCATATCAGTCTCACACCGCATCTGCCATACGATCCGCTTGATCGTTCTCTTGTCTTCCTGCCAATTAGTGCCAAACCCTCGAGGTCTCCTCGACCGTCCCTATCACGACCCTTCTAGCATGGGTTTTCCCGCCAGGAGAACCATGGTTTCCCCACGCTACAGTGACAGTGGCTGTGGCGGACAACCACTACTCGAGAGCTACACCATGAACGTGTCGGTACGACTGCCGCCGGTTCTTACGATCGGTGGAATCTACCAAGTAGACATGCAGCTCCAGCAGATGGGTGAGCCGCCGAAGCGCTCCAACAGCAGCATTGCGTTCTCAACCTCGCACAGGCCATTCCTTTCTTTCGTTGGTATTCTGGCTCCCGCCACTGGGAAAAGGGCTAGTATCCGGTCGCACATGCGGACCATTACCCGTTCAATGACTGTTCTCTGCTCTATAATGGCAAGTTGGCAGTCCGATATCTGGCAGCGTTCAAACTCAACCACCTCCAGAACGAAAGTGATTGGCTTGTGTTCGGTCGTGCTTGTTCTGCTGGGGTTTAGATAGCAAGACGAGGAGATGTTTACATTGCTTGCGTACTGCACCTGGCGGCGTCCGCTCCCGCTGCAGGGATCCGCGGACTCCCTCGAAGTGAGGCTTGATACTGGTCGATCTCTCCGAAAACAAGCGAACGTGTCATTCAGGTTTGTCCACAGCCAAGGATGTCGTGTAATATAACCAGGTTGCACAGGTAGGCTGGGAGACAGTTCCAGCGCCACGGTTTCTCCTTTCGGCTCCAAGAACCAGGGTTCGGTCTGGACTTTTGCCCACCCATACCAAAGCTGGGCCGGCCGGCCGGTCAGATCTGAGATCGACCGACACATCCATGCCTTCGACCTACCGACTCGATTATCAACCCCTGGGGCTCCTGCTCGAAAGCACCCACTCAACCATGCTCTGCCCTGGTTTTGCGAGATGCTTCCGATGCGTTCACTGTGCTACACGCGTTGATCTATCGAACTTTGGCATCCACCTCAATATCTCGTGCCTCTCTCCCTTGCCGACAATGTTGCCTGCCAGACGACTATGATCATGCTTCATTATGCCAAAAGATTGGTTGGTTGCCCTGGTTTTTTTGTGTTCCAATGAAGTGGTTTTGTCACTATATTTAATTGCCGAGGACCAGCACCGCAGCGTCGATTTATAGCTTTACTGCGGCCAGGTTCTCAAGTCATCTTTCTTGATCGCTACCTGGACCTATTGATAGTCCAATCCAAGTAGGGCCTGCACCACGGAATATAACTTTGCATAGCTTGTCCACTGCAAGCCAGAGTTCTTTCCATTACTGATCAACGGCAATGGGGATCATATCTATGTCATGACATTTGGAGATGTAGATCCTCCTCATAGCAACGCCCACTGCCTACGGTTTCTCAGAGAGACGAGACGCAGATACCTTGAGGGCAGGCTGCTGCCTTCTAGCCTTGATTTTTCTTAGTATCTGGCTCCATGAGCCAAAAGGCCGACGTGTACAACCAATGTGTAGCATTGCAAAAGCAGCTTGCTCCGCTTGCCACGAAGCGCGATCTTGCTGTGGTATCGTCACCTGGCTTTAGATGGGCATGGCTCTGGCTTTGGCTTTCGTGGCGATATAGTTGCAGTTCGCGGTGCCAGAAATCTTGTATCGATCCAGTTGCCGGAAGCCACAGCAGCCTTGCCGCGTTCTCAAGAGCGATGGTGCAATCGGATAGGAAATGCCAGACTCCTACCAGTCGCAAGTCGATCAGCGGGCCAAGGCACGTTCATCGACGTCCGAGCTCCTCTTCGAGGCCATGGCACGCTTAGCCTGGAACCTCTCCCAGTCCGCTCTTCTTCTTGTCTTTTCGAAGAAAAAGATGCGCTCTTCCGGCTCGGTCCTGGCGAAACGAATCTTCCGCAGAGTCTCGAGATGGGCGGGAACACATGGCGTATCTGGCGAGCGGTCGGCGTCTTCGCCGGACGCAAACTCTGCCAGGAGCTGTTTCTCCTCCCCTAAGTCGACCCTCCCCAGGTCTTCCAAGTGTTGTTGCCACCGCTCTCGGAGAGATTGGCTCCAGAGCAAGGTCCGTGCCACGCTCTCTCCCTCGGTCTGTTTGACTTGCCACAGAACCCACCTTAAAAGCGTCCTCGAAGTGCCCGACTCTCCGTAGCGGGTCACGGCGACGTGCCACAGCGCTCGCGTCACGGTGGGTTGTATTGGTCCGCCATAGCGATGAAGAAAGGTGTAGCACCAGTAGACCCGCCGTAGCGAGGCTCGAGGGCTCGTGACCGGCGAAGTCGCAAACCAGACTGCAAGATTGTTGAGGAAGTCGAGAGCTTCTTCTGGATGAGGCATGTTGACCAGGGCCTTCTGAAGATTATTTTGGGCGTCGAATTTGCCGCCGACCCTCGAAGACGAGCTGGTGACCTGGGTGAGGACCTCATCTAGGGGGGGTTGCAGCTGCCGTTGCACAGCCCGTAGCTGTTGCGGAAACGCTTGAGAGAGTGCCAGCTTGAATGGGAGATTGTTTTCTAGTATTCTCGAGATTATCTCGAATGATAGTGGATTCTTCTGGATCATCCTCCGAGACAACGTCTTGAACAGAGGCAGATCATGGTTCAGTGACTCGGCCAATTCGCTGAGCACATCACTATGGTTGAGGCGGGCATCTTCGTAAAGGTCGTCATCGAGAAAGAGCGAGAAGCTCTGGCGTTGTAAGCCGTCTAACGCGGGCGCCGATCCTGGTTCCGGCACGATTGGAAGGCGATCTCGGGCATCGAGTCTGGACAGATTCTGCATGGGTATGGTTTGGTTGGGGAGGGGCAAGCTGCCAAGGGTGAGGATGGCACGGTGCAGAAGCCCGTCATCCGCCAGTTCCAGTATAGATTGAATCGTCTGGTCGAAGGACTCGAGGAATTCCATTCTCTCTGAGAGGACGTGGGACGTCCGTCGACGCTTTCCCAGACAGAGTGAGGTCCAGGCAAACACCAACAAGCGTTGCTCGGCACTCAGAGTGCTTGCGGTAGTTGAAAATGAAGTCCAGACATCCTTCGTCAGGGACAGACCGTTTCTTCTCGACCCCAAACACGCTAGAGTTCCGGTCCAGTGATAGAAAAGGTAAACGTAAGTCGACTTTGGATCCTCCTGTGCGACACGGACCAACTCGTGTGTGCTCTGCACGAGAGCCAGCTGCAGGACTCTCAGATCAACTCTCGACAGACGCTCCGCCAACTTCTGTCCAACTTCCTCGCTGGGGTCATCACGACATCGGGTCCGGAGATGCATCATAATGAGCCGGCTGATCAGAGGAGCATCGCGTGCGGAGGCCCAGGGCAAGAGGTCCCACATGATCCGCTGCGAGGTAGCTGTGAGCCGTCTGGCGGTTCCCACCTTCCTCAGCAGATGCGAAAGAAAATCGTGACCTAGATCAACCAGTGTAAGGACCCTAGAATGAGCCAGAGATGTCAACATGTCGTGGATGAAATGTTCTCTCTCAATGGATTTGACAATCTGCAGTTCACCGTTGTCTTTCACCAGGGTCATGGGCCCTGCATCCGCTACTCGAGCAATGACGGCTCGCAGATCCGCAACACCCAGGAGGCCCAGTTCGGCAGCTTTGCAGTACGAGCGGCGGATAGCATGCCAGGACCGAAAATCCCATGACTGAGCCAGTAGAGTCGGAAGCATCTGTCGATGAAACGAAGTCCCGGGTGGATGGAAAGCCGGATCACATAGGTACGCGGCAATCTCGGACCCGTCAAAGTCCCCCGTCAGAAGATACTGAGATATTCTTTCGCCGATTCTGACGTTGTCCCGGATATTGAGTCCTTGGTCTTTCAACCAGATACGTATTTCGGCCAGGCTTCGACATTGCCCCAACTGTGCTTCTTCCACATATCCTTGCCGCGTCTGCAAAGCTGTTTTCCTGTCGCTTGCTTCCGCCGAAGTGAGATTGCTGTTTTGCGCATTTTTTGCAACTTGAGTGGACTCGGAGAACAGCCAAGATGGCAGAAGGCGAGACCCGCCTGTGATTATGTATTAGCTGAGAACATGCAGTCATGAAATCTGTTGTGCCGGCATACTTGCTTCCGCTTCCGCAGGCGCAGGCGGCTGCCACCAATTTATCTGGGAAGTACTTCCAAGCACGAGTGATGGATCAATAGACCTGGGTCCGCCTCCTTGGCCGTAGCGCGCAAGGCTTGTGTTCTTTCGCTTCGTGGCTCGACGTTGAGCTTCCAACGGTCCTGGAACGCTGCTACCATAGCGTTTGTGGTGACAGAATCGGTTGAAGGTATCGGCGAGGAGGGCATCTGATATCCATACAAACCGAGGCCCCTGGTGGGAGACGCAGCTTGCTGCACTGAAGCCTTGATTCATAGCATTGGGACGATCGAAACGGGCGGTCGTAGGGCGCGCAGCCTACGAAAGCTGTTCCTCGATTTGTTGATACCGGTGAATCTGGGGGCTTCCAGCCACAAATCTGGCAAGCTGCGCTTTCTAATCACGCAGGTTCAGTTGCAATAGCGAACTTAAGCTCGAACTTCAAGTTTCTTGAGGTTCCGCGGCCAACGAGGACGAGCATTGCGAGTTGCAGTGCATGGCTTCCCAGGTCTGCACTAGGACTAATTGAGATCAGCCTTGGCACGGACAAACAGGCTCGACGTTATTGGCTCAGCCTTGGTGGCACGATCTTGCCGATCCAGCCTCGTCAGCCTTGTACTATATCAATCTGCAAAGAATTGTGCCTCCTCTGAAGAAAGACTACCTAAGGTAGCCATAGCGGACGCCTCAAAAATCTCTTTCCATAGGTATTGTCATTGAACATCACCTATATCGATATACAAATCCCACCCAAGTATTTATTCCCTTATCTAAGAAACCTATCTTCTCGTCTCGATCACCCCAATTACCATGCTTTTCCAGTATAAGCATTCTTGGCGGATCGTTCGATACGCAGAAGTAGCTCCATTCCTCCTATGCCTCTGATGCCATTCCAAATATTCGCCATGGGTATCGTTGTATGTTGGCAGTAATATACTGATTCGCATATCCGTTCTGTTCTGGCGAATAAATCCCTGTAAATTAGTGCAGACCAGCTGACTCTGTCGCTGAGCAATTGTAAATGTATCAAAATTAATCCTCCCCTGCTGCTAGAGTCAGCATCTTTTACCTCCCAGTGAAGCGTACCTTTCTTCCCCGGATTGTGAAGAATGTCGTGTCAGCAGTTGCCGAGGAAAGTGTAAGGGTAGTGTCGACGGTTGAAGTAACCTCATCTGTAATGGGCTCGATCACTGTCACGAAGGCAGTCGCCACGCCATCGTCCGAAACAGGGACAGATGAGGTAATGGACGAAGGTGGGCATCCTTCGCCCGAAGTTCCGGACAAGTTTGAGCAAGAGGGTACACTCTCGGCACTCACGCTCGACGAGGCAAAGGTGCTGCTGCTGCTGCCACTAGCGAAGAACTCGCCAGCTGGTGCACTCGTAACTGTCGTGAGGGTAGTATTTCCCGCAGCCGTTGATTGCGAGAACGCCGCGCTTAAGGTGCGAGTGCTGGTGGGAAGCACTGTTGTGTAGAGGGTTGTGGTGGAAATTATCGTCGTCGTTGATGTCCCCTCGGTGGAAGAGCTCGAGTCCTCGGCCGAGAAGAAGGTGGTATATGTGCTCTCCGTGATGGTGTACATGGTACCATCCGGGGTGGGTACGCTGGTTGGTTGGGTACCCTGACCTCCGGCAAGCCCGGTGTCTGAGCCTCCAATCGAGACGAACGTTGTGTATGTGCTGCCTGTGATTGTGTAGAAAGTGCCAGCGACGCTGAAGGTGCTTCCAGCCTGTGTGACCGCGCTTGGCGCTACTGTACTGGATGCATCGAAGGACAAGAATGTGGTGGTTGTGCTGCCCGTGATCGTGTAGAAGTTGCCGGCACTGCTCAAAACACTCACAGGTTGCGTAGCAGTGCTTTGTTCCACCGAGATTGTCGTTCCGGATTCCACGATCGTGCTGCCAGGAATTATGGTTGTTGCCGTTATAACCGTAACGATATTCGATACGCCGTCACCGCTGCTGCCAGGACTCAAAGTGACTGCGCTAGCTGGGATGGATAGCGCACTGCTCAAAGGTGTGACTGTTGTTCCGAGCTGCACCGATGTTGTGGCCTGATTTTCTCCCGGCGCAACAGCTACTGAGGGCGTCAGTGTGTTACTGGTGACTGCCACAAAGTTTCCTGGCGTAGCTGGAGCACTGCTGCCAACCGTCACGGTAAGGGTAACAAAATCTGTGATTGTGACGGTTGTTGTCACTTCGCTTTGTGGCGACAGGCTGGACGTCAGCCCGGGAGTGATCATGCTCGAGACCTCTGATCCGGTGCTGCTCACTCCAATAGCTCCAGCGGTTACAGACGTTGTCTGCAGTGAGTCTGATGGAGTCGAGAGAATACTTCCAGGGTCTGAACTGCTGCTTGCTGCAGTTGCGCTAGAATCCGTCGATGAAACCTGCACGAAGACACCACCCGGCGTCCGCCATGACCATCCTGAACGTAGCCCAGTGAGCCAGAAGGGATCGCCGGATATACCTGTCGCACTCGGATCCCCGAGAGCGCTTGAGGTAGGTATTAGGTCGGAGGTCGAAGTGACCAATGGGTCGGATACTGAAGTAGATAACGGGGCCGAGCTCAGAGCCGGTGCCAGGCTGGTGGCCGAAGTAGGTAAAACGTCGGAGCTTGAAGCATCTATTGGGCCGGAAGTTGAAGTAGGAATCAACTCGGAGGTGGACAATGTACTTGACACTCCATATGATGATGAAGTGGATATCTGAGAGGAGCTGGAGGTCGGACTTATTGAGATCGTCAAGGCGGCAGGAGTGGTGGTGGACAAGGTCAAAGAGGTTGCAGGCGTGCTGAGGCTGGCAATAGCACTCGAAGCCGTTTCGCTAGTCGACGTTGCCGAAGTGGTTGAGTCAAGAATGGAGGAGCTCAGACCAGTTGACGCCGCAACCGAAGCCGAAGACGTACCTGCACCATTAGGCGAGTGCGAGTTGAGTGGGCATACCACTTGCGGGGCCAGAGCAGGGCCAGGGGTTATAGGATTGCACCCTGGTAAAGCGTCGATCATCCCATGGATCGGCTCGTCAAACAACGACGGCTGTTCGGGACAAGTGCGCGGGAAGTTGACATCGTCACTCGGGGTCAAGTAGGGGCATGCCGTGACGACACCATCGTTGTCGGTATAAAGACAGTTTTCGACTGCGTCCGTTTGCACGTCCATATCCCAACCGTTCATAAAGTCGCCGTGGAAACCGAACCCGGTAGGATCACCGTTGGAAAAGACGAATTCACCACCAGCTGATTGATCAACCGAGTTTGTCATGTACAGAACCCTGCAAGATGTGAGACAAGGGAATTGGAGACTGATGCTGCCGGAACACTAACTCGAAGAAGAGACCTGGGATCGAAACAGGATGTGTGGGAGGGCATTCGCCGGAGTCAATGTTGGACAGGTAAGCAACGTGGGCCGAGTTATCGAGGTAATTGTTGACACCATCCCAACAGGATTGGAAGTTGACCTGAGCTCTGAGGCCATTGACACAGTCGGTCTGGTCGATGTAGTGCGTTTCTGGAATATTGTTAGCTTCGTTAATGCAGCGGAAACTTACCCTACAAATCGTCAGTAACAGTCACTTTACTAATCAAATGCGAGAAGCAACCCACCTGTCGGCTACAGGCCGTGTGTTCATGTATGTCAAGGTCGAGGTATCGTATGACCGTAGTCGCGTGTCTCCAGTGATCATTCTGAAATCGGTTGGGAAGGGAACTGTATTGGTTGCATTTCCACCACGTCCTGGCTCATGTTCAGCAGCATCACCGACAAACTTTGCGAAATACATACCAACGTAGTACACGGTCATTCCGTAGTTAGGCACTTCCTCAAAACTACCATTGGCATGAGCGAAATACAACTGTGGAGTCCAGTAGGCCGAGGTATCCTTCTGAACCTCGCAAGAGGAACAAGTCGAAGTCAGAAGAGAAGCGTGGTCGGAATTTTCGTTCACATCTTTGATTGTCAGCCACCGGTCAACTCTCCTCAAGCATGCAACTGACTGCTTCCGCCGGCGAACTTGTGGCCATGTCCAGATACTCCACCAGGATTCAGAATGGGATCGGCCCTAGCAGTTTGAGAGACACTGCAGGCCATGCGCCAGTAGGCAAATGAGAGCTGGGGGTGTAAGGCTAACAGCCAAATTGGCAAGAAAAGAGGTAAAGACTTCATGGCAAAGAAGGCGGCGATTTGGCGCCGCTGAATCGTCGAGGTTGTTTCAGTATCAAAGTAAGAGTAGAAGATGACTTTGGCATAAGTGAGAACGAACACCGGCAGACGAAGTAATAGATGGCGACGAGCACCTGAGTAAACACGGCGACGATCATTGAGTAGGTGCACAGTCCTCGTCTCGAGTGGACAGAGAGGAGCATCGGATAGACGTCCGCATCGTGAATCTTGCATGTTCAACTTGGGTCCAGAACGAGGCTGAACTCTAAGGCGGCAACGGCAAGCCGGTCTGGCCTGAGGGATGCAAAGACTACCTTGTGTTCCAAGCACTTGCTCCGGCGCTGGGTTCTGAGCACTCATTGGAGCGACTGAGAAGTGAGTACGTGTGTGGCGATGAGCACCGGCGTTGGTAAGTCCTTGCTTTCACGCCGCTTACGCGGCAACCTGGGAGACGTAACAGACGGGCAAAACAAGTCGCTGCGCACGGATGGGGATGGAGACCCGAGATTGAAGAAAACGTTTGATGGCCGCTCGGTTTGCAAGAGGCTTGAAAATTCCCCGTCTTCAAGCTGCAGGGAAAGTCTATCATGAGCTGCGGTCATAAGAACGCGGCGACCATGATCGCAATAGGTGCGCAAATGGGTTGAACCTCTGCTGACCATTGGCATTGAGATAGAAGACACGAAGATGGTGGTAATTTTTATGTTGCATGATACCCTGACGAAGGCATTGCTGGCTCGAACGTGCAGGGGCCAACGACTGACATGTCGCTATGGCGATGGATGGGCTTGGTTCCCATAGTTGACAGGAACTGACAGGGGTTGACAAGGGAGACAGGATGACGCCGCTGACCTAGCTAGATTAGTGCAATCATATGGCGGTGATGGTACCTGTTCTGTACGTAGTCTGTATTTAGTGACCCATCTAGGGCACATTGGATCCTCTTCGGGGGCAGCTCTCCCTCGCACACGTGATAGTCGTATTCTTTCTTCTGTATCGTCTTCCTTATCATGCATGTATAGGTCGACGCCGGCTTGATCGTTGAAATGACAAGAGTATAGCTTCCCAGGAACGTTGGACGGCCACCATCTGCCGAGCAGTGACTCTGACGCCAGGGTAGAGTCATGGTATTGACGGCGATGATAGACGCGATTTGTTTAAATGGAAGATGTCGGATGTTTCAGCGGTATCGAGAAGCTATGTTCGAGATACACGCGCAATCCACGAGGACTGAACGACGCGTCCCACTCGATTGGAAACCTCATCGAACTAGACAATTAACGGGGTCCAGGCATGTTTGTAATAGAGCTTGTGATAACACGATGGTCTGCCACCCGCTGTAGTCATCAAGATTGCGGCTGACTCAGCTTCAACGTGTCATACTCTCGACAGCTCTTTACCTTTGCACACGCCGTGGCATTGGAACCTGCAGAAATGAGTCGATCATCGGACGACCTAGGTCAACAGGGTGTATGTGCAGTAGTAAGATGATTTCCTTCGGGCAGTAAGGCTGGACGAGAAAGGAGTCCATGAAGAGAAGGGACAGGGAGTGAAGATTGGCCCATCTCATGGCAATTGAGTGAGGACGGCCAGCATGATACCGCAGCTAGAAGACGAAGTAAGTAATTGAATCTCATATTTATTCAACAGATGCAATCGCCGTGTCTCGTGCCCAAGGCACCTCTGGAAGCTTTTGAGGCTGATCAGTGAGGCCCTTCTGAGGCCCCTACCCCTGCTATTAAAACGGCGTGCACGTGCTTTACCAATTAGGCAGAAAGTGAAAGTGACTGACTGACTGACTGTTCAGCTTCTGGCTTCACATACAATTTCAAGGGAGCACCCAGACCACACTTCTCTGTCGTCGTCTCAGTCGGGCTCGTTCTGATCATGAGTTACTGGATTTGACATCATCCCGAGTCGGCCATCCTATCAAATCTCACCTAGCCACATCTTGAAGCACTGCGAGGAGTCTGTTTCCCCAATCCCCGGTACCAGACCAGACCTGAACGCGGCGAGGCTGCTGCCCTTGCTTTACTGGTGTCAGATATATGTCATTGACGATCAGCCGCTGCATTCATCATCATGAACACTCCACCGTCTCCCGAGAACAATGTCGCCAAAGAGGACCAAGGCAAATCTGCCCATCAAAGCCGGGTGCGGCGAAGAAACCGCATGATCACTTCCTGCCTAGAGTGTCGCCGTCGCAAACTCAAGTGTGACAAGCTCCATCCATGTACTAACTGCAGCAAGTCTTCTCGCGATTGCCTGTTCCTTGCTCCAGCGTTGGACTCGGTTTCCCAGCAACGTCTCAATGAAATCAAGGAGAAGATGGGTTCGCTTGAAAGGGTCCTTGAGCAAGACATTGTGCGGAAAGAAGGACGCAGCACCGCTAGTTCTGCTTCGCAACCAAGAAGGACATCCACCGAGTTGCCCGGGGGCGGAACAAGCAGTTCCGACAATGATGCTGCCATACCTGAAGATGAGATAGGTCTAGAGCCAACACCTATGGCAGTAATGGATGCTTCATATGAAGACGATGCTAATGATGACGTGCTGGACCTGGGCGTCAAGATTGGGAGAATGAGGTGAACAATGATTGCACAGCCTTAGATTGCATTACTTGATATGGAGCTAATATGATCAGGTTAAACGAACGTCTGGGAGGCTTCTTCCGCCCCAGGATCCACGAGGAGGTACTTGCATGCTTCTTTCTCGATGCGCCGACCACTGACACGAGACAGTTGAGCCAAACGCTTTCGACCCCGAGCACCGATTCCAGCAACCCCTTGGACAGACGGACATCCCTACCGAAACTGCCCGACCACGACTTAGACTTTTTGGCTCCAGGCCCGACGTATATTGCACCAGGTTCTGGGTTTCTATTCGGCGACGTCGGGAGCAAGAGATCCCTTATCAACTTCCTGCCGTCAAAGGGCGCGGCTGACAACCTTGTGCGCACATACCATGAAAACGTCCACTTCATTGCTCGCGTAGTACACTGGCCGAGTTTCCAGCTCCATTATGACAACTTCTGGACATCTGTCCTCGCCGGGCTCGAGCCTCCGGCTTGGCAACAAGCCCTTGTGCTCTCGATTCTGTTTGCAGCAGTGGCGAGCATGGCTGACGAAGAGGTCAGCTTGATCTTTGCCAGACCCAAACCAGTCATTTTAGGCAACTTCCAGACAGGGACGGAGGTCGCCTTGAGCAAAGCTCAATTCCTCCGGGCGACGAAATTCGAAACGTTACAGGCTCTGGTTGTATACCTGATCCCCATGTGTCGGGATCAGGTTTCGCGTGCCCATTCGGTGCTGGTGGGTATGGCGGTTCGCTTGGCTGAGTGTATGGGTCTTCATCGCGACCCCGAGGATGTCTACGGCATGTCTCCGATCGATTGTCATGTCCGTCGCATCGTATGGTTTGAGCTTTGTTGGTTGGACTTTCGAACTTGTGAGGGCCAGGGGCCCCGTCCCGGGATCAAACGAGAGGATTACGATGCCAAGTTCCCCCTCAACATCAACGATGCCGATCTGCTCTCAGCGAGGCCTCAGGAAACCAATGCCCAGTGGACGGATATGACCATGTCACGGATTCGCTTTGAATGCATTGAGATGCAACGGATCATCTGGTTCGATCGAGTTCGGATCGAAAGGAAGAAGGCATCCTTGACACATGTCCTGGGCAAAATCGAGTCATTTCGCAGAGCCATGGTGGCCAAATACACGCCCATTCTGAACGTGGAGATTCCCTTGCAGAAATATGCACGACTGGTGATGATTTTACTGATCCAGCGGATGTATGTCATGGTCTTACATCGCTATCTCAACAATCCCAGCAATCGAGTGCCGGAGAGACTTCGTCACCTCACGATCCACAGCGGAGTTCAGGCAACGGAAAATGCCATTGCTCTTGAGCGGATTTCTGACATTCAACGCTGGAGATGGTTCAATGGGGCCTATCAGCAATGGCACATGGCATTCCTGCTGTTGACGGTCGTTCACGAAGAACCCACACTACGAGAGGCGGAACGAATCTGGAACATCCTTGAATTCGTTTTTGAACCTGATCCGTCGCTCTCGCGTACCATGAAATCGAGGAGCATCATCTCGGCGATCCGAGATCGAACCGCGGTGTACAAGGATCTCCGCCGGACACGCGTCCCTGTCAGCATGAAAGTTGGGTTGGACACATCCAGCAGGCCGACCGAGGCTGTTGGCAGCACAGGCGATGCTATGACTACCGAACGCGCTCCAGAATTTGTCTCCTCGACTGTGGCTGACCAGAAACCAGCAAACGTGGGGGACGCTGCCGAGCAATCGTGGAGTTTTGATACCCCTGCCACATTCTATGTCAGCCAGCGCAGGCCTGGACTCGATGCCGGCGCGTCAGAACCCATCTTGCCGCAACGAAGCCAGCAGCAGCAACCCCAGACTTCGTCGGCTCACCAGTTTGACTTTAATAGCCCGAGCGACTCTGGCACCAACGAATCGTGGCCACCATTGATCATGAATGATCAAACCAGCTGGCGCACAGTACTGGATCCAAGCAAGGCGTCGTCGGCCCCTTCTTCAGGGCCCCGAACAAAAACAACCACATCCATGCCAGCAGGTGGCAGCCCTTACGGGTTCGGATCCGGGTTTCCGAGTGACGAGGTCAATGTACCCCAGTTTCCGCCGCCCAACCCTCGAGGCGATTCCATCATGTTAGACATTGACTGGGTAAGTTCAGATCGCTGGCCGCTGGCCGCTCCTTGTGCTGTCGAGACATGAATAGCTGATCACAGTGAATACAGTCGGAGTGGGACCAACTCTTTCCCCCAGGGAGTAACGCCAGTCTGTTTGACGCTCCCCAGACGTTGAGATAGGTAGGGTGATGGATATCTCACAGCAAGTAAGTGGTCGCTGTGGCTTCGCTTGATGGCTACTCCCGGGACAGAGACCCTGGAAAGGGAATGCAAACAGGAAGCAGCTGATAGGCTGAGCGAGGGAGATCAACTGGCTGAATCAGCAATGTACCTTAAAGACTCGCGCCTCCGTTTTAGTGTTATCTGAGCACTACGAGTATCTAGCAGAGCGCTAGGTGCAATCTGGCCAAGTGTATATTTGCCGAGAATCAAGCTTCAATGGATTCGACGATGACACGGCAACTACCAGTAGTAAAGCCTCAGCCTCAGCTGTACTTGCACCACAATGATGCTGATGATGTCAGGGGCCCGCCTGCGCCAGCGGGATTTCCGGCTGCGGATGGAAGGAAGCTGCCAGCTTGAACCTGGGATCTGGACACTGGGAAGCCATCTCGCTCATCATAGCATGCCGCCAGCTCTTTCATCTCCACCGACCCCTGAGCTGCGACACGTTGATATCTATCTCATAGTACTGTCACTGTCCCAAATGACAATCAATATGCCGGCTCGTACGGCAGCTATGGCTGCAGGTTGAGCCATATTTCCAAACAACCATATTAGTGTCTTGATGCCCTTTGGCCGTCGCTTAAATATATTCGTGTATAGATGCTCTGTGTTGTTGCGTCAGCCACTCCCATCCTCTTCGTGTGACATATTTCTTCTGTGCTGTACTGTGTAGACGGCTTCCTGATCGTTCGAATCTCCTCTCCATCGTGACCATTCACCAAGTCTCCTCTTCGGCCGGACATTGACAAGTTGAATATATTGATTGCTGGCGTTTGCGCTTTCGGTCTCGCGACTTCACCAGCCGAGCCTTTCCATCCACGAAGCGACAGGGCGCACGTCCTTCAATCGCCGAGCTTGAGCAACAGACGGGAGCTTAGATACTTGATTCCCGTACAAGATCCTTCCTCTACTACATAATCCGCCGCATCCTCTCCCATCTCCTTCTATCCAACGCAAGCAGCAGCAGCAGCAGCAGCAGCTATGACATCCGCCTTGAAGCCGCCCACGGCGGATACTCTCAAATCCTACCCATTCGGCAAGATTGAACCCAATTCGGTACGTAGGAGGACACTGGAGTGATAACACATGCACTGGCCGGGCTGTTGCCCCGGAAAGGTCAACATGCCGGGAGGCGGGCTATCTTGAAAGATGTCCGCTTCTTTCATGCTCCGCGCACTTGGTACAGCCATATACCGCTCAGAGCACAAAGCTAACGCAATAACGAGAATTACAGACCAAGTACTTTGCCTCGTGCATGCTCGGAGGCGTGGTTGCTTGCGGCCCAACCCACACACTTGTGACGCCGCTCGACCTGGTCAAGACGCGCCGTCAAGTCGACCCCAACTTATACACCTCGAACTTCAAAGCATGGCGCAGCATCTTCGCCAACGAAGGCTTCCGCGGCGTTTTCTTCGGCTGGACGCCGACGCTGGTCGGCTACAGCTTCCAAGGTCTGGGCAAGTACGGCTTCTACGAGATCTTCAAGCACGAGTACGGCGACAACCTGTTCCCCCACACCAACCGCACTTTGGTCTACCTCGGCGCCAGCGCGAGTGCTGAATTCATCGCCGATTTGTTCCTGTGTCCGATGGAGGCCATCAAGGTGCGCATGCAGACGACACTGCCGCCGTTCGCGAAGACTTTGCGTGAGGGTTGGTCCAAGGTGGTTGAGAAAGAAGGCATTGCAGGCTTGTATAAGGGTATCGCTCCCCTCTGGGGCCGTCAGATTCCCTACACCATGTGCAAGTTCGCCACGTTCGAAGAGACCGTCAACTACATCTACAGGAAGCTTGGAAAGCCGAAGGAAAGCTTCAACAAACTGCAGCAGACTGGCGTCAGCTTTTTGGGCGGCTACATTGCCGGCATCGCCTGCGCCGTGGTCAGTCATCCCGCCGACGTCATGGTCAGCAAGTTGAACTCGGACAGAAAAGGTACAGTCTTTCATCCCCTGGCCGGTCTCAAACAGGCTGTCGGAACAATTCGAGACTAACCATTATTTTCCTTCAGCTGGCGAATCCGCCGGTAAGGCTATGAGCCGCATCTACAGCAACATCGGATTCGTAGGTCTCTGGAATGGGCTTCCCGTGAGAATCGTCATGATCGGAACACTGACCGCCTTCCAATGGCTCATGTACGTCCCTCCCTCTGCTTTCCGCCCTTGACACTCGTCGAGAAATGCTAGTTGAGCTTGAACGCTGCTGACACCACTCTCTTTAGCTACGATTCCTTCAAAGTCTGGCTCGGATTGCCCACAACTGGCGGCCATTAGATACCCAATGTTCCGTCTTTCCTAGCAGCGGATGCCGGTTGTTCGCAAGTCAGAGGTGCACCCAGCTCCAGCGAATGGAACCGCTCTTCAATCCATCTTCGCCAACAACCTCCAATATTCAAGCTCGAGATGGTCTCTCTCTGATTGGCATGACGTCTGATAACCTACAACAGGGCTGCTGCCAGTGAACACATATTTTAACCCCGGATTTCCGCGCACCGTTTTGGGTCTAGCGAGCAGGAATCTTCCAGTTGAACGCGGCGCCTCTCTTCAGGGGGATAGCGAGATACAGGGCAAAAGGATAGATAACCTTTGAAATGACCTTTTGATGTTTGCGTCTTTCTTTGGGTGGTAACCGAACGACGGAGTCAAGCTGATAGAAATGCATCGCGAAATCCATGACTTTAAACCACTTATATTTGGATCAGAAGCAGACCTTCCTCAGCCATATCGGTAAATCAACATCAGTAGACAAACGCCACTGGGGCCAGGACAGGAATAAGGATGGCTGGTTCCAAAGGACAAAGTTTGAGGACAATGCGTCAAGTACTCGTTGGGGATATCATCGATTCTTGATTATGCTCGCTTTCACAAAATGCACCAAAAGATATATATGCACCAATTAGACGCGCCTCGCTATACGTCGCTCATTGTAGCATCTGCATCACCAGCCTTCTTCTCGTATAGTGTCCCCTCGTCTTGGTCCCCTACAGTGGGTATCCGCTCTGGTAGGCTCAGGGGGCTTTCCGACCTTCGTTCCCACGGATCTTCTGGCGGCGAGAAGGACCAGACCTGTTACCCTCGTTAGCAACGGAAAGCAGTAGTAGAGAGTTGGGGGCTATAACGTACCTCCATAACAGTCCTGTTGGCCCGACTCGCCATGATGACCGCCTTCTCCTCCTCGAATGCCACTCTCCAAACAGCCTCGGCGGGTTGACTGAGCTCGCGGACCAACTGGCCAGTCTCGACGCTCCAAATCTTCACTCGACCGTCACTACCACCACTGACTATTCGCTGGTCGTCAAACTGCAAACTAGTAACACTATTATCGTGTGCAGCCAAGCGGTGGATTGGCGTATTGGTTTGCAACGACCACACCCGCACCGACCCATCAGAGCCACCGGTCACGAGTGTATCGCCCCGCATTTGCAGCTGTCCGACCAAAGAAGTATGGCCCTGCAAGATTGCGGTACACATGCCCGTCTTGGGGTCCCAAATTCGAACACTGGTGTCAAGACTCCCGGTCGCAATCCGATTGCCGTCGAATGCGATGGCATATATCTGACTGAAGTGCCCAGTCAGTGTCCGGAGGCATCGGCCCTCGGAAATACTCCAAATTCGAGCAGTTGTGTCGTAACTGCCAGAGACAACCAGGTCGCCGTGAATGGCAAGGCATCGGACGCTGGCTTGATGACCGACCAGAACATTTTTGCACATGCCGGTTGTCAAATCCCATATCCGCAAGGTGGTGTCTCTGGACCCTGAGATCGCCGTATTGGCATCGGACATCTTCAGGCATCTCACGGTTGAGGTGTGTCCTCGCAGTGTATGGAGGCTTTTGCCGGTGGCCATGTTCCAAACACGAACATCCCGATCACAACCGCCGCTGACGAGTATGTCGTCCCACGGCACCATTGCCCACACTCCCATCACATGGCCTTTCAAGGTCTTTTGATGCTCGCCGACAGTGTTGAAGACGTGGATTTTAGCATTGTCCATGGCCACCACAATGTACTTGTCGGTCAAATGCAGACTTGTCACCACGCCCTGATCCGGTGTGATATGCTTGATAATGCTCTCGCCTCCTTTCCTCCAGGCGGCCTCAATCATGTATTTATGCCGGAAATGTGAATAATGTGACTGAGACTGTCGTTTTCTTGATCGAGGGCTCGCCGACAGATGGTCTTGTCTCGATAATGTTAGGTTTGGTGCACTGCTCGACGGACCGACGATCGAGCCATCAAGACTTCTCTTGGGGGACCGATTATGATGACTGTACGGGCCTTGGGTGGCTTGCGGCAAATACAGCGAGTCCACATCGTCGTTGGAAGCGCCGGAATTCCTGCGCCACGCATGTCGTTCACACATGATCTTCCATAACATATCATCATTCAACAATTTGTGCCACCGGTGTGACACCTGCGAGGCCCGAGCTAGGCTCTGCGGGTTATCAATATACGAGAGTACCTGGACGGCGTCAGTTCGTATCATCATCATGGGATACAAAACCTACCCTCAGACACAGTTCGTCAGGGAGATGCTCAAACGGGTCTTTCTTCAGTCGCGGAGAAACGAAATGGTGAACAAAGCTCAAAAGCTGACTATCACACATATTCAGCAACTCGGCCAGGTATCTCTCCCTTCCAGCAGCATTCAAGTTGCAAAAGTGTTCCCGGGCATCCCTGAGGAAAGCGTCCTCATTTTCGCCTGCCGAATTCCAACTAGGAGCACGTTGATACGGCGTAGGGGAAGGTGCGGGTGTAGGAGGAGAGGCCGGGGCAGACGGCAATATGCTCAGAGGCATGCCCGCCTTAGTCGAAGTCGACAGTCGCTTGGGCCGCGGTTGCGCTACGCTGTGTCGAGGTCTGGAGGAACGTGGTGCGTCCGGAGGTATAGAGAAGTGACAGTCGTTTTCTTGGTCGATGATGGCAGGCCTGGCATTGTAAGGGCGGCTGGCCAGCTGATCAGGATCTATTGTCAACGATCTCGAGGGCCTAGGAGAAAGCGGCCTGTCCAGAGACATAGAGTGGTTGTCATCGTCGAGGTCCATCTCTTTTCCTCCAGTGACGTCGGGTCGATGCGCCCCTCGGCAAGGAAGGGTAGGATTGTAGGATACTGCGAACGGCGATGACTAGAAAATTGTTTCCAACACGAACGAGCGAACTCCTGCGCGCCTTGGAGAGAGTGGTGATTGTTTAGAGCGATGCCATGTCACAGAGAGGGGGTGAGTGAACGGGCCTCGAGACTGCAGGTGTCTGTTGGCAGAGGCGCTTGTGACATGGAAGGGACAGGTCTAGCCCCAAGAAGAGAGAGACTGCCAGGACGATGGGGAAGGATAGGCGGTGGCGGGCTCGGGTCGACAGCGGACGAGGGTTGGTCAGCAGATGAGAGAGAAATGAATCTTGATCTGCAACCTAGGACACAATATCCCTTTGCACTTGCGCTGGTCGATAGTTTGTGTTGCCTGCACCGTGCAGTGAAGTGGTGATGATGGTGATGGGCGGTAGTTGGTGGTGGAGAGAGAGGATGGAGAAACTAGTCGAATTCGTAAATGCAGAAGGAATGGACTGCAGGAGGTGATACACTCTACCTTAGTACCTACCTAGGGTACAGTACCAGTACCACAGTAGGAGTACGGAAGATAAAAGACAAAGAGTCCCGTCATTCGTGGGGAGGCCTGGTGGGAACCCCCACCCACAAACTCTAGCAGGCTTTGGGAGTGACCATCTCTAATCCGCCTAAATCTATGTACCTACCGACACCCTGTGCACCTAAACCATACTCTGTAGGAGTTCTAGAGAGCCTGACTAGCCACAGGTTCCGGATCGCCCTGCACCGGCTCCAGGATCTGCTCGCCGTCTGCCAGGGGAATCATGCATATCCTCATTTGTTAGGAACCAACTCTCTGTTTGTCTGTCAGCCTTCAAGTTCACCCCTCAGGTGCGTTGCTACCCAACTTGCCCTCCTTACCCTTCACCGCGCCGTTAGAGCCCGCATCCTCGAGATTACCTTCATGCAAAGCTAAGGTATGTACAAGACCACGGGCGATTCGCTTTGGCACAACCTCTCAGGTACATTTGGGTTGCCCAATGTACCTTAGCAGGTAGTCAATGGCCATGGAAGTACAGTGATACATGCCTTAGGTATGTACCTACACATCCACCTGGTAGATACTGGTACCTATGTACGTCTATAGAGCCGTTACATAGAAGCTTACACGAATGGACAGTACCCAAGCAGCCCACTTCGGCCACTATGTAGCCTCGACGTCCTACTCAAGATCGTGATAAGATCCAGGTACGAACATCAAATACTGCCCGACCATGGTAACAAGCTACCCATAGCCCTTGACTTGTCCAGCAGATGCCGGTCACTGCCGCATTCCATTTGGGTACTGTGCGCCCGTTATGTTTATTCAAAAGATCTCTTCTTTCGTTTGCACTTACGAGATCTCAGTCGCATACTCTCCAAGATGGCACGGCACGCCTTCATCGAATCGTTCTGATATTTCCCATCAGTAAGGACATAAGGCCTCGGCCTGTGAATCGACGCTGCCATTGAAAGGACCTTTCGTGTCTCATTTCCTGACCCTGGCGCCCTGAATACAAGGGTACGGGACGACAGTGCTCAAGCGTGGTCTCGAAATCTTCGTGTGTCTCCAAAGCCACCAAAGCAGGCATATAGGTTGCTTGACTGTAGGCGGGTCAATGTGCATGTCCAACCTGCAGGAACAACGGCAAAATCATTCCAAAGCATGCCGCTCCAAGATCCTTCCAAGAGGCTTTAGGCTCATTTGCTTGCACATCGCGTCCATCCACATAGCCATTGGACTGTCCGTTGATGGGCTCCAGGTGAGAATTTGCTGTGTCTTGCATAGAATGCATAGCAACGTAGAGAAATGTCCCGGCCGAGAACAACAGAAGCATCCCAGTCCACCACGTAGTCTTCTCCGCACTGTGACTGCGTCCGCCACCCAGAACATGGGCCAGTAGCCAGGTAAGAAGAGCACCTGCGGGTGCAGCCAGACTGAAAAGGACCAGATGGCCCCGGGCCGCTCGTTTAGATAGTCCTTGCTTGATCAAGACGGAGGTCAGGCCAAAAGCCGCAGGCGCCTTATGGATCATGATAGCAAAGAAAATCACAAAACTCAATCCGGTATTGGTAGCCGTGGACGAGGCTCCCAGGGCGATTCCATCAGCAGCTGCGTGAATGACCAGCCCGATGGTGGTCGCAAAGCTCCGATTCCGCAGGCGTGTCCCTTCCGGGGAGTCCAAGAAAGTGTCCGCCTCGTCGTCTCGGTCCAGGGACGTGGTTAAGTTGAAGCGGCGGCCAAGATTGTTCAAGGCAATGTGGTGAGTCCTCGTTCTTGGCTTTGACGGTCTGGTGTATTGCGGCACCTTGTCGATCAAATACATGAGCATAAAACCCGCCAGCAAAGCCACGCCAATCCACGCGTGTTCAGATTCGTCGTGATCTTCTTTCGTTTTGACAGGTGTCTTCTCCCGTGCCTTGTCACTCTCATCCCCCGCGTCCATTATGCCAACCACCCCAGGTTTCGTAGGAGTTCGCGGTGGGGGATCCATGCCTGAGGGGATGACAGGGCCGGGTACATTGAAAGCGTTGGAATTGTCCCCATTCGCCCGTGCGACGACAGTATGTAGGTCTTCTGGTGTAAAGTAATTCGGCCATCGTACGTCCGCTTCGCGCGAAATGACATATCTCTTCGCATGGCTATGTGGGTGGCCGACTCCAGAAGCGCTATATAGTGTCTCTACCCCTTCCGGAATGATGACGACCAGAGAAGTGCCAACCAGCACGCCCATTCCAATTGTAGATATTAGACGCAATTGCGCGGTCGACAGTGACAGTGACAAAGGGAGGATGCCAGCAAGGAATGAAGCGACAGCCATGACAATGCTCAAGCTGAGCAGGGTAAACAGTCCGTCCATGATTAGGACGCGGTAGGGCCGATTCTGAGCGAAGTTCAACCCTGCATCAAAGTGAAAGAGAAAGAGATTGTCGGGAGCACATGGCGACTCAGCTCGCCATACTCAATTCATTTGCGCCTCTGGCAATAGGAGCAGCGGAACGAGGTGGACATTGAATGATTGAACTTGAAGTTGTCGAAGTCTCCTGAAGGCGCAGGCTAACTATCCCAATAACCCCTAGTAGTACTAGTAGTACGATAAGGGTCCGGGCCACGCGTGCATTATCATCACGTGGAAGCAAGGCTATAGTGTGCCATCTGGGAGCTGACTGCTGGACAGCGTGCGAGAGTCAAATTGCAGTTGACTAGTAGTATGCATCAATCAGTGTTTGCATGTGCTATTTGCAAAGTCACCGACATATATATGGCCTCGAGTAGGAGGAGGTAGTCAACACTATTTCAAGTGACGGAGCCTATCTTATTACAACTGGACAAATACCTGCGCTGTGTCACTATACAGTGCCCCTGCCAGGGCAATGTTCAGATGGCAGCATTGTGCCTTGCTCCCTGTGATAGAGGTGCTCGTTGTCCTAATCGGAGCCTTTCCATTGATCCTCTGTAGGAATGACATTTCGAGGGACAGCAGGGGGAGCGACATCGTCCTCCTAGAGGGAGGACTATTGCGCTCGTGATTTTGTGTCTGAACGAAATGATGCTTTGCGTAGTCGCGCATGGTGCCAATTCCCAGGACCGGGGGAAAAGTTCTTGTTATTTCTCTTTCTCCCTTCCGACATGTTTCGATGTAGCGGCATCAAGGCTTCTTGGGCAATATCCCAGGGCCCATTCGCGCATCGGCTTCAAGGGGACCATCATGGTACCCATTGTGACCACCCCTTTTCGGAGCATGAAGATGGTTTGGCTGGTTGGTCTGTCGTCACAGGAACGTTCGCTGGGGCCACGGTTTCGTTTGTAATTTTTAGATGGAGCCATAACTCAGGTCGACTTCCCCGCCGGGCAGCCCTCTGGGACTTCCTACGTCTGATGAGCTTCAGGCAACCATATATTGTAGGTGCATTAGCCACGAAGCAGGATACAACCATTTGGACCGAAGCCCAAAAGCTTCGGACAGGCTGGTACGATTGCTCCGCGTAAATATATCCAATGCGAACACATGTCGTAATGATGCAGAAAAACCCCAGGCAAAATAATGCACCGACCCGTAGCTTTTCGCCGATGCTTCGATGGCGTACGACGACAAGCGGCCAGGCGATTGCCAGCAAAATGAGATCGAGTAGGATATTTGCAATGCCTTGAGTGAGCAGTTGATCGTAGGCTCGAATACAACTGCCAGGTCTTGGTTGTATTTGCCAGTATAGCTTGAAAGGATGACATTCCAGGAAAGTGGCCAGCACCACTGCGATGTAGGTTAGAGGTATGGTTATCCAGCAAAGTTGGATGAGCCTGGTGGTCCATCGCGCTCGAACTTCGAGGATCCGAGAGTAGAAGAGAAGGAGGAGGCAGTTTTGCAACCAGTAGAATGTGGTTATCAGTAGCCTTGCAATCAAGGCAAGGATGCTACCGCTCTTGAGGGTCTCTGTGTCGTCAGAGTTGAAATATTGTGATTTGCCGTAGATGGCATCATTCGACGTCCCATAACTGAGAACATATTGGTTGACCACAATCCGAGCCGACACAACCACGATGGCGGCTATCACTATGACAGCACTAATATCGAGTGTTCCATAATGAAGTCTTGAGGCAGTTGCTCGAATGATCAAAATGAGCAACGAGAGGCCCGCGCAAGCCCAGCCTGCGATTCGTGCGTCCTGGGAGGAAACCGGCATTGTGCCACGCGCATACCCAAGTCTGGTAATGTTCAAGAAAGTTGGAACGACATGCTGCCCAGGCAACGTCGTACAGACGATACTGCCAGATCGTGAGCCCAGTAACTGGAACTCATAATTGTGAATTTGCCGCTGTTCCACGACACAGAATGGCAGTGAGAAGGAGACAGGAAGTTGGGATGAGTTTCGACCTGAGCCGAGGGCGGCATCTGGAGGACGACCTTCGCAGCCGAGTATCGATCCTCTAGAGTTGGCGGATTTCCAGTTGACAGGGTCCTCCTTAGCATCATCCGATAATCACCTAGTCTCCGATAGCCTCCAACCCCGGTTCATGGGGTTGGAAGCCACGATTCCACATAACCACCATGTATGTGATTTGGTTGGAGGTTGAAAGGTCCAAACCGTCCCAGCCAGATGGGCGCCGTCTCGCGGGACCTCAAGACCCTTGATCCCCAACTTCTCTCATCTCCAATGTTAAGTAGCTTGGAGCACCACGTACCGACCTGCTGCAACTCTTCCACTGTAAGGCACGGTACTTCGTCTCCCTGGTCATTATAAGGGGACTCTTTCAGAAGTCGACCAAAACTCCCCTGGTGTGGGCGCGACGAGCGGCAATTGTTCTTCAACGTCAAGCACGAGCAGCAGAGACAAGGATTGGGGGCAGCATACGTGACTAATCCATACCGGCTGTCTCCTTTTCCAAGGATGTTCGTGGACATCGTTGGCCATCTTCTTGCTCACCAGCACGCTCACATAATCGGAGTCCGACTCGATCTACGATGGCGTAGTAAGCAAGCCCATGTGAAACCAAGGACGTCTCCCCAGGCTGAGGTGGCGCGCTAGTAGCCAGTTAGAGGCTCAAGATGCAGCCTGACCAATGCAGATCTGACAAATGGCTCAAAGTGAGCGCCTGCAAAGTTAGCATTCGCCGGCCACCTCTGTGTGTAATCGTTCTCTATATTCTCTCCGTACGTTAGGTAGGTAATTAGGTAGTAGTCAGGTAGTAGTAGGTAGAACATGGTAGTGCTTCACCGTAGTATCCAGGTAAGTGAGTCGTTTGGCAAACTGATGCCAAGGGGTCAAGTTACGCTAGTACAGATCAGGCACTCACTGCATTTGACGCGTAAAGTGCAGTGGCAGCGCGCGAAGGAACTCCTCCCCGTGGTTACACACTGCACGGCACTGCAGTCAATGTTCACCCACCCTACTAGTCCAAGAAGATATCTACAGATCGCCCAGTATCTCAACCTCAGTTTTACTAGACCAACCGACCATGAAGGGCCACTGATCTCCCTGTGATCCAAACATTCGGCAGTCATGGCAGCGCCTTCTGAAGAATGTGAGATTATGCTTGAAGAACTCAAGATTCATGCTTGCTGATGCGTGTCAGTCTCCGTCAACGCCAACGACGCCGTTCGCGTTGCAATTGTTCAACCCGCTCCAAACAGCCAGATCCAGACCCTCCATGAGTTCCACCCTCAATTCACATATCCCATAGTTGGAGAGGCAGAGCAGATATTTGGCTACAAGGGCCTGGATATCGAATTACAGTTCGCCGCCCATGACTTGCGCCCGCACATCAACTTCTCGTATCAGAAGAAGTTTCAGACAATCGGTACAACAAGCGCCCTCGATCTAAAGAAGACCTTCAGCAACTTCCTGCCCCCTGATACATTCCAAGATGATTTCGAGACTGAACTACACAAAGACGCAACAAACTGGTCACCACCCGGAGTATGCGTGAAGAAATATACCAGAGGAGGTGAAGACTACGAAGTTTGGGCTGGATCACTTCTGGATACCGATATGCGTACTTTGGTCGACAACATCCAGATTCTGATCGTATTCTTCATTGAAGGCGGTCAGTTCATCAATCTGGACGACGTGGACTGGACCCTGGATAGATGGAGAGTATATCTGGTGTATCACAAGTCCTCCAAGCCTCCCACTGCACATGCTTCTCCATACTCCTTCGTTGGGTATGCCACTACGTACCGTTTCTTCAAATTCCAGAAACCCACGGCGCAACGGGACCAGCTCGCGTCTTTTCCATTTCCTCTTTCAGAAGAGATCACCCCAACCAAGTTGACGTCTCGGTTGAGGATATCACAGTTCTTGATCACACCGCCTTATCAGCAACATGGCCATGGTTCCGCTCTTTACCAAGCAGTCTATGACGAAGTCCTCGCTGATCCGACCATCGTGGAGATGACGGTTGAGGATCCAAGCGAAGAATTCGATAAGTTGCGAGACTTGAATGATTTCGATAGGCTCGAGCCACAATTCAAGGAAGCCGGCATCAAGATCAACTCATCACCATTTGCCTCTGCGGACCGCGGCCGCTTGAAAGCAGTGCCAACAGCGACGCTACTTCCAATCGACGAACTCCAGGCCATAAGAGCCAAGAACAAGATTGCCAGCCGACAGTTTGCTCGCATGGTCGAAATCTACCTTCTCGCTCAGATCCCGCTGACCCACCGTGCTGCTGGCGGCGCGTCCTTGACCAGTCTCAAGATTCGAGGTCCAAAGGCTTCCAATCCAGATGATAGGAATTATTATTGGTGGCGTACACTGCTAAAACAGCGCATCATGAAGAGGAACAAGGATTTACTCCAGCAAGTTCCCTTGGAAGACCGCCTGCCACAGATTGAGGACACTGCCCGAGCACAGGAAGATGAATATGAAGGTCGGCTCCTCTCTTACGCGCTGAGGAGAGAAAAAGAGGCAGATCGACATGGAAATGGAAACTCGTCGCATGCTGTCCGCAAGAGAAAGATCATTGACTCTGACTCTGACGAGTCGGATGAAGCCAGTGGGGCATCGAAGAAGCCACGCGGTTGACGAGATTGCTATTCGACATGCTCAATTTGAGTTGAGGGAATATCGCCGAATGAGACAGCAGTCATGACGGTAGTTCGAGGCAAAGCTTGAGAAGTCCCAACCAAGAATCAGGGTGCCAGTCGTGCGAGGAGGGCAAATGGTGATGCGCCAGATAAACTCCTTAATACAGATTGTAGTAGCTCAATCATGACCACGGCTTCATCCCTGCTGGCTGGAAAATGCTGTTCGCCGAATCTCAAGCTGTCGTGCTGGTCAACTTTCTAACATCATGCGATGGTATCGTGTGAATTGCAGTCGCTCCTCTGCTTCTTCGGCAGCAATGACACGTTCGTCTTCACCAAGATAGTTTCCTTCTTCCCACATCTTCTCTAACTCCTGGTCGTCATCACCTGTCACTGCCCAGACACTCTCGCGCAGTCGCTTGTTCCGTTCTCTATCCTCCTCAATCCTCTGTTCAATGGCTCTCTTGTCCATCTTCGAGACGCCGTTCGATTTCGACTGTGATGGTGGTCTCGGCGTGACTTTCTGACTGTCCGCTGCGCCGTCCGCGGTCAGATCCATGGCATCTTTATCACCTCCCGGCTTGCCATCATCGTCGCCCAGTAGTCTCCCCAATCTCTCCTCTTTCTCTTTCAAGCCAGACTCGATCCCAGCCAGAACATCTGGTGTAAGGACTCCCTTCTCGCCCAGGCCCGTGACGACCCGTCTCACGACCTTGACGTTTGCGCCACTCTGTGCCACCGCTTCCACGATCCGGCGGATATCCCGCTTGACCATCTCCACGTATGCCTCGTGTCCGCCTTCTTTCATGTTGATGTCGGCGTGGTGTTCGAGAAAATACATGATGTTTGCTCGGTTGTTCATGTTGTTCCCCCGCTCCAGATTCTCCAGGATGCACGAGTGCAAGTCCTCGTCCATGTCCCGGTGCTTCAGCGCATAGTGGGCAGTCTTGATCGATGCCGTCGCAGACGCAGAGAGATGGGTCAGGAGAGTGGTAAAGCGCATGCGCACTTCAAAAGGGTCCGCCATGTTGCAATCCTGACTTGGAGGCGGCGTGTGGGTGATCTTTCAACAGTGGCCTTTCACATCGTCTGTTGCATGATACGGGAAGAGGGGTGTCTTTCGCCAGCACATTCGCATGGGAGTGATGATGCGTCTTCAAACCATCAAATCTGTTTCTTGCTGCGGTGCTACAAAGAGTCTGGGTGTTTAATCAATATTTGGTAAAGTCGGGGAGATGGAGAAGATGCCCAACGGCCGTTTCGGACAAGGCAGTGAATGATTGGTGTGACTTGCAGTCGGACTTTACCGTGGCCGTGACTGTGGCCGGAGCCTTGCCCAATCAATAATTTCTATCGCCCCGCGTGTTTCTCGAGATGGACGGCATCTGAACGACTGGATTAGGACAGCCCAAACCGTTTAACCTTGATACTTTGTGCTTGACCTGATTCTGCGTCAAGAGAAAAGCTTCAGAATGGCAGCAGCTCTCCGTGCGCTGAACGGCGCCAATGGCGCAGACACCAGCAGACCAGAAATGACCTTGACCATGCTCGGATGCGGTGAGTCTATAAACCAATCTGACATGCGATGTCCCAGGCTAAATGAAATTCAGGCACCTTGGGTACTGCGATCCTGTCCGGTGTTCTAGCCTCCTTAACCGAAGCCTCAACCAACCCGTCCCCTGATTCCGCGACGGCAACACCTACCACCGAAGGCCCGCCTGCGCGCACGCCTAACAAGTTCATCGCCTGTGTCCGCCGACCTCAGTCAGCGAAGCGTATCAAACTCGCCGTCCAGGACTACCGGCCCGATGTCACAGTTCTGCAGAACGAGAATGTCAAAGGTGTCATCGCCGCTGATGTGGTCATCCTGGGTTGCAAGCCATACATGGTTGCGGACATTCTACAAGAGGAGGGCATGAAAGAGGCCCTTGCAGGCAAACTCCTGATCTCTATATGCGCCGGCGTCCCCGTGGAGCAGATTGGCCGAGCCATGTATGGACCAGAATATCCAAAGGATCTCCCCTCCAACGCATGCCGGATCGTGCGCGTTATGCCTAACACCGCAGCCATTGTGCGGGAGTCGATGACCGTTATTGCGACGACGACACCGCCTCTGCCGTCAGAGCTCTCTTCTGTCGTGGAATGGATCTTTACCAGGATCGGTCGGGTAGTCCACCTCCAGCCTTCGATGATGGATGTATGTACAGCACTGTGCGGTTCGGGGCCGGCTTTTTTGGCTCTGATGCTCGAGTCTCTCGCGGACGGTGCTGTCGCCATGGGTCTGCCGCGGGCGGAGGCACAGTTGATGGCGGCGCAGACAATGCGTGGGACGGCCGGTATGGTGCTTGCCGGCGAGCACCCCGCCCTTGTACGAGAAAAGGTCAGCACCCCGGGTGGATGCACCATTGGTGGTCTGTTGGTTTTGGAAGAGGGTGCGGTCAGAGGTACTGTTGCGCGGAGTATCAGAGAGGCGACAGTCGTTGCGTCCGAGTTGGGCAAGGGAGTCAGTGGTGTGAACGGTACCCGATTCCCGAAACATTAGGCCGGAAGGGACTGAGTATGGGAGAGCTTCTTGCCAGATGGTGGTCTCATCCTAGAGCGTCTTGCCACATGTGCATATGACATCTCTTTTTACGAGGGATTGACAGAACATGGGCCATCTTCGCTTGCTTGTGGGCATTGGGTGTGGGTTGAAGGGACTTGTCAAGTTTGGCGCACATAGACTTTGGGGAAGACGAGATGAACTGCACACTTTTTTCTTCCATCCGGAGCATACGAAGAGTAGAAGCTGCAGAGTGTGTAGACTGCGGTGTGGACCGTGGTAACCCAAAGTCGATCTGTGAACATGCGCGTAAGACTATGTAGGTGTATTTCGACAGTTTTGAAGTAATTCCCAGTCCGTCTTCCTTCGCTGTTTATAGCGTATAGTTACACAAGTCTCTTTCCCTTCCCAGAACCTCCTGTCACAAAGCAAGGACACTGGTGCAATACCCATCCTGTACCTCCAATGCAAGGGAAGCGGATATGCTTGCCTCGATGGTGATTACAAGTTCGAGGGGTCCGAGATGCCCATCAACTCGATTTGATGTGACAGAAGCCAGTGAACATTGGGCCTGTGGGCGAGGCAGAGCTTTTCAACCGTGTTCGCCTTACCATCATGGCATCACTCAAGACGGTCCGCAGGTTTACTCCATCTTGACCACAGCGCCCAAAGCCTTCAACGTCTCAACGATCTTCTCGGCATCCTCTTTCGGCACACTTTCCTTGAGGACCTTGGGTGCACTCTCCACAAACTTCTTGCTGTCCACCAAACTCAGGCCGAGCATGCTCTTGACTTCTTTGATGACCTTCGGCTTCGCGGCAGGGTCGAACGACTCCAATTTCAAGGTGAACATGGTCTTCTCTGCCGGCGCAGGGGCAGCTTCCTCCTCTTCAACCGGGGCAGCAGCAGCCCCAGAACCTGCTCCCGGAGCAGCTGCGGGAGCGGCGAAGGCCATATCGGGGATGTTGAGACGTGACTATGTCAAGAATTAGCTCCAATGCTTGCAAAGATATTGATTGATATCTTCCACGCCCGAGACATGTTGAAACAGTGCTAGACAATGGCGATATATGGCGGACGCACCTTCAAGCTTGCGACTAAGTCGGCCGTCTCCAGAAGTGTCAACTGCGATATTTGATCCACAATACCGGCAATCTTAGGATTCGTGGTTGCGTCCGCAGCATCGGTTGACTGCCATCTTCTCGACTGTGATGAGACTGTCACACCGTTCCTCCGTCTGTGTTGGGTTGCAGAGCTTGTGGATGATAGTCGCAAGCATTGTGAAGAGAGATTTCGTTTCTGTAACTGACCGACAAGGCGGCAGCAACGGTACGTTGCTGTTGGTATCTGGACAGACATTGTATGTGCGGATTGACCAAGGAGGAGAAAGTAGCAGGACCTGAACTTTATCCCAGACTTGCGATGGAGATGGCTGTACAGATCGTCTCAAACTCGACTTCGCTGCACTGCACAGCATTGGATGCAGAAAGTCGAGTCGCGCCAAGGTCAAGGAAAATCCGCAGGCGGCTCATTCCCTATCGGGATAATTGTCATGCCGCCCTATACTCAGCCTCGTCTTGCTACGGCGAGACATGACTGATCTTGTGCACAATACAGGCCGTTTGGCCGTTCTCGCCATGCAACAGGCCGTCACAAGAAGAATATCTATATCAATGTTGGAATGCTGGGTGGAAGCGCAATGCTGAACTGTTGCATCAGCTCACATGCGATATATCTTCACGTGTTGCAATCTCGATATGCAACCATTGCCAATCCAACGACGCTCGATGCAGGTAAGCGAATTCGCTCGGAGCCTTGCCTGATCAGCTTGATTGTGAAGCGTTCACGCATATATGCGCCAAAAGACCTATTTGGGGTCACAGGCAAAGCTCAACTGCAATTACATTGTCTCCCTTTCAGCTTGATGAGCTATACATCCAGCTCCCTTCGCCTGATATCGTTGCAAATCCTAGCATAGCAGCCCAGCAGAGCCCCTTTTTCACAAAACTTTCACCAGTTCAGACAGCTGTTCTTGGAAGCCTTCATAGCCAACATTAGCCTAAATCCGGAGAGATGCCCCGAGCAAGGCTACCTGGTCAATCCAGGACCATGCACATATTCAGGCCCTCTCAACCAGGTTCTACTCCGAACCGCCCCCAAGCATACCATTGAACTGACACGCCTGGCCCTTTCCCATCTTCTCCGGTAGGACTTTGCTGAGACAGATATGCAATAATGTCACCTTGATAACTTATGCTTGAGTGCGACGACTAACTCACTGACAACCACTTTTCCTAATACCAATCATCATCATCATCGTCGAAGGGAATCTGCATCGATACTGACACGAGATCTGATGGGGAGGACGACCGGAGCACGCAGTTATACGACTTTCTGGACGAGCCAGATGGGCAAATCGACTTGGGATAGTTAATAAGTTGGTATCCGACCTCCTGAAGAGTTGAACCAGTTCCTGACCCCTAGGCAGCCACCAGATTGGGCAACGGTTTCAAAGCGCATGTCATGGCAAGCTTGCTCTGGCACAATACTTGCACCGGCGTCTAGGACCTCTCGAGCATGTCGTTTGGTCATCTCTCATAACGAGAGTATCAAGGGGAGTGGCTGTTGTATAGATCATTGGTCGATTTGACTGATGCTGAAGTAGGCTGCTTCACGAGATATCATAGCAGGCAACCTTGCATATGTTATGGGCGGCCGCGGGGCTGGCAAGAAGACCCCTTCTTGACTCCGTCCCCGGACGCATTGGATGATGTCGAATGTAGGTGCTAGATTCTATACAGTTCTCAATATCACCGGATTTGTTTTGTGGTTACCTACATGTTGCAGACAGCGCGCATGTCGGATATTGACCAGATATTGTCTGGCGTAGCCTGATATCGTGTGTTGTTATCTCCTTCCACGAACCGCTTGAGGCTCGCGAAAGCAAAGAGAAATGGGTTTGAGGCGAACAGACCAGAATGGGTATCATAATTGTCTTCCTTTCTTGCGTGCAGGCTGGCAAGCCTCCCCGGGGACGCGTCCATGAGACATGGCTGTATCGAAATTCTCAACACTCTTCTCTCTCAGCCAAGTGCCTGGCGAGCGTGCAGGGTCGACCGGTGAGGATCCTACTAGAGATATACTTTAAATATCTCTCATGTCGTGCTCTTTGCACTTGAATATGCATTATTTGGCTCACCTGAGTCCACACAGCGGAGACGAGGAATAATGCTGTGGGTATTGCAAATCAACGGTATTCCATCGAGATGGAAAACTGTGCCTCCAGTTTCTTTTTTCGGCTAAGTAGGTATTAGGGGTTAAGGTGGTTGGAGCTACCGTTTCGGTACGATTGAATTGTGTAAGAATTCCCCTATTCAATAAATGACCCACATTTTACTTTAGCCTGTTATCAATCCTCATACTTCCTCATGGTATCAAAAAGTCCAAGTCAGACAGTCTCGACTATTCACAGTATCCATAGCTAGCTAATATCTACAACCTATACGTTTCTTTGGTGACACCCCTGAGACTAAGGTAGTCCACACAGTGCCATTCCACGTCTCCCCATCATCGCCATTACAGGTCGATTTCCGTATCGTCCACGATCTGTACCTTGATGCTCCCCTTTGACCTATCCGCACAAAGGGCCATGGCCTCTGTTGCTTGCTCCAATGGGAAAGTATGCGTCACCAAGCTGTCCAGGTTCAAAACCTGGCCATTTGCCAAAGCATTGATGCCTGCGGGCCAAGTGTCCGAGTATCGATTGATGAATTTCAGCTGGATCTCGGCCAGACTTAGGTGCATGAAAGGTAGATTGTTCATAATGCTGCGCCCAACACCCACGACCATGACCACTCCGGCTCGGCGACAAGCATATGCGGCGGTGATGACGCTGGGTTCGATACCGGTACATTCAAACACCGTTGTGGGTGCGTTGTACTCGTTGGCGTCCGGGATGCCCGTCTCGACGTTGCGGCTGCCGGCACATCCGAACAAGAGGCGGATTTCTTCCGCACACTGTAGAGGCGTTTTGGTCGGCAGGACTTGGTAAGTCTGTACTCCTAGCACAAATGTTCTGGCAAAATCGAGCCGAGATTCCTCCACGTCTGTTATGACCAGGGGCCATGCGCCAGATGCCCGTGCGGCAGCCAGCGCAATCAGACCTATGGGTCCAGCACCACATATCAAGGCTGGTTTCCCTATTGATACCGATCCCTCACATTGCCTTATTGCATGTAGAACGACGGACAGGGGTTCGAGGAGCGAGCCTTGTGCAAAGGTCATGGTGTCGGGAATCTTGTGACAATATTGCGCTTCGTGAGTCATGAACCGCCGAATCGACCCTTCGTTGCCGACGCCGAGGAACGACACCGACTCGCATAAATTGTATTTCCCGGCCGTGCAGAGAAAGCAGGTGTGACATGGAACTTGAGGCTCGATTGCCACCCTGTCTCCAGGTTTGAGGTGCTTGACGGCCGAGCCTGTTTCGAGTACGACACCGGCGGACTCATGGCCGAGGCTGTGGGCATGGTCGACTATCAACGGTCCGATCGCTCCTCGGTGCCATAAGTGAAGGTCGGAACCGCAAATTCCGGTCGCGCGCACATGGATCAGTACTTGACTCGCAGATGGTTTCGGTATCGAGGTCTCTCTCAGTTCGATCGTGTGTTGGGGGGTCACGTATAGCGATGGGTTTTTGTACTTGTCGAGCTTTGACGAAGAGGATGCATCCTGCGAACCCGCTCGCTGCGTGTCATGGCTTCCACCATTGATGACGACGGGCGTCGCCTTGACTTTGGGTTGTGTTGTCAGGGTGTCACCGTTCGGTGTGTCTGTCTGGCTGTCGGTGGCCGAGGGAGCCATTGTAGACGCGATATGCCGAGTTCAATGGAGTTATGACTGTCTGCTGAACCCACGAACAAATTGTGTCTAGGCAAGCAAGGCAGAAATTGCCAAAGAGAAAGGGAATCTGGCGAAGAAGTAAAGAACCTACGAAAAGAAGCCCAAGAGACCAGCCCAAGGGCGCCCGCCAGCTTCCGTCAAGGCCCATGGCTGGCCCGGGTCGACAACAACACCCGGTAATAGAGAACCGTTGACTTGGGAGTGGAGGCTTCGGCCAATACTCCAAGCAAATGGAGGGTTGCACGGGCAGAGCATCTTGGATTCTGTAGCATGGGCAGTATGTAGCGACTGAACCGACTTGGGTTGGTGGGTAGACGACCAGTAGTACTTCCTAGTAGTTGGTACCGGAGGAGATGGCCGGGATGGGTGAAGCGCAGGCGGGCGCTTGAAGTTTCCTGATTAATGACATGCTAAGCACCAGCTACTAGTAGTAGTACTACCACGGCTACTATTACCCTGCCGCCCTGCCAGTGTACATCGTGAGCCAGATTGCTGCTATAGCAGAAACCAGGGGTACCAGGAATACCTCCTTAAGCTCCACGTTTCTACCCCGCAGTCGAGATCGCCGATGGATTTGGAGCCCCAAGTTGGTGACCGCGTCCTACGAGGCACGACCTTCTCAATTCGCGCATCTCCCATCTCGCCAATTCAGCCACCTACACCTGTATCACCGAAAGGAGGCTACTGATGCAAGACCATCCGGAAGGGATCTCCAGTCGCCGGCGTGTGCGAACGGGCTGCTTGACGTGTCGAGGAAGAAGACGGAAATGTGTGCACCACCCACCTGATCCTGCAGATGCTGCAGCTGTATCTGCCCTGAATTTTAATGGCTGACTGTTGCTTTCAGGTGACGAGGAGAAGCCTGTCTGCCTGAACTGCAAAAACAAGAACCTCCAATGCCGCTACGGACTTAACATCACCTTTGTCGAGTCCAAGTTCAACGCCGCGAACAAGGCTGCAAAGTCTGTCCCGTCGGTCGAGTATCCTACCGTTCGCTTTGTCGACAAACTCTATGATGCAAACTCAACACTGTCAGAGGAGGACGCTGGAGGTGCAGCCTTGCCGGACCACTTGGGTACAAGTCCCAGGCCATCGAGCACTCAAGGCGAAGATGTTCAGAGGCCTCATTCACCCTACGCAACCCAGGATAGAGTCGTGTTGTCGACCACACCCATCAGTTTAGCCAACAACCTACCACCCGAATCTCTGCAGCGGATGCCACTGTCGCCCACATTTCACACTCCTCAGCTCCTATTTGCCCCATCGCCAGCAGTTTTTGGATCCGAGTCGACGCCAATCCCATCCACCACTCATTTCGCACCCGACCATGAGCTCACCTCGAGATTCAAAGAGCCCATGGCTGGCGTTGAGTCGGCACTTCTGTCAGATAATACTTCGGTCACGCAAGGCCAGGAACTCTATGAAATAGATCTCCTGACATACTACCGATATCGGATTGCCCCTCAGCTTGATCTAGGAGTCGGTGATTCGTACTATGGTGTCCGAACTCTTCATAGAGCAGAACATGCCGTTGCTGTCTACCAAGGGATTCTCGCACTTTCGGCCGCTCTAAGGGCGCGGGGCAACAATCTCTTGCAACAAGAAGGTGACGCACGAAAGGATATGGAGTACTCTGTGCGTGCGGGAAACAGCATCGTCGTGGCAGAAGACGAGGACAGGGTCACCACCATCCTTCTCCTTACTCTAAGGGACGTTATTATGAACCCTCCACGATTCTGGGGTGACAGGGTTGGAACTCTACAAGCGAACGCTCTACTCCGGTACGGTGAAATGCTTGATGAGCATTGGCAGATGTTGGCGCGCCTCACCCTGGCAGCAACGCTTGCGGCAGGCTACAACTCCAGCCTGGTTGATTTGTCCTTTGTGCTTCAAGGGGTGCCCCCGATCTTCTCAGCGCGAGCCCTCACGCACAAGGAACAACTCCGGCAGAGCTTCGCCCACCTTGCTCGTGCTCTGATGTTTGCAAATCGCGACTCCCCGGAATCTGGTCGGTCACTGACGATGCCGCTGACTGCTACGTGGCAGTCATGCTGGAGTGACAATCAGCTGTGGTTCTCGGCAAGGAATGAGGAGATGCAACAGATATTCGAGGTTCCAGACTCTGATGGCATCGACACTCCCTTTCCTATTATCATGTTCAGCAACCTTTGCGCTCTAGTGGCGAATTTTGTCCATCACTTGGCGGCGCTCGTCTTGATCAATCACAAGCCTCGGATGATCAAGGCTATTGCTGAGGTCGGTTCGTCCCCGTCGTCGGTGTGGCATGCTCAGAGAGTCATTGGCATGATCGCCGCCTTGAACGAGGCGGATGACATTTTCGATCCTCTGATTGTTGCCGGGGTCATGTATGCCGCCAGGAGATTGAGCCATCCTTCCCAGCTGGCCGTGGTTGCGGATGTCTTGGGACAAGCGTCACGCTCATCTGGTTTTCAGTTACAGGAAGAGATTCAGAAGCTGGACATTACGTATAGCACAGCAGTCTGCTAAATGTCAACATGAATGATGATGATAATGCACGACATGACTCTGAGCTCTCAAGGCTGAATCATGTAGCTGGCGATGGATCTTGATCTATCTATACCCGCGCCTATACATAAATCGGCAGCCTATTTTCCATTATTTTTAATCCATTGCTTTTGTTCCAACCATGCGTGACACTGGGCTTGGGCAACCGACTGGACAGGCTTTCGGCCGCCCCCTAGGTTCGTTTTTAGATGTTGCAAAACGATTCTTTGTGCTTCATCATGGACGGCCTCCCAACATCAAAAAATGGACGATCAGATGCATGCCCTGTTTCTCTACCACGAGATCCCTTGGAGATCACCTGAGGCTCCGGGCCAGACTAGGCCTCTCCAAGCTTCGAATTTAAGGATGGTGGCTGGTGGTGCGGGTTGTTCACTTTGAAAAGTACTTTGGGAAGCACGCTTCGAAAGGGAGATCCAGGTAATCAGTCCGGGGGTCCTTAGGTCACTCATGGGAAAACTTCGGGGCTAAGGAGGCCTTAGGCGTCTCCTTGGCGTGGAATAGACGCTATTACCCCGCATCTTGGGGTTGTTCCTGGTTAAGAAGCTTACCTAAAGGGCTTATGCACCTAGTGCATATAAGGTACCTAAGCCTAAGGAGCCCCTTAACCTCGGCCTCCTTAGCCCCTGAGCCGCCGTAAGCCCCTGTAAGCATTAAGCCCCTCGAGCTTAGCCTTCCTAACGCCCTTTGATGCCGGAGCAATAAACCTGGCGGAGAACTGCAAGTCATGGACACACCCACGCTTGACTCCGAGTCTGCATTATTTCTCTCTTCTTTCAATCCCGACGATTCCAATCGCCCATGCCTCGAGCACTTAGATCAGGTCGCCGCTGAGGTCTCTGAAGATGTTTCTCGACCTGGGTCACATCTGGACATCATCAAAAGTCCCCGGGAAACACCCCACACCCAACTAGTACTCCGAGGTCGACTTCCACCGGGCCACAATGGACGCTGACCCTCCTGTTGCACAATTTGTATCGCCAGGCGCCGTGTCAAACGAGAGTACCTTTGACGAATACGCGGCGAACCCTCGGTTTCAACAACTACAGACTGAGTTGCGTTCGTGGCTGTTCGTCGGAGCGAATAGCCGCGCCCATACTCGGGAGAATAGCCCGATTGCTCAGACACCCGAATCTGATCAAGGCATCCCGGGAAGGCAAAGGCAGCCTGGACATCAGCATCTCTGGGATCACGTCAGAGACAGTGCTGATCAGATCACCGTAGCAAGAAAGATCAAGTACCTCCACGTGTGGACCACTGAATGCGCCCCATGGCTGGACATGTTTGATCAAGAGCGACACTTCGGACTACAGGTACCCATTCTCGCGCAAGACTCGGCCGCCGTTTTCCACGCCTTGCTGGCGGTCGCGGCCCGCACGGCCGAGCGTCGAGGTGGCGTCGAAGGCTCACGCGACAGCCTCGAGTTGTATTCGCAGGCTATCTCAGCATTGACCTCGTCCCTCGATACCAATGAACCCAATGTCATGGTGACCGCCTGCCTGCTTTGCGTGTTGGAGATGATGAGCGTCAGTCCGCGCGACTGGAGACGACACGTTGAAGGGTGCGCCGCACTGTTTGCCTCGTCCGGGGTCAATGGATTCTCGCGAGGTCTGTTGCAGGCCGTCTTCTGGTGTTATGCTCGGATGGATCTCTGCGGAGCCATAATCGCCGACGGCGCGGAAGCCACAGTCCTCCCCATCGACAACTGGGTTTTGCTGGACGGTCATCATCACCATGATGATGATCGGATTCATGGTTCTGAGGGACCCCCAAGACAAGCAATTACCGAGCAGTTTCTCCAGAGAGGCCTCCAATCACTCGACATGTACGCCAACTATGCAGTCTACTTATGCGCCAAGGTTTGCGATCTCCTTACTCGTCGGACCAGGTGCATTGAACTCGGAGAAGATAATGGCTGCGATTACGAGACCTTCGAGTCTGAATGGAGCCAACTGTGGCAAGAGTTACAGATTTGGGCCTCTGAGCGGCCAAAGGAGATGACTCCCGTCAAGTCTACCAAGACCGGAACCAAAGGCTCACCATTCCCAAGGATCTTCTTCGCCCATTGGGCGGCAATATCTAGCAATCAGATATATCACACCGCGTGCATCCTGATGCTCGAGATGAAGATCGGCAAATTATTCGACAATCCAGAGCCCGTCCATTCCGAACTGTGGCATGCACGAAGGATCGTGGGAATATCTTTGACCAATCCACATCCAGGCTGCATCAACAATGCTATCCAACCTCTATATGTGGCTGGCAAGCTCTTTACACATCGAGAGGAACAGGCCATCATCGCAAATTTGATTGACTCCATCGAAGGCCGTACTGGCTGGGGCTCTCGTTGGCGCATCAGAGATCTCGAGGCAGTTTGGGGCTACCGTCGCGGTACATTTACTTGAATCACGAAATTGGCGGAGCCATAGAGACTTTGTATATTCTCTGACCCACGCTTGAGACGCTACCCCAAGATATTGTCGCTGCCTATCTTTTTGATAAGGAAAAGCTCACTATGCTGCGAGTTCGATATACCTAGGCGGAATCTTCCGACTGCACCAATGCCTCCGGCATTCGCACTCGCTGACATCAAAGGGTGGATTCATTGTCTACTTCTCTACCATGGATACCTTGCCTCTGCGATATAAGGCTCACACCTTCCCATGTCCGGTCTGTTCAGCCCTCAGGCTCAATTAGCACATGACTGATGGGGAAGGAAGCTCTGCAAGACTGAATGGTGAACAGACATGGAGAGCGTCATTGAATGCGTCTCTGTCTCCGACCAGATCTATCCTGATGCTAAGTACCGGCGTCCCAGTTTGTCGGACAAAGAGAAGAAGTCGGTACAGATATTGGCTTGAAGGTGACGAGACCTAGTTCACAAAGTGACGTGGCAGACGAAGCTACTGCTGGTACGTAGCTCACTCGAGCGGTTTGAGATTAACATGGAAAGGATCTTTTGATGAAGCGGTTGGTCAGACAATTCGACCCGTATTTGTATTTGTACGACCTGGCCTGGTATGTACTACTTTAGTATCAAGGCATGGTATCAAGTGCTCTGAGGCAGCCTTGCTCAGGCTTGTTCAGTCTCGTTCAGCCTTGTCGCTAATATACGGTGGAGTACTAATCTCTATTCTTCTTCCAGGCGAGACTGACGCCGCTCTGTTCAGGTATAATTCTCTCCCCACACGTGATTTGTCTTTCACGTGACTGGCTCTTGATGACTAAATAGCAGTAGCATGCAGTGCTTAACCCAACGTCGTTGATTTTACAGAGTAGGCGGTCTATTCTTCGATCCAAATACTACTAGCAAAACCGATCCCAGCTCACAGGTACAATCTTTGCAGAATCGACAGCTACTACAGAGGGATCCACAGACCACAAGTATTGGGGAGTCAATTTACTTAGACTTCTCCTGAGACTGCATCTCACCAAGCCTCGCGACCACGCTTCCTTCTTGCCACCACACCCTGTTTCAACATTTTTGGCCTATGGTTGTATCAGGACATCCCTGACTGATATGGACGAAGTCGCCGTGTTTCGGGCGTCAAAGCGTCGAAAAGTCAACCGGGCCCAACAGGAAAGATCGCCGGAACCTGCAGCACTGGGCGCGTCGACGCCGCCTTTAAGAGTGGAGGACAAGCAGGATGACACCGACAAACCTCAAAACGAGGACGACGACCGGTCGGAAGTCGATCTCTCTCACCTAATCCGGGCTCGCAAGCAGCTTCGCCGACCTGTGGCGGGCGTTTCATTCTCAAACGCAAGAACAACACACAACAGACCTGACGATGATGGTTTCGATTCGGCGATTGTCAAAGCCGACCAAAGCGTGGACAAGCCTCTCGACATCACCAATCGGTTTGTGAGTAGTACTGGACAAGTGATCGATGTCGATCAACATATGTGGGTACCCCAGATCTCAGGTTCAGGTTCTCGAAGACACACATTTGCTAACAGCGTAAGGGTGGCATTCATAGACGCCGAGTTGGCTAGAAGACGACAACGCACTGTTTCCCCTTCCAGCCATACCCAGCAGCCAACGCAGAAGGGTGACGCTGTTCCCAATCCGTCGTCATCCCATTCCACCGCCGACAAACCAACGACGTCCTCGGCAATACCCCCTCCATCCCTCCCAGCTTCAGTGCGTCAACTGTCCGAAGTCGACCTGGGTTCTCTGGCTCACGACATCAATCTCGCGCGTACCCAAGCCGCTCTGCAGCGCGCCAAAGCCGGCCAGCCGCCCGTCGCGGAGGAAGCACCGGCGCCGAAACCTCGCAAACCGCGCATCGGTCGCGACGGAAAGCCGATGAGGCCTCGGCCCCGGAAACGGCGCAACAGCGAGGACCTGGCGCGCGACGCGCTCGTGGAGCAGGTGCTGCATGAGCACAAATTCGACATCTACGACGTAAATGATCCACAGTTGTCTCGACCATCGGCTGGGGCAGATGCGGAAGCCGGTGATGCGGATGAACGGCTGGCCGAACAGTTCAGGCAGGAGTTTATGGATGCTATGGCTGAGAGACACCATAGGCACAAGGCGCCCAGTCAGTCCAAGACCTCTGGCGCGGCGGCCACGGAGCCCAAGGGGCCGAAATTGGGAGGAGGGAGGAGCGCCAGGCAGAAGATGGCTCTGCTACAGCAGCAGCAACAACAACAGCAACAGGGTCAGCCGTCTGGGAAGAAATAGCACTGGACAAAAAGACAGTGCAAGGAGGGGATTGATGGATCACGAACATTGTTTTTCACTATGCTTCTCCTTTATTGTTCGTTTTCAGTAGTCTCCAGATGAAAGGAGAGGCCCGTGGTCAATGGTGGAAATGTCTGCACAAGCCGTGCTAATGTGTTCTGGAAATACAACCTCTTCATGTGTAGGTACCAAGCGCGCTCTCCCTAAGAGGTCCAAACAGCTAATGCAGAACAGTATGTTGTAGCTCTCCGTCATCAGTCACTGGTGTATCGAGCACCGCTCGGTGCGTTGAGGCTACAGCAGTTGAATGGCCGGAGTATCTTGACCTGATGCCAACAAGGAACATAATAAAGGTGTTGCTCGACACTCGAGGAGGCGAAGACAGGAGGTGGAAAAGAGATAGAGCTGGCTGGAAGAGACACTTAATTCTGCTTGAGGATGGGGGCAAGGGAGATCTCGGCCAAGGAGATCAAATGAGCGCTGGATCATGATCTGGGGTGTAAGCATGGTCGGATCTACGCAGATCAACCCGAGGTCAGCGACTGATCGTGGCCGCCAGATCAAGTCGCGGGTTCGAGAGGCAGTGATGGCAACGTCTGATCGACCCCAGCGCATGGTAGAAGCGTGGAGTCCTCCAGCAGCACTTAGGGGCGACTTCATTCCAAGGTGAGATGCCGAATAAGGCTGCGAACTACAAGGCTGTACCAGCTTCGGCGAGAGGTGGTGGGTTCGGTCAGCATATAAGATGCCTCCACAGAGGGACTTTTGTTATGAGGCATCTCAGGATGGGCATCAAGCCTGTTTACGCCCAGTTGAACCATCAGACGCATGGACCGCGCAAGGCTGCGTGATCTTGGAAGTGCGTGGTTGCTTGGTGGTGCCGGTGCGAACCCGACTTCTAGTGGCGAGCCATAGTCTTTGCGCAGTCTCAACGCTTCAACGCAGCCTTATCCTTACTCTCACCTCACTTCTCACCTCACTTCTCTCTTCTCTTCGAGCACAACACATGCCTGCGTTCTGATCAAATGCCAGTCTTGGCGGAGGCTGGCCCAGGTACTTATACCTCCCTCCCCCTCCCTCTCTCCCTCCTTCCTTCTTCTCTCTTTCATACACCACACCTTTTGAGGTTGAAGCATCGAGCTTATCTTGAGTGCGCCCTCAAGGGTCCAGCAAGACAGGGTTCATCTGCAGAGTATGTCTTGCTGCGAGGAGCAATTCAGCCCTGACTTCGACCACCGCCAGAAAAAGGCCGAATCAAAAAGGAAAGATGCCGAAAATGGCCAAAAAAGAAAAAAGAAAAGATGCCCAAAAAGGAAGGCCACTGTCAAGAAAGAAAAAAGCCAGAAAGAAAACAAAATCGGCCCCAGAAGTTCAGAGAGCTTGAATGCATCCGAGGATGAGGACGAGATTGGGAGTCAGACTTCAGGGGATCCAGATGGGCCAGGTGCAGGCATTTTGGCATGTGGATGATGGAGGACATTGGTGAACTTCAACTTGGACTTGGGCTTGGGAGCTGGAAGTGCGGGTTGGTGGGAGGCGCAGGCAGAGACGAAGACGGAGACGGAGACGGAGACGGACGACAACATTTGAGGACCACAGAGGATGCAGGATCAGGCAAGCAGCGAAGGGACCATTTCGACCTCACAAGCTCACACATCCCCCCAGTTCACATGACACACAAAAAGGCCCAAACCAGACCCCCAAAAAAGAAAAAGTCAAGAGCCCAGAAAGGAAGGCCAACATGAAGAAGCGAAAAAGGCCAACAAGACAAGAAAAAAGAAGAACACACAAGGCCACGATGTCATTTTAGCTTAGCACATGGGGGAGAGGCGGAACTGTGGCCCAGGATTAGTTTAGTGGAGGAGCTCGATGGCCTCCGGACTTGAGAGAGGGGAAGAGCAGGAGTGTCACTGTCGGGGTGATTTGTTTGTTTGTCGAGTGGGTGTGGGCGTGGGTGGAAGCAGTCTTGGGAGGTTGAGCGTGGTGGCTCCGCGGAGGATTGGGTCTTGTTTTGGTGTTTGTGGTGTGTGTCTCGAGAGAGAGTCGGTGGTGGTGATCAGTCGATTGGGTCACGGTGGTGGAAGGTGGAAGGTGGAAGCATCCTCTGTGGTCCGTGGATTTGGTGGTTTGGGTTTGGGTTTGGGTTTGGGATGGGTTGGAATGGGATGGGATGGACCAGCAGCAGGGTGGTATTGGACGGGCAGCATGGATGGAGGACTTGGTCTTGTCGAGGGACATCACTGTCAGGACAGGAGTTGGAGGGCAAAGAGATCTGACTATTCGGAGTCGAGGTCTGGGGAAGTTGAAACCGTCCATCCGACAAAACGGTGGACATGGGTTGTCAATTGGGATCTGGCTATCAGGAGTCGAGGTCTCGGGGAGTTGAGGTCGTCCACCGACAAAACGGTGGACTTGGGTCTGTGGTTTGTCGAGGAGGAAGGAGGAGAGGAGGAAAAGGAATGCTGCTGGTCCGGGGACTTGGGGGATTTGGAGGATTGTATCTTAGATTCTTATTTTAGACACATCTGTGGTTGGGTGGTTGGGAGCGGATGTGGATATTCATTGAACATATTTCAATGAATATCATCTTAGCATTAGCAATAGCATTAGATTCAAGATTCAGCTTCAACTTCCGCTTCAAAAGAAAAGAAGAGAACAGAAAAGCGAAATCTATTTTCCACAACATGTTTTCCTTCCCATTTTCTCGCCCTATGCCCTGTACTAGTGGTTTACGTGCTACATGCATGGTGGTCTTAGTCAAGATGTACGCCATCTGTGTTGGGCTAGAAAGAGGAAGAGGAAGAGGAAGAGGAAGTCGGTGGTCGATCACTGCAGGGAGGAGCAACTTCCAAGGCAAGGCAAGGAAAGGACCCCGACTAGTACTAGTCACTCAATCATCACGACGGCAGGGTAATGATTCATGGAGAGACCAGTCGCTGCAGGACATGGAAGCAGGGCATGAGCAGAATTGACGCAACGGAAACACAGACTGGCGACGGCAGAGAGAAGGAAAAGGAAAAGGAACAGGAACAGGAACAGGAACAGGAACAGGAACAGGAACAGGAAAAGCCAACCAGGAAGACCAAGTTGTGATACTCTCGAACTCTTCTTGTTTCAATTCTCTTCAATGTCTTGATTACAAGTGACAAAACAAATTCTGCGTTGATTTTTGCTCTGGATTCCACTTGCTCCCAATACTTCAATATATACGTAGTGTAGTGGTCTGTCTGCCAGTGGCTGAACATACACAAGGGTGTGACACATTCTTCCCGACTTCAATGTCTGTCCAGACAAGAAGGGCCATTCGCTCGACAGAAGCAAAAGCTTTGCATGCTCATGCTCTCCCAACGCCCTCGCTAAATTTCTTCCCCCTGTTCACAAGGACGAAGACACTAGGTATCAATAGAGCAAGCATGGATATGGAGAACAACAAACAACCTCCTCCGGATCAATAGCGATGTTCAGGCGATATGGGTATTCGAGACAGATGTTGCGTACCGCCATAAGGAAAAATTGGTGGGTTGGAAGATGATCCAAGCTTGGAGGCCTCGCGATATGGTGGGATTCTGGGCGGGTTGAAACTTGAAAAGAAGTCTAGTCGACGCCAGCGTAGAGGTCAACCACGATATTGATGGCACTGTGGAAGAAGTCAGTAATCCGAGCTACACGGTTTCCCAAAGAGAGAGGAACTGTGACTTACGCAACCAAGATTTCCGCTGCGATCAGGACGATGACTAGAACTGTTAGCAGAAGCTTGTGACGGGGGGCGAAAAGAAATAAGAGTCCGTACCAATCCATTCCAATACTTCGCCGTGTCGTCTACTGCCTTGCTCTCTCAAGACGGCCAACAAATCTACACCAAGTCAGTGGGTTTGTTGGCAGCAAGACCCGAGGGAGTGAACACCACTTACCAGCAATGACATCGAGTCGTTCTGTGAGAAGGCCAACGCGCTGTTCGATTTCAAGATAACTTCTGACTGCGGCGTAGACGGGTTCGAGATGCGGTTCCGCCCACATCAACTCCGGACTGTCGAGCACACTCCCCTGTAAATGAATGTTGATCCGTAAAATGAACAACTCTCCTATCTGCATGTTCAGTTGGCGCGCCGTGAGGTTGACGCTCCCCGTCTGGGCGATCAGGGCAGGAAGCGGACTCGTCGTCTCGATCGTCTCGCTGACCAAATCCTCAAAGAGACTGGTCTTGACACTCTGAGACAGAGCGTGGCTGATGGCCAGTTTGATCATGTAGTTGCGGGGATCTCTCAAGCTGATGAAGTCGTTGTAGATACGAGCCTGGTACTCCTTCGTATAGTAGAAGTTGAAGTTTTCCGTCTGCACGCTCTCCTGAGGCAAGGGGGCGTCGCTAAACTTGGCCATGTCGTTCAAGAACCGTTGTTCTTGTTGGACGGTCATTCCCCAGATGACCACGGTGCCGTAGTCGAAGATGAAAATCTCCGGAGTGTCGACTTTCGTGGACAGTTCCGAGTTCGATCGCTGGTGCATTTCGTCACTCTCGGGATGTCGCAGATCCGTGGAAGAGTGAGACGCTGTGATGGCCAGCTCGGCCGGTTCGGCGGTCACACTGGGCGGTCCCAGCTCGTCTTGCATGTCCATGAGGTCGTCTCTTCTGTGTTTCTTGTTGTCTTCCACCTCTACTGCACTGTCCGAGAACCTTCGTTCTCCTGGTGCAATCCTTGGGCTGGCCATGGCTCTCGCGAATCTTTCTTGGACCGGACTGTTGCTTCGGGCATCGCTCTTGGTCTTGTCGTGTTTCTTCGGGTAGTCGTAGTCGTACGGACTATACAAACATTCGTCAAACAGCTTCGGGTTTGCCCCTCTCGTCCTTGCCCGTGACTTCATGAATTTCATGATCCCATCCAGCCGATAGCCTTGTGCCACGCAATACGCAGTCACGCGAGGCAGCCTGTCTCGGTCGGCCTTTCCCAGTCTGGCCGCATCTCTTCTGGCCGTTGGATCTTTGATTCTTGTAAACTGTGAGTAGACATCTCTCCCGCTTTCCTCGTCCGGGTCCTCCTCCGCGATGTCTGGATTGGGCAAGATCTTGAGTTTCTCGATCGTCTTGGTCGTCCGCTGGGCACCGGCGCGAGGCGCTGCATGGAAAGGTTGTGTGGTAGGCAGCGGGGCCCCATGGCTGTTCCTCCGTCGCAATTTCGAGTTGAAGGCACTGAGCATAGGTTGCTGTTCCCGGTTGACTTGAGACGAACTCGTGAGGGCTGCCGAAGGGCTCTGCATTGGTCGTAAATTTCCGGCCGATGCGGGCCCGGACTGTGTACTGACGGAGGTCAAAGGATTGAAAGTGACGGTGCGTTGATTTCTTCTGCCCGCGCGCGATGGTGACGCTGCGGAAGATGTATGCTGCGGAAGTAACGGTGAGGATTCGCTGACGGCGCTGGCCATGATCCGGCTCTGAGGAGTCGAGGTCGTCGCAGAGATTTCAGTGGACAAGGCCAGCGACAAGGGATAGGAGGATGAAGGTGTTGGCCAGCGGAGGAATTGAGCGGAAGGATGGTCTGGGGTGTTCAGCGAGAGTGAGGGGGGTAGAGACCAGCACCAGCACCAGCACCAGGGCACGAATTCATTAGTAGGAAGTGCGTAGCAGTTAGGAGTAGGAGTAGGAGTAGGAGCAGTAGCAGTGGTAGATTACTGTGGTAGTGGTACGATAGTAGCACTTCTAGTTGCGGTGGAATTGTGACCTGGAAATCGCACTCAGTTTGCATCATCGCATCTGCAAGTTTGAAGTTCGGCTATTCCCCATTCGCAGGCCGACGGTTGCCAATAGTCGCTGACTAAACCCCGCTAAGAACGAATAGCTCGCTAGATACCCTGTTGTAGCACTACGATAAGAACGCCCTCTACCATACCTAAGTACTCTATAGCCGCCCACTACAGAGCACGTGATCTGTTGATGGTGTAGGTATTCTTGCATACTATACCTACCTAACGTGTACGCAAATACCGAAGGTCAAGCAGGAATCAAGCAGCCGGGATGCTGCGGTCATGTCCATCACCACAAAGATCAGGTAATAATGGAAAGAGAGGAGGGGTATCCAGCCTTGAGTCTTCTCAACGGTCCATTTCAACGACAATCCATTCCCGATCCCTGTCCATGGCACACTGAGAGACTCCTTGATGCTAGGCCAGGATGGCTAAATATACATTTGCTTCCAATCTGGTACTTGGCTAGAAACCTCGCGAATTACCTGAAAAGCCCTCACTGATAGTAGTATGTCTCATCAGGCGTGCGGCCACGCAGGAACGGCGGCTCACTGCCTCGGATGTAGACATCTTCATAGAGGATCTTGGGCGTGGGTTCAGGCGGGGCCATCTTCTCAGCCTCTGCCACTTCGGCATCGACATCTTCACGAGCTTTCTTGTCAATTGCCTTGAGTTCATCCTCGGTGCAGACACCCCAGTCCAGAATCTTCGACTTGAGACCAGCAATCGGATCGTTGGTAGATCGCATTCTCTGGATTTCCTCACGGGTTCGGTAGGTCGTGCCGGGGTCCGACATGGAGTGACCACCGTATCTGTAGGTGACATATTCAATCACTAAGGGACCCTTGTCGTCTGCCGTGTACTGCTTGCCATACTGCACCGCCGCCTTCACGGCGAGCACGTCCATGCCATTGACCTTCAGACCAGGAATGTATTGTCCACGCTTGTAGTACTCCGTCAAGGCCGACGATCGAGCAGCCGATGTCCCCATACCATACTTGTTGTTCTCGCATCCGAACAAGACGGGCAGGTTCCACAACTTGGCCATGTTGAAAGACTCAAAGACCTGGCCTTGGTTGGAAGCGCCATCACCGTACAAAGTGATGGTTGCTGTCTTGCTGCCGGTGTATTTATGGGCAAAGGCAATACCGGTACCGACGGGCACCTGTGCGCCGACGATACCGTTGCCTCCGTAGAAGTTGGGTGCGAACATATGCATAGAGCCTCCTTTTCCATGAGCAATACCCTCTCGATGACCGAGCAATTCACCGATGATCGATTTAACCGTACCGCCGCGCATAAGGGCAAAGCCGTGACATCGGTAAGCGGTGATGATGGCGTCGGCCTTCGTGATGGCGTGTTCGATGCCGGTGGAAACAGCTTCCTGACCGGTCGCCAGATGCAGGAAACCTCGGATCTTTTTCTCCTTGTACAGCCTGTCTGCGGCCATCTCCATACGTCTGGTAATATGTCAGCGTCGCAGATCCTGGCGAATTCCTTCAAGGTGTCGCTTACCGAGTCTGGACCATGTCAATGTACATCTGCTTCATCTCCTTCTTGGTCGTGTTGAGGGTGTATGGGGGAGGGTCGAGCATATAGGTTTCAAAGCTCTCGTCATGGAGCTTGACTGGGAAGGGCTCCTCATCGTGCTGAGTGTCATTGTTAGCCTGCGCGCATGGCCAAAACAGTCAATCCTTTTGCCTACATCTGGCACATCCTCTTTCTCGGCGTGGGAGCTTGCAGCATCCGTGGTCACCGACCGGCGGGCAAGCTGGTATGCTTGTCTCTTCGGCAGCGACTGGAGGCCGAAGCCTCGAAGGCAGGCTCGCGACAACATCGGCACGGGCGACTGGAGAGGGTAAGACTGGGTGAGGCAACGGGGCGACAGGCAATGAATAATTTGATGGGAGAGTCTTGCTTTAGCTGTTTTAGCTGTCGACGGCTGTTGGGCGCGCCAACTTAAAGGAGCACTAGTGTCCGAGGACTTGAAGCCGGCGAATCCGACAACGGGAAGGAAGGCCGCCTTGGCATCACTCACATCCATCCTAGCGGAACTGAAACTGCTAAATCTGGACAGGAAGAACAGAGATTCATCCATGCTCCTCATAGCGCTGCATTACAGACTAGAGGTATCACACTGGCTATGGCCGACAGAAGACCGATTCTTCCGCAGCAGTGAGCGAAACCGTCTAGTGAAAAAGTCAAGAGTCGCGCCTCGCCTCACTCATCCCGTTGTCTCATCATCTCCCATGCTTGAAAGAGTAGTCCCGTATCACAAATAATACTCATGGCCTTGATCGACACCACACCCGTACTGCGGGCAAAGCCATTGCCCGGCCGGGTCAAAGACAAGAATGCCGTACATTCCGTCAGAGCCGCAGGTATCACATCAATGCGTGTTCTTTCAGGAATTCAATCCATCTCAATCCCACGCCGTAGCATTCGTCTCAAGAGCCACCGAGTCCGTCTCCTACTCCATGATATTGCTCGCGTATCTCATACATTGTTGCACATGCCGGTCATGCTTCACGTCCCACTCGAGAATAGCTTCTCAATATCCCCCTGGGCCTACCATCCCCGGTTGCGTCCCATATCCTCCAGGCACCCCGCCTTGGTGACTCAACTGGCTGGGCTGGTGCATAGACGAACTGACCTGAGCTCGGCCTTGTCCGATGTAGTTAGGGAGATCCTGGAACCACGGATGTGTCAGGGCGTCTTGTGCACTGATTCGGTTTTCGGGTCTGAGCTGCAGCAGCTTGCCCAGCAGGTCGAGGCCCAATTGGTCCACCTGCGGCAGCAGAATGGCTAATGACTGTGTGGCATAAGATGGAAAGTTGGCCTTGTACTCGGGCAACTGAGATATGCCCGGCCAGGTTCGTTCGGAGGGCGTGCCCATCAGTCGGAAGATCTTCTGTAGTTGATCCTCGTTGGTGGTGCCGGGGAATAGCGGCCGACCGGTGTACATTTCCGCCATGATACAACCAGCCGACCAGATGTCGATGCTGGTGTTGTACGTTCGAGAGCCCAGAAGCACATCCGGCGCCCGGTACCAAAGCGTCACAACCTCGTTGGAGAAGGTGTTGACTGGGATCCCAAAGGCTCGTGCGAGACCGAAATCTGCCAACTTGAGTTGTCCCCGGGTATTGATGAGAAGATTCTGAGGCTTCAAATCACGGTGAAGGACTCGGTTCTCGTGGCAAAACGCCACTCCCCTCAGTAAATCCTGCATGAACCTCTTGATCGTGACTGAATCCAGTTGGCCTCGGTCGCCACGAGCGTCCATGTATTTCTTCAAGTCCTTGTCCATGTATTCAAAGACCAACATCAATTTGTTCTCCGTATGGATGACATCGTACAGTGTGACTATGTTTTCATGCTTCAACTCTTTCATCAAACTGATCTCTCGAATCGCTGTCGACGGCGTGCCTTCTTCGGAATCGAGATGGATCTCTTTCAGGGCGACGAGCTCGCCCGTCTGTCGGTTCCGGCCCTTGTAAACGGTGGCATACGTGCCTTCACCCAACTAGACGTCGCTGGTTAGCATACCAACCAGTGTGCTTGTGAGAGGCTGCTACATACCTTCTCCAGTTGCTGGAAGGAACTGGGATGCCTCCGATCCATCTGGTGGAGCGGCCGCCGTTGCTCGGGCAGGCGATCTCTTTGTGGAGGAGGGGCAGAACCGTGTGGGAAAAGCACCGAGGCCGGCGAGATGACACGGTCGGCGAGTTGCTGGGCGGTCAGTCTATGAGGCGGCTGTATCCTGGCTTGAGAGGGGACAGGCTGCTGAGAAGGCTGCTGGGAATGCTGGGAATGCTGCGACGAAGTGGTCGACGAGACTGAAGATCGATGGGGAATAGTTGTGGAGCGAGAAGACATGACCAGGGACCGGCGAGGGAAGAGAGATAGCCTCTCTCGTCCTTTTTAGTAGCGCGAGATCTTCGCCTTCAGCATCATAACAGGAAAAAACTAAGGCCAGACAATGGTTTCAGACATACAAGACACGCGCATCGTTTGCCACGGGCGGCTAGAGATGTTGGTCTTGTTTGTGAAACGGTGAAGCAGTGAAATGGTGAAAAAGCACCTCACTCTTCTACCTGGCCGATATTTGCATCTTGTCTCCGTGCCACGCTTCTTCTCCTTTCAAACACATTCGCCCGCCGCTAGATGCACTACTGCCCTTCACTTATTGTCTAGCATCTATCACAAGTTCTCACCCATCAAGTCGTCCGTCTACGCTTTGTCCATGTCTGTGCTTGTTCATCTTTAATACCTTTCGAAAATGCACTTCGGCGCCTGGTGCGTTCTACTATGGTAACCCGCCTGGAAAATGCCGCCCGCTACAGGTCAGTCAGGAGCATGGAAGTCTCTACTATTCCATCGTCGGTTTCAAGACGGCAGCATCAGTACGATATCCTGAAACAGACTGTATTATTTTTATCATACTCCCCTTGTGGTTGGCTGCCTGCAGCCTTCACCCAACGTTCATATATGCTCTGGTCTTGTGTCTCTCTTCAGGCTCTTCGCTATCGCTGTCCATCGTCCAAGCCCTGTCGAATCGCAAACCTCGACTGTACAATATCATACTACGTAGTAGGATCAACTTCCCTAGGCATGCATAAGATGGGTATCGTTCAGAACACTCGCTCAAAAGCAACGCTTTTTCCAAATTAGAGCAATGCAAGCGCCAAGTTGACTTCGTTCGTGAGGCCCTCCGGACCATACAGTATGGACATAATCTCGTGGAATGGATCATCAGATCATGGTTGTGCTGTGCTTCAACTGCTGGATAACTGCTGCGTTCGTCGTGGCACTCCGGCAGTCGCCAGCGTCGGGACAATAGGTTCGCTCACTGTGCGCCGTCTGGCCTCGAAAACTGGGCGCTGGGCATGGGCGATGAGCATCTTAAAACTTGATCCCCGATTCCTGCATTCCCTTAAAACACCTTTGTCGGCAAAGATGCTTCTCGAAAGGTTTCCATCTGGGATGACGCTGGCCTCGAAACAGTGCTGCCACCATGCCCTCGCAGTTCTGGAAACGATCTTACCGATCTTTGCATCGGCATTGTGGGAGTGATCGGCGATTAAGTCGTTCAGAGACAGATTGGCTCCTTTGCGTCCATGCCGAAATGTCATTCGTGGCGAAGCAGTGGCTGGTCTTGGACTTCCGGAAGTGTGTCTCTGGAAAGAGTCTGATCCACCACTCGAACGTGAGGACGAGGATGAGTCGGTTGATCCAGCCGGTCGGCCTGCTACCGGGACACCAACGATGCAGCGACTGACATTACTGAATCCACTGGCACCAAGAAGGCCTTGCACGTTGTCGATTATGGGTCGGAGACTAATCTGTTTGTCCGCGGTGGTCATTCGGAACTTGAGCTCACGGACCGCTCTCCGAGTTTGAACGCCCATATTGACAATGTCAAGGTCCAGTAACAGTAGCTCCAGATGCCCGCCGGGAAGCAACACCCGCCTGCATTCGGATATGATGTTTTTCATCTTTGCTTCCGCCATCGCTGGTGGAAACCGAAGCACAACTGCGGAGAAGAGAGCAGGTGGGAAGGGAAACCGGTCGTAGAAGCTGGCCACTTGTGCTCGGCGGTGAGTCTCCGGAGTGTTCTGGGGCGGTAAATGGCTTTTCGACACTGTCGTCGATGATTTCTCCTTCAGATGGTGGACGATGGCTTGCGGCGCCTCGTATGTGACTGCACAATAAATGGACCAGTCTTCGTTACCCAATCCATCGATAACGAGGATATGTCGTTCGCGAAGAGTCTGAATCTCGTCATGTGCAGGCGAAAATAGCACGCGTCCGAATGAAAGCCATTTAGCAACCATCAGCGAGGCAAAGTGAAGTTCCGACTGTGCTACTGGGTCCTTGTTCCGCTCGACACCATCGAGGAGAGCAACGTTCTCCTCATGATTCGGGGTCTCTTGCGCTAATTGTTGGCCCAGTGCCACTTCAAAAGGATCGGGGGATTGGCCAACCGACAACGTGCTCAATCTCTGGGATGATTTTGCGCTGTTTCTCTGGTAACTGTCGTACTCTTTCAACAGATCGCGAATGGAGAACGGAGACGGCAGATCGGCTGACGAGTGTAGCGCTGAGACTATCCTAGACCGCCGTAGCCGAACTTCCTCCCCTACCGTTTGGTCACGCCCTGCTGAAGGCGTGAGTATGAAAGGAGGAGATGATTCCGATGTTGCTGCCCCTTGGCGAGACGAAAGCCAATCCGTGGTAGACATGGACATGTCTGGAAAGGACGGCTTAAGATCCCCTGAACTTAGTATGCTTCCTTCACTTGCTAACCTTGGAAGCGGGACTCCCGCCTGTTCGTGTAAAGGAGTCTCTTCCCTTCCGGTACTATCCCTATGGCTTTTAGAAAGGGAGGGTGACATAACATGATCAATGAAGTCATCGTATTCATTCCATACTTCGTCCACACTGGGACTGTTGAGCATATGAGTATTCGAGTTGTAACGGACAGATCTTCCTGAAATCTCTCGCTCGGATCGACCAGGCTCCAGCAGCGGGCCGGGGATGCTCGAGAAGCCATCAGAAGCACTAGAACTGAATAAGTTGGATGCAGGCTCTGACGGGAACCGTAGAGACTCGAGTTTTGTAAGGGGATATCCAGTGGTAGGCGCAACGCGTCCGACGGCCGGTGAAGGCGGACCCCGAGGCGGATAGGTGGTGGCCTGGAGCTGCCCGCTAAACCCAGCCGTGGACAATTCTCTCCCGTTGTAGGCATCTTCAGCACCTGACTCCCTTGAGAACGGTTGCGAGAATGATGCCCGATTGGGTCGATATTGTCCTTCGCTCCGTTGAACCACCGCCGGGATTCTTCCAACACGAGGCAGCCGCGGCTGCCTGTTTGACTGCTCTTCCGTCTGGGCATAAGCCTGCTGCGTCGGACTCCTCAATGGCACCGAAGGGAGTGACTCGTCGAACGAGTGTGGCTGTGGCAGCGGAGCTTGTGGGAGGAGAATGTTGTCGCCGTAAGCATCCGGCATTTGTTGGTGAGATAAGGGATTTGCAACGTAGCTTTCACTTACGGGACTGATTTTAGGCGATTCAGTCAACTGTGGCATGAGACTCGGGAGTTGATCAGTGGTATTCGTCTCGCTCTCGGAATCGATCATGGCATAGTAAGGCATTGTCGGCCGTGGCGCAGAGACTGACGATACACGGACTGGTAATTCGTCACCGGGAGAAGATGGTCGGGGTGCAGTCTGCTCTGGCTCTTGTTTTGCACCTTTCCGCCGGAAAATATTCCATCTAGTCTTCCAATTTCTTTTGTTTTGCGAATCCTGAAATGGGGGATCACCGCGTCGTGGTTCGGTTGTAGTGCTAGGAGTAGAAAGTGAGGCCAATGGAGCAGAGGACCGGCTTTCCTCTTCACTGCTAACGTGTAACGGGGTCAGAGGCTCGTGAGTCCTGATAGATGTCGGTAAGCTCAAACTTTCCCGTTCGTGACCAAATCTCTGGGACCGACGAATTGCTAAAGTAGGAACGTCGTTTGCGATTGAAGCTGGATTCCAAAAGTCGCCTAGACTTTCTTGCAGCGAGTTCTGACTGAAAGAGCTTTGGGACGACATTGTGCGCCGTTTGGGGGCGCTTGATGACAACGACAGAGTACTCTCATAGACTTCTGTTCCACCACCAGGTCTGGCGTTGATGGAAGCTCCTGACCCGCCGACCATAGGGACAGGCCTCAAGCGAGTAGCAGCAAAGTCGTCGAGATCGGACTGGCTGCTAGGATTTTGACGACTACCGTTGCGGCTGTTCTTACTCTTGGATGAGAAGAAAGGTAATTTTCTGGAGCTACTGACCGATCGTTCACTCTCGCTATTGCTCACTGATCCGCTTTCCCGAGATGTCTCGCGACCTCGCCGTCCAGGCTTTCCGTATCCTTCATGGCCCGTACCAGCGGCAGGTCCCTTGCGTTGTAGCTTGCGGGGCCCTACCTCTGATCCTGGCGCTGTAGACTTGCTACTGTGACTGAAAATGCCCAATCGAGAGAGCTTCCCCGAACGAGACGGAGACGTTTGGGATGTTTTATCACGATGTGAGTCACGCGGTCCCTCCGGGATCGTAAGTGCCGCTTCTTCAGACACCCTTCCTCGAGCTGACCGTGATGGCAAGATTTGTTGAACTTTTGAAGTTGAAATATGCTCACGGCGCGCCACGAGCACTGGATTAGCCGTCGGTCTCATGCCTTGTAGACCATATCGAGGTAGAGCACCGCTCAGCGATTGCTGGAGGTTGTCATAAGCTCTTGCAAGGGGAGCCTGGAGGAGGGACTCGCCAACATGCTCAAGGGTCGTTTGCGTATGCTTCGACAGGGGACTCTGCTCCATTTCGGATGGTAGCTGCGGCACAGGTTCATTTTCAAGTCCTTTCCGTTGTTTGCTACTTCTGCTACTGCTCCTGCTTAAACCCTGTTTGGTAGAGGACGTTCTTGGAGGAGGTGCAGGCGCAGGGCTTTTCAGCGGATTTCTCTTTGAGCTAGGAGACCTCCTCAACTCCTTCCAATTGGATGACCGATCACTCTCGCTGGGCTGAACGAACCCTTCTAATGCAGCAGGTGTTTTGAGAGGCTTTCCGCGGGGGGCTGTGGGAGCCTCTCGTGATCTGGAGTCTTTGGCGGGCAATGGTTGCACAAGGCCAGGAGATGCTGATGACCACGACGTCGGGGTTGTCGTTGTAGTTGATATGCTCCACGGACTTGGAGAAGGCGAAAAGCGCGTCGACGGACTGCTCATGGAGCTTGTGGACTTGTTGAATGCCTCTGGACGCCGAGAGGATGTGGCCGCCAGAGCTTGTAATTCTGGTATCAACCGAGAGGGGAGATCAGCCGGCCGGCTCGGGGCGTTGAGTCGCGGCGTCACAATGCCAAATATCGCATCGGGAACCATATCCACGGGTGATGGCGGCTTCCGTCCATCACTTGAAGTGTTTGAAGGCCTGACGGCCCGCCTGCCGGAAGACTGTCGGTCGTGCATCCTCGACCGTATACCAGGATCTAACATCAACGGGACTTCCTGCAAAAGTGGGCCCGCGATTTCACTCGAAGAGTTTGAGATCCTCGTTGCCGACACATCTGTCGACACAGTAGTCACCTGCGTCTTGAACGCTTTCGCGGGTATCTGAGGAATTCCAGGGGGCCTTTGGCGAAGTTTTCCGCTTGATAAACCTGGAGCCACGGTCCTGAGGGAAGGTGATTGCGAGGCCGAGGCTCTTGCTGCGTTGGGACGAGTTGGTGCCGGGATTGGAGCATTCTGCGTCACTGTCGGCGACTTGATATTCCGTGGCACAGTAGCATTTCTGGTTACGGGAAAACCCTCTTGGATGTCATGAGTCTGCATTCTGTGCGACATGTCCTCCACGGGCGGAAACTGTCTTTGCTAGTCACCCAACAGCAACCGATAGCTGGTTGATCTTGAAGACATGCCAGTCCTCCTGGCACCGGGTGTCCGACCATTCAAAATTTGCCACAAAAAAGAGATGAGGATGCGGTGCTGCGGTGAGCGCACTAGTTGTAGATCGGGGCATACGCCACACCCTTCAGCAAAGGCTTTGAGCAACAACAATCTGTTTGGCGTATATTAGGGAGTTTCACTGGATCTGGGACTGTATTTGCTCGAGTCATACAGTCTGACTGTACCTAAGACAACAGTAGTTGTGTTGTCAAACAATGAGCAACAGGACATGAGCAGGAGGCGATGGTGGGTTGATCAGCAGACTCATGCGCCACAGTGTGTCGGCATGACCGAAGTAGTCAATACCTAGCAATCCCACGAGAGCAGCTCACGTGGTGCCGCGCGTTGTACCTCTTGACTGTAGCCTGGGCAGAAAGGCGCATGGACATATGCATGAAGGAAAGTAGCGAGAGAACAGGATTGAAGGCGAGTGATCACAGACCGCTCACGGCCCTTGTAGGGCATTTTGTAACGAGGTGGAAGGAGGGGAGAGCTGGGATTAGCGCACATGGGCCATGTACTTACTGCGAGTCTGCCAGTGGTAGCTTAGCAGCATGCATGAGGCGAGCTGCGGCATGGCAAACGGCCCCATGGCTTGCTTCGTGTTTCTGCATTCCAGATTGCCTGTCATCGTGGCTTCATACGGAGGACGGTGACAGAAGGCACCGCGATTCGTCTTCAGCGCCAAACACGGCAAGGGTATGAGCTGCTGGTCACCTCGCCAGAGGTTTCAGCGGCCCCAAAACCAGCATTTGCTGATACCAGACCAGACTTCTTCCCATCAATGCCCATCCCGCTCCAAGATTGTGGACCTCCAGAACCCGGGTTCGCGGCTGATGCATCAATAGGCTGAGTCACGGGAGGTCCGTCAAACGTTGATGGCACCGTGGGGCAAGGGGAATTTGCCAAAGGACCTCGTGAGACTTGTATTGCTGAGCGTATGGCGGGTAACCAGCTGGTACTTCTCGCTCCATGTTGTGGATTGCAGATGGACCTATCTACGTGCGCAGGACAGGAGAGCCGCGACATAAGCTTGATCATTGTGCAAGGCACGATCGGCGCCAGGCTCTGATGAGGTCTCGTTCGTGGTAGCAGAAAGGCCGGCAAGCAGAATGCGGTGGCAAAGCTGTGGTCGGACGCCGGTTAAACTTGACGCGTTGCAACAACTGGATGCAGCCATAGCGACCGGTGCATTCGTATCGCTGCGGCGAGAGGGGAATTCCATATTGCAGGGATGTTAACCAGGATCCGGAATGGCTCATATTCGTACTGGTAAGGTGTGTGGTGGGAGAGGGTGCGAAAGAATGAGAGCCAGTCGTCGAGGGAGAAGCAGTCTTTGGAATCAAGAAGCTGTCGCGGGGTGGAGCTGGAAGACAAGCTTACGATCCGTGGCGCGGGGCAGTGGGCTTCAGGTGCAGCGGCTGACTCGTACGGGGACGTTATGGAGACGTTTTAGTTAAGAAGCGGCCCCAGGCGGGCGTGGAAGTGTGGCCCGACCCTACTTCCAATGCCTATGAATTAGGGAGTCCTCACGCCTCAGGCTTGACAGGACTTACTACTGCAAGTTCGACGTCCCCCGGCGGCAAGCTGCTTAGGCCTCGTTCCCCAACTTGCCTGCCGTTGGTCTACAAAGTAGAGAAACACCTTGCGTGCGTAGCTGTGGACAAGGATGTCTTCATTACTGAGAATGGAGTATGGTATATCGTATTGGACTTCCTTTACTCAAACTTCTACGGAGTATTCTGGTGATCGACGAGGCCAGCTGAAACCTGAGACGATATCTCCAAACGAAACGGCTCGACGGCAATGGAATTGAAGGCAGATCCTCATGATTTTCCCCCTTCTACCAATCGCGTTGGAGAAATAAAGAACTCTGTCCTGCGTGGTTGATTCAGAGACTCCTCGCCCTTCTGATAGGACAAGTTACAACATTTTGTAGATTAATCCCTAGCAAGTCCGGCATGGCTCTTGTCCTATCATCCCCCGGCCACCCATCAGTTGGCTGAAAATCCCCGAGGAGCCTCCTTAGCCCCTCATCCTGCACCCTCGCACTCCAACGCCTCAAAGTTGATCCTTAACCAATACCACCACGTACCATTGGAAGTGACGGAGGGCTCTGCCAGGTGACAGCAGCAGCATCGGAGGTTGCTCTTAGCTGGCTGATCAAATTGCAGTCATACAAGCTCATTACTACATACCTACCTAGGTATCCTTTCGAAGCCTATACGTCGTGCCCATGACTTCACACAAAGCCGAGTTTCCCTTGGAGGGAGGATGTGACTGTGGCAAGGTTCGCTATGTTATGGAGACAAAACCGATAGTGGTTCACTGCTGCCAGTGAGTCAATGTGAGTTCGTGCTGAGGAAGATCGTCTACTGAACTGGCATTCTCCAGCTGTCGTTGGTGTCAGCGAGAGACCGGGTCTTCTTTTGCTCTAAACGCCATGATTGAGACGGACAGGCTGAATCTTCTGGGGAGTGAACCTGAGTGGATCACAGTACCCAGTGAAAGTGGTGCGGGACAGAGCATTGCACGCTGTCCTCAATGCCGGATCGCTGTCTGGAGCGTTTACCTGTATAACTTGGCCAGTGTCCAGCAGCGCTTGCGAATCGTACGTGTTGGTACTTTGGACAAACCGGGCCTGCTCTCTCCAGATATCCATATTTGGACCTCTGAAAAGCAGCCTTGGATCGTTCTTCAAAGCGATGCAGTTGCCTTCCAGGACGGGACATATGAGAGGAGGCAATTCTGGTCACAAGAAAGCCTCAAACGAAGAGAGAAAGTGGAGGAGCTTGGGCACTCCGAATAGGGCTTTGAGGCGAGTCTGAGTCAGAAGATCTACTAGTAACCCGGAAGCGCCTACATGTGCTTCATTCTTAGCTTATGTTGCCTTTTGCGAGGACTCTGTAGAGATCAACCTCGCCGCCTAGAAGCTGCCCGCATATTGTTTGATGCGGTTGTCCGTGAACGGGTCAAATTGGCGTGAAAAATGGCAAGCTGGGCGGAAGACAAGCCATCTCTCTGATTTGTGAGACTCCCAAATAGTGGAACAATGCTCTAGAACGCGTCTGAGTTCGTTGTATCCTCAGCCGTACCTAGGTATCTGGTGTGCCGACATCGAAGAAAAAGGTGGAAGATGAAGTCAGTATCTCTTAAAGCAGCAATGGATTGTTCCCTTTACGTACACTGTCTGGCACGCACTGCAGCAACTTAGACCTGGTCGTTCCAAGCGCGTGAATGCTTACAACAACAACCACATTGACAGCACCGACATCTTTAAGAAAGCCGCCGCAGACTACTTCGGAGCCATCACCCATTGTTGCTTCATCTCTCGTCACTTGCTCGCAACTTGGCACCGTCGCAAGTTAGGAGTCTGCGACAAGCCCTAGACCTTCTCGCGTCATTGGCGCATTCCCGTCGCAACCATGGTGGACTACGCAAAGAAAACAGTGGCGGAGCTGCAAGAGATTCTCAAATCAAGGAGTCTGTCCCATACTGGAAAGAAAGCAGAGCTGATTGCGCGTCTCACCGAGGCCGATAGTGTAGCAGAGGCAAATGGTAAAGTTCCCAGGCTTTGGCAGTGGAGGGCTTGCGCAGGATTACTTCTACTTCCACAGCCAGTTGACTGAATCTCCTCTTTCCAGACGAAGTCAAAGCTCCACCAGCTGAGTCTACCATTGCGCCGCCCGAACAACAACCCGAGCCTGCAGCACCACAGGAGAGCGAAACACCAGCAGTGACAGAGGCTGCACCAGAACCACCGCAAGCCGACGCAGCACTTCCACCCTCAGGCAATACGGAGACTGCCCCTACCAACTCGGCCTCGTATGCTCTACATCTCCCTCAGTCAGACATTGACGCCGAAATGGCAAAACGTAAAGCTCGTGCCGAACGTTTTGGTACTGCCAACGGAGGAGAAACCGGAGCCGCGGGCACAGAGAACGCAGATGACGAGGCGCAAAAGGCATTGGAACGTGCAAAGCGCTTCGGTACAGGACAAACGGCAGTGGGCAAGTTGGACGAGGCATTGCCCACTGAGCCGGACCGCCGATCCAGGAAGCGCAACAGGACAGATGATAGTGGCGCCCTGGACGACCCAGCACTCATCAGAAGCTTCGGTGGGCGTGGCAGTGGTAGAGGCAGAGGCGGGAGACTCCAGGGGAGAGGTGGCCGGGACAATTCAAGGAGAAGAATGGGGGATAAGCCCGTTGGTGTCCCGAAACAGGCAGGCATTTTCACCTCGGAAGCGGATCGTCTTGCCGCGGAAGCCAGGAAGAAGAGATTTGCTTCGGCCTCTTGATATGTAATCGGCTGGGTGCTGTTGGCATTGCCGGCGGTGTACGTGGCACTGGAATCATTGGGACTGAGCAGGCGGCTCATGGTGAAAACAAGGGAACGGCTTCGGTATGAGAAAAGTTTGTCCCCGTCATGTGCAGGAATGGCTGCCCACGTACAACATGTTCTTCGATGGATTTTACTGGTATCAATCCTGCACCGTGGAAAGGCGGCTCCTGTAACTCCTCTCCATAGGAAGTGCCAGATTTGGTACCACATGTATTACATAGAAGGTTAACCTGGAAGGAATCAGATGGCAGCCCTGAGAATGTATCTTTCTCTTGCTTGACAAAATGTTGTCAAGGTGACCATTGCGCTTGTTTGCTGGACGCACTCCGAGCATGACAGACGCTGGCAGAAGCAATTGCGCTCGTTGTTCTGAATCGTCTGAACAAGCCAGCGTCACCTCATACCTAGGTACGTTCAATATAGTCGTAACCTTCACTTCAAGGGTCCCTTGTCACTGCCTTTGTGTGAATGTTCCTCATTTTTCACAAAGCAGTAGTCACTGCTGCATTGTCCTGGACTTGTTTAAAGGTCCTGCACCTCTTCTTCATCTTAGACAGTTCTGCAATCAGTCGATCATTCTACTATTCAGACATCTCAACTAATATTCAACGATGAACTTGAGGGCCGTGGAGCACTGCATCTTCGTGATACCAGGCGAGTCCGGTTCGGGAATACGAGCATAAGGGCAGCCTCGCCCAAAGTAGAACCGATTGCAATCCTGCATCTGTATCTCAACTGCCAGTTTGAATGCAGTGCCTTCATCCAGCACTTGAATTTACCAACGTCATCGTCCGCCGTGACCCTTGTGTTAACGTCACACACACCCAGTCCGAACTGTTATCTGCTGAAGAAGCATCAGAGGGCACCAGAAGGGACAGCTTGGGGGCTATGTCATCAGACTATCCCCGTGGTGGGTGGGTGAGATAGAGCCATCCTTCGCCAAACGATCTGGGATCTCAAAGCTCGTTAATCTGGGTTTGTCATTGTCCCGCGGAGAATGTGAGATATTATAGACACCGATGGGTATCAACCTCTTATCAAGGCTAGAGAATCCAGGCCAGCTAACGTGCCACCATCACTCCCTTTCTGATAAGGTGGTTCCACCTGGTTGGACCACACAGCACCTCACAAATGATAAGCCTGGCGCAACCACACCCTGATGCCCCTGGGCTTCAAGGTTTCACTCACTGCAAGCCCGGTTCAACCTGGCCCTTCTGCTCGTTATCTGGCTCTCAGTCCTCGTGTCTTCTCAATGTCATCCCGCGCATCGAACGCAAGCCGGCATTTGATTGTCCAGGTAAGAGGCAATTCCTCTATCTGACATGTCGATCGGCGATCAAGGGTGGGAAGCAAAGCCTGGGCAACCAGGAAACGCCTGTCTGTAGCGACTGAAGCTGACACGCAGTACATGAGAAAGAGGACGTGAAATGATCCAAAAGGGCTGGAAGTCAAGGGGAGAAATAAAGCATCCCCAAGAGCCTTGCGAAAAGTGTGCCCTCGGACATGTTCGTTGTTTTATCCCATCTATTTGTATAAGTCTATACCGAGACCTCACGCCTCGGAACTCATACGCAGTCGACTGGGTCTCGTTGAGACCCATCTTTACCCGCTATCAGCAACAACTTGGCCTGATTCAGGCGGTGGCTTGAGGAAGGAGACGATATCATTCGCTCTTCGGTCTTCAATCTCTGGCATGATCTGCCGCGGACTTGCTGATCCAGATACACCCCGATCTCGAAGTGAATGTCGACTACATCCCCGGAGATGCACAGAAACGTCATATCGCAGCTGAAGTTCACAGGGAGAAGAGCTCTGTCGTGGGAACAGGCTACACCTCTATATATCTCTCCTCTCGAACCGATCCCCAAGGAAAGGTCTATCACTCTGCAGCATTTTGTTGGCAGCAGAACTCGGGCCAATATTCGAGGATACAATACAGGTCTAGCAGGACTTAAGAGTGAATACCAACACGATGGCTGTCGACTTCACTCTGGCCTACAAGGCCCCAGAGGTCAACCCCATCACCTACAAGGCCCATTCCATACCCTTCCTAAATCCCATCAACATGTACGGCCGCGTTTTTTTCTTTTCTTGGTTTGGTTTCTTTGTGGCATTCTGGTCGTGGTATGCGTTCCCTCCACTGGTAAGTCACCATCTGTGTTACTGAGCAATCTAGATGGACATCAACACTGACCATCACAATCAGTTGCACGACACCATCCAGAAAGATCTTCACTTGACCAAAATTGATGTGGCCAACTCCAACATCATTGCCCTCTGCGCAACACTGCTCGTTCGATTGATTGCTGGCCCATGCTGCGACCGTTTTGGCCCTCGGTGGACATTCGCAGGATGTCTCCTCATCGGCGCCATCCCTACATTTTTGGCTGGCACTGCCTATACCAAGAGCCAACTGTTCGCCGTTCGATTCTTCGTCGGGATCCTCGGTGGCAGCTTTGTGCCGTGCCAAGTATGGTCGACAGGCTTTTACGACAAAAACATCGTCGGCACAGCCAACGCCTTCACTGCAGGCTTCGGGAACGCGGGCGGTGGAGTGACCTACTTCATCATGCCCAGCATCTACGATTCACTATTAAACCGGGGGTTATCACCCCATGTTGCTTGGCGCGTGGCCTTCGTTGCTCCCGGCATCGTGATCGTTTTCGTGGCGATGTGCCTCCTGTTCTTCTGCCACGACACGCCCGTGGGGAAATGGAGTGAACGGCATCTTGCTGCCCAGCAGCATCTGGCGGCGCATGGCATTCAGGCCACTATTGTCGATGCACCCAAAGCAGGAATCACGGACAAGCCCTCGACCCAGGATAGCTCTCCGTCTCCCCCATCGGAAATGGGCGAGAAGATGCGATACGACGCCACCGGCGACCGCAAGATGTCAGGATATGCCGACCATGAGGCTCAACTGAGTGAACAGCAAATGCTCGACACTGCACGTGGCGAGATTGTCGTGAAGCCGACGGCCAAGGAAGTCTTCTCGGTCATGTTCGCTCCACAGACTCTTGTCCTCTCCTTCTGCTACTTCTGCTCGTTCGGCGCTGAGTTGTCGGTCAACTCGATTTTGGGCACGTATTATCAGAAGAACTTCAAGTCACTTGGTCAGACCACGTCCGGACAATGGGCCGCCATGTTCGGTCTACTCAACGCTGTGTGCCGTCCACTGGGGGGCATTGTGGCCGATATTCTCTACAGGAACTTCCACAACGTTTGGGTGAAGAAGATCTGGATCCATACTCTGGCTGTAATCACCGGAGTCTTCCTTATCGTCATTGGCGTCCTCGACTCTCATGACACCAGCACCATGTTTGGCCTGATCGCCGGGATGGCATTCTTCCTTGAAGGAGGCAATGGAGCCAACTTCGCCTTGGTACCCCATGTCATCCCCAGTGCCAACGGGGTCGTGTCTGGCATGACCGGGGCGACGGGCAATCTTGGTGGCATCATCTTTGCCATCGTGTTTCGCTACAATGGTGTCGACTACGGCAAATCTTTCTGGATCATCGGGGTGATCACCATCGGCATCAACTTGGCTCTCTGCTGGGTCCCACCCATCTCGAAGAAACAGATTGGTGGTCGTTAGGGTGACGGTTGTTGGCACAGGATTGTCATGAATGATGAATGTTGTACTCTAGAGTGTTATGTCTAGTTACCTGCGTCGCGCAGAGATGAGGCTGTGCTTAAGAAGGGATCTATCGGGCCTTGCACGTGTATGCAAGCAATACGTGATGCCATGCCATGCCTTGGAAGTTCTTCTTTACCTTCATTATTGTCGTCTATGTCAAACTGCCTGCACAGTGTGTAAATATGCTGTACCAACCCAAGAACTTGAAGCCCAGGGCGCCAGAAGCATCAGGTGGCATTACCATGATTCCCAAAGGGGCGAGCCACAAGAGCATTTCTACGGATCTTGGCATGTCGAGTTCACCTCGTAACCCTGTCGTCACGACTTTTGCCTAACAACGAAATGCCATCCATTCAGATACGCGAATTCTGGTACAGAGTACACGACAGTGGGCAGAGACCAATAACACCTGCATAAGCCGTCGGGCTGCTCAGACATGTTGCCGGATACTGGGTTAGGTAGGTTCTAGCATGGCCTTGGGATTGCTCAGGGAGGACATCGGTCCCTCTCCTGGTTTGACGACGATACAACATCGTCATGATTCAGCTTGACATGAGGTAAGGACATTGAAAGGGCGATGGTTTGGTGGATGAGGTGCTTCTGCCTGATATAAACAAACACCTTCCTCACATAAGTCGCCATACTTGTCTCTCTTGTGCTTATAATGCCTTCGATTCTCAAGTCAACCACTCTGAGAACCATTCATTCTTCCAGTTTCTGTGGATACAGATACTCTCATCGCGCAGCAGGTGCCGTAACATCAGTCCAATTCCACAAGCATCTTCCAAGAGACCGGCAGCTTACCACCTCATCTTGTCTCAAGATGCCTGAGCAGCTATACAAAGAAGAAGTGGAGTCGGGGAACGACCCGTCAGTCAGCAAACAATACGACCGTGACACTCCCAAGGATGTGCAATGGAAAGAACTCTACGAGCTCATCGACGGCAAGCACATCAGCCTTTTGAACACGTATCGCAATGGCGTTGGACCCGTTGGTCGGTCCATGGCGATTGCCAAACGTGCCGGGCCGGATATTCTCTATCTCGCCCACAAGGACTCGAGGAAGTTCCAGGACATTTCGAACAACAAGGAGGTCCAGATCACTCTTCAAGACAGCAAGACGCAGGACTGGATTTCTATTACTGGCACGGTCACGACGACGGCAAATGACGATCCGCGCATCAAGGACATCTACAGCCCGGGCGTCAGTGCTTGGTTTGGCGACTTGAAGGACGGTGTCCATGATGGAACGGCGAATGATCCGCGCATGGCTCTCATTGAGGTCCAGAGCAAATACATTGTGTACTGGAAGAAGGAGGTGTCGTCGTTGGGGTTCTTGAAGGAAGTAGGAATGGCCGCCTTGACTGGAGGTGTTGCGCAGACCGGGGTTCAGCGAGAGTTCTCTAGTGAGGACATCTCCAAGGAACGCCAGTGAATGAGGGTGAATGATACTAATAGGTGGTGATTGTGGCTGCGCTAAATGTGTTCTATTGGAACTCAGAGGATGTAGCTAGCTATCTGTAGGACAGAAAAGTGAGATAGGAAAGTGTTTATCTATTGCAACTCCATAATGGGCATTCATTGTTGATGAGAAGAGACAACGCGTCATAGATCCCTAGGCAAATGGTACCTAAGGTAACAATGGCGAGACCAAAGACCGGTCTGGACAGATTGGAGAAGTGATAACGCACCAGAATCACAGACTCTCATAAACAGGGAGATTCGCGAATCCAGGGACAAATAAGGGGTAAAGAGCGACTAGCACATAAACAGTATAGCGGCATCTTGACACGGTTGACAGGCCATTTCGGTCTTTTTGACTCTCAGCCGCGAATTGTCGAAAGTGACCCGTGGCCACATTCACATACTGCCTCCCTATTGTCGTAACCAGCAGTTGATGTGAAAGAACAGTGAGAACGGAGAAAAGCCCTTTCGATTCTGCAGAGTCTCCTCGTCCCTCAACCACTGTCGCTGTCGATCAAGCCTGTCATCGTCTGCGCTGCGTCCAACAACATTGCCACAATGCTGAAGGTTCCGATGCGTGGAAAGCCCACTGGTGCCCAGGGGGTTACCAAGGCTGTTATCTTGGTAGGCCGACAACACACATGGACGATCTGGACGATCTGGACGATCTGGACGATTTAATGCTGACCATGATCAACAGGTTGGAGGCCCGTCGCGTGGCACTCGATTCAGACCGCTAAGTCTCGATGTCCCCAAGGTATGCCTTGCGCCCTGCCCTGCACAGATGTTCTGACACCCGACTAACCACTTCGCTCCCTGCAGCCTCTCTTCGATGTGGCCGGTCACCCTATCATCTGGCACTGCCTGCAAGCCGTGTCCAAAGTCCCAGACATCAAAGAGGTCATCCTAATCGGCTACTATGACGAGAGTGTCTTCCGTGACTTTATCAAAGACTCGTCCAAAGAGTTCCCCCAGATCAAGATTCAGTATCTGCGAGAGTATCAGGCCCTCGGCACTGCCGGCGGTCTTTATCACTTCCGGGATGCCATTCTCAAGGGAAAGCCTGACCGATTCTTCGTGTTGAACTCGGACGTCTGCTGCTCTTTCCCGCTCGAGGCCATGCTCAAGCTCTTCGAGGAGAAGGACGCCGACGCCGTCATCTTGGGCACCCGAGTCAGCAACGAGGCGGCCACCAACTTCGGCTGCATCGTGTCGGATTCGCACTCGAAACGTGTTCTGCACTACGTCGAGAAGCCCGAAGGCCACATTTCCAATTTGATCAACTGCGGCGTCTACCTCTTTGCCACCGAATGCATCTTCCCATCCATCAAGAGCGCCATCAAACGCAAGACCGAGCGCCCGCGAGTGATTTCGTATCCTTCGTCAGAGAATATCGAGACTTCCTTCGTGGCCGACCTGGAGGAGGACGGAGAGAAGAAAGAAGTGCTGCGTCTCGAACAAGACATCTTGTCCGATCTCGCCGACAGCAACCGCTTCTACGTGCACGAGACCAAGGACTTCTGGCGCCAAATCAAGACCGCAGGTTCGGCTGTCCCGGCCAACGCACTGTACTTGCAAAAGGCCTTCCAGTCTCAATCGGAGGAGATCGCCAAACCGTCCGCCACCATCCTCCCCCCAGTCTTCATCCACCCTACCGCCACCGTCGACCCTACCGCCAAGCTGGGCCCGAATGTCTCCATTGGACCCAAAGCCATCATTGGTCCGGGTGTTCGTGTCAAGGACGCCATTGTCCTAGAGGAGGCGGAGATCAAGCATGACGCCTGTGTCCTCTATGCTATCATCGGTTGGAACAGTCGCGTTGGAGCTTGGGCCAGAGTCGAGGGGACGCCCACTCCCGTCAGTAGCCATACCACCAGCATCATCAAGAACGGTGTCAAGGTTCAGAGCATCACCATTCTCGGCAAGGAATGTGCTGTGGGCGACGAGGTGAGGGTCCAGAACTGTATCTGCCTGCCGTACAAGGAATTGAAGCGTGACGTTTCCAACGAGGTCATTATGTGATTGACTTGTCTGGCATATCATTGAAGGTGATGGCATGGTGCACAGAAATGGTTAGGTACTTCCTTCTCTAGGTTCCCTCTTGCTAGAAGAGTGGTGATGGAGAATTTGACCATGGAATCAGGCGCAAGAGCTGTTACAATAGCCATCTATGTAGAGTGTTCGATGCATAGGACCGACAAACACTGGACGACCTGATCCCTGTTCCTCGTCCTATCTGTGCTTCTGTGTATGATTGGTTGTCCAGGACCAGGTATGTCAAGTAAGGTAGTCCATCACGCGATCGGGGGCCAATGTCACGTACTATGCACTAGAATAAGCACTAGAGCTGATGCGAAGTTGAAATAGATATAAAAGGCTATGCCCAGTCGTACTCCGTCATCTATGTTTGCTTTCCTATCCCATAGAACATGTGCTATTCTTTATCCAACTGCTTCAGGCGTTATACGTGTAGCGTATAGCGTTGGTTGTGCAGCTGCGCAACCGAATCTTCGTCCCGAACGTCTCATGGCTGTCTCTGAGATGGAGCCGAGAGGCAGTCAGAGGTGAGTGGAGGCGGTGATACTCTTGAGCATTCAATGAGCAACTTGAATGTCACAATCTCACGCAGATGTTGTATGCGAACATTCTGGCAGATCCGAGCTCGTTGTCTGCGGAGTGACGTTTGGCCGATGGCGGCGGGGACGGAACAACCACGATCGAAGAGGGGGGAGCTTCCGTCCGTCAGATAGTGCAAGGATAAAACAAATGTCACAAAAAGGTGGCAGACGTTGCTACAGTCTTTGTATTGTACACCAAGTACTACAACGGTATTGTGCAGTTCAAGTTCTTCATCATCTGCAGCTACCATCCTTCCCGCCTACTAAGTATTTCATCTGTCTCCGAAGTGTTCTCTGGAAGCAGCTTCCAAAATGCCTTTCGCAGTGACATTCCCCGATGGCTACGGGTGAGTGGTCACCTCACTGGCATCATGGCTGAACCAAACTGTCGCCACATACTGACATGCAAACGCAGCTACGTCGTCTTCGTCGCCCTTGGCTTGACTCCTCTACTTGCCTGGGTTCAAGGCTCCGTGGTCGGACCGCTGAGAAAGGCTGCGGGCGTACCATATCCCAACATGTACGCGACACCCCAACAAGTCAAGGAAAGCCGTGATGCCTACAAATTCAACTGCGCCCAGCGAGCCCATGGCAATCTCTTGGAAAACATGCCCCAGACAATGCTCTACATGCTCTTCGCAGGCTTGGAATATCCCAAAGCCACCTTCGCGGTCGGGACAGCTTGGCTGATCTGCCGGGCAATCTTTGCCTACGGGTACATTACGAGCGAGAAGCCGGATGGGAAAGGAAGGTTGTATGGTTCAGGATACCTTCTCATGCAAGGAGCGCTGTGGGGGATGTGTGGCGCCCTGGCTTTGAAGATGCTGTGAGTGGTGAGAAAGCTTTGGAAGGAGGAAGGCGTTGCAGCAGAGAGTGATGGTGACATGCAGTGGTCTGGTAGCATGGACGTCAAGCAATCTAGATCATAAGTACTGCGAGCTTGAAAGCAGCGACACGCTGTTCATAAAGGCCTGAGCAGCTTGAAAGGCATCAGCCATCACATATTGCCAGTTGTTATGTCTTCATTGGCGCATCTCCCCGTAGTAAGTAAGAGTCATACAAACTTCCGCCCGCTGGGGACTCGGTGATTTCATGACTCAATAATTTTTCGATGCAAACTTAAAGCCACAAACTCATCCCACCACGACACATGAGTATACTGGCTATCATAGAAAAACCCACTCAACACGCTTTGGTAGATCTGCCCGGGCCTCTTCCCACAATTACCATCTCACCGCAATCATGGCTGACGCCGCTTCATCCCTGGCGCAGGACACTGCCAATCTCCACCTGGACGAGGTCACCGGCGAGCGAGTGTCCAAGTCGGAATTGAAGAAGCGACAGAAGTTGAGACAACAGGAGGAGAAGAAGAGAGAAAAGGCCGCTGCGGCACCGCCCAAGGTCGAGAAGAAGAAGGCGTCAAGCGCCGAATTAGACGAGAGCAATCTCAACCCCAACGTGAGTCTCCAGTCCCAGTCCCAGTCCCGGTCCCGTTCACTTGTTGCCTCTCATCCATGAACTCTTCCTCTCTCTGACCGTTTGTCCACAGCAATATTTCGAGATCCGAAGCAAGCGGATCAACCACCTACGAGAGACCAAGTCACCCAATCCGTATCCTCACAAGTTCCAAACCAACACCGACGTGCGCAAGTTCGTGGAGGAATATGCGGACCTCAAGCCCGGCGAGCAGAAGAAGGAGATTGAAGTGCGCGTGGCAGGACGAGTGTACACCAAGCGCGCGGCCGGGGCCAAGCTGGTCTTCTACGACATCAAGGGCAACGGCACCAAGGTGCAGATCATGTGTCAAGCACAAGAGGCCAAGGGGGAGGTTGATTTTGAAGCCCAACATGAACACCTACGGCGCGGAGACATCATCGGTGTCGTGGGATACCCGGGTCGAACCGCGCCCAAGAACCGTCCCAATGATGGGGAGCTGTCGGTCTTCGCGACCGAGGTCATCCTCCTCACGCCATGTCTCCACCAAATCCCGTCGGAGCATTTTGGGCTGCAAGACGTCGAGACCCGATTCCGCCAGCGGTACCTCGATCTGATCATGAACGACAAGTCGCGCAACATCCTGCTCACGCGAGCCAAGATCGTCTCGTATATCCGCCGATACTTCGATTCCAACGGGTTCGTCGAGGTCGAGACACCGATGATGAACTCGATCGCGGGCGGCGCCACGGCCAAGCCCTTCGTCACCCACATCAACGAGTACCACCAGGACATGTTCATGCGGATCGCCCCCGAGCTGTACCTGAAGATGCTGGTGGTGGGCGGGATCGAGCGCGTCTACGAGCTGGGAAAGCAGTTCCGCAACGAAGGCGCCGACTTGACGCACAACCCGGAATTCACCACGTGCGAGTTCTACGAAGCCTACGCGGACGTCTACGACGTGATGGACCGCACGGAGGAACTGGTGTCTGGCTTGGTCAAGGAGGTCACCGGCGGCCACAAGACGACGTTCCACACGCAGCACGGCGAGGTGTACGATGTTGACTGGTCGCGGCCGTGGAAGCGAGTCGACATGATCCCGGCCCTGGAGGAGGCCACCGGCGAGACATTCCCGCCGGGCGACCAGCTGCACACGGCGGAAACGAATGACTTCCTCAAGCGCGTCCTCAAGAAGGTCGGCGTCACCTGCCCGCCGCCCGAGACCAACGCGCGCATGCTCGACAAGCTGGTCGGCGAGTTCATCGAGGAGAAGTGCGTCAACCCGACCTTCATCACGGGCCACCCGCAGATGATGTCCCCCTTGGCCAAGTACCACCGGTCGCGGGCCGGCATTTGCGAGCGCTTCGAGGCCTTTGTGTGCAAGAAGGAGATCGTCAACGCGTACACCGAGTTGAACGACCCGTTCGACCAGCGTCTGCGCTTCGAGGAGCAGGCTCGCCAGAAGGCCCAGGGTGACGACGAGGCCCAGATGATCGACGAGAACTTCTGCACCAGTCTGGAGTTCGGCCTGCCTCCCACGGGTGGCTGGGGCATGGGCATCGACCGCATGGTCATGTTCTTGACCGACAACTACACCATCCGCGAGGTCGTGGCCTTCCCCTTCATGAAGGAGGAAAAGCCCGGCGACAAGACCAAGGAGCTGGCTGCCGAGGTCGTCGATGTCACCCCTCTGCCTGAAGAAGGAATCGGTAAGTCAAGTTCCTTCACTTTTGCTGTTCGAGACACACCAAACCAACCGTTTGCTCTGCTCTCTGATTGCTGCGAAGAGGGACTTTCATGCTGACCTGATTTTCCCCGTTTACAGCCCACAAGTAAAGCGGAACAATGCCACTGTCCGTCCGTCCGTCCGACCGCCGTTCCGCCCCTTCGCAAAGGAGGGAAGACCACAAGAGACCTCCATGTATGAAACGAGAATTCTGCCTGACGAGATGACTCGCCTTCTTCCAACCTGCAGATGACCTTGACCGATCAGCCCGAGACCACTACTCAATCAAGTGTTTCACGCATGTGTGCGATAGGATAGAAATGGAATGGAATGCAAAGATCTGAAAGATTGTCGAGTCCGTGCTTCTTGGTGCAAACAGATTTCCTGTCCCAGCCTAGCACGATCAGTAGAGGGAGGAGGCAGAAGAAGGAGAAAGGAGACAAAGGAGGACCACAGACATGAGATGAATCGAGAATGAGATGCTTTTCATACGATATGCCTGCTATGCATAGAACAGATGACCCGTTGTCTGTTGTCTGTTCTATCTCTCTTTTTGCGTCTTCTATCTCTGTCTTTGGCTCTTCCATTTCCCTCTCTTTGGGTCTTAAGTCCTCCAACAAGAGCTCGATCCATCCATCCATCCAGACTTGTATTTTCGAAGTTGAAACGAACACAATCGCCGAACTAAATACCTACAGCAGAACCTGAACTTGACATTTTCCCTTGATCTTGAAATGCAGCCACATACAGATACGGTAACGGGCAGACTAGGAGTCCAATCTTCCTTCGCTTTACCTATTCGCCAGCCTGTGTACACGACATTGATTGCGACAATAACGACAACGACAATGCAAGAGATTGATTTAGATCAGAGTAACTCGACTAAACAATGCTCTAGATCAGAGTAACTCGAAGTAATGTGTGCTATATACTCCCCATAATGATGAGTAGGGTTTGGTCAAACCGTCCATGGCTCCCAGAAGGAGGTAGGTGGTCATGTTTGACATATATACGTACATATACAATAATCTACAACTGACCTCAGTCCCGCTAGTCGAGAAACCCCGTCCGTCTATTGTCCTGCCTTTCTACATCGGCAGGTTCCGAATCTCGAATCCATGGGCCGGATTGGAATGGAATGGAACGGGCCTTGCCTCACAGGAATCACGTCTGTACCTGTAGTATACTACTAGTACATATTCTGGATCGTGAGTACATCCACTGCCATGCCAGTGGCACTCTGCAGAAGCAAAGCTAGGCGAGCCAGCCTAGGGAGTCCAGTAGTATAGAAAGCTGTGGGTGCTCGGTATATGGTAGCTGTTGCGGTTGTTGTGCCGCCTGAGGAAAGTCAAAAAAGGTATATCCCTTGTTTATTGCTGTCCACCCTTGTCAGATCCGGATGTGAGATGCTGACTTTCCTGACGGCCTCGCAGTTGCGTCCGCAAGCCATTCTCCGCGTTTGTGCTGAGCATAAGCCCGAGAGCCGTGACCGCGGGCATCACGGTTGCTGCGAGAACAGTGGCGCCGCTGCCGCTGCCATTGGCGGCAGAGAGAGTAGCGTGGTAATGCCCAGCGGTGCCGATATTCTGCTGCATTCTCTGGGCCAGAATGTGCGCGGCGCGAGAAGGGAGCCAGACACGACTGCCCAGAACGACGGTCCAGGTCAACAGGGCCAGACTGCCTGCTTGATGGGCGCTCGCAAGGCTGGTGGGGACGAGATACCAGAGGGTGGAAATGCCCAGGATGACCTGCAACCAGACGAAGCCGACGACGCCGTGAACGCCGCGCTTGGCCGCCGCGGGGAGGACTTTCTGCATTGCGCCGGAGCGCGAGTACGCCCAGAGCGCCATGACCGCGGTGAAGGTGGTGGTGGCGAGGATGCGGTGGTCGAGCTGGACGAGGCTCGGGTTCTCCAGCATGTTGCGCCACCACAGGTCCGAGTGGTCCGGAGTATGGCTGTAGAAGGGGTCCCACAGCTCAGACTTGGGCGGCGTCAATCCCAGGCCCATGTAGGGGAATTCGTTGTAGATCAGTCCTGCGTCCAGTCCGGCGACGAGCCCGCCGGACATGGCGGTCAGGAAGATCAGGCCGGCGAGCAGGCCGACCGAGCGTTTGAACGGTCTCAGGGCTGGATTGCGCAGAGCCTTGAGCGACGCTTCAGCCACGTCCGCGGGCGCGCGGAGAAGCTTGTTCGTGCGGAGGATGTCCAGCCCGCTCCACAGCATCGCCAGGTAGCAGATGAACGCGGTGCCCAAGTGTGCGGTGAGTCGGTATTGAGAGACACGCGGGTGCGAGCCCGGTGCGAACAGGTCGTCCTTCAACCCGCTCTTGACCATCCACCAGCCAATGAACCCTTGGAATCCAATCAGGCCTGCAATCCCTAATAGTCGCCAGGCCATGGATCGTGAAACTTGCTTCCGTGCGACAAAGTAGACGGCGGGAACCACGAAGCTGATGCCGATGAAGCGGCCCCAGAGCCGATGGATCCATTCCATCCAGTAGATCGACTTGAATTCGTCGAGCGTCATGCGGGAGTTGAGCAGCTTGAATTCGGGACTCGATCGGTACTTTGCGAACTCGGCCTCCCAGTCTTCTTGCGACATGGGCGGCAGCGAACCAGTCACGGGTTTCCATTCTGTAATGCTGAGCCTGTATGTCAGAGAGTCAAATTAGCAATCCACTCAGTGATATATATTCATGTCGGGATTCGACTCTTCCTGCATGCGCTCAAGGGTTGCTAGTCGGACTTTTGTCCTGACCGTTGATTGCATGCTCAGTGTAGCTTAACGCAATGGAAGGACGTACCCGGACTCTGTTAGCCTCGTGAGGCCTCCAAACACCACAATGCCAAAGACGCTCGCGGCGCTGCCCAGAAGCCAGTACGCCACGGTATTCGACGACGTGTCTGGGAATGAGGATTTCCTGCTCTTGCTCTTGCTTTCGCTTTCTGCACCTTGACCTGACCCCTCTACCGAGCTCTTTGCTGTATCCCGTATCGTCGCTTCAGAGGCCGTCGTACTTGTTCTGGAGGAGATCGAAAACGCCCGGTCGAACCGACTCGTTGCCTCTCGACGCACATCGGCCTGGCTAGTCCGAGAACATGCGTGTAAGAACTGCGTGCGTCGGTTTGATGATTTCGGCGTAGTACTGAGGCAGCGACTCGGCAAGGTTGATGCGCTTCGCCTTTCCGTCTTGAAAGCCGTCACATGCTGAGACTGGCCTAGTAGAGAGGCGTGTCGACGACTACTGCAGTCGAAGAAACGCTTCGACAGGCTCGGAGCAGCTTCACGGAGGGCCCGCCCGAAGCCCGAGGCGGGTAGCATCGCAAGAAACAACCTGCTGCGGCGCTTGAAGCTGCGAGAGTCGATCGAGTCAGCAATGAATGGACGAATACGAACGACTTGAGACTCTCATTTATATTGTTCAGAGAAATGGGAATGCGCAGGGTGTTTGGAGATCCATTGGCCAATCACAGAGCTTGTAAAATCAACCTCTCCACGGGGACTCAATCAGACCACTCACTACGTACTGTGTACCGAGTCCAGGTCTAGATGCATTATGGTAGTATTGGATAAAAGAAGACGTCTTAGTAAGATTGTGTGATCTGTTATTACAAAACCTAAGGTAGCTAGCTACTATCATCATTACTGTCGTTGTCATGAGCCAAAAAGCAAAACGAGATCCTGGCCTCCAGGCCGTCAATAATGGTCCAGAATGTCGTCCACGCCGCTATCCTGTCTTTGTGGTGGCTGCCTGTCTCGTGGATAGGATGGTGGAGCACCAGGAGTTCCTCGTCCTCCGAAAGGACTATATGCTCTGAAAGGCTCATTAACATTGCGCACAGGAGCACTTGGTGCAATTGACGCTGCTGGTGTCATAGAACGCGGTTCGGCCGAATAAGGGGCGTATCCTCCAGGTGCTGGGCTCTGCAGTCGGGGTAAGGTCGGCATTCCTGCGGGGGTCATCGTTCTAACTGGAGCGACACCATTGGGAGTATATGATCTCTCTTGGAAGCCTTGAGTTGGAGTTTGCGCTCGAAACTGTGCACCCGGTAATGGAGTGTTTCGACCTCTTTCTGCAGGTATACGGGGGAAAGACGCCCCGGTTGCAGCTGCCGGCGTGCGACGACCCATGTTATCACCCACAGTAACGCCGCTCAGACCCGCTAATGAAGGTGGCTGTACTGACGAGGTGGACATCTGATTTTCTGGATAAGGTAGAGCGTTGCTGTGATCCAACGGATATCTCGGGCGTGGACCATTGGACATGCTTGTCCCAGGACGCGGAAGTGAATCCAGTTGATAAGCCCCTGGACCGTTTCGATCGTTTTGTGCTGTGCTCGGTCGCGGGAAGGCGGCGCCGAAAGATCGTTGAGAGGATTGGGTAAGACCGGTCATGCTTCTATTAGGCAGTGGTTTACTAAACCATGGGCCATTCATGTCTGCACCTGGCGTCTGTGACCAATCAGAAGTTTGTCCCATGTCACCTGCAGATCCCATCAATGGGGCATTGGAGCTGTAGCTGGACCACGATGTCGCAGAGCCATGCGTGACGGTTCGTGCGGGCATGAGTGGACGTGTTGTGATGTCAGGCAATGTCGGAATGGATTCGCTACTGTTATTGCCGGTGCCTGGCCGAGAGGAGTACTCGGGCAGAGTGGTCATCGTCGTTTGTCGAGATAAGCCAGACAGAGAGTCGACCTCGGACGTGGTGATGTCGGGTAATGTGGGCTGTTTCTTGATGTCCAGTCCTTCACGGGCAGCCTTTGCCTCCTGGCGAGCACGAAGTGCGTTCTCTCTCCTCAAAGCTTTGTCGCCCTTGGCCTTGACGATTCTTTCCATCCTTCGATTGATTTTGTTGCGGCAGTACCCTGTCAGGCCTCCATCTCCTGTGGGGATATGGTGCCAGAGGAAAAGGAGGTACAGAACAACCGAGACCATCAGGCTGAGAACCGAGATGACCCAGATGAAGAGCGTCCAAAGCATGCAGAAAAGTACGACTGCTTGGAGATGGTTCGAGTCCGCAAGTACTCCAATATTGACGAAGAATTGCACCACTGGCGAATGGCCATCTTCTGGCGCATTTTCGCCTTGCGGGATCAGCTTCAGCTTCATGACTGAATACAAGGTGATTGCGTTGAGGACTTGTCGGGGGCCTTCAGCGAAGACAATGCGGAGCCAGGCTTCGAAGGAGAAGTAGGTGAAAAGCGCCACGTAATCGGCACCCTTTCGACTTTTGGTTAACTCGGCGAAGACCAAGAACCGTTTCCAACCCCGTGCTTGTCCCCATCGTATTGACTGTACGCGCACGGCAAGAGGGTCGAGGTAACTTTTGGCAACTCCCCCCTGACGCATGACTCTAACCGCACGTATCCATCGGTAGGCGAGCAGGACGAACGAAAGAATGATGCATCCGGCAAAGATCCATCGGGAGATGTGCAAGGGAATTTCCGGCTTGATCTGACCGGCCCAACGGTCAAAAGCGAGGAGTTGGATGGCTGTGAAGGTGTCGACGGCGTAGACCGAAATGGAGACAATCAGCATGACCAGGAGGTAGCCATAGGCGAAGGGGGCCCAGCACGAGGTTGACTTAAAGTCGTCGAGATTCTATTGTTTCCTGTTAGATCCATCTTCACTCTTCGCTGGCATCAACAACATACAATGTATTCCCATTTTTGTTCGGCGTTGAGTTTGCCATATTTCTCCCGATCACCACCGCAGCAGCCCATGGTGAGAGGGGGTTTCGATTGTGTGTTGTTGTGTATTCGAGGTGGCTGCGACCTGGCAGCTGTTGAGAGGGATATTAAAGAGAGGCAGACCACATGCGCGTGGCCGGTGATGAGATCTGTTGGAACTGTTGGAACTGTTGTTCAAGTTGTGGCTGTGGTATGGCACGGCGCAGCCGTTGGCCAAGGTAGCAAGAGCGCAGCTCAATTGTGTTTGGCAGTTCGAGACCTTTGTCTGTTGAGGCTTTATTGCATCGCTTTGCGTTCGGAAAAAGTGGTATCTGCGCGAGGCAGGAATGGCCTGGTGTATCACAGCAGGTTTGTCCTTTCTCGCTGAGTTGCGATGTGGTGGGAGAGAAGTTGCTCTCAATCGAGATGTGCCAGATGCCCTCAGTTTGGGTGAAGTTGCAGCTGGACAAAGCGCAGCAAGGACAGGAAGACAAAGGGGAGGCTGGTGGTGGACCCTGCGTTGGTGGTGGGAAGAGGTTCTGGCGTATGGAAGGAGAACAATGACACAAAAGAGAATAAGACCGAAAGAGAGCGTGTGAATGGATGAACGAGAGACTTGATACAACAATTGTAGAGAGTGTCGATTGTGTTAGGTTGCTGAATAGACAGGAGGTACCACTGCACTGGCAGGTCAATGAAGAGGACGAGGAGTAGCGAAACGCAGGAGAGATTGAATGGGCCAAGGTGAGTGAATACTAGCAACTACTCTGTCCGGGGGTCTGTCTCCTGCGCGCAAGGGGTCGCGACTTGAGTGGAGTTGCGGCAGCGGTCAAAACAGACCAAAGAGGCTCTATGATTCGACCAGCCCGAAGCTCAAACCACGCTATGAACGTCCAGGCATGGCCTGGCCCCTAAGCTGTCAGCTTCGGGCCTCAGTTTAGGCTAGTCAGGGCCCGGATAGCCCCATCGACCAACCCTAGGTGGCTTGTTCAGCCAATCTTCTGCCCCTGCTGAGATCTTCAAACACGAACTCATGCAGGAACCCGTTCGCGGCGTCTCCGCAGAAAAAGAGGCTGATACCGTTCTCGCCGTTCTCTCTAGTCCGTTTCAAGGTGTTGGGACAATCTGATCCGGGTCTCGAAAGACTCTCGAGATCATCTGCGCAAAAATACAGATGAATTGTTGCATTCAAAACACTGATAAGTCTATATTGCTGTTCTGTCTATGGATCCCTCCCTTCTATGCTCTGATTGCTTCGAGCACACCTCTCTCAACGCCGTCGCTTGAGACCGGGACAAACGCAAAGGACATGACACCAACATTTCTTTACCGAGCCGCTTTGCTAAGGGTTTCTTGATGCTTACCCTTGCCGCCTGCGCGACCCCCAAATCCCCACTCGATCTGGTGTGCAACGTGAATATCAGTTCCGATTTCTTCGGCAAAAGTCCAGACTAGGCCAGGGTTCTTCTGGAAGTACCGGCCAACAAATACAGCGTCCACGCCTTGCTTCAAGATCTCTTCGGCCTGAGGCCCCGAGGTGATGCTACCGACAGCAGTCACCGCGAGAGAATCTCCGACCTCCTGCTTGACGGCGGTGGAAAATGGAACTTGATAGCCCGGGCCGCCCTTGATCTTCTGAGAGGGGTGAATGCCACCAGAGCTGACGTCGAGCACATCCACGCCCAGTTTGGCCAGGATAGGTGCCAGCTTGACTGTGTCCTCGCTTGTCCAGCTCTCGGGAAACTCATCTTGGCCCTTCAACCAGTCATCTGCGCTGATTCGAACGAACAGCGGCATCTCCTTAGGGATGACGGCTCTGACCGCCTCGACGATTTCCCGGGTGAGCCGGGTTCTGTTCTCAAAGGATCCTCCGTACTGGTCGGTCCTTTTGTTGCTGACGGGGCTCAAAAATTCGTGCAGAAGGTATCCATGAGCATTGTGGATCTCAATGACATCAAAGCCGGCCTCCACAGATCTCTTGGCTGCGGCGACGAAGGCGTCCTTGATTCTTTGGATACCCTCGAGAGTAAGCTCGATGGGATGCGGGAAGGTGGGCCCAAAGGCAATTGCACTGGGTGCTACAGTCTCGGTAGGCCAGCCATTAGCCTCCTTCTGAGCGGTATCGCCCATGCTCAGCCAAGGAGCGACCGTCGAAGCCTTGCGACCGGCGTGCGCTAGCTGGATGGCGATCTTTTGGTTCTGACCGTGAGCGAACTCGACAACCCTTTTGATGGGGCCAATCTGCCCATCTTCCCACAAGCCCACGTCCTCTGGTGTGATGCGGCCTTCAGGAGTGACTGCAGTGGCCTCGATAACAGTGAGTCCAGGTCCTCGCTGAAGAATTCCTCCAAGGTGGGCAAGATGCCAATCAGTCATGTATCCATTTTGAGCCGAGTACTGGCACAGAGGCGACAGCCAGATGCGGTTCTGAAAGGTGACACCACGGATGGTGAGCGGCTGGAAGAGTTTGGGAATGGGCTGGCCGCTGGATTGATGCTCCGCAGCGGTACCAGCAGGTGGAATTTGGGCCGGAGTGAAGTATGAAATGCCCTCGGCAGCCTTGTTGACGATAAGGGGTTTTTGTTCGGCGGATCCCATGGTGAAGAAGGGATGTTTTGGTGTTACAGCTCTTGAGGTTCGAGTCTAACTTCTATGGCTTTTTGATAGAAACGATAATCGCGATGTGTGTGGAGGACTGAGATAGTAGTAACGGAAGTTCGGGATGGGGGGTCTCTTTTATAAATCAGCCTTGGTGGACTCGAGCTTGAAGCGTTGAGCAACGGGCGATCCCAGACAGCTCGCTGTACAGATCTCCTCGGTACCACAGTACACGGGATTCCCATTACCTTAATCACTTGAGGCTTTGAAATCACGCACGATTCAACCACCAACCAGAGCGGCGCAAGCTCGAGTATCCGTCAATGGCATGGGCCAACAGGTGGTGAAAGTCTGTAATGACGTGGGAGCCATGGATCATGACAGAATCCAACTGAAATACCAAGTACACATTGTGGCGCTGAAAATCTGCAATGTCGCGATTCTATCAACGATACAGCCGGTCGACTCCGAGATTCAAATGACCTGGCTGTGACGGCTAACAATCATCCGTCTTCAGAGGCTCCGCAGGAGCACATGTCAGACAGAACGATACGTCCCGTCTCTTCGTACCACATTACATAATATTCCTAGATAGGTACCTTAGGTACCAGGTACCTGACACAGTATTTACTACCTTAGGTACATAAATAATAAGGTACTTATCTCCCGTCGGCATTGGTGGGAGATCTCTCGGGAGAAAAATCGTGGTCTCGAAACTTCAAAGACTTCAAGTTCTCGCCCTTCAAGTTGAGCGCGGGCAGATTGCCTAAAGCGGATATCTCGTAATCATTCCCGCCCCAAATTTGGACAGAAGACCGCAAAGTACCCCTGAACAGAACGAACTCTCGCTTTCCTTAGTAAGCATACCTCTGCAAACACCAATACTGTCTCGGCGTCTTGCTGTGAGGTGAAATGGATGCAAATGCCGTGGTACAGCCTGTGGCTCTGTTGCGTCTTCCAGTAGCACGATGTCGGTATTGCTCATGAATATCATAACCTCATGATCCGTGCCAGGAACATCTAGTCCATCTCTTCGGTACAGCCCTACATCAGATGTTCCCAATGACCACCATATATCTTAGCTTTCCCTCCTTGCTGGCCTTGCCCGTGTCACAGTCTCCCAGGCCATCGTCAAGCTGCATTTGGCCACTCTTCCAGCCCCAGCTTTTGCTCACATCAAACCTATCGGGCGCGCTCTCGTAAATGCTCAGAAGTCGGCCTGCCCTGCTTGGTGAATAAATCTTGAAGTACGTCTTGATTGTTGGGCGCGAGTCCATGTAAGGCGGAATGGCCGAGACATTGTACTTTCGATTGCTCCGTAATAGCTCTTCATCCTCTTCGTCTGAATCCAACATCTGAGCATCAGCCGGGCAGAACTCGTTGCCCACGGTTCCGGCAGTCTGCGATGTCTTCCCGGTTTGCGTCGAACCGCCCGCTCGACGAGTTGTGGACGTAGTCCCGTCTTCGGCAGGATCGATGTTTGCATATTCGAATTCATTCAATGACGATGCGGGTCCCTCTTCGTGTGCACCGTCTAATCCTCGCCCTGCTTCATTGACACGCCAGGTCTGGTTCCGGCGCCCGCTCTTTCGAAGTAGCATCTCACGCTCGAGCTGCCCTATCCGGTCGTCCACAGTCGCAGGAACAAACTGAGCAAGCGGATCATCGTGTGGGTCTTTATCTTTCGCTCGATGTAGATATATGCCGAGTTGTTGGACCTTCGGAGTAATGACTCGCTGAATATATAGGTTCCACATACTCCCGGCATACCATACTGTCTGCGAGTAGACCCTCTTCCTGTCCTTGAGCGTCCGCGGGTTGGGAAACTCGGCAGAAAATCTGAAAGGCGGATAATGACTGTACCGTGGTCTGGAGGTGGGTGAATGGTTTCGTGAAGGTGGACGACCACTTTCAGTGACATTTCCTGCGGTGAAGTCAAAGGCCCAAGCGACATCGGTCGGTTCTAGAATGGCCGAGAGTCTGGCTGCTTGTGTGCTCCAGTCCGCCCCAGCGGTTGCATTGGCTGCTGCAGACGCTTCACGCGTGCCTCCCATCACGCAAGACACGTCGTGATCGGGGATCCAGAACTTTCGGGCTTTGCCATTGCCATCCCATGATCCCGACTCCATGTCTTGTGAGACCTCAATGGGACTTACATGATTCTGTTCCCGCATCTTCCCCTTGCTTGATACTGCCGTTCTCTCGGCTTGCAGCTCATCCTCCTCGTAATCCTCGGCGAATTCACTCAACCCCAGTTCAATGTCACTTTCTCGGGCATTAAGCACTTTCTGTCGGAGTTCCAGTGACATCCATAACGCATCAGAGATGACCTTCTCCGGGAGAACCGGAACGCCAAGGATGTCCCTCTGTGACCGAATCTGCTGCAACTGCTCAAATCGAAGGTGCACATAGTGTATACCTTCATCGAGCAACACCAAGAGCGGTGCTATTTCGGGAGATGTATACAAGGCAATCCAGGCCTCGTCCCTTTCAGAGACATATCGATGGTGAGTTGCTATCCTGTAGGGCGCGTCGAACCTAACAGCAAAGAATTGAAGACTGCTCGGCTTTGGATGGAGATATCGTCCGCCAGGGGAGACTAGCCCAGCTTCGACGGCTTTAGCCCTCAGCCGTCGGTTCAACAGCTTCAATGCCAAATACCAACGGTCCCATTCGCCAGGAATGAAGAAGGGATCGCCTCCAACAATTTCGCGGATCAGTTCGGCAGGAATTTCGTCCCAATATTCGTAAGGCATTTCCCATCCTTCTCGACAAAGCATCGCTTTGGCGGAAGACAGAATTCGATCGCCGGCCCTGCCATAGTAGTTATTAGTTACCAGCTTGATCAAGCTGTGAAGCGTAGCAGGCTGCATTTGCCGCAGTATTGATTCCACACAGGAATCCACCAGATCAGGCATGTCTAGCCAACAGGCTGTGGCGAATAGGCCTATGGCTTCTTCTTCCTCCTGCATCGGGCATTCTGTACCATAGATCCGTTTCAGGGCCAGCTCAAACGCAGTTTTGGTGATGTTGGAATCGATATCCTCTGGCGACAGTTTCATCTCCTTCGCCGTACTCTCCGACCAAGAGCCAGAGAACGCCGAGGAAAAGAAAGGTACCCTGTCGAGGAGTAATTTGTGAAGCCTGTAGCTTTGACCAAAGGCGTGGATTGTGATGTCCGAATGACGACCCCCTTGAAACCCATTGTGAAGCAGGTGCCCTGCCAATGTACTTGTGTCTCCCAAGATTCGGCCAATGCCGGACCATTGATGGATGTGTGAGGGACCTCGAGAGACCGTCGGCGTCGGTCCATCACTGGTGATGAAGAGGCGGGCGAGCGCCGCAGATGTGTTTGTGGATGCACCATCGCAGGGGGAAGCAGTGGTGTTTGTGGTCGGATCGTCGACATCCTTCTCCAAGTTTAGTAAAGGGTGCCTGTTAGTCGCAGGAGCTGGGGAACTGGACGGTGTTACATCCCCTACTCGGGCCTGGAGGCGCCGGCTTCCGCCAGCACTGGTCAATGCAGCTAATGGGCCAGATGTGCTGGAGGATATTGCACCGCTCAACGAAGCCAGAGCCGTGTTTGCAGACACCGACGAGGTCGGGGGCCCCGACACGAAGATTGATCGCAGGGGCGGCTCAAAGGAGGTAGCTGAGAAGCTTTGGTCTCCGTAGCTCACAGGAGCAACTTGGCTGGCAGACGCAGCTCTCCGTTGAGGCAGCGGTCTCGAAGTGGGCACACTGCTCGTCACCTGTGGAACGGGCGCTCTGACAATTCCTGAGCTGGAAGATCCGACAATGTATTGAGACGACTGTGCTTGGGGGGCTACGATACTTTGTCCCCTCCATGCTGCCTCGTCAGGGTCCACATCCAAAGTCGAGGTATCGAAGCCTTCAATGAGTCCATCCAGCTCGACTCTGGGAGGCCAACCGGGCAAATCCTCGCGGTCCATTTGGCTGTCTCCCAATATCGTCAGAAAGAGCCCCAATAAGGGGCCCTGGATGCAAGAACCTAGTTGCCTCTGTTCAGCTCATGCCAAATAAAGTGACCGTAGCCAACCTCAAGGTATAGGGCGGATAGGTTCACTTTGATGTAGAATTCAGGTTACAAATGGACGATCAGATTGCTGCCCGCAAATCTGCAAGGGGCATTGGCAGGACGCAGTCAGCGCAAGAAGACTTGATTGTACAGAGAGGAAGCGCACACAACCGAGGGAAAGAGACTTATGAGACCTTCAAGTTATCGAGGAGCTTGTTTTTCCTGAGACCCCAAGCCTTCTGTTGAAAGACATTATAGTAAAGGATGACGAGGGATGGCAGGTGATCACTTGAAGTTGGCCAGAGTGACAGGAATGAAGGATGAGGGATGATGATGATGATGTCCGCAGAGTGTCAAATCCAGGTTCTTGACCCGCAGCTGCCGTTGAGATTAGATCCCAGATAGTCATAACTTAGTACTACTAGTATTTTAGTATGTCGGAGATAAGGAAATGAATCGCCTGCGCCTCTAAGCTGATTAGTACTGCACTGCACTTCAACACCACTGCCTCTATTCTTCCTTCTCAGCAACGAGAGTGCGCAAAAGGTCACTTCGTAGAAAAATTGACCGACTGTCAAGACAGCAGATGGGGCGAACCTGTCAAGTGCATATCTGACGACAAGGCACTGCGAGGAGTACTGCTCCGACAGCATGGCAAGCCGTTCAACCGTCGTCTTGAATGTTCGACATGGATGGGCCTACACTTGCCGCAGTAGTGAGCGGTGACCGCTTCCACCTCTACGGAAAGCCCTTGGGTCCTTTGGAACAACGCAATTCCCCCGATCCGTATCGTTCCCCGTCCGGTCAGCCTGAAGAAAGAGCAGAGGATCAGACGAAGCCGAACAAGGGGTCCGCATTCAAGGAGATTCCGGATGGGACCACAACTGTCAAGACAAGAGCGAGCCTGGAAATAATGGACATGGCTGGTCAGGATGCCCGCGACGATCTTGAAGACAACAGTGCGCATGCACCCAGGGGTGATGATGCTTCGACGATTTCTGTGCAGACAGCCTCCGTGCTTTCAAATGGCAAGACCGTTTGGGGCCCTCCTGTTCTGGATGAACAGGTTGAGGATGCAGATCGGACAGGTTCACCTCCACAGGGCACCGGGCCCAAAGACATGCGTCTCCAACAGGAAAGAGTCCTTCGACTGCCTGCTGAAAAGCTGCAAGCTCTTACCTCGTCTCCCGAGTCGATTCCAAGCCATCCTTTGGAGCAGAGGCAATCGCCACGTTCTGCCAGTGAGGGAACTGATGCTACTGTCGTTGACCTACCTCCGGCAAAGGTGGTCGATTTCTCCGACGAAGATGTGTTCACGTCCGGATTTCCAGTAGATGCAACCGAATCAGATAGGCCTGGCGATGCGGAGACCAAACGGCCTCGCAAGAAACTCACCATAGAGGTTACTGCTGAGCACAATATTCGGTCACTGAAGAGCCCGGGTCTCAGACCAGGAGGCCTTCAACGAGCCCTCTCGACACCAAGTTCCATCAAGAGCCCTCAATCCCCTTCGAGACCAGACAGAGTACGTCCGACCCTTAAGGTACCAGATGGTGCTCTGCGTACTGAACACGCCAGCGGAAGAGGAGTGCCCTCTTCTGGTCGACCCTTCCCCTCGCCGATGCCCCCGTCAATCCCCTTGCCGCCCATGTCGATTCCCACCTATCTGCAGCTCGAGCTCTCCTCTACACGGCCTTCCCAGCTCTATCTGCATCAGTCTTCCAGGAGCGACTTCCCCTATGAGTCTTCACAGGCCAAACTTGAGAGGCTGGTCAATTTTCTGCTGCTTCCTCTACACCTGGAGAGTGTACTCTGGTTTGGCATGCTTACCTGTCTCGACTCCTGGCTGCACACTTTTACTATTCTGCCGCTCAGGCTCCTTAAATCATTCTACCTACTTACGAAATCATGGGCTATCAATTTAATGACCGAGGGCCACTTCGTTTCGAACTTTGTGTACAACGGCGCTGGAAGAATGTGGGAACGGTGGCGTCGGAGCAGCATGTTGCAGGATCCAGGGCCACCAGCATCTCAATCTAGTCCCCCGGAGACAAAGCTGTCTCAGGACGGACTGAGTCGCGACCGCAAGCAAGCGAAGTACCATCAGAGAACCAAGTCCATTCCGTCGACCTTACTACCAGACAACAAGGCGGACATACTAAAGGGACTGTTGATTATATGTACATGCCTCATCCTCCTCAAGCTCGATGCCAGCCGCATGTACCACTGGATTCGAGGGCAGGCCGCGATCAAACTATATGTCATCTACAACCTACTCGAAGTCTGCGACCGCCTCCTTTCAGCGCTAGGTCAAGATGTCCTAGAGTGTCTCTTTTCCAGAGAAGCGCTTGAGCGCAAACCGGACGGTCACAGCAAGGTTCTGCGGCCTTTTTGGTTGTTCGTGCTTGCTCTGGTATATACCGTTGCTCACTCCACGGCCCTGTTCTATCAGGTCATCACGCTCAATGTGGCCGTCAACTCCTATTCGAATGCACTCATCACTCTACTCTTATCCAATCAATTTGTCGAGATCAAGTCGACAGTGTTCAAAAAATTCGAAAAGGAGAATCTATTTCAGCTGACCTGTGCGGACATTGTCGAACGATTTCAACTCTGGCACATGCTTATCATTATCGCGTCTCGCAACATCGTCGAAACTGGTGGGTTGAGCGCTGGATTGAATGCCCTGACAGGATCATCATTAGCGACGGCGTCGACTGCTTTGACCAGTAACAACAACGTGCCCTTGACGACTGCCCTTCCACCGATGTCATCAAGTACGATCCTCCCTCGGTCCTTCACTCTTATGCCCACTGTGGTGAGTTCGATAACATCATACGCACCTGCAGTCAGCCAAGTACTGGGACCGTTTCTGGCCGTCCTGGGTTCGGAGATGCTGGTGGATTGGATCAAACACGCGTACATCAACAAATTCAACAACACCCGTCCAACGATCTATGACCGATTTCTAGACGTCCTTGCCAAGGACTACTACACGCACGCTTTCGGTGATCAGAATCTAACCAAGCGGCTGGGGCTCCCCGTCATACCTTTGAGCTGTCTCCTCATCCGGGCCAGTGTTCAGACCTACCAGATGTACATGGCAGCCTGGGTACCGGCAAGGCTGTCAAGCTCGTCGAACAGTCTGGCCAGCATTTACGAGCACTATTCGACTGCAAGGTCAACAATGCCGCTGACAACGGGGACGGCAATATCCAGGACCGTCGATGACCTCATCAGAGCCATTCCAGCGTTTATTACGGGCTCCCCCCTCGTAACCCACTTGACCGCGGTCCTTGTGGTCCTCCTAATCTTCTTGATGTTGCTAGCCTGCAAACTCGTCCTTGGGATGATGCTGCTCGCCTTCGCCAGATCTCGGTACCACTCGATGAAGATGCGCGAGGGGAATTCGACCTATCGAGTGGAGGGCGGCCGGCGTGTTGGCGGGTGGGGAGTCGTGGAAGTGGATGAAGACAAGCGGCGTTGGATATATGAAGATGACCCTGGCGGGCTGCGGGCATTACGTGAACGGGAGGAGCGCGAGAAACAGAAGCAGCAAAAAGACAAGGATAGGGGTGGAGGAGTCGACAGCCTCGATACAGTCGAACGGTATGAAATGGTCGCGAAACGAATATGGTGAGGAGAGGATACTGGCTTGACTATGGGCAAGAGATGCGTGGCGCAAGCTCTATTCGAAATCGATTGGCGACGGCAGCGTCTCAGATCGCAAAGACAAAGATCAAGGTTTGCGAATTTCCCGACAAGTCAGAATAATTCCCAGCGGAATTGTGGTGGTATCAGGCACGAATGATGCCGGCCAGACCTTCGAGACTTGACAATCACAAGGGCGAAGATTTGACAGCTTGACTACCTACCTAGTTGTGGCTTTTTTCTGGGTACAGCCCTATGATCCTTGTCATCTCTTCGCGCAATAATGAAGGGATTAATGTGGGAAATGAAACACCACAACCCGGTGAAAGGGAATCTACCTTATCATCAACTGGCGCTGTGTTCCCGCTCAGTGACAACAGGCTCGATCCATGCTTCATCGTTGCACCCCTTCGGATGCGGATTCTTTTTGGCTGATTCCGAGCAGCACCAGGGGCCGGTTTGAAGAGAAGATTCCACAAACAATCCCAGACGCAGCTGCACACGCCGCGGTTTGTAGCCAACGAAGCTTTCCCCGGGGGATGCGATTCACACCAGAGAATTCAATGCCACTACTACCGAACTCGATGATAGTAGAGCAGCTAGATGCAGACCTGGCTCGCTATGATCATCATAGGCTCCCTTCCATTTGATGCAACAAGATTCCACGTACTATCGAACAGGGAGAAATTTTAGTCCATTCGGCGCAGCTAAGCCCTGCAGACGCCTCATGATGCAGCTTGCAGCCCGGGTGTCCTATGAAGCGCCGTCGGACTCGTATATTTCGGACGTTTGCTGCAGGACAACCGGGGGTTTTTGTGATTGACAGCGCGTAGCTAGTTTCATGATCAACGGCACAGACCCAGTGTGGACCGTCCATCTGGCATATGCCATACGCCCCCGTACGGACTGGATCACGGTTGGCTCGGGCTAGATACGAGGGGCTCGGAGGGGTTGGCCTCGGAGCGCAGCTTGTTGATTGTTTTTATGTGAGGCCAAAGTCAAATAACGCCAACAGTGCACGACAGTGGAAAATGGCATTTCAGGTGTGTAGGTAATTGAGTTATATGCCGATGGCATCATCGTTTTTCACCATATGTGATATGCGATTTTTTCTTCGGCGCTGTTGATGTGTGCCGTTGGACACGTGGAGGTGGCAGTGCGCAGAGAGACTCTGGAGAGAGAGACGGTCGTCTGTCATAGATCGACTGAAGATCGCGACCAACGGACTTCCATACCATGAGTGAAGCCTCATCAGTCCTCCTCCGCCTAGGGCAGTGGTCGTTCAACAAGGTTCAAGTTTGCCGTCGCCAGTGGCTTCAAAAACTGATCGGTCACTCGTTGATGTGAAGGTTAGTAGTACGTACATGCAGTCTGTACTGCTAGTAGCTGAGAAGATTGCCTTGAGGACCAGGTTTAGATTAGATGCAAGGATCGATCGGTCTCGAATGCACCTAATTACCAGATATCTACTTGTATCTACTAGGTACCTACTAGCACCTAAGCTCCCTGGTATACGGACTATATCTTTGCTAAACATCCTCACGAATGTGGATATACAAGTAAATTCGTGGAAACCCCGGAGCAAGAAGACAGCCGGTAGTAGCTATTAGCTAATCTGGGCCCATCATCACACAGATGAGAATCCTGGTTGCTGGACACCGTTGAATTGGAAAGGGAAACGCAGCTTTTGCAATCACTCTGACATACTGCTAGCATTTTTCCTCCAACCCGAGTGCATGATGCTGGTGATGCGGCCCTAGTTCGTTTACCGTGAAGCCCTGATCAAACCAGCCAGGATGATAGGGACGAGATATACGTACTGAATATAGGCATCCGTAGCAACATACCTACCTCACCTAGATACTCTATCTATCTTCTCTCATCTGACGATGTCGAAATCCTCTCTTTATGTATACAGTATTATACCTCATTCCCTAGACTCTCACGGGAAGCTATACCACTAGTATATTCTATCGTGCCTGTAGCACGCCTGTACAGTGTCTGTGTTCTTCCTCACTGCAGTGCAGCAATGGGAAAATAAGCTCCGACTCGCTATCAAATCACCACTGCGCTCACGGAGCAGTCGTTCAACAGTCACTCGTCCCTGACTACTACTCGATTGTGTTGTCTCTTCCTTGCGATACAAAAGGTCAACACAGTCACGACACTCATCTCTCATTGTTTGCGCGATAAGAGAACCCTCTTCACTGGGATCCACGAAAGCTACTGGAGGGCGCGCCAACTCCAGCTTTGTTTCCGGTTCTCCCCCGGGCAAGAAGGGTCCAGTAAGGGACCTTAGGACAACGACTGGGGTTCGTTGAGCAGTGCATCTGAGGCACTTCAACCGCTGCACCGCCCAGACTGCAGTGCCAGTGATCTACTACTATCATCACAGCTACTAGTAACCCAGACGCAGGTTGGCTGCATTATTGCACCGCAGGCCTGTGAACAGATCCAGACACAGGCAACGACAGACACAAGGTACAGGTGCTCTGCGTGACTGCTGCTGCTGCTGCCACTGCCACTGCCACTGCGTGACTGCGCTGTCTGTCCGCCTCCTGCCAACTCTACTCCACTGACCGTGCCATCTCGCTTCACACCAACGTTACCACCTGCCACCTCAACCTTGACTTCACAACATGGATCTGAATGCCGATGTCGACACCGGCACCACTTTCAAACGTCGTCGAGCAACGTTGACCAAGAATCCTCCTCCCTCCGCCTTCCCCTTTGCTCACTCACTTCGCAAACCTCAATCCACCGCGATCCTCCAGCGTGCGCCCTCAGCTCCTCAAGTACGCAGTCAAGCGACCTCACAGTCGAACCGCGACTTCCACCACCGAACCCAGTCCTCCGCCTTCGACTCCTCGACCTCGTCCCTCGATCACCTCAGCAGAGATCACTCCCCCGTCTTTCCATCCTCTGACTCCTTCGCAACCGCTGCCAACAACCGTCAATCACCTCTCACCTCTACTTCCGCGTCTCAGGCCTCAGATGCCCGGCACAACGACTTGATCGGCGCGCCCTTCGATGCCTCAGGTCTCCTCTCATCCTTCCAAGCCGTCACCACGAATGAGAAATACAATACCGGTGTGCAGTCGCCGCAACCTCCTCCACTAAATCACGTCAATACCAGCCCCGATCTACGCCAACACCCGTTGCGAACCTCACAGACGTTTGGCCCTGGAGGCCTTGCGATGATGGAAGTCACTCCTCCCAAGTCGGAGAACGGTATTCTGAGTCCCAAGCGGTTCTCAGGTGATGGACAGGCGAAACCTGCAGGACCGTTTCGCAAGAAGAGCGGCTTCTCAAGCTTCGTCAATAATATGCTCGGCTCTCCCAGGACGATCAAGATCTCCGCGCCCGAAAACCCCTTGCACATTACTCATGTTGGTTACGACAATCAGACTGGGCAGTTTACGGTGCGTTGGACCCAGTGCAGTCCCACCATCTCTTCAGAGGGATGCTGTTCCCTCACCCTCGAATATGTTGGCTAATTTCTTCGATGATAGGGACTCCCTGCGGACTGGCAGAGGATACTATCTGACAGCGGAATTCCGAAGACTGAGCAGGAACAGAACCCTCAAATGATGGTGGACATTGTCGAGACTTACAGAAGCAACTTTGACGGCACAGATGATGGCGTCTGGCAGAAATTCGACCATGCAAAGCTTTCCAACTCTCCTCAGAGTAGCAGCAACAGCAGCAGCCATCAGGGACCAGGGCTGACTAGTCCGAGCATTGGATCCAACTCCACTGCGTATTCGCCAATGGTTGGAGTAATGTCGCCTCCGGCAAGTCCTCGTTTCCCGCAAAATCATGAAGGCAGCTTCGAAAATCCTCGAGCACCACCTCCGATCCCAAAAGCTCCTGTGACAAGTCCTGCGCCTGCAATGAGATCTGGTCAAGCTATCATGATGCCGAACCGAGCCCCTCCAAGACCTCCTCAGCAACACTTGCGAGACCTCGCACCGGCACGTCCTGCTCCCTCCCCTCCTGTTACGCGAGATCTGCCGTTGCGACCATCAGAAGAACACCCGAAACAGCCACCCTTGACATCTTCAACTCCGGTCTTACCACCAACCCCTGGGGATGCAGCACGTAGTCGGGCCAATTCCAAAAGCTCGGCGCTTACGCCTCCTCGTTCGCAGGCAGCGGTTCAGTCGCCAGTTCAATACCAGCAGCAGCAGGAGCATGCGATGATGTTGGCCCAACAAGCCATCCAGAGCAAGCAGCTTGACCGTAGTCGGAGTCAGCGGCAGGCTGCGCAAGGTGCGCCCGACGTTCCACCCAAGATGTTGCCTCAGCACGCCAGTCCGAACGTCCCACAAACACAGTTTACCGCTGTCACAGACTCGCCGGCTTTGCACGGTACACAGCAGATGGCCATGGTTGGACCTGCGCCAGGTCCCAGACCTCGGACGAGGCGGCAGCAGAGCACCATGGTTGATATCACAGCAAGACTGAAAGCGATTTGTAGCCCGGGAGACCCCACCACAAAGTACACCAACCTCAACAAGATTGGGCAGGGCGCTTCAGGAGGCGTGTTCACCGCCTATGAGACTGGCACAAAGAGATGTGTTGCGATCAAGCAGATGAACCTGGAACAACAACCAAAGAAGGACCTCATTATCAACGAGATCCTTGTCATGAAAGACAGCAAGCACAAGAACATCGTCAACTTCATAGACAGTTACTTACACAATGGTGATTTGTGGGTGGTCATGGAATATATGCAAGGGGGCAGTCTCACGGACGTGGTGACCTTTAACGTTATGAGCGAAAGTCAAATCGCAGCCGTGTGCAGAGAGGCAAGTGGTTTCATGATGACGCTGATGACACTTGTGGCTAACTGTCTTAGACATTGTACGGATTGCAGCATCTGCATTCCAAGAACGTGATCCACCGAGACATCAAATCCGACAACATCCTGCTCTCGGAACGAGGCGACATCAAGCTCACTGACTTTGGCTTTTGTGCACAAATCAATGACACCCAGAACAAGCGCACGACAATGGTGGGGACGCCATATTGGATGGCTCCGGAAGTGGTCACCCGGAAAGAGTACGGTCGAAAGGTAGACATTTGGAGCCTAGGTATCATGGCCATCGAAATGATCGAGGGAGAGCCGCCTTACTTGACAGAGTCACCACTGCGAGCGTTGTACCTGATTGCTAAGTACGGAACGCCTCGTATCAAGGATGAGCAAGCGCTCTCACCAGTCTTCCGAGACTTTCTGCATTTCGCTCTGAGGGTGGAACCTGAGAAGCGAGCAAGCGCACATGATCTGCTACACGTAAGTGATGGTGCACGCCTGACTCATGCTCTACTGACAACATCGACAGCATCCTTTCCTTCAAAACTGCGCTCCGTTGGCTAGCCTTGCTCCTCTTGTTCAGTCGGCCCGAGAGAGCCGAGCTGCGGAAAAGGCCAATCGGGGGCATTAGCATTGTACAACCAGCGCAGACTATTACCTGTGGTCGACATAGGCGACGGCCATTTGCCTACGCTTGGGACATGACCGTTTGTGCCATCAATGGCCAACCGATCACGAGAAGGGGTTCTTCTACAAGCCTCATTGCATGTTCACACCACAATAGCCTCTATTGGAGGTAATGGAGGTACTGGAATAGGCTTTGTGACACCTGGACCACAGGTTATGGACAAATGCGGTGCTCCAGCGACCTCAGGACCTTCACCTTCTTTTCCACCACATTGTCAGACAACGTTATCTCAGAGCTGTTTTCTTTTTACGACATTCAAGGAACCTTCACGATTACACGAATGGATGGCGAAGGCGTTTAGTGCGATGAGAGTATGGGCTGTCTCATGGCTGATTTTCAGTGGCTACACCCTAGTTTCGGGGCAATTTCTAGAGGTCTGGGAGAAAAGCACCGAAGATGAGCGAGGGCGTGACTCTCAAGTGTATCAGCAAGAAGCGGGAACTACGTACCGGACAGAGAGCCTTCGAGAATAAGAGAGTGGATTTCGGTCCGTCCATGAGCTTTCAGACGGTCTACACTTAGTAACATGATCACGATCTTCGAGTTCAAGTTTGTGATGTTGATACTAGTATTGTAGAATTGTGGCTGTGTTGATGTTGTAGCTGTGGCGCCCAACTTCGACTCGCCCTCCTCCTGCTAGTACTAGTAGTAGTATGGCAGTGCGTCACCGGCTGTCGAAGTTAGGCTCCGGCCGCAGTGCACTTGTCCTTCACGTTCACAAGACAAGACGTGAAGTTCGTCCGTTCTGTTCATATCATAGCTGCTCCTGCACTAGAAGAGTGTGATCCCGTCGTGTTGCGCCGTCCCGTCTGTGACCAACTAGACTTTCTACGTGCCCAGCATGTTTCGGGCTCAGCAGAATGCCTTTGACGATGTCGTCGGTAAGCCGCGCTGGACAAGTCTCGATGTTGTCTCAAACTGATCTCCGGTGCAGCCAAAGCAACAGACGAGAACCTGACTTCCGAGAACTGGGAATACATACTGGATGTTTGCGATCGAGTGTCCTCCAACGAGAGCATGGCCAAAGATGTTGTGGCCGCCATGATCAAGAGGTTGGCGCACCGCAACGCCAACGTCCAGCTATACACGCTGGAGCTCGCCAACGCGCTGTCACAGAACTGCGGCATCGCCATACACAGGGAGCTTGCATCCAAAAGCTTCACCGACCAGCTGCTGAGGCTGGCGAATGACAGGGTGGGTTGACCTGGCTGCAGTTCTACAAATCGGCACTGACGACGAACCAGAATACACATCAACAAGTCAAGTCAAAGATCTTGGAACGAATGGAGGGTTGGACGAAAGAATACTCGAGCAACACCGAGCTTGGAATCATGGAACAAGCGTATATGAAACTGAAGGCGCAAAGTGAGTGCCTGCTTTCGACGCGCGAGACAATCACCACGACTGACCTTTCTTAGACCCAAATCTACAGCCGCCTCAGGCGCCAGTGAAGAAACAGATCACCGAATACGACCGGCAGAAAGAAGAGGAAGAATTACAACTGGCCCTCAGACTTTCTGTACAAGACAAGTCTACTGGTTCTTCAACCCAGCCATCCGGTTCGGCTGCCGAGCTCGCAGCCCAACCCGCGTCAGGGTCGCAGCCAACACCCCATCAGCCGGTCCCATCGGGTACGACTGCAGCAACAGTCTCCAGAGTGCGTGCGCTATTCGATTTCCAGCCTTCCGAGCCGGGGGAGTTACAGTTCCGCAAGGGCGATGTCATTGCGGTCTTGGAGTCGGTCTACAAAGATTGGTGGAAAGGGTCGCTGCGCGGACAGACGGGCATCTTCCCCCTCAACTACGTCGAGAAGCTCCAAGATCCGACTCCAGAAGAGTTGCAGAAAGAGGCGCAGATGGAGGCGGAAGTCTTTGGACAGATCAAGAACGTCGAGAAATTGCTGGCTCTGTTAAGCACCAGTTCCGCCGACATAAGTGTTAGGGACAATGAGGAGATCACCGAACTCTATCAGAGTACGTTGTCGATCAGACCGAAGCTGATTGAATTGATCGGCAAATACACGCAAAAGAAAGGTAATGCCACGTCCGCTTGAAGATGCGACTAGTATACTGACTTTTTTCCCCAAGATGATTTCCAGCAATTGAATGAGAAGTTCATCAAGGCGAGACGAGATTATGAAGCGCTGTTGGAAACGTCAATGGCTCAGTCAGCACAGTATGCTCGCCCCGGTCCAGCAGCATACGGATACGGAGGGGCGCCGCCACAAGGCTATCCGCCCCAAAGATACTTTACCCCTGGTGAGATTTGAAATATGACAGACCAGAAGTGTGGATGGGTTCTAATCGTGGTCTTCAGACGGCCTACCTCCCAACAACGCCATGCCGTATCCGCAACCTCAGCAGTCCTTCCAGCCTCCGTACCCGGTAGCCTCGCCGCCTCCTCAGAGCCAAACTCCGTCCGCCCAGCATCCCTCACAACCGCCAGCAGAGGCATATGCCCCATATCCGAACCCATCACAGGTATCCGCGCGTCGACCATCACAGCCCGACAGCTACGCCGCATACCCACCTTCAGATCTGAACACATCGTACAACGTCCCTCCACCGTCCGACAGGCCGGGCTCGCGGCCAGATCACCAGCCCTATCCCAGCATGCAGCCGCCGAGCGTCGCACAATTTCAGTACCAGGACGACGGCAAAGACCATTCCCATCCCAACTACTCGAGCGAAGATCTTCAGTCTACAAACATGCCCCCTCAGCTTCAGCAACACCAACAACAACAGCAGCAACAGCAGCCGCAGAGTGGCTACCCTCCCGCGCCGCAAGTTCAGCAACAGCAAGGTGTGAACCCAGTCTATCCCCCGTCTTCTACCGCTCCTCCACAACCCTATGACTACCAACCCCCGCAACAACCTCTCGCTCCAAGCCACGGCCCTCCTCCGATCCCCGGAGCTGCGTTCAATACGACGGACCCTCGACCGTCCACGCCTCTGGCGCAGGCCTCGGCGTATCCCGTCTTCTCCTCGCCCGGCGCCCAGTCCAGCCATCCGCACCCTCAACCACCGTATCAGGCGTATAGCGAACGGCCAACGAGCGTGGTAGGGCCGGCACCTGGCGTGGCCGGAGGAGGCAGGAACAGTTACTACAGATGAGCGAGAGACGCTGTTTTCTTCGTCTGAGGCAGTTTTGAATCAACGTAGGTCTGGGCCCCTGAACACTGCGGCAAGGGAGCCACGCGCTTTCAGACGATCAACAAAGCCTCCTGGATGCTGTGAGAAGTGGGAGAGAGAGAGCAAATGTGGAGCAAGCACAGGAGCCAGCGGGAGGACCGAGGTCTGTTTCTTCTTTCTGCAAAGGTCGGTCTTTGGACGAGCCGGATTGACAACTTCCTGTCCACGTCGACGCCCTTGCAAGCTCATTAGAACCACTGCAGTCCACTTGGGAGTGCGAACTTGGGATGGCGCAGGTCAACAATCCATGATTCATGAAGTCGAACAGAGCGAGGCGAAGACTCTACTCGTATGATGCGCAGTCGCAGTCGCAGTCGAGACAAAGTCAGTCCAAGCAGGCGAATCAAGTTACGTAGTAGCATGCGAGCGCATTTGAAACTCAGAGCATATATGATGAAGAGTCAAGAACCTAGTACTACGTATCCTACGCACGCATGCCTCCCACTACTAGGAGAGAGGGAGCGCTGCTCGTTTTCTTTTCCGTGTCCAAGTGTCTTGCTTGCGTTATCTTATCGGTTGATCACCCCTTTCAAAGGCATTTGTAATGCTTAACTTGAAAACGATGTGTAGCATCCCTTTTCAATACCCTTTTCCCAGTGGTGTGCCAGTTCCATCGGTGTGGAGAGTGTCGTCGTGGGAAGGCACAGGTCAAGGACAAATGCATAGGTGTAGTACGAGGACAAAAGGAAAGCAATGGCAGTGAAAACCATCTTAACAACTTGAAAGCTATCACGCGTATAAACCACATTGTGAAGTCCCAGCAAATATGGTAGCGTAGCGACCAGTATTGCCATACTAATAGTATGTGAGCATTGATCCTGTCTCTAGACAACATGTACTGTGGGTGGCACTGTTTGTCTATCGCTGTGCCAGTGTCGTAGGCATAGCCACCCGAGGAAAATGTCCATTGTATATGTCCGTTGTTGAAACCAAGAGCGGTGAGCACATGGGCATCCGAGAAAAGGTCATTTGGGCTTCGTTTTTGTTGTTTAGGCCGCTTCCGATTGTCCTTGTTGGCTTTGGCAATCGCTGAGGCTAGGTGCACGGTAGATTCTTCCGTCAAACAGATAGCTTCTCTTTTTCGCGGGCTCATACAGCGCGTCCCGAATGCTCTGACAAACTCCCATCTAAACCCCAGGCTGCCAGCACCCGCCAGCAACCGTCACCGGCACTGCCCCGACGATATTATCCCCTGCCACCACACTCCAATCTGGTCTTATCACTACCAGCCAATCAATCACCCAGCGTCGATCTATTTGTTTTCTTGGCTCTGCATGTAGGTGTATCCAAAGTATGCAAACGCGGCTCCCACCAGGACCACGGCGTACATGGCGATGCCCAATCCAGGGCCGGAGTCAGATCGTCCTCCAGGGCCAGCGGCGATTTTATCAGTGGCACCGGACTTGGGGGCAGGGTCGCCAGGAGCTCGCTTCACGTCGCCAACGAGCAGGCCGTCCAGGATCTCACGTGCTTCGTCCGAGTGTCCAACATCTTCAAATGCTTCTGTCGCGTCTTGACCGCCGACGTCGAGGAGGACTTCTTCACCGCCCCTACAAGCAAATCACACAATCGTCAGTAACACACTCATTGTCAAAGATCAAGGTGACGCTTTCCGCTTGCGCTTGCGACTGGGGTTGGGGTAAGTCGAGGCAGTTGTCGCCATATCAACGTGATGTGGGGCTCTCAAGGGTGGGGGACGAGGCAACAATGTTCTCAAAGGTAGTCCATGTGGACGGTATGTGGAATGCACAAAAGACGTACGGATGCTCATCGACAAAGGAAGTGCAGTTGTAGACCTTGTCATGGATGACAAGCCAGAGGTCCTTCTTGCTCGCGTGTTTGGCGACCTCAGCGTAGGTGAGCTCTTCCGACATGGTTGATAGGGTTGGTTGTTGGGGCGAAGGCTCTTCGTTCGGTGTGCTGTGAGAGGGAGAGGGAGAGGATGATAGTCAAGGCTGTGACCGTAGGCGTGGCTGTTGTGTTGGGATGGCGCAGAGAAGCACCTGAGGTGAGTGAGGTCGGGGAGTTGCAAGATGTTAGATGTTGAAGGGGGGTGGGAAAAGGGACACAATAATATTATTTTTCGACCGCAGTCTGTGGCCGATGTGGACAGCAAGTGCAGTTGAGGGGAAGCAGCAGTAGGAACAACAAGAGTACCTTGGGTGACTAGGAGTAGTAGTACTGTAGTAGGTAGCAATTCAGTGCAAGTGGTAGGTGCTAGGTAGAGAGTAGTAGACCGCGGCCGCGATATAGATAGAGAGTCGCCTGGAAGGAAAGTGCACATACCTTTAGGTACCTAACTAACTACTCTGTAGAGTCCCTTATCCACCGTATCCCACTGTGTAAACTACTGAGAAAGGCTCCTAGCCGCCCGTGGTGGAGCCACTCGAACCGCGCAATCGTCTCCGGCACTGGAGTGTGAGGAGGCAGCTCTGATCGGGAGCCCGTCGGCACCGCGAATCGGAAGAGAGTCAATTCAAACGCCAACAACGACGGGAATCCATGCCCCAACTTGTTGAATCCAAGAGGCTACCAGGGCCACTTTGTGTTGCCCGCCCTTCGATTGGCGCCACCGTTGAATTCCGACGGACGCTGAATCCCGCTTTTCACTACTACAGAGTACCTAGTACTTACTCATAGTACTGCCTCCACCATCTTATGTCCTCGTTTGTTGCGTGCTCGCAATTCTTGAGGCGGTGTCCTCTTCGCAGGCGCTCCATCCGGGTTGTTATACCCAGGTGAGTAGTCAGGGAGGTACGTTAAGCGATCGAGATTGGAAGGTTCTTGGGATAGTACTGAGCGACACCGTGTTCAAGGTAGGAGTTACCTAGAGAGTAGATCCCTAGGTAGGTAGGTAGAGTGGGATAGCGGGACACCAACACAATTGTAAAGGACCCTGGCAGTAGGCAGGCATTATTGGAACACACAATCACTGTATCACGTGATTTCGTGATTTCCTGCAACTCTTTGTTGACTGCGCTCCCCCGCACCATTTCATGCCAACCGAGAATTGCCTGCGATCGTGATATCTGCGTCATGCAACGCACACTCGGCCAACAGCGATGACAAGCCATATTGTGTATGATGGGGTGCCACGGTCTGGCGAAGATGGAGAACACAATGGGCAAACCATTCCACAACTCTTTGCTGGGCAGAAGTTATGGTTTCATCACCAGATCCCTCAACGGAAATGGCTGATCGACAATGCCAGACGACACGGTGCAACTGTTGTAGACCTGGACAAGCAAGCCGATGTCAGACTTGTTGACCATACCAAGAAGAACCATGCTCCAGGCACACATTCCTACAGATATGTCGAACTCTCCATCAGGAAAGGGGCATTGGAGAACCTAGCCGACCATGCTGTCGGTGCGGCCAGCCGCGCTACACGCCCAGTCGGAAGTATCATGACAGCACCAAGGACTGTCAGGATGCATTTTACACCGGAGGAAGATCAATTCTTGTGGAACTGGATGAAGCCATTCGAAGACAGTGGCGGTCCATCAAAAGGTAACGAAATTTATAAGCAAATCGAACGAGTGAGCCCGAGGCACACTTGGCAGAGCTGGCGCGACAGATGGCTCAAGACCACCAAGTTTCAGAACAGACAAACCACTCTACAACCTGGGGACGCGCACGAGCAGCCTGAGGAAGAGACGCTGGAGTCCTCATACCAATCGCGACCGAAAAAGAGACGGAGAGATGTCGATGATGAGGGGGATAGGGAACGAGTACCTGGGACTCAACAGCAACGTCAGCGCTCTGTCACAGCAGCGGCCGATGTTTTGATCAATGAACAGGCTGTTGAACCCAGGTCAGGCCGACCGACGACAGACCATGTCGAGGGGAGCATTCCACCGAAGCCCTCACCACAGAAATGTCACTCTCCAGACGCTTCTAAGCAAGGGACGAAGCAGCCTGCACCGTCCGAGCCGGCTCCGGGCGTGTCTAGTGTCAGAGAAGATTTCAGCTTGGAAGAATTCGAGCAGCTTTACAACATGGTGCCCAAGCTAGCTCATATTAGTTTCAGCATCTTCCATGATACATGGATGGAAGTTGCCTCTACACCCGACCACTGTGAACATACCGCCGAAGAATGGGAGGAGTTCTGGATCTCGAAGGTGGTTCCCGTCTATTGCGAGAAAAAGGGGCTGTCCATCAGAGAGGTAGCTCCTTATTTGCTCGAGCAGCCCGAGAAGACATCCAATGAGGTCCCACGCGCCAGAGAGAGAGATGAGGCTGGTGGCCACGATCCAAGACCCGATACCGGACCAGACAAAAATGTCTGCAGCAATTGCTTCACAGACGAGAGCAAGCAATGGCGGGTTGGTAAGGACGGCACTCGACTCTGCAACCCTTGTGCCGTATTCTTAAGAGCCCATGGGGTCCCCAGGCCCTCCACCACAGGCGCTGGATGGGGTTCCGACGATAGGGTGCGTACAATGCCTACAGTAAAGACATCGTTGGCTCAATCCCCTCTCTCTGATCTAACTGTCGCCATACCTTCATCGACTTACGTGAGCCGAGGACAGACCTCGCCAGCAACCAAGAAGGAAGACTCCGCCTCCAATCAGTCAGTGTCTCGACAGGATTGTCATTTATCTCCCCCGCCCAAGTCTCCTTCTTTCCAACCAGAGTCTCCAACGTTGGACCGACGTCCCGAACCTAACGAAGCGAGGAAAAGGAGTGCCGGTCGAGGCACTCAGTCACAATCAACCGAAAGCTCCACCAACCCTGCTTCCCAGGCTCCACTCCGGGCGTCGCTCAGTTTGATTCTTGAGACAGCGCTGGAGGAGGGACGGTCAACGAAGAGGGCGGCAAACCATGTAACTTCATCAGAAACTCACTTACAAGGGCCCAGCGCTGCTGCTCCTGCGTCCCTGCTCTCCTCAAAGCTACAAGGTAGCAGAGCACTGCTCCTGGATGATCCGAGGAACCCAGATGTCGAACAAAAGGCATCTCTGAATACCGATCAAGGGCCTTCACGCGACATGCCGGTCACGCATTTCACCGGATCGTCTGGAGATGTACCTCTCCAGCTCAACCAGAACCCGACCCCCACGGCATTGTATACCAACTCTCGGCGAGATGAAAGCCCATTGTTCTTCCCCGAAGATGAAGAAGACAACGAGGAGTACGAAGACCCAGTAGAATCGAGTGCGGACAAACAACAAACGAATGATCGCCCATCCTCCCCACTCAGTGCACCTGATCACGGTTTGGAGTCTGGCGAGAACTTCCACCACGTGGTGCCCCTCCGTTGGGTCCAGCCAGCAGAGGTGATGGAGCGTTTCGAAACAGCAGAGGAGAGCCTAGAGCATTGGGAGACAGCCCCAGAGGATCAGGATTATCGGAGAAAGAGACAGCCAACGACGCAGGACTTGTTTGAAGACCCCGAGATCGGCAGTGATGCTATGGGTTTCAACCTCGACCTCCCCGAGCCCGAGGGCGGTTGGGACACGATCCTGGGCTCCGCTGATGCCGATCTACTTGCAGAATACAGCGAGCTTGCGAATCCAGATGTTGAAGAGAGTGGTAGCCCCCATGCCGGCCACCCGAACGAGGTTGAAAGCATCCAATCCGACTCAATCATCGAGCAGATTCTAATTCCTCCACCTCCACCGAGCATTTTAGCCGCAACAACTGGCAGCGACGATGACACCGATACCGAAGCAGAGGCCCGCGAACTCGACGAATTTATCGCACTTCACAAATCTCTCCATCCCTACCTCAAGGGTATAGAGCTTCTTCTGTTCAAAGTCCTCGAAGCTACGATTTTCGACCTTGACCTCGCTACGCGCGTCGTCGAGATCATGCTAGCAGACATCAGGAGACAGTATTCGAGACGTCGGTCTAATTCTCTCGTTGTGGATGAGATCAGGGTCCCACGGAACATGAAGGGCGTCTGGACCGAGGAAGACGACAACCTTCTAACTAGTGCCAACGGTAGAGACGTTGAGCGGGCCATAAAGAAGCATGGTCAGAAAGGGTGCAATGCTCGTTTCGAGTACCTTGAAAAGATTGCGGTCGGCGGATGAAGTGCGCAGGTCGACGTTGCAGAATAGTGCGCTTTGAAGATGACACATGGGTCGAACGAAGACCGAACCTTGATATGATGATACGAAGCGAACACGAGGCACGAAGAAATGTTGTCCTTACAAAGCCCAAGGCCAAACTCAAAGGAAACACATAGCAAACTAATGCGCGCACTATACTGTACGGCTGGACATTCCTGGCCAAGGACTGACTGGCCTTTAGCTTTAGCATTTGAAAGAGCTGATTTGCGAGCCTCGAAGTATCCTCCATTGTAGTCGAGGATCGTCCTTCGAAGGACGCATGCCTCGGGGCTTAGGTGGCACACCAAAATGCCCTCTCTTGCCAGCCAGTTGTGCCCTATACCAACGGCGCACCAGCAGGTGAGGAAGGCCAGAGTGCAGAAGGCTGATTCTTGACCACCCACAGAAACGAAAGGTCGACTGTGCATGAGGCTGTGCCAGTTTCTCGTGGTAGTATATTCCGCCGAACATCACAACCCATCCAACCACACTTCCCCTGATGCATGCCTCCCATAAACCCTACTGGCCGCCGGCGCCCCCTGATGCTATTTGGCCGGAAGAGCAACCAAGCCTCTCCATCCCCATTAAGATTCCCCCAGCCGACTACGTGTTTTGAAGCAGAGATATGATACAGGCCACAGGCCACAGGCCGCGAAGCCGATCGTCAACTGGACATAGCCCGTTAGCACACCTCCTCCGGCTGACCAGCGCACGCGCGCATCGACGGCTAACTCACTTGAACTTCAGATGCTCCTCATAAAACTTCAGCATCGGCCGCGGACAGTGTCGGTAGACCTTATCCATGCTGACTTTTGTCTTCTTGCCGTTGGTGAACAGGATGAAGGCCGTGAGCTGGCCGGAGTCGGTTTTCTCCACGGTGTCGATTCTTTGGACCTCCGGTTCCCAATCCTCCTTACGCGGGAGCCATGATCCAGCTTCTTCAGAGCTGCTGGCTGTCGAGGCCCCGTTTCGTTTCTGTCGCTTCGGCGCAGGAGAGTCTTCGGCCGATGACTGTCGTCGTAGCGACTGCTTGGATTTAGATTTCCGCACGTTCCTCGCCGTAGGCGGGCCGCCAAGGTCGGTATGATATTGTGACAAGATCTTTGCAGCATGACTGGTAGAAAGAAGCAGAGAGTAGTCTGTTAGCGATTCTGTACTCTTGAACCTCCATCCCCTGGCCATCAATGCCGAGAACAGCGCGCTGGCTGGCTGGCTGGCTGGCGTATAGAAAAGTGACAGTAAAGGTACTCACGGAAGTAAGTTGTCTTCAGGCTCCCATGTATTGTCGTCGTCACTGTAGCCCAGCCATTTGATATAGTACTGGACCTGGCCCTTGTATACCCTATGGCTCCTGATGGCTTCCACAACGTACTCGTCCTCTCCCTCGTCATCTTCCTCTTCGTCTTCTGGAGCATCATCTAGGTCTTCTTCGGGCGCGACCTTTTCGTCTTCTTCTTCTTCATCATCTTCTTCATCTTCATCATCTTCTTCTTTTTCTACCTGCTCGACTTCGTCTTGCAGTTCTCCATTAAGCTGTTCCTTTGCTTCTACATCCGTTGTCGCTTTTGATACCTCGAAGCCCATGTCGCCGTCGTCGCTGGCTAGGTCGGACGCCACTTCCTCGACTGATCGACCTGTTAGTGACATTCGACAAGATGATCGGCAATCATGCGCCTCGATCGCGCATTGAAACACCACAGGTAAGCTGACTGTTAGGCATCTTCGCGGTGGGAGACTTCGTGCGCCGCGCTGCGTACAGAGCAGAGAAGTTGTCGCGAGACTATAGCCTGTCAGGGTCGCAGGAGCTCGTAGATCGGCAGCTAGGGAGGACGGATGGAATTGTCCAGCAGGACACCTTCAGGCGACTTGAAGACGAGGCGACTTGTTGCGCGTGGCTGGGGGAAACAGCCCAGTTGCCGTGTACTGGCACTACTATCCTATTAGTGTACTTTAGTACTAGAACTACTAGTAATAAAATAGTGAGCGACTCGAACTCAAGTTGAACGCGGAGCAGGCTGGCCGAGACTTGGCGTTTGACTGCGGTTCAAACCACTGGCAGAGGCAGTCAAGAAGGCCCTTTATGGAACTTGAAGAGGTAGGCGTCCGTTTCAACATCACCCAAATCTTGAGCCACTCCAGTTCACGGTCTGCAGAACTGGCTACTTGAACCTGGCACGTTGAGTGATTCCGGCGTTTCAACAGAATACAGACTTGCAAATAGAGAGTGGATTTCCAAAAAGTCACTTTTGCAGTTTAAACCCGTCCATTTTCCCTCCGGCCTCAGACCCCAACCATCCCGGCTTGCTCAGACGACCGTCTCAAGGAACCCCCGGTCGAACTCTTCGAGGAGTGAAAGGAATCCAACTACCCAAGGCATTTTCTTCGCAAGGGATACATCCTCAGCATGGCGATGCAATTGGACCTGTCTCAGGCGCAGGTGTTGAAGGACGAAACAGGCCGACCGTTCATCGTGGTGCGAGACCAAGGCAAGAAACAACGAACGCACGGCACAGACGCGGTCAAGCAACACATTGTGGCAGCGAAGACTGTAGCCAGCATTGTCCGAACGTCGCTCGGTCCTCGAGGGCTGGACAAGATCCTCATTTCACCAGATGGAGACATCCAAATATCCAACGATGGCCGCACGATCATGTCAGAAATGGAACTGTCGAACCCGATTGCGAAATTGATGGTCGAGCTGTCCAAATCTCAAGACGAGGAAATCGGTGACGGAACCACCGGTGTCGTCGTGTTGGCCGCGGCGCTGTTGGACCAGGCGGCCGATCTGATCGACAAGGGCATCCATCCCATCCGGATCGCCGACGGCTTCGACCAAGCGTGTGAGGTTGCCGTGGCGCAGCTGGACAAGATCAGTGACGAAATTCCATTTTCGCGAGAAAATCAGGAGAACTTGATGAAGGTCGCCAAAACGAGTCTGGGCAGCAAGATTGTCAGCAAGGCCCATGATCAGTTTGCCAAGATTGCCGTCGACGCCGTCATGTCGGTCGCCGACCTGGAGCGCAAGGACGTGGATTTCGAACTGATCAAGGTCGACGGCAAGGCCGGCGGATCGATAGAGGACTCCCTGCTCGTCAAAGGCGTCATTGTCGACAAGGACTTTTCGCATCCGCAGATGCCGAGCGAGGTCAGAGATGCGAAGATTGCCATCCTAACGTGTGCGTTTGAACCCCCCAAGCCCAAGACGAAACACAAGCTCGATATCTCTACGGTGGAGGAATTCAAGAAGCTGCAGGACTACGAGAAGAACAAGTTTGTCGAGATGATCGATATGATCAAGGCCACTGGCGCCAATCTGGTCATATGTCAATGGGGGTTTGATGACGAAGCCAACCACCTCCTTCTGCAGAACAAGCTTCCTGCTGTCCGATGGGTCGGCGGCCCCGAGATCGAGCTAATAGCCATTGCCACCAACGGACGAATCGTGCCGCGCTTTGAGGATCTCAGCAAAGAGAAACTCGGCCGGGCTGGTGTGGTCAGGGAAATGACGTTTGGTACGACACGGGAGAAGATGCTGGTGATTGAAGAGTGCGCCAACACTCGAGCCGTCACCGTGTTTGTGCGAGGGAGCAATAAAATGATCATCGACGAGGCCAAGCGGTCCCTCCACGATGCTCTTTGCGTGGTGCGAAATCTCGTCAGAGACAACAGAGTCGTCTACGGCGGTGGAGCGGCCGAGATTGCCTGCTCGCTGGCCGTCGAGGACGCGGCTTCCAAGTCGCCGGGACTCGAACAGTACGCCATGAGAGCGTTCGCCGATGCTCTCGATGCCATTCCCATGGCTCTCGCCGAGAACTCGGGCTTGAGTCCCATTGAGACCCTCGCCGCTGTAAAGTCACGGCAAGTCAAGGAACAGAACACCCGGTTAGGAGTCGATTGCATGGGCACGGGCACCAACGGTAAGTCTCCTTCTACACAAAACTTCATTGAGTCTTCCTGCTGACTTCGCTATCAGACATGCGTGCCAACTTTGTGATTGACCCGTTGATCGGAAAGCGTCAGCAGCTACTTCTTGCAACTCAGTTATGCCGGATGGTGAGTACAATGGTCGACCCTACCTGATTCCGCCCTCGTTTCTGACTCCTTGCTGCAGGTCTTGAAAATCAACAATGTGATTGTAACAGGCAGTGACGAAAATGAGTTTTAGAGTTAGTATGCTTGGGACGCCTCTGAGGACAGAATCTTGTTCTAGGATATCTGTTGTCCAGGCAAAAGGCATGAGAAAAGACAGAGAGATGACAGGAAATGTTCTTCTGTATAACATGATACCCCACAACAGAGTGGCATAGAGATGAATAAAATGAACATTGTCATCATGTTTGCCTGAAGCTTGAACAGCAGGAATAGGCAGTGCTCTTTCATCGCCAGCCGAGAATGTCCAAATCCATATGAGCAGTTGAGAGTGGGAGCTGCTAGCCACTAGAATGTTCGTCGAGGAGGTGTGTCGTAGAATGTTCCTCGTGCGTCGCTACGCGGCTGGGATGATAACACAGCAATAGACTCCATATCTGCAAGAGAGTGGTTGGCAGACTGCAGAAACCAAGGGCAGCAATCAGATCTCGCAATTTGCCGCAAGGCTGCGTACGAGTCAATCCATTTTGGCATGTGTGCACAGCCTCGCCAGCGCCTTAACCATCTTTCTCTGTTCCATCCTTCCGTTGCAGCAGGTGACACTTACTTAGAACAACAGGGCAGTGTAGAGCCAGGAAGGAGACGACTAAGAGAACAGATGAATATGAAGCGAAATCTCCTTTCGACAACACAACTCCACCATGAATCCCTCGGCCACTGGAGACCTACCGTTGACTATTTTATTCCACATGGATTGCGAAGGAGGCACCTGACTCTCGTATAAATTCATAGAGAAGCTCCTGTGGTGTATTAAGAATCCTGAGACCGCAGAGATTAGCAATGAAGTCCTTCTCTGTGTGATTGTGCCCGGCCGAGAGCTTGCTGGGACCAACGGCAAGCATGCTTTTCTTCATCGAATGCGGAACGTGAGAGTATCCCTGCGTCAGAGGAGTATACAGCTTGTATCGCTCTGCGGGAAGGGAAATGCGCCCGGATAGCTTCCCATCGTCATCAGGCCCGTATCATGAAGGTGCCACGCCGCTCAAATCGGGTGAGTATAGAGTTGGCTTGGATGGTGTCCTAAGCGTGTGCATCGTCATCATCACCACCACCACCCGAGATCCGCCGTGACAGACATGGGGCGCTGTTGTGAGGACGCATGTCAATGTTGAAGAAGCATCTGGCAAAGTCGCACGCTCCTTGCACGATGACACGATCGACCTGTCTAGGCAGTCTTCTGCGACATACCAAAGCAGAGCCGACACAGTCAGGGGCAGAGTCGGAATGCTCAAAAGAAGAGAACCGGTTTGCTGCAATTGATCTAGGTGAGGTAGCCATGGCTACATCGAATATCTCCGGAGTCGAGTCAGTAGCGCCGACTAATACTCCGACCGGTATATTAAACATGCTCCGTTCGCCTAGTGCAGGAGAGCTCTGTGGGAGTTACGGTGCAGCAAGCTGAAAGACTTCTTGCAGCACAGAAGTGTGCCAGTGTCATGCATGCTTGGGCTTGAATGCCAAAAACAACATGGGCATAATAGTCACAATTCCGCACACTGATTGGGTGGCGGGACCCTGCTTTTTCATCCGGTGTTTACCATGGGGACCTCCCAACAACAGGAATTGTCGACGGTCCACGTTTGAGAGCGTGGTGGGACAGGCCTGGCGTCCCTCACCGTTGATGCCGCAAAATGAACATTGTTGCATACCTTTGCAGGGCCCCTGCGAGACTGGCACATGACTGCTTGCGTAATGTAGTAATCAAGGGAGGGACTCTTGAAGGGATAGAACCTTAAGCTTGAGATCATAGTGCAAGGACGGGGCAACGGTGCCGCTGCAGAAAAAGATCAAAGCAAGCATCCCCCAGTGTCCTTTGACATCTCCCCGTTATGAACCCACTGACCTTGGTGAGAAAACTGAACGGCCAAAAGGAAGCAAGTCGTCGGACAAAAGCTTGTAAAACTGCACCTCGAGTATTCTCGAGCCGGCAATGAATATTGTCCCCTTTGCCGAAGTATTGTAAGTTTGTAGTCATGGTTTGATAATGTCCAGCCACGAGAAGGATGTCAAGTCCGCGCTCTACGCGGCCCTGGTCGTCACCAAGCAACTATCGCTTGCAGGCGACGGGTATTGCGTAGATGGTATCCGGATTGAGCGATGCTACAGGGAGCTCATGAGTGCAGAACTGAAGGATCTGCCCAAGATGAGCTTGACACGGCCTTGTCATGTATCACGGTCGGTCAGACCATGCGCAATTGACGATGTCTATCGAGGCAGTGTCTCGAAGCGCTGATGTCAGTGTCGAGGCTTGTGGTATTAGCACCAACGCGCATCGACCACCAGTATTCGATCGGATTGAAGGAGATCTTGGGGTATTGCAACCTACATAGGAGGTCAGATCAGGTGGTGGCTCCGGGGAAGCGACATAAGATCCCATTAGTTCAAATGTCGGTATGATGTCAAAGGCGGAATCTAGGTACCTGGTAGCCATGTACGTACTGTGGTTCGGAAACATGGGTTCCGTTTCCCCTGGAGATCCAATTTCAAGAGGAAAGATTAACATAGCGCGGATGCCTCAGGCACGACAACGTCTGCTATGGCTTGCAGTCGAACCCCAGTCCCCGAGCCAGTTGAGGTGACATCGGGAGGGACGGGAAATCGGATCATGGCATCGACTTACCTGTGAGCCCGAAGGTCCCCGCGGCGCCTCTGGAATGGCAGTGGCGGGAATTTGACGTGCGCAAAATCATTCTGATGCTTGTACAGATTGCGAATGTCAGCTGCATCGGAAGTCAAGGCAAGACAAAACTTCGGATCGGGTTCGGACCAGATACTCGAAAGAACTCGAGAGTTCAAGAGAGGCAACTGTCAGGTCCAAGCTCAATCATGCATGTTTGAGGTGGTGGAGCTCCGAGCAGGGCAACAACCCCCAAGGAGGTGTGAGGCCCATCAGTCGTCGCAATCGACTGCCAGTGGTAGTTGGTCAGTCAGACTTTGATTGTTGTCGGGAACTGCACCGCAATAGAATCGTGCGTCGATACGGAGTCCGCTGATCCATGGCCTGCAACATCACCGAACGTCATGCCTCGTATATCGAGTGGTAGAGCGCGCGAAAGGCAAGGCTGCAAAGGAAGAAACATCCCAGCGGCCTTGTTCGGTGAGATGGAACATATCCGATGCATCGTTGGCCTCTCTGGGAGACTGTGGGATCATGCGGAGGAGTTGTCGGCCTAGCCCCTGCGGTTGGGGGTTGTCAGAAGCGTTGGACAACCCCGGGTCTCGAGACCTGAGAGGGGTCCGGGCGAGTGACAAGAAGGTTCCGCCCGCGCGCCCTAAACCCAACGAGCAATTGGCGTTCCAGCCACCATTTTGACGGCATCAACAAGCGATGCAGCAACCAGGCTACTGAAATGTCCGGCCATCCATAGGGTGTGAAGGATTTACTATTGTTGACCGTCCAAATCGGTTGCCAACTCCGGAATAATATAAGGTATTTCTGCGGAACCGAATTGTACCAGGGTATCGAGAGTAGAACCAAGCAGCCGGTGACGCCGCCATCCTCCATCTACGGTGGCATTGCTCGCGCCCTGCCCCGTATTGTTGTCATCTCTCTTGTAACGATATCCTGTTCGCGGCCCAACCTCGTCTCGAGAAGACGAATGTTGCTTCAAGAACAGTGACAACAAATGTCTTTCCGTGCGAAGGAAGCGATTAGTTGTCGTGTAGAGAGGACTGGATTGTTTCGCAATGGAATTAGAGTGAACCCAGCATTAATTACAATCTGCCACGCTAGGTAGGGGAACCTCATGGAACGAGTCGTCATTGCCGCGATGTGCATGCTGTTGGTACAAGATGGACAGGTTTGACGGACGCACCCTCAGCCATCATGGCTCGGGGTAGTTTTTTGTATCTGTCACTGCCGAGAGGAGGATCTTGGTGCGGTTTAAGAGGAGTGCTTGGGTAAGGTTTAGTAGCGGCGTGGAGGTGGTCGTTCAATATTGTGTCTGGCGATGCGTTTATACCAGATAATAGAAATCATAACCATGGCCATCGTTTAGGCTATTGCTATACGCTCCTCGTCCATTTCATACGTCCTCGAGTGGTTTTGGGGCCCCATGATTGTTTGCTTTTGGGTCCACGTCCGCCGAAGGAGCTCAGAGTCGCTGCCTGCGGGTGACCACAATGCTGGCCCTCGGCACTCGGTTGAAGTAAGTAGGACGAGGTACACGGCGGATGAGCAGCTGAGGTAGGGGGGTAGAATAGCGCCGACATTAGTGTGGAGGAAGTGCTGAGAGAGATTGTTTCTTGGGGAGTCGCCACATGTCGAGTCGTCAAACCATGTTAGTCTCGCGAGCTCGTGGTACTGATACCTTCCTTAGTGAGCCACTGCAATGTGTAGTTTGTTGTTAGGGAGAAGTGAGACAGATGAGAAGAGTCGAGCATAGAAACAAAACAGCTGCGCTGAGTGGTTGGGAAGATTGTCAGCTGGACAGGAAAAAAGAAGCTTCCACCTCCACCACTGCAACTGCACGTGGACGCGTTTAGTGAGTAGTAGTGAAGACGGGGAAGTCGGATTTGCCGCCGACACAGTAAAGTGGCATGTTTTAGTGCCTGGAGCTTGTTCTTTCTGGGCGGAAATTCAAAATGTCTCTATCCATACAGGGGCGCCGCTAGGGGTGATTTTACCGGCAGAATTGGCACGGAGGACGCGGAAACCCAGCCCATCGAGTCAGCTGCTCAACTCATGTTTTCTTCTCTCGAGACGCAGATTTGCCCAGACTCGATCATCTACCAGCATCACGAGTAAGTCGGTTCGTGCACAGAGGAAGGCGGTTGGCAATGTATGTTGTGCGCTGGCAGTGAACACGCAATCAGAGTCTATTACTCGCAGGGCCTGGAAGTGTGTGGCTATGGGTCAGGAGAACAAGCAATATCACAGTACTTATGTCCCGGCGCATGTGACCCGGGCATGGTGCCTGATAAATGCCTAATCGCCAGGGTGAGTCGGTACCTGTAGATACCTACCCTCCTAAGCATCTTAGGTGCACGCTTCGGGTGTTGGGCAGTATCAATGGCTGTGACCTTCCCCATAGCATGTTACTAGCAGTGTCACTGTGGGTGCACCATGCATGCCGCGAATACATTTGTCCAGTCGTCCCACATGTCACGACGGCCTCAGCCTCCTAGGGTGGGTGACTGTCTACCAGCTGGAGAAGCATGTGAGTCGTGAATCGTGAGTTGTGGTTACACTCAGGTCGCTTACCTGACGGTTGTGCTGCTTGTAGTTGTACGTACCATAACACCTAGACTCCAATCGGTCACCATAGGAGGATGGCTGCTCACAATCATTCATAGAAACCCAGGTCGACTCCTGGACGTTTGTTGCCGTTGATGCCTGGTGCTACGCCGGTAGAAGTGCCCGGGTAGACAGTCTGTGTCAAGAGTCTGGGGGGAGCGGCTAGGTATGGACCTTACCTAAGGCAGGCTGAATCCCCGACCGTCCGTCCAAAGCAGCAACACTTTGGGGGAGGACTGGTGGAGAAATGGCGAGACATGACCTGTCATTTCATTTCTGATTCGCATTATTACACGCTGTGCACCGTACCCAGACTCGTAAGAGGTCACTAGTAGGTGTCCCACGCAGGCGCTAGTAGTTCCCTCTTCCGGCCCTTGCTCGCTTGTCTCCAAGGGTCAAAGGTGCCCGGGCCTCCCCATCACGATCCCCCATTGCGGCCTTTTCCTCGTGTCTCGAACCTTGGATCAACGCTACTTGCAGTAACAAAGCAGGCCTGGACGTTGCCCGCTGTTCCTCCCTCCCCACTACTGCTGGCACCACACTGTCACTCTGGCCCTCTGGCCCTCTAGCCTTCTGGCACCCAACACACCACCCCCCCTGGTCCCTGAATCTGCCCTTTTCTTCCCACAAGCCCGTCCCGAAAGAGCGCCCCCTGCTCGCTTTTCGTGCCCTGTGCCCACGCCCTCGCACTTGCGCCGGTTTGTCTGCCGTTTGTTATACTACCGGTCCTCCCCATCGCATCTTTCCACGTCCTCCAACATACCCTGCCTACACCCTCTCGCGATTCAGATCCGACACAGTTTGACGCTGTACACCCTCTCAACACTCACAATCGCTATCCATATGGACTGACACTCGAGCATCGACTGAGTCTACACAATAAATCCAACTCGACACGTTTCTACCCGTGGTGATCGGCCCGAGGTTCTCGAATTGCGTCACAAGCCGATCCCCAGCATTTCTCCCACCGTCCGTTGCGGGCATCGCTACTAGTATTCTACCAACACTGCACCAGCCGTGTGCAAACTACTTACACCCTACATCACACCCGATCCTCCTGTTCCTTCGACCTTCAGATCCTCTACCTCCCTATCCGAAAAGCAAGGAACATCTTCCCCAAGATGCCGTCGCGCTTAAGTGCGCCCGTGCTGTCGTTAGACGCAGGTAAAATGCACGAAATCGACCCTGCCAACGCTTGCAGTTTGATGGCGATGTGGTCGATCTTTGCAAAGTGCTCAGAGTCGTTGAAAGACGGTCCGCGGTTAGAGAATATGAGTTGGCGAGTATGGTCGCGCGAGTCGCTATGCGTTACTTCAATCGACTCGCCACCAGCGAGCTCAAGCGAAGTGCCATCTTTGTCAAACTCCTACTCTTCGGACAACAGCATGGGTGAGCAAGACTCACACCGAAGCAATTCCCGATCCAGATCATTTGCGCACGAGGAGAGCGCAAGATCCCTCTCCAAGTCAAGACACCTGACACCTCTTACGCTCGAAAAGATTGTGGTCACGATACAAGAGAAGACGGAAATATGTCCTTTGTCTCCTTCCATTGAAGCCAGTCTTCCGGCTCTACCGACTAGTTCTGAACCCCAGCCCCAGGCAGTGCCCAATCCTGAATCCACCGCTGAAGTCGAGTCTGGGCATCTTCGAGATTCAACCGATTCTTGCATGTCAAACACCACCGCCGCTACCACCAGTACTGCTCGCCAGAGTGAACATCGGAATTCCGACACTTCAGTTTCCTCGGATGGGCTGGTCCGAACTCAATCTATCGTCCATGGATTCTCTCCTGTCACGTCTTCGTTCAGGAAGACAAATACCATCGTCCAGCCTACCCCGCCCTCCAAACTGATACCCAGGGGCAAGTCCTCGATCAAGCCTGCCATGTTCACCCTTGGCGGGTCTTCCGAGGATGAGTCATCTTTTGAACAAAGAGTACTGACCCAGAGACCTATGCCTCAGAAGAGCTCGTTGTCTCAAAGCCTGAGCAAACGAAACCTCGCCAAAGGCTCGACTGAGCGACTGCAACCGAAGAGGACCTCCTTCCGGGATATCATCGCGACTCGCCAGATACAGGAAGACGCGGAAAACGAAGGCGCCATTGCCAGTAGCGACGAAGACGAGGATACGGATGAAGCGATCGAGTCCGCCATCGACGACGACGAAGACGGTGATGAATGGGAGGATTCCAATTCGGATGATGGAAGAGTGGTACAGGAGCCCAATCTCTTCCGCCGAGTCGAAAGTCGTCCCGACCTGGTGTCACGGCGGTCGATGTTGACGTTGGCCCTTCATAAAGGACAAGGAGGGCTGAACCACGCCTATTCACAGCCGGTGCTCCATCGCAACGGCGTGCCATCTCCGCAAGGGAAGTCTGCGGCCGGCTCGCTCGAGGACGAGGAAGGCATGATGATGCAGACGTCGAAGAGACCACCCATAGCAATTCCTCCCCCGCAGATTTCGTCCAAAGCTGTGGCGCATTCTCCACGGACCACGAGACGCAACATGCTCGCCACCGAGTTGACCGAATCCTTACGCAAGAATCTTCTCTGGGAGAGACAACAGAAGTCACAGACGGCCAATGCATTCCTGAAGCGAAGTCGGAATGCACAAAGCATGGCCAACCTTCAGAGACATGCCAGTTCGACGGCCAGCCCCACCCAGCCACCTGCACCGCAAGAAACGTCGAAGAACAACTCGTGGAACCACTATTTCGATAACCCGTGGGAGTATCATGCCAAGGGCTGGTGAGGATTTGTCCAGAGACAAGCCCGCCTTATTTTGTTTTATCTTTTGATCACTACTTGCTTGCGTTCTGAGCGGACTCAATGGTGCTTTGACACGTTTTTGACGAATCTATTACCTGGTCTATGAAATCGGGCTGAAATGGGAAGGCACTAGTCCGTCTACATGGTGATGCAGTTTTCGGTGTGGTCTTTGTTCTCTTTCCACTAAGGTGAGTAATGGAATGCTGGCTCGGTCAGGGTCACGGCGGTCTCAAAAGCGAGAAAAGATTTGCTTGAAATGCATGGAACGGAACTTGGTTTTGTCCTACATCTTATCACGGCCATCAATGGCGCAGAAGGAAGAGAGAAGAGGGAAGAGGGAACGAGGCAAGCGAAAGCGGATTCGACACTGTCTTTTCTCCCATCCCTCTCCGCGACCATCTCGCGACATGTACTATTACTATTACGACATCTCGGGCCTCGAGTTTAGGTGGTTTTGGAAGGGCAGACGTGGTTGAAGAAGAGAGAAGACGAGAGGAGAGAAATGAGCCCATGTACGATCAAGTTGGAACACTGCAGTGATGACAGCATATCATGGCGAGATGCAATCACATAATACTAGTAATTCATTAGTACTCTACAAGACTTTTTGGATGAAGTGGTTGAATGTTCGATTGATCCATTGAACGATTGAAGTCCCTGTCGAGGAATTAATTGCCTTGATCACCAGGGCTGTGAAGATACCCAAGTACGTATCATCCTGTATCGTCCTCTCTATCAATTGGCCCGGGAGTTGATGGATGACTGGGGACTGTCTCGCTGTCAAGTTCTGTAGACTTCAACTTTACCTAATCGCTCTGCATACAGTGTTGTTGTAAGCGGTACGTTTGATCATGTGAAGAAAAGCTTTGTTTCATTATAGTCTTGTCAATTGGTCTGAGTTTCTTGTTTCAACAGTCTTCTAGACCGCTGCTGTTTCTATTCCTGCTTCCGCAGCGGGCCGGCCACCCGGGCAATGCAGTGCGTAGATGTCTTGAGCTTTTTTTCATTTTCTTTTGCTTGTTTGACACCAACTAAATGAATGCCAGACATGCTGCCAGCGGTCAAGCAGTTCTAGAACCATTTGTGTTGCCTCCCGGTATTTACCGGCCCGAAGCTCACTCTCGCGTGTCCATCTCTCTCACTGGCACCTCAGGCAAGGTAAGGTACCTTCGGTAGATACCTTCGTCAGGAGGTGTCTATGAACAGGCAACGTGCTTAAAGTCTAGATCACTATTAGTAGGGAGTAGATAGGTCCATGTGATGAGGAGGCAATAAATAATGACAATAGTGGTTGGCCTATAGTAGGTGTTCAGATTCTAGGAGGTGGGTTATTGATGGGCGGGAGTATTGTCTTTGTATTGTCTGTGTATTATTGTCCATATATTGCGAGTCAGTTGACTCGACTCCCCCTCGGTCCTGAGACACCGAGGTGCATATTACAGTACTACTAGTATAGGTAACTTACAGAGTCCCTATACCTTGGGGGCACGTGTCTACCTACTACCCTGACACATCCGGGGGGCTTAGGCCCAGCAGCCCCCCGTAAAAGTCCCTTCGCCTCATGTGTTCTCCCCTGACTAACAAAATATCCATATAAAGAAACCTTGCAAATCACATGCATGAGGTGGTTAGTATACCGTTCGTATTATTCGTTATGTGTTTTGTTGTTACTTGACAGCAGTACCACTGCAGGTCACTTCCCAGGTTTGTATCCATAACCGAGTCACGAGTCACGGGAGTCACGGGAGTCACGGGAGTAGTAAAGGAGGTCAGATAATTGGCCACTCAATCACAGGATCTGTGTGGGATGGCGATATTGTATCTCAATCAACACTGCAATCGACTGAAATTTCTCCGCTGTATGAACGCGCAAGCAGGCAAGAATTAAATGGAGAAACAAGAGCCCAGAACCCAACAAATGTGAGACCTGTTCGGACGCCAGGCAGCTATGTTTCACGATATTATTGGGTTCAGCGAGACTATGACCCGTATGCTGTATTTAGGTAAGGTAATTACTTTCATAATAATGTCTTTTAGAAGTGATATCAGACTGCCATTGTGGACGTACTCCCTTCTCTGTTCATGATCCTTCCTGGCTACGATCTGCCGGTAGTGGAGGAGGGAGACAAGATACGAAGTCATCTATCTGTCGCCTCGAGGTCCGATCGTCCCGGTCAACAACGACAACCCGAGACACTCCCTGATCGACCCGTCAACGTGGCTGTTCAAGATTGATGATACTAGTAGATTGAGAGAAGTCCACATTCCATTAGTCCCTGAGGTACAGAATACTGGTCAGTGTAATGCTTGTACTTGTTGTTTCTTCTCGGTTAATGTCGACAGGACTGAGAAGATGCGGATCTTGATGTGACAAAGTGAAGAGTCCCAGGAGGGGAGATGATGTCCCTCAGATACCCCGTAAGGCGGCTCGAAGAACTAACGATCTCGCCGCTGCGGGATGTTTGACATCGTTAATCTACAAGACACAGTACGTACGTAATTCATCTTGGTAAGTTGTTCTCGACCGTCCTATACTAGTACTCCACTTTCTGACCGGCGTGCCGCCCCGGATTCCTCTTGCAAGATTGTGGGGAGGATTGGGTCCTTGGGGTTCTAGAAGCGCCACGCAATGTACAGAGTCTGTGGTATACAGAGTATGATTCCATACATTGTAGTACTTCGATGTATACCTTAGGTACATACCTTGCGTACCTGGGTACCATTGGTACGCTTCACCCTTTCGTCGGCTCCTTTACCAGGTAATCAGGGGACCTGGTCTGTAGGTAAGTGGAGTTCAAGTTGTCGGATTGTTTGGAAGAGGTTGTTGCCAGCTTGTACACAGCCACTGATACAGAAGGGAATTCATGTCGGTTACCAATCGCCGAGCAATACCGACCGAAAGACGACTGCGAACAAGTCCAGAACTACCTTACCTTAGGCACACAAGGCTGTAAACCGCCCATCTCCCGTGAGGTAGAGGGTCAAAGCAAATGCCAGCGCATCATCTTGAAAGACTTTAGTCTTTGACCGGCTATTCTTGACTCGCCTTGTACTGCAGTGGGCGAGACCACGAGATCCAACTGTCCGCATGTCAGGACAAGTGGCCGACCGGGCTTCCTGGTCTTGGGCCAGACGGAGCTCGGGGATTCTATGCTCTACCTTTACTGCACTGTTGACGTGTCCCAGGCCGGCCAAGAGAACGAATATCTGACGGGCGTCTCGTGCAAGTCATAGATTGGGGTCTGTGATGGATCTGGTATGTGAGCATGCTAATTTCAATAGGACACTGCCAGCAATGGCGATGATCATAGCCCGACCAGCTGAATTGTGTGGTTCTGTGGAGTTGCAGATCCAGCGGCCATGCTGGTCCGATCTGTCCAGTGTCCATCATTTGGCGCGACCAGGGATCAGGCGACAATTCCCCGTGTCAGAGGGAGAAGGAATCAAGCGGGTGCATCCTCCCGCCGCGGACGGACTGATTTGGACGGCCACACCGCCTGTTGGACGATCTGTCCAAATGACAGAGTATCTAGTACGCGGGATGCTTGCCTATCGTATCTACTAGGTAGTCAGCTGGGAAGGGTCTCGGTGCCCGACATGGCTCCAGGAGAGGGTAGGACATGGGCATGGTATGGACAGGGTCAGTTGGGGGGAAAAATCAGGGAAGTGAGATTGTTGCCGTTCGAAAAGAGACGATAGCGTGTGCATGTGAGAGAGTGAGAGAGAGAGTGTGTGTGTTTGTGTTGTGTTACGTTGGAATGCAGATTGGTAGTGGTGGCGTGATACCATAGGGGGGTGATTGTACATGTGTGGGAGGGACACGTTGATCCGACATCTGACTGTGCGAGATAAGGGTAGCGAGCTTGAGCTCGAGATAGAATTTGATCCGGACCAGAAAGGACTGGAAGTGTACGTGACATGGTTTCTGAGTCCAGGTGAGTCAATCACTACGGAACATGCACGTGGCTGTTCCGTGAATATGGGTCGAATCAAGCGATCGAAAGGAGGGAGATGCGTTGTATACTTAGGTAGGTAGTATCAAGGGGGTGTGGGGAGAAGGGAATGCCTAGAGTAGTCGAGTAGAGATGGACACTAACAATAACTCGCAGATTCCACGTGGGACTGTGGGAAGAAAAAAGAAAGAAAGAAAGGATACACCAGACGACAAGTGTGTAGATGAGACGGGGGGAGGAGGAGGAGAAGGAGGAGGAGAAGGAGGAGGAGGTGGTGGTGGGAATCCCAGCAGTCAGTCATACAGACCGAGTTACAAGCAAACATACCACAGTAGGTATCGACACTATGCATCTCTCTATGTCCTAGTAGTGGATAACACTGATAGATGGTCCCATACTTGTATATACACCATCCATCGAACATCAATATACAGAGTAGACACTGTGGTAGTCGATGCTTAGGGGGCTTGGGGCCTTTCAGGGGCGGCAGCCTGATGGCAATTCCCAATTAGGCAGGCATCCACCTGGAAATCTCGACTCTTCCCCAGACCTCATCGTTACCATCATGGCCACCATCATGAGGCACATCGTCGCTGCTTAACCATCAAGCTCCCACCAGATACTAGGATCGAGATACTAGTAGACAGCTTCACGTTGAACTCAGCTGCTTGTTTCCAGGCTCTTCTTCGCTTTCCTTCTCTGCTGTTCGTCCACGCTCAACCTCAACTCAAGCCTCATTGGCACTCGGCACAATATCCTCTACCATCTCTTGCTGCTCGACACTCTGCGTACCAGTCATCTACTAGTAAGCGACAAGCGACGAGAACACATCAGCCGACCAGCAATCATCCCGCATCCCGCATTCAGCATCCCACTGCATTGTTCAGACTCCAATTGAAGTCCATCGTCACCGTCACCGTCACCGTCACCGTCAGCCGCGGCCAACTCATCAACCCATGTCACCTGACGGAACCGGCCGCACGAGTAAGCCCGCCACCTACGTCGTTTGTCTTTCCTCATGCTCATTCGAATTCTCATTCAACCCCAATCACAATCTCTCTGTTGCCCCGGACCCAAAACCTGCTGAGCCGACCCCATGCTGCTTTCGGGCTAAGGCCCCATCTCCCCAGGCGCCTCGGCCAACAAATCCGCCTCGGATCTACTTGGAGTGAAAGCTGCTTGCTGGGTGGGTGAGGCGTGATGGCTCAGCCGGTGAAACAACACTCAACAGTCATCTGATTGCTTCGTTGTACAAGTCCATCATCCATCATCACCGTCTCACATTATTCTAGGCAGCGACCAAGCAGCCGTCCAACTGGCTCGGCCGCCTGAGCCGTCTCCGTCTCCGTCTCAGTCTCAGCCTCGATCCGCCCCTGATTCGAAGCCCGCCGAGTCGCGATCTCGAGTTTGCCGCTTCTTCAATACAAGCAAAGGTATGTTATCCTCGGTCTTTTACACTGCGATTTTCTTATTGGGGCTGCCTGGTAAAATAAACCAAAATGTCCCTGGCAGGGTGTCGCGGGCGCACACTCAGCCTGATGTTGATTCGAGCGACACTCCGCCTGCTTATATCACCGGACATATTGTACATGCAACCCCACGACTCGTTGTGCTTGTGCTTGACTTTGGTTGCTCCAAACCACTAACACCTCCTCGCCTTCGTTAGGTTGTCGCGCCGGGTCCCAATGCCCCTATCGACATGTTCAACCCAAAGATCATTCCAAAGCCACCAGGCAGAAACATGAACAATCAAACGCCGACGATGTGGCTGCTTCGGCAGTTACAAAACAACGCTCTCCTTCCAAGCGGCCGAGGGAGACCACCTCCAAGCCAGCACCGGTTCAAAAACCCGTTCCACATGTCCAACGCACCAATCCACGGGAATTCCAGATCAATCAAGTGATCAGGAGGTTCTCTCCGGTCCGCAAAGAGATCGATGATGCCACTCAACTGTCATTCACCATGAAACCCTCGGACCCGGATTTCCCGTTTGAACTGGACAGCCTGCAATGTACCCTGACTGTCCCGACGTCCTACCCCGACAATGGAAAGCCCACCGTCCGGGTTGGCAATGCCGAAATGCCACGAGGCTACCAGATCAACGTCGAAAAGGGATTCGACAGCCTTGTCGAGCAGGCTCCGGGCAGGACACTGTTGGCCTTGCTCAACGACCTGGACAAAGGTCTTGAGAAGTTTTTGACGGCGGAAAAGGCCAAGACCATCAAGATCGTAGCGAATACCGACAAGAGCGTCAAGCCTCCTCCACCGGTCAAGCAGGCGACTCCGGTTCCTTCGGCACCAATTGCACCAGCACCGACACCGGCTCCAGGACCTCCTCCGCCACCCTCCTGGACACGGCAGCAGACAATCGATGCACTGGCCAAGAGACAGGCGGATCTCCGTCAATTGGAAGCTCGCATGGGCCGGGTACCGAATTTCTCCAAAAGCGCTGATGGCACAAGGTTCAACATCCCCGTGCAGATCGCCAACCCCGGTTGGCTTCCTCTGTCGTTGCAGTCTGTCAAAGAAGTCACCTTGATCGTGTCCAAGCTGTACAATCTGGAGCCCCCTACGGTCCAGTTAAAGGGTGTCGCCGGTGCGGAAGCGGACAGCGTCCGACTGGCATTCGAGAGACATGCTCGAGAACATTCCGACATGACATTGATGGCGCATATCAACCACCTGATCCAGAACATCCACACAATGGCTACGGAAGAGATCAAGACAACTCCCCCTTCCGTTGCTTCGGTGTCTGAAACACGGGCCCACGAGGAGCCCAACAACGTGTCAGCCGGCGAAGAAGAAACTGGCCCTGACGAGACAACATTGGACCCCGAACGGCCGCACCTCAAAGTCATTCCGCGACCTCCAGAATGGAACCGGCACGACTCAGCATCGGAGTACGACTGCGACTCCGACTCCGACATATCCTACGAGACCGATGACAACGACAACACCCATTCTGAAGCCGACCAGGAAGAAGACGAGGCGGCCGAGCACGACGGCGGTGCTACGCTTCCAGCAGCAGCGACATCGACATCGACATCAACATCATCCGAGAAAGGGATCATCCTATCCTTTCCCAACCTTGAACTGCACAACATCGAGCTCCTAGTGCTGGTCTCCCTATCGCTCTCGGTGAAATGCATGCGCTGCAAATCCGCACTAGACATCACCAACGTCAAACCCAGCAACGCACTGCCCTCCACCAACAAGCCAGCCACAACAAGCACTTCATCATCGACTCCAGCGACGTCCAGCGTGCGTGCCGAAACCTGTCTGAAATGCACCACACCATTCACCCTCAGCTACACGTCGAGTCCGCTGCACGCCCACTGGGTGCGCGCCGGCACCGTGGAGCTGACGGGATGCACGATCGCCGACCTTCTGCCCAGCACGTTCCAACCGACGTGTTCGTCCTGCTCCACAACCTTCCCCGTGCCACCCGGAATGATCTCCGTGCGCGGCGATACGCCCATCCAAGTCTGTCGAGCGTGCCACGCCAAAATGACCTTCACCATCCCCGAAGTCAAGTTCCTGCGCGTCTCGCATCCCAGTACGGCTGGTGCTGAAGCGTTGCCGCTGCGTCGCCGCCCCAAAAAGGAAATGCTGGGCATCTCCGCCGGCACACCGCTGCCCGCGAACGGCGCGTGCCCGCACTACCGCCACAGTTATCGCTGGTTCCGCTTCGGCTGCTGCGGCCGCGTCTACCCGTGCGACCGGTGCCACGATGCCGCGGAGGCCCATGTCAACGACCATGCCGACCGCATGATCTGTGGCTGGTGTAGTCGCGAACAGCGCTTCCGGCCGGAGGACTGTGTCGTCTGTGGTAGGAGCGTGGTCAGGAAGAGAAAAGCTGCCCGCGCCGGCTTCTGGGAGGGTGGTCGGGGGACGCGCGAGAAGGGGTTGATGAGTAGGAAGGAGCCGAGGAAATATAAACGGCCTCCTGGAGGGACGTTGGCTGCGAAGAAGAAGAAGAAGGATGAATGAGCTTAGAAAAACAAGGATGATGTTTTGTTGAAAGGAGAACAAAACACTTTGGCCTTGTCTTTGGCCCTGTCTTCGGTTCTATCAAGGAGGAAAAAGCAGAAGACATCTTCGCTCTCCGGCCGGGATATTATTGAAGGATTGTACCTTTCCTAGTAGTCGTCCTTAGGCGAAGTTGATCTTCGTTTCGCCCTGTATTTTGCTTGCTCTCTTTCTTTAGATCCCATCCTATCCTGCAGTATACACATGCGGAGACCTGAGACCTGTTCCCAGTTCCCAATTCCCAATTCTTATTCCCGTTCCCGTACGGAGCCGTGCAGATTCCCGCTTTACCCAGTCCAGTTCAGTACGAAATCACTTGTCGAAATTCACGTTCTCTCAATCGAACCCTATTCACTCACCGAACGAGACTTAACTCGCATCACTTCACTTCACCGCTCTCAATCTCTCCCTTAGCACCTTAAGACCTTAGCGGACAAGGTACCTTAAGGGTCAAATACTTGTCCTCGCCAAATCCTGTGCAACAATCAAGCCTCGTTTCTCTAAATAAAGAAAAAAAGGCCAGTGTAGTGCAGTGGTGAGCACGTTTCGTTGTGGCAATGCCTAGAGTCAATCGCCATTGGGACCGACTCACAGTCACTCTTGCTACTTGCTTGCTTTCTCGACTTGGTTTATCTTGTATCGGTCAATCACTTCCATCCTGGGGGGGTTGGGGTGTGGTTTGGTTGATCATTTGAGCCGATGAAAAGAAAGTGAGTGAGACAAGAGTGTGGTGAGAAGGGAACAGTGGAAGGCAGTTGAAGGCTACGATTCCGAAGAGACCTCAGTTCGAATCTGAGCACTGGCAATCAAGGTCTGTCCTTTTTTTTGTTCTTTTGTCTTTAATGTTCTCTGTACACTATGGCATTCCGTGATAGATATATGTATATATATAGGTATACGTTAGTATATTGTCAAAGAGCCTTGTGTCTGGCATATACTATTCATTATGTAAGCCAGGTCCGCGCCCCAGCCATCCAATCATTTGTCACAACCCCTACGGATCCATAAACAGTCTAGACCATAGGACGGATGGGCTTTCCGACGTGACAGTTCGCATGTAGATCATCGATATGTGCTGTGGATCGAAACACCAGGGGTGGCGAGGTGGGCATTGGAATCCCCGCGTTTTTGAGTTGAGTAGTCGCTCCGACGATCGAGGCGAAGATGCTTGCTATCGGCGATGACATGCCCACTTGGGCAATTCGCTTGCTCTGGAGGGCAGTCTGCTGCTTTTCATGAGCCAACATCAGCTGGATGGCTTTTCCGCTCGACCCTCAAAGGCCCGGGAGAAAGTAGCGCAAACCGGGGCGGACCACTGCGTTCGCTCCGCCGATATGGCCTATGATTCGTGCACCGGATGCGTTACATCAATCCAAGTTCGAGTTTCATCATGGGTGTAGCTTCCGATGAGAAGAGAACGACCGACCGACAATCGAGAAAACCGTGGCAATATGATGCTCTCACATCTCGACCACCGTGACTGCAAGCGCGACAAATCTGACAATGGACCCGGGCGATCTTGATTGGGGTTGCACCGTGGCCAGAAGCCATGAGTTCATTGCGCAGGGATGGAGCACCAATGAGCGAACGACTCTGGATGAGCGAATGGCTAGGAGTGGTTTTCGACGTTCTGATACCTGGTATGTCAGTACGTACTAGTAGGCGCCTCACCATCCTCGCCATCGAACCCACACGTCAACGATGTTATCAGGAGATCCGCTGGTGGAATCGACGACCAGATACCAGCCAAACATGGCTAGCGTGATGCAGGCATGGTTGGGCCAGATGCGAAGCTTTTGTCCATATTCCAGTGGGAGCTGGGTCATTTCGGGATGCTGGCCTTCAAATGCGAGAATCCCATGCTCTTGACTGATGCGCGCGACGATGATCCGTTCTTGATTGCTGATCGTATAATCCTTTCGCATGTTCCAGGGACTGACAACACCATATCCTGCATAGTCCTTACACGGCTCCCGTGCCAGGGCTAGAAGACCTGCCGACACAAGGGCTTCGGGTTGTTCCGTGCGGTTGGGATATAAGGAACAAACCTCGGTCAACACGGACGCGGCAATGGTGTCGTGAGGGTCCGACGTCAAGTGACGACTGCTTGCGGCCACCTGCTGGATATCGAAAATAGGATAGACGCCGGCATGCACTTCGAGTTCGAGATTGGACTTTGTCAGTTGCAACGTCTCCTTCAAGGCAATCGCCGACGAGGATGATGACGACCGGGAGTTCGAAGAAACAATGTTCTGCAGAGACAGCGCCGAAGGAGATGCCCCCACCGATACCACAAGTGCATTCTTCCGATCCTGTTTGGAGTGTTCAGAGGCTTGTCGGCATGAGTCAATCTCAACCTTCAACCAATCCATGGCATCATCCGGGGCTGATGCGCCATAGCTGAGGCTGTTGTGAGTGTAGAAACCGACCAGGTGAAGAATCCCCTGCTCTTCACCTCTGCTTACTTCTCGCACAAGGTCCATCATCTCTATCGATGTTGGATGTAGTCCCGCTCTATGGGGCCCCGAATCGGTCTTGATGAATACTGAGGCGGGAAATCCCGCTTGCTCTCCGAGTTTCTTCACCGACTGCAATTGACCGGGATGATCGACCATGACCGTCACCGAGCCCGCCCCCAACTGACGAGCCACGGTAGCAAGGCGAGGTACATGGGAAGGACCCAAGGGAACGCCATAGAGCACATTGATCCTGGCTCCTTGTCGTTGGTATTCCAAGAGCAGCGGGATCAGCTGTTCGGCTTCAATGACTGTCGACACAACCAACCTCACATCCTTGCACTCTGCCCCAACTTGGAGTCGGGTGAGCTCCGAGGTCTTGTGAGTCTTGACGTGAGCCCGAAAACTGACTCCAAGCTCTTCCACAGCATCGAGCATAGCCTGACAATTGGCCTTCACTTTGCCCACGTCTATGACTGCGGCCGGAACTGGAACCTCGTGGAGAGAACGGTTCTGATAGGCTTCCAACAACGCATCTTTCGATGGGAGGGGAAATCCTGCTACCGACATGCTGTGTCTCTTTGGTGGGAATTGCCAGGGTGGAATTGCAACTTGCTTGCAGGGGTTATATTGCCTCAGTCGAACTGTGTTTGAAGAGAGATTACAATAGGGCGTGGACAGTTGGGATCAATTGATCGAGACGAGACTTTTGGGGTGCGCACCGCAGTGATTGGACTCTTGGATTCCTGGAGGGATTGGGGGGCTAAGGGGCTAAGGACTAAGGGGGCTCCCTAGGCTCCGAGCTGGAACCCAGGTGCTGAAGCGAGATGGGGCATGGACGCCTTATAAATGGGCTTAGGCCCCCTTCCCCAACCATTAGAGAGTATCTAAGGTACCTAAGGTAGGTAGGCACCTCAGGTCCCGCGATTAAGAGGTAGGCACCTAGTACATAGCACCGTCTGTATATACTAGTATGTGCTTGCTCCATGCCGAATACTCAAGGCAGTGAGGACGAAGCCACACGAAACAAGACATCTAGGCATAACGACTACACGAAAGCAAGTCGTCTTGTCTACTGCATTCGTTGGTGAGCAAATTGAGCAGGGCGATGAAGTTCTCCCTCCTTCAAGATGTGCCACGGATTCAATGCCCAACTGTCTGCATATCCTTACACCGTCATGCCTGCTAGCTACTACCTACTACCTAGTAGGTACCTTCCTAAGGTAGGCACGTACAACTTGCGCAGCCATCTCTACCTACCTAGGTACCTAGGTAGGTAGTTGCGTGCATACTCGAGCACTTTGGTATCACTGCTCTGGTCCACCATCACACTTCTCGCATATGAAATATGAAACGCGGATGAGATGGCATCAAGGATCCGCCGGCAACTTGAACTTGTACCTGATCGTCCCTTGTCCGGTGCTTGGACCTGGCGCACTCGGGGAATTGCTGGCCTATCGTCGGCGCCTCCTTAGCCACACCACTGCACCCTTCGTTTCACCACTTCTTCGAGCCGGCCCTCTATAACCAATCTGCTTCCACTCTCTCGCATCCTCCCACCCTCCAACGGGCCAACTGACTATTATGGTGTACGGTCCTGAGCACTCCACGGTGCTCTGGCACGTTGCTGTTTGCAATCCCACACGTTAGCTCCAGCGGCCATGGTTGAAACCATGCTCACCATGTCCACAGGCCCCATGGCCCACGGAGGCTTCCTACAGAGTACTCCCGGGTCTGCATCTGCTCTGCTCACTTTTTCCCCTACCAGATTGTTTCTTGCCCTAAAGCTGGTGTGCAGGAGTCAAGCGGGAGCACAATCAGGCGCAAGGGTATTGCGTTGACTTGGGTACACCCTCTTTTCCGTGGCAGCTTAATGGAGTGCGATATCCAATCTTGATTTTCTGAACGTGAAGCCCATATTGGCCATTCTACCAACGTCCTGCGTTCACTTGCGCCTCGAAGAATCCCTCCTGGGTCCTGGCCTTATACGCGGCGAAACGCCACATCTTTGACGACTCTACTACCCTGCCTGCCTCTCCAACAAACAGCCTGATGCTCTTCGATGAGCATGAGCGCCTGAAGCCGATCTCTGACAGGTGCAAGACCACCCCGCGTTGCACAGACGTCGTCTCAGCTTGCAGCATACGATCACCGCTGAGTGAAGCCCACTGCTCTCTGAGGAAGGATCATCGGAGGCCACCGCGCAGTCAAGATCAGGCACACTTACTTTGGCATGACGCTGATGGAGGTATGGGTGTATCGCGAACATAAATGACACAGTCAGGAGGTTCATCGTATAGGCTGAGGGCCACCGATATCCTCCATCGATGGTCCTTTTGATGATAGCAAGATCTCCTGTGACGTCTCACCGCAAGAAGCATCCATCATGTCTCCCAACAAAAGCAAGAACGACAAACGGGTATCTGTGCGTCCTCCCGCACATCCAGTACCACAGCTGCAGAAACCGTTCGAGGAGTCAATGATCGAAACCATCAACCAACAGCTGCAGGAAGACGTCCCGACTGACGCGCTGACCAGAAGGTCTATGCTCCTCGAAGCGCCCACGTATGAGCGAGTAATTGCTGGCAGATGGAAACAGAAACCTGGTGAACGATACCATCCCTTGTGGAAACTGGTGGCCCAAATGTCTTTCGGGATGCATCTGTTGGCAGAGAACATGGCCATATCGGAAGAGGAGGTAATGAGGATATTACAAGCTCATGTCGACGATATTGACGGATTCCTGGAGCGCACCACCGATGATTTCAATCTTGCCCAAAGTGACATTCACGAAAGAATCCGATGTCTGAAATTACCTCTGGCACATGGGCATGTCTTTGACCGCATGTTGGAGGATCGCGCCTTTCGGGCATCCATTCTAGAGGGTAACGAAAAGATCGATCATGTCATCAGCCGAACCAAGAAGGCTGCAAAGGATGCTTTGAAGGACGTCCAGAAAGGCTTCGACGCGACCAATGTGTTGGAGAAGTATTTGACGAAACTCAACACCACTTGGAGAAGGGAATCTCCGGAGCATGAGGCTGTTCTCGTCGCTATGCTGGGAAACGCGGAAGGCTGGCGCCGGGCGTTCCTGGAGCTACACCTTCAAGGTAACAAATTGGCAGGCTCTCTTTCAAAGCTCGCCGAAATCGTCGCTGAGATGGAGCAAAGGGCAGCCACGGTCAGCAGGAACATTCTTGTAAGCCCTAGAGGTGTGCGTTATTTGCTTGTCTAACTGTCGTCAGGCTAAGACCCAGCGGTCTTCACAACAGCCTGGTCGGACACACCGTTCCCAAGGAGTCACTGTGACCAGCCAGAAGCCTTTACCAACCGAACCCGTACGGCACCTATCGACACAGCCTTCCTCGCGGAGTCCGCGGACGACTGGGATCACCACACAACCCAACAGCGGACGCAACTCCAGTCGAGGCTTGGCCTCTCATTCACTATCTGCGAGTACACAGTCTCCACGGTCTCCCGAAGGCAGGAGGGATCCCAGACCAGATGTTGGTCAGCGGACTCTTGCGTTTGGAGTCAAAACTTTGAGCGGACCACGAGTACAGTCGGCCACGCAACGTATGCCAAAGGCTACGGAGTCTGGCCTCAAAGCTGGAAACGACCATCCTATTGAACTACCCGCAGACGTTCCCCAAGATCTACTTCACCAGGTCCCGGTCTCAGTGAACAACCGGCGGAGTATGGCACTGGGTCGCAACCCCGAAAACTTCTCTGAGCATCGGGCGTCCAGCATTTACTACCCCAGTGCACTGGGGCATTTGTGGAAGTCGCCTGGTGTGTCCTTACTGCTAACGCCGCAATCTTCCCAAGTCAAAGGGACACCGGTGCTGGCCGTCAATTCACAGGGTGTCGTGTCAGGACGAGAAACGGACTATTTTTTCTCCCACGAGCAAAGTCCTTCAATCGGCAGAATCACACCAGATAGCAAGCATGACCAGCCGTTGGACTGGAGTTCTCCACGAACCATTCATAATTCCGCTCGCGCTTCAATTGTCGGATCAACACCGGTGACTCGTCGATCATCAGGCCCTAACCTGGCTTTCACTTCGCACCCTGCTGTGATGTCCATGGCTTTGCCGCCGTCAGAGCTACCTGCCAATACAGAACACGAGGAGCGCCCTGCATCCGTCAGGTCAAAGGAAGGTTCAGAACCTTCCGTTCTAGGGGAGCCTGGGCCTGAAACATCAGAAAACATGACTACAGTGTCTTCGGCTCTGACTGAAGCCAAGGGAGTCGTCGGAGCCCCTTCGGCTGGAGAGTCTATTCTTCCGGCACCCGCTGAAGAGACAACACCGGTCTTACATGAGAAGGCTGAAATGCCGCCACAGCTGGAAGCGACACCGACAGGGGAAATATCTGGGTCGTCGAGGGTGGAAGTCGTTCCAGCAGCAGCAGCAGCTCCATTCGAAACAGCTACCTGCGTGGATGATGAATGCAATTTAGAGGCGAATTCCGCCAAAAACACTCAAGAAGAAACCAGGGTCGAGACGATGAACCCGAGAACGGGCGATTTGAGCTCAACAACGCACTCCGTTGCTGAATTAGTGGCATCCATACCGGAACCACAAACAGCACAGCCGGAGAAGGCGTCTGGCCCGGTGGAGTTGGAGGCCCCTTTCCAGCCTTTCAGGTTGCCTCCAAGGCTGGTCGAAGCATCAGAAAAGACCGAAAAAGATGCTCCACGGGCCAGCATAACACAGTTGGAAGACTTCTTCAAGCTACCGATCCAACAAGCGATCGAGCCCGGGTTGAAACCGAAGGACTTTGGCAACTCTGACCACCCGCAGCTAGATCGTCCCTTGAGGTTGAAACTCGCAAAGAAAAATGGAAAAATAGTCCCAGTCCAGGTTGATGGTCCAGAAGGATCTCAGCAGGGGGGTACCACAGGTTCTAAGCTTAAAATAGACGTGGTTGCGAATTTAATCGAGACAATGTCGCACACACCACCTGGATCGCCCTCACATTCACCATCTTTCTCTCTTGGATCGTCCAGCTCGGCACAATCACCCTCACATGGGTCGTCACATTCCTGGGGCCCTCCAGGGCAAGCAGCAGCACCCCCTGGACCTGGAGGCCGCACTATGGTCAACCCCGATTTTGCAGAGGCTGGTCACTTTGAAGGAGAGAGAAAGCAGAAGAAAAAGGGCAAGGCTGGTAGCAAAAGCGGGTGGAAGAGTCTCTTCGGTGGAAATGCGAATGCAGCTCACAGCCCAAGTGCGTCATCTGCTACGACCTCGGGGAAAGGTAAGACCAAAGGTCAGTCTAGCTCGGAGACTGCAACGGATGCCGGTATGATCAAAGCGTCCGGGAACGATTTGGTCTGGTTCCGTGGTGATATGAAGAAGGCACTGGGTGTGTCGTCGGCCTGACCAAATCTCGGCCACCGTGGATCCTATACTTAGGGGCGGCGTAGAGCATAGCCAATGCTGGTGTTCTAGCATGGCGTGTTAGCATCAACATGGCAACTTTTCAGTTCTGCGATCAAAACATATTTTGTAGTGGCCTCCTTCTAGCAAAACAGTTACGGTCTGCCGTCTCAGCAGCTTCGGGAAGCAGAGTCCAAGGACTGGAACTGCAGCAGGCGAGAGGCGGGCTGGCAAGCGTAGGTATACTGGGATCCGAGTATAGAGGGAAGAATACCACAGGCGCCTTCTTATGAGGGCTCTTGAAGGTCTGAGACTTCTGGTAGGAGTAACGTCAAGCTCGAAAAGAAACTGCGCGACGAGCTTGTTTGTGTCTGTAATACCAAGGGAATGATCGTGGTAGGGGCCGGGATGGTGGCCGGTAAGGAGTCGATGTGCTGCAGGAGCAGGTGATTCGATGAAGATGATTCGGCGTGGATTTGAAGGATGCCTCATCAGCCCTCAGCTTGTCAAATTTGAACGTTGGCGGTGGGTGCAGTGGTTCACTGGTCGTTCTGCTGCTACAGTACCACAGCGATGATATACGTACCAACAGTGCCTGTGGTTAAAGATACATGTATAGGTACCTAGGTAGGTAGGTACCTAAGGCGCATGGGAAGAACAATTTGATGGGATGTAGTGATGGAAGTCGGGCGGGATGATGCCTCGTTACCCGTCACTCGTTGCTCGATTCCTCGGTCGTTACCCGTTAGGCGACAGGCACTGACCCCAGCCTGACGCGGGTGCCGCTGCTGTTAGGTATCTTCGGTAGCATCAATGGCTGATCAGGCGTCGACCTCCCTCTGACTCGCTCCCGCTCCAATGGTTGGTGCCAGACTGCGCTCTATTGATTCATCATCTCCACAGAATCATGTGTGTGTCTCTCTACCAGGCTGCTTGAGCCATCCTCATCCTCTCGTAGCCATTCATCATCTTTTCTCTGAGTGCTGAGACAGTGGGCAGTGAACAGCGTCTTGTTCCACCAAGTCATCCCGAGCTCGAGTTCGAGTGTCGCCATCTCCAGCCTTTTGGTCCTTCCGCGACCCGTATACACGCTCCTCAGCCTCGACCGAAACGACCCGTTACTACACACACCACGGCTGACAACCGACTTCCACCTGTCAACCCAAAACCTGAAGCAAACGAGCCGCGATGCCCGAGCAGGCACGAACCATTGTTGCTGTGCGCAAGTGAGACGTCCTCGAACTCGTCGAGTGGGCTGTGCAACGACGTCCTCAGCTGTCCTGCGCATCTCGAAACCGCCATCCGGGCCCCTACGACTATCCGGTTCCGCTCTTTAGCATGGTTATTGCGACATTCTTCGCAGCCTGCGAGGTCTTCACCGAGCTGGGAGTGATCATGTTCTAAGATTTGCGCAGAGGGTCGAATTGTGAACCATACAAGTGTTCGGTGGTGTCTCGGTGGTGTCGAGAGGAGAAGGTATGGCTCTATGCCCCGTTTGAAGACTACATACTGGCAACCCTGGTGTTCTTGCGCTCCGCTGTTTAGTGCTCTGGTATCCTGTTGAGCGGTTGGCTTCTCTTTGCGGCCCGAAGTTGTGGCCATTGAGAGTTATCTGCCGGCATCGTGGCCCAGAGGACAGCCGGAAACAGGAACAATCCTTTCAGAGACATGCAACAGTTCACCCCGATTGCACAGCTGCTGACCAGGACCGCGTAGGCAAGCCGAGTCGTCGCTCACCTTTCCTCTCCCACACTTCTGCCCTGTGACCAACGAGGTAGCGTGGTCTAGCGAGTACAACCACCGCTGCCTCGCTTACCTCTTCCGGCAGCCATGGCTATATTTGGGTCGAGCTCGGCGTCGAACCCTCAGGGTCGCCAGGCGACCGCTCATCAACAGGCCACTGCCGCTGACATCGCTCCTTGGGCGAGCCGACCACCGAACGATGTTGATGTGGCACCTTGGGAACGGGATCCTCAGGCACATATGGTTGGTACTCGGGCTTTCAACCAGTCGCATTTCAATGAGCCGCCGGTGGGTAGGGACGAACACAATTCATCATTACGGCCAGATACAGCATGGACGGCTATGTCGGCTATGTCGGATTCGCCTGACTTTGATGGCGACGCGCGGCGGCCTTCAGTAGCCAGCGCCACAACGGTCAGTAGCACAGGCTCGAAAGGCAGCGGCGTCAATGGGCGGTATCACAAGAGCTTGAAGGGTTTCTTCGGTGAAGATCCGACGGGTTCGAGGCAAGGGTCGGCGGCAAATCTGTCTCCGGAACAAGAAGGTCAGGGCGCCATCTTGGAGAAGCCATCCCAACGCAGCAACTCTGTCCAAACCCAGAACACAGTGGAGGATGCGCCCAAGACACCAGCGCCTCCTCCTTCCAGCGATGTCACCCCTTGGGCTTATCAGAATTTCGAGGACGTTTCCAATTTCGGTTCTGCGCCTATACGACAGGATCAGCCGAGCGAGACTTTACAGCCTGGGGCTCCTGCTCCCTCGTCCTACCGCCGCGGTCTCCTGCATCGCCATACAAGAAGCAAGGAGGATTCGCCCAAGGGTCAGCAAGCACCTCCGGCCATTCCCAAGAGACCATCCACCAGCCGAGAAGCCTCCTCCCCCAACATAGGCTTTCTTCGCACTGCTCCTCAAAACAGCACGCCGACGAGCTCTCCTTCAACTCTGAACCGGAACTCGAGCCCAGCGCCGGTGTCGCGCAAAGAGAATGCTTCGCAACCAGAAAAGAGATCTATCTTTTCAATGCTCAAGTCAAGGCATAAAGACAAACAACCACAGCAACCCGAGCCTATCAAAACCAATGTGGAGTCGGCGAAGCCGGTGGAGGAGACTAAAAAGGGCAGAACGCAATCCACGCGAGGTATCGAGACACAGGTGGCCGACAACAAAAGGGATAGGGAGACCAGTATTGCGTCTGTTGAGAGCGCATCTACGATCAAACCTCCTGACCCGCCACCCAAAATGGAGCGTAGCTACACGGGGTCATCGAAATCTAGTAGGTTCACCCGTCATGGTAGACATCGCGGACCCAGTCTTCAAAGTGAAGCCTTGGAGAAGACTCGGTCCGCAAATCAACAGGCACCGATGCAGGCAGGTGTCTTCAGTCTCGACACCAATTTCGACGACATGTCCGACATCATTGCTCAGCCACATATCCCCAAGACGACAGGCGAGGCAGGAATCTGGACCGGCAAGACCGTCACTACACCAGCTCTAGAGCTGCCTGCTCCAGCTTGGGATGCACCAGACAGTTGGGCTGTCAAAGGCCAGGAAGACGAGATCCTTGATAGCTTACCTGAAGCAAGCGAAAGTGGCCTCCCTGCCATCCAAGAGGATGACGGCGTGTCTTACTTCATGCGTGTGTTCAGGACGGATGGCACGTTTGCAACCTTGTCCATGTCTATTAATGCCACCGTGGCAGAAGTGTTGAAGTCTCTCGCGAAGAAGTCTGTCCTTCACGACTCTATTGACAGCTACCAGTTACTCATGCGCAAGCATCAACTCTCAAGACGGCTGGGGGCTGCAGAACGGCCGGTGGCAATGCAGAAGAAACTGCTACAACTTGCCGGTTATACTGACCGAGATCATATCGAGGATGTCGGTCGAGAAGATAACAGCTACCTGATCAGGTTCACCTTTAGCCACGAGAAACAGACGGGTTACGGCAGTGGCCTCGACAATGATCCTGCATTCAATAAAATGCAAAAGTTCAGTCACGTCGACCTTTCAGGCAGATCGCTCGTTACGATTCCAATTTTACTCTACACCAAAGCATCGGAGATCATATCCATCAATTTGTCGCGAAACCTTGCGCTTCGAGTCCCAAGAGACTTCATCACCGCCTGTATCAACCTTCGTGAGATCAAGTTCACAGCTAACGAGGCATGGCGACTACCACCTAGCCTGGCCTGGGCTAGTCGGTTGACAGTCCTTGATGTCTCCAACAATCGGCTTGAGCAGCTTGACCACGCTGAGCTACATAGGTTGATGGGGCTTGTGAGTCTCAAGCTGGCCAACAACAAGCTGTCGGAATTGCCGCCCACTTTTGCGTACTTCCGGCAGCTTCGCAGCCTCAATTTGTCGTCCAACAACTTTACTACTTTCCCGGAACATATCTGTAGCCTCAAGTCGCTCGTTGACCTTGACATAAGCTTCAACAAGCTCTCATCTCTGCCGAAGATCTCGCAATTATCGACGCTGGAAAGGCTCTGGGTGACCAACAACGATTTGAAAGACCCGTTCAACGAGAGCTTTGCAGGCTTGACCAACCTCAAAGAGGTAGACGCGCGATTCAATGGCATCACCAACATCGAGAACGTGACCAAGCTTCCCAATCTGGAACTACTACTTGTTGGGCACAACAATGTCACCACGTTCAAGGGCTCCTTTGCGAAGCTCCGTGTTCTGGTTCTGGACCACTGTCCTGTCACTTCTTTCGAGCTTGACCAACCTGTCCCATCATTAACGAGCCTTAACATTGCTTCGGCGAAGTTGGTCGAGTTCAAAGAGACCATGTTCGATTTCATGCCTAACTTGCAGAAGCTTAACCTTGACAAGAACCACCTCTCGAACATGTCCGCGCAGATTGGAAGATTGTCGAAATTGGAGTATTTGAGCATGGCAAAAAACCCTCTGAACATTGTACCGCCATCGATCGGGAGCCTGATTGAGCTGAAGTTCCTCAACCTCCGGGAGTGCAATTTGAAGAGCCTGCCGCCTGAGATCTGGTACTGTCGGAAAATGGAGACGCTCAATCTTTCGTCCAACGTGCTGGAGACGTTCCCCAAGCAGACGGCGCCCCCGCCGCCTAGTGATGCCAGAGAAACTACACCTGCCACGACTCCGGGTTTGTCAACGTCGCCGAGCTTCGAAGAGCTCGGTAGGCTTGAAGATTTCCAGGCTCGACGTCCTAGCCAAGCCTCTGCAGGAATGATGAGTCTTGGTAGCTCCCCGGGGAGTGCACGCAAGAACTCTGTTGCTTCGCTCCAGCCTCATCGAAAGACTTCCGTGATCTCGCGGACAAACACCGAATATTCGATGAGCATAGCTACTCGGAAGGACTCCAACATGTCGCAGGCAAGGCTGCAAAACACTTTTGCCGGTTCTCTTCGCTATTTGTACCTTGCAGACAACCGTATCGATGACGACGTATTCCGCGAATTGGCTCTTTTACCGGAGCTTCGAGTATTAAACTTGTCTTACAATGAACTCGATGACTTCCCTCAGGGAGTCCTGCGTCGTTGGCCCCAGTTAAGTGAGCTCTATCTTTCAGGAAACCAGCTTACTTCTCTACCCTCTGACGACCTCGAGGAAAGCAGCAACTTGAAGGTGTTACATCTGAACGCCAACCGTTTTCAAGTGTTGCCCGCCGAGCTTTGCAACGTACACAAGCTGTCAACGTTGGATGTGGGAAGCAATGCTCTGAAGTACAACGTCTCGAATTGGCCTTATGACTGGAACTGGAATCGCAACACCAACTTGAAATATCTGAACTTTTCCGCGAACAGACGATTGGAAATCAAGCCAGCCCATCAGAATCCCACCCAGTTCAACGCGGTGAATCGGAACGACACGACCGACCTTACCAGTTTCAACACCTTGAAATACCTGCGTGTTCTTGGTCTGATGGATGTCACACTGTTGACGAACACTATCCCGGATGACAATGAAGACCGCCGTGTCCGGACCTCTGCGTCGTTGGTTGGAGCACTAACGTACGGAATGGCAGACACGTTGGGTAAGAACGACCATCTGTCCACTCTTGATCTGCTCAAACCCAACTTCAGAGGCCGAGATGCAGAGATCCTGATTGGCATGTTTGATGGCCAGACGATGTCAAGCGGAGGATCGAGGGTTGCAAAGTATCTGCACGAGAATTTCTCGGCCGTCTTCTATGAGGAGCTCAAAAAGGCGGATGCTGCGGCGGAAGACAGCCCGATCGACGCCCTCCGAAGGACCTTCCTGAGCATGAACAAAGACATGGCCAACTTTGCCAGCAGCAATTTCGACACCAAAGAGTACAGACTGGCCAATGGCCATCGCGGCTCTACCGTTGCGAACATCCTTGGGCCAGATGAGCTGACCTCTGGTGGAGTGGCAACTGTGCTATACATCAACGGCCAGGACCTCTACGTGGCTAACGTGGGCGACATTCAGGCGATTCTGATTCAATCGAATGGTCAACATTGTCAATTGACACGCAAACACGACCCTGCTGAACCGGAGGAACGTGAGCGTATCAGAGAGGCAGGAGGGTACGTGTCCAGACAGGGCAAACTCAACGAGAGCCTCGAGGTCAGCCGGGCTTTCGGCTACTACAGCCAAATGCCGGCTGTCATTGCTGCACCACACACCTTCAAGTGCCAAGTCAATGAGTCCGACGAGCTCATTGTGGTAGCGACCCGAGAGTTTTGGGACTATGTTACGGTCGATGTGGCAGTTGACGCGGCCCGGGCAGAGAAGAACGACCTTATGCTCGCTGCTCAGAAACTGCGGGATCTGGCAATGGCTTTCGGCGCCAGGGACAAGATCATGGTGATGGTGCTCGGCATCTCCGATCTGCGAAAGAGGAGAGACCACCGGTACCGCGGGACTAGCCTGTCGTTGGCAAAAGAGCTGGGACTTGACGAGGGAGCCATATTCCCTAGCTCCCGGAAGACGAGGCGCAAGGGCGAGACCCTGGTGGGTGACTCTCGACTGGCCCGGCTAGAGGAACCGGAGCCGCCGGTGGGAGATGTGGCAATCTGCTTCACAGACATCAAGAACTCGACCGCGTTATGGGAGATACTCCCGGTCCCCATGAGATCCGCCATAATGATGCACAACGAACTGATGCGGCGACAGCTCCGCATCATCGGTGGTTACGAAGTCAAGACTGAAGGTGATGCTTTCATGGTGTCCTTCCCGACGGTCACATCAGCGCTACTCTGGTGTTTCAGCTGTCAAAGTCATCTTCTGGAGCTCCCGTGGCCCACCGAGATCTTGGAGACCGTTCATTGTCAAGAAAAGCTGGACGCCGACCAGAATGTCATTTACCGTGGGTTGTCGGTCCGGATGGGATTACATTGGGGACGTCCGGTGTGCGAACAGGATCCAATCACCCGCAGAATGGACTACTTCGGCCCCATGGTGAACAAAGCTTCTCGTGTGTCAGCGGTGGCGGATGGTGGGCAAATCAGCGTGAGCAGTGATTTCATCAACGAGATTCAGAGGACTCTGGAGAGCTATGCCGACGATGAGCGGCGCGACTCGATCGACTCGGACGACACGGTGAATGACGATCCATTGGCGAGCCAAATCCGTCGGGAACTTCGTCAATTGAGCAGCCAAGGGTTTGAAGTCAAGGACCTCGGGGAGAAAAAGTTGAAGGGTCTTGAGAATCCCGAATATCTTTACCTGATCTACCCCCATTCCCTGGCCGGCCGGTTGACAATACCTCCTGGAGCGGAGAACAAGGTCCAGCTCGGGGGTCCCGGACCCAATGAAGAAAAGGGTCAGCCTGGAAGCCTGGGGAAGGACAGCGAACTCAAGGAACTCCAACTGGACGAAGTCTGGAAACTTTGGGACATTGCCTTGCGGCTGGAGATGTTGTGCAGCTGTCTGGAGGCACCAGAGCGGGCAGCGGGTCTTCACAAGCCGGAGTTGAGTCTGCTCACGAGGATGAAGGAGCGCGGAGGGGTGCAAACGGATGGATTCATGATGAATCTGTTGGAACATCAGGTGACACGGGTCGAGGTAAGGAGCCACCAGTCACGTAGGAATGAGATACTTGAGTACAGGAGGCTAACACGATGTTCATAGGCATGTGCAACAACGTTGCAACTTCGCCACATGGCCCATCCCTTCCGCAAGGGAGTCTCACTCATGGATCAAGCCAGGCCCATCGCCGAGGTCATGGCTGAGATTGCGGCCCTTCTCGCGGAAGCGAAAAGCGCTCACGACGAAGTGGTTACATCGAAGACCGAGGAAGAAACAGACTTGGAATCAAGTCATTGATCTCCGACGGGTCACCATCCGGGAGCAAGCCGGGGCTTACTGCCCTGCTCTCGGGAACAGACAATGGTAACGAGGCGGGTTTACGACGCACGACACTCGCGTGGAGGGGCAACAGGACCCGGACTGATTTGGCTTTTCAGGGGATGCCGCATGGACGACCAGCATACTACTTTAGGAGAAGGATGCAAAGGATAAGGAATGCCGTTACGAACAATCATCAAACATTTGTAAATGTTGAAAAGGGGGACCTGGATGTTTGCCCATCGTCACTATCACTCTTTGGACAGTGGAAAGAAAGGCAGGAAGGGAAGTTGTTCAATCATAGGGCGCCACAATGGCAGATATGGAATATGGAATATGGGATATTGGATGGCAGGCTGGGGATGCCTTTTGGTGAATGGAATGGATTAGATGCGACGGGCGGCCCATGGGGAGACCACGGTCGTCTTGGGAATGAATATCCATCGTCTACTGTATTATACGATGCCTTGAATATAGTGAGTGAGTGGTATATTATATGACATGATATCAGACAAAGACATTGGTGATATTGATGCTCAGGTTGATATCTATGTCGTGTCTCTACCATGTCCATCGCGCCGACTGTATTAACACAAAGGAAGAAAGAAAGATATATACAGAGTACAACACAGCTTGATGGGGGATTGGCCTCAACAGTAGATAGGTAGTGATAGATTGCCATGACAGCATCAACATCGACATAAACGTCCCTTTGGTCAGACAATCTTGTTTCCTTTTTCACCGAGTAATACTCCGAGATAGAGAGATAGAGAGAGTGGATTCGGTATGATGCCATTGTTTGTTCAACACCTTGCACCTTGTACGTACATCCATCGTAGTTACTACATAGTAGGACACTGACATGCTTTCTTCCATAGGCAATCGATGAGTCGCCCTTGGAGAATCACGGTCAAGCGATCAGTGACTGTCGTTGTTGTTGTATGTTCTGTCGACTGACCAGGACTCAACACACGATCCTCCGCTCTAGTCTTGCTCGTCAATCATCACCCCGACTTGTCATTGTCAACATGAAGGGCTATCACTTCGAAAGCAAGCCCCTGGCTCATCCCGAGGCCGTGGTCAAGGGTCCCCACTATCGCTTCACCCTCCTCACCGATCGGCTTCTTCGCTACGAATGGTCCTACGACGGCAAGTTCGAAGACCGGGCCTCGACCTTCGCCATCAACCGCGAATTCCCCGTGCCCCAGTTCCAGGCCATCGACCGGGAAGATGAACTGGAGATCATCACCGACCATCTACACCTGAGCTACGACAAGAAACGCTTCAGCCCCAGTGGATTGATGTGCAGCTTCTCGGCCAAAGTCACGCTCTGGGGAGCCCAATGGAGGTACGGGGACGAGACAGACAAAGAGCAGAACCTCGGGGGCACCGCCAGAACGCTGGATGGGTGTGATGGGCGTTGTGACATGGGCACTGGAGTGCTATCGCGCTTCGGATACGCCGACATGGACGATAGCAAATCCATGCTGTTCGATGGCAATGGGTTCGTGGCCGGGCGACTGCCGGGAGACCGCATTGACGGATATCTGTTCTGCCACGGCCATGACTTCAAAGGTGCCATCAAAGACTTCTATGCGTTGAGCGGCAAGCAGCCCATCCTGCCCAGATGGGCCCTGGGAAACTGGTGGAGTCGCTATTACAGGTATCACCAAGACGAGTACGTGGCGTTGGTCGACGAGTTTCGGGAAAAGGACGTCCCGCTGTCGGTGGCGGTGGTCGACATGGACTGGCATCTCGTAAACGACGACCGGGTGCCTCACGCCGGCTGGACCGGCTACACGTGGGACGAGAAGCTGTTCCCGGATCCCACCGCCTTTGGACGCGAAATACACAAGCGAAACCTGAAAATCACGCTGAACGACCATCCGCACGCGGGCATCCATCATCATGAAGATGCGTACGATGAGATGGCCAAGTTCCTGAACCACGACACCTCGAAGAAGAATCCGATCCTGTTCGACCCGACCAGCCCCAAATTCATGGAAGCGTACCTGACCATTCTACACCGGAACATCGAAAAGGTGGCCTGTAGCTTTTGGTGGATAGATTGGCAACAAGGCTCGCACAGCAAAGTGCCCGGAGTCGACCCTCTCTGGCTCTTGAACCATTTCCATTTCCTCGACAACGCCCTCGACGGCAAACGGCCGCTCATCTTCTCGCGATACGCCGGCCCGGGAAGCCATCGGTACCCGGTCGGCTTCTCCGGCGACACGGTGACGACGTGGGCGTCGCTGGAGTTCCAACCCGAGTTCACCGCCACGGCGTCGAACATCGGATACGGCTGGTGGAGCCACGACATCGGCGGACACTATGGCGGCACGCGCGACGACGAGCTGGTGACTCGCTGGGTGCAGTTCGGCGTCTTCAGCCCGATCATGCGCCTCCACTCGTCCAATTCGCGCTGGTCGTCCAAAGAGCCGTGGCTGTACCGCGCGGAGAGCGAGGCGGTCATGGAGAAGTTCATGCGTCTCCGCCACCGCATGATTCCCTACCTGTACACCTGCAACGTGCGCGCCTCGGCCGAAGACGAACCCCTCGTCCAGCCCATGTACTGGTCATTCCCGGAGCGCGACGAGGCCTATTCCGTGCCCAACCAGTACCATTTCGGGTCGGAGCTGATCGTCGCGCCGGTCGTCAAGCCGCGCGACAGGCGCACCAACCTGGCCGCCGTCAAGGCCTGGCTGCCGCCGACCGGGCGCCACGTCGACATCTTCACCGGTACAGTCTACGACGGCGATCGCGAACTCAACATGTACCGATCTCTAGATGAGATCCCGGTCCTCGCCCACGAGGGGAGTATCGTCCCGCTCGACGCCAACTTGGCGCCCCAGAACGGCGGACCCAACCCAGACCATTTCGAAGTCCTGGTCGTCATTGGCGCCGACGGCCAGATCAGCGTGCTCGAAGACCCGGCCGACGATTCCGACGAGACTCGCAGGGAAGCACCCGCCACCGGGGAGCGCGGTAGTCTGATCCAGTACAGCCAGGCCCCGGGCCAACTAACCGCCCACGTCACCGGGCGCATGTGGACTTTTCGGTTCCTGGCCGTCACGCAGATCCCGACGGCGTTAAAAATCACTGTTGACGGCCAAGATCGCAGTAACGATACTGAGGTTGTTGTCGACGTGTATCCGGATACGCCGTCCATGGTGGTGCATGTCCCGGATGTTGGTGGTGGTGGCGGCGGAGGAGGAGGAGATATTGATGGAGATGGAAACGAGGACAGCAACAGACAAAAACATACCATCACCATCTCCTTGGGACAGAACCCGCAGTTGAGTGTCCTCGACCACAAGGCGCGCATCGAGCATCTGCTACTCGATTATCAGACGGAATTCGATATCAAGCAGCGCATCTGGAGCATTGTCGACGATCGCAACAGTGCGATCAATGTCAAGATTGGGAAACTCATGAGTCTGAGTGTGAATGAGACGCTGACGGAACCGATTGCCGAGTTGATCTTGAGTGATGTTCGAGGAATGCATTTGTGAGTGAAGATCGTGAGGGTTTGTTGTTAGAGACAGGCAGCGGCTGGCGATGGCGAGCGATGCCGGTGGTGGTCATGCTGCCTGTCCATGGTCTTCATGGTTGAAGAAAGGGGTAAATCTTGAACCGAAAGGGGGGTGGTTTTGTAGACAGGTTCACAGAGTATCATTTCCTACGGGAGTTAATGGGGAAATAGACAATAGACCGGGCAAGAGATGAGATCAAGCAAGTACCAGAATTGCTACACAATCATTAAATTATATCTCTACAGAGAACTGCCCCCCGAGATTCCAGCAGCAGGTTGTCTGTCCCCGATCCCCTGTTGCTGTCCGTCATTCCATCACAGTTTATTCTCCCTACTGCGATCACTGTCCTTGTCAAACACCTTCTGATGCAACCACTCTCCAATAAGACGATTACATTCTTCCGGCCGTTCCCACAGCGCCCAATGGCTAGCACTGACCTCGCGTCTGGTCAGATTCGGAATACGCTCGCCCATCCTCTCAGCCATGAAAGGCTTAAGGGCCTGATCCCTGGTCGCCAGCACGAACAGCACCTCCTGCTTGATCGTCGGGGCCTGAGCCGCGGGTTTCTGCCCAGACCGAAAAAAGTCGCGCCACTCATTCATAAAGTTGTCCTCCCGGTTGCGGTACCAGTTCAGAGGCCCGTGGATCCCGTGCCGACCATACTCGGCGACATAGTAGTCCATCTCATCGTCGTCGAGCAGCTTCGTCTTGCCCACCCGAGACAGGCGAGCCACGTCGATCCCCCGATCCACGTCAAAGACCGGCTTGGGATCCGGAGCAGCACTGCGGCCGCCGTACATGGCATTCAAAAACTGACGGATCTCGGCGGCCGACTGCACAGCCTCCTCGATCTGGCCCGAGGCAAACTGTAGCTGGTAGGCGAAATTCGGCAGGCGTTTCTGCACCAGGATGCCCAGGGGCTCGTATTTGTCCGACGGGGCGAAATAGGGCGTGCAGATGCTGAAGACGGCCTGGATCAGGGTCGGATAGTACTGTGCCACGCGGTAGACGATCGCGCCGCCCCAGTCGTGGCCGCCGAGGATGATCTGGCTTAGACCCAGCTGGCGTGCCAGTTCGGCTAGGTCGTCTGCTGCCCGGCGGTACGTGTAGTCTTGCGTTTTGAACGGGGGGGCGTCCGTCCGTCCGTACCCTATGCAGTCCACGGCCACGACGTCCAGGCCGAGCGAGGTCAGGAACGGGATTTGGTAGCGCCAGCCCATGCTTAGGTCTGGGAAGCCGTGCACGAGGAAGATAGTCCCTCGCTTGGCGGTCGAGGCTGGACTGTACAGGTAGCCATATGTCGTCCCGTTCAGGTGGGCGCTGCGTAGGGAGATTCGTGGGTCGTGGGGGACTTTGATCTTGTCGACTGGCATTTTGAATTCTGCCGGGACTTCTATGATATCTTGGGAGTAGTGAGAAATGATTGATGTGGGTTTCAGGTCAGCAACTCATGCCTGAGGGTGTTATAGAGGATGTTCATGCTGATTGAGGCTGTCGGGAGGGGGAATATATGTTCGTATATGTTACGTCTAACCTACTATGAACCGAGGCTCGATCAAGACTAATCTGTGCCCTGTGAAGTATGTAAACAGGCCACAATAGTGTACGGGTACATGGTCTCTGGTTCAGATCTCGACGAATATCATCGATGTTGTAGTATTGATTATTACCCTTCAAACTCAACCATCTCGTCGGCGTCAGGGATCTCAAGTCTTTTATGGGAGTATCTCAGGTATCTAGGGAACTCGGTGAGGGAGAGGAAATGCTGACTAATGAAGTGGGCTATATACGTCCAACGTGTCACCGTAGTTGATTTCTGCGGAGCATTTGGCTAGAAGCGCATCTCAACTTGAACGTCATTCATCAACTGGCATCCAGCATCCTTCTTACACTGTCTCTTCTTCATATCCTTTTCTTCCTTTGCAATCCTGTGCAGTGTGCATCACGGACGAGATGCCTGCCCTCACTGGTTGGTTTGATCCGCTTCAGCAGAGTCACAGCCTCGTGCGAAGACCAGGGCTGTTTAAAATGGTTCCTCACGAGTTCCAGCTTACCCCTGGAATTGCGTGATGGGACCGCGGGATGAGCAATGCAACCTCGCAGCCTTCTTATCAGTTTCATCGCCCATACATTGGTGGGCGGGTCTCTATCAACCATATGCGTCACTTCTTCCTGCCTTGACGTGAGGTCGGGACGAGACATGATGTGATACTCCCTGTCGTGTCCTGCCATCGTCTGCGCTCCCTGGTCGTCGTACATGGTGTTTCCAGTTTGTCAGCATATGTGATACATGTCCCCTCTCTCTTCTATCATGCCCTTGCTTAAGGGGACAGTCCCGGCCTCTCTCTGGGCGTTCTGATTCATCTCGTTCTGATTGATGACCTTCCAGCGTACTAACTTCGACCCGGGTCACGCTGAATTCTTGATCCGCGTCGAGATGCAGGACCTTGAAACCTCACCCTTGTTGTCCCCTCGTAACTCCCACGCTGAATCCCCAGATCTAGAGAGCCCGCGACTGCAGTCAGTCGACGATGAGCGAAAAGTCGACAATGATGTCCTCCCAGAAACATCGACAGCCGGTCGGACCATTGGCTGGGCCAGTGCCTATGTCCTGGTCATCTCCAGAGTCATTGGAAGTGGGATCTTTGCCATGCCGGGAACAATCGTGCAGAATGTTGGCAGTCCTGGACTGGCCATGGTGCTCTGGGTCATTGGAGCCCTCGTGGCATGGGCTGGACTGGCCATCGATATGGAGTATGGGTGTATGCTTCCACGATCCGGTGGCGTCAAGGTCTATCTGGAATACACCTACCGCAAACCACGTTTCCTCACCTCCACCCTAGTCGCTGTGCAGGCGGTGCTGCTAGGAGTCACGGCCAGCAACTGCATCGTCTTTGCGAAATACACCCTTTTTGCCGCCAATGCCAGCCCGGGAGACCTCGCCACAAAGTTACTGGCCGTTGGTCTTCTCACTTTGATCACCATCGTGCATAGCTGCTTCTACCGAACCGGGATCTGGATACAGAATGTCCTGGGCTGGTTGAAAATCGGATTGATCTTGTTCATGATCCTCACAGGCTTGTTTGTGGTCATATTCCGACCTGATACGTCTACACGATCTCCGAAGAGCTCTTCCGGAGCTGCATGGGACGACCTATGGAAAGATTCCAACTGGGAGTGGAACAATCTTTCGACAGCCTTTTTCAAGGTCCTTTACTCATATGGCGGATTGAGCAACATCAACAACGTCCTAAATGAGGTTAAGAATCCGGTCAGGACGATCAAATCCGTGGGTCCCGCCGCATTACTGACGGCTTGCTTTATGTATGTCCTCATCAATATTGCATACCTTGCAGTGGTGCCCTTGGAAGAAGTCAAGCGCAGCAGGGAATTGATCGCCGCTCTCTTCTTCGAACGTGTCTTTGGGGCTGGGTTCGGAGACAAGTTTCTCCCTCTTGCCATCGCCCTCAGTGCCGCAGGGAATGTCATGGTGGTTACATTCGCCTTGGTGAGTTGGATCAATCATGCTTACATTTCTTTTGCCGTACTGACGATCTTCAGGCTCGAGTCAACCAAGAAGTAGCGAGACAAGGATTTCTTCCCTTCGCAGAGATTCTGGCATCATCCAAACCATTCGGTTCGCCGATGGGTGGGCTGATTGTTCACTACGTTCCTTCAGTGCTGGTTATTGTTTTGCCACCTTCTGCAACGGTGTACTCCTTCATCGCCGATGTTGAAGGCTACGCCAGTCAGTTTTTGGCCTTGGCTGTTGGTGCAGGACTACTCATTCTACGACTTCGAAAACCAGACCTTTACCGGCCATTTAAAGCATGGATTCCTGCAGTCTGGCTAAGAATCCTACTTTGTCTCTTCCTGATATCAGCACCGCTGTTTCCCCCTAAGAAGGGTACAGCGGATGTGAATTTCTTTTATGCAACTTATGCACTCGTGGGCTTGAGCATGTATGTCAGGATCTTCCCCCAACAGCCCCTTCACTGACAATGAGCCAGTTACGTTTTTGGAATCGGTTATTGGTTTATATGGACCATCGTTTTGCCGCGCTACAGTGGCTATAGACTGGAGGAGGAAGCCGACATCCTCGGCGATGGAACAACCATCACCAAATTGATACGCAAGGAGCTATAATCACAAATAGAGCATTGATAAGCACAGCATCCAGTGATTGGAAATCGATTGTCGAGCTGATGATTTTGTCGAGCATCTCCAAAGACCACGTCCAGGGATTTGCGCACGTCATCTCATCAAAGGAGATTCCTATTGGCCTCGGAAGCTGGAGTCAGACGGTATATACATGTCCTCCATGCCTTACCCCACACACTGTACGAGCATGGCGCGTGTGCACTGTGATATGGCGTGCTATCTGACAAATCAGATATGAAGGCGGGCTTTCATAAGAAGGGGATATCCTCCCCAGATGGCCATGGCTGTGAAGGACACTTACTAAAAAAGACATTCATCGCCATGGCATCCGCAGCAGTTCAACAACCCACCGGGCACTCGACCTCCTTTGAACCCTTGACTACTACTCAACTGAAGAACAATTCAGGCCCTCAGCAAGAGAAACATCATGTCCCGACCCAGTTGAACTATTACAAGGATCCTGGTGATGGCAGCCCGCCGGCACCCAGTTATGTCGGCAAACCAGAGACATATGAACGACCAAGCCAGCCTCTGGACGTGACCGTCCACGACATCCGAGGGGAAGAACACAACTACAGTCTCGACAAGAATGGATTCCAGATCCACCGCCATGCGAGTGTCGAGAAGGACTTTGTCGACGATGAGCAGATCAAGGCCCAGTACTACCCGGAGACCGAACAGCTGTTAAAGGATGCGTATGTACTAGCAAACTCCTCCTCTCCTTCTCTCTCAGCTTTTCTTTTTGCTAACCACGAGTTGTCTTATCCACAGGACCGGTGCTTCACGTGTCTTCATATTTGACCATACCATCCGTCGAGCGCCCAAGGATCAACGAGGACCAACTCCTACCATCAACCTCCGCGGCCCCGTGACTCGCGTCCACATTGACCAGAGCTACAGTGCAGCGAAGTCTCGAGTCCCGCACCACCTACCCGAAGAGGCGGACAAGTTGCTCTCCACCCGCTACCAGATCATCAATGTCTGGAGACCGATCAAGACCATCCTCAAAGACCCCCTTGCCGTTGCGGATGCGCATTCGGTCCCCGACTCGGATTTGGTCGGTGTTGCGCTGATCTATCCTGACCGGCGGGGCGAAACGTATACGGTGCGCCCTAACCCCGACCATAAATGGTACTACCTATACGGACAGACGCCTGAGGAGGTCCTTCTGATCAAATGTTTTGACTCCAAGCTGGATGGTCGCGCGAGAAGAGTCCCGCATACCGCGTTTGTCAATCCGGAGACGGTCAACGAGTACTCGCGCGAGAGTATTGAGGTCAGAGCGTTGGTGTTTCACGAGGATGAGCCCGCAGAATAGGTCTCTGTTGTCGGAAGAACAGTTCGGTACTAGTAGCACGTCGCTATGAGGCTTAGTACCTACCTACATGTACCTATCCTTTTGACCTGTCAGGCTTCTTGTAGCGTCATCAAATGAAATGTCTTATCACTACAACCGGATTGACTGCGTTCAATACAAAGGTACTGTGTACACTGCAGGAGTCGCCCTGCTAGTATAGGTACTTAGGTATCTGTAATGGTACTGGTACTAGATGTTGATGATGATAAGAAATGGCGCCAAGACCGCGCCACGTCTCAGCCTCGCCAAATCTCCACAACCTGGTGGGGTCTGTCCGCCTTGGCGAACCATTGGTTCCCTTGGCGCCGCATCCAAGCCACATTTGACGTGCCTGGTCTGTCATCTTTGCCCCGCGTGTTGGACACATGTCGTAGGGTCGACAGGGGTCCGAGGGAGGCTGTGGTCCCTTAGGCCCTTACTACCTAGCTTCAGTATCTAGTACCGCAGTACTAATTAAGTCTATCAGCTTATTAACTGTGTTTGGCGCATCTATCCAGCATTAGTAGGTACTACTAGTAGTACACTGTCGACCTATATATCTCTCTGGTCGCAAAAGTATTCCGTCGAACTTCTCACCTTACCCCCGCATCTTCACACCTTCGACTCCTACCAAGTTCGTCCTCATACTCAAGACCTAATTCATATAACATACATGTCTTACGGCCCTCCGCAAGGTCAACCTCCGTGGGGAGGAGGTCACCCTCCCCAAGGCCAGGGATATGGCTCACCTTACCCTCCACAAGGCCCGCCACAACATGGCGGCTATCCGCCCGCGCAAGGAGGATATCCTCCTCACCAAGGCGGCTACGGTGCCCCTCCTCAACAATTCGGCGGCCCTCCACCTCCCGGTGGTTATGGCCCTCCCCCAGGACCTCCTCCGGGTCAGCAGCACATGGGCGGTCCTCCGCCACAGCACGGCGGCTATCCTCCTCCGGCCGGCGGATTTCCACCCCAACAGTACGGACCACCTCCCATGCCTTCACCGGGCTATGACCCTCGAGCGCAAGCGCACGGCGACGCCTCCGCAGACGCAGATGCGCTCCGAGCGGCGATGAAAGGGTTCGGCACGGATGAAAAGGCATTGATTCGAATCCTCGCGAAACCCGATCCGCTACAGATGGCACTGTTAAGAAACACATACAACCAGCGGCATCGGCGCGATCTAGAAAAAGACATCAAATCCGAAACGTCAAAATACTTCCGCGACGGGCTTGTGGCGCTGGTGCGAGGGCCTCTTATGAGTGATGTCCACGACGTCCACGACGCGATTAAAGGGTTGGGAACGAAAGAGTCGACGCTCAACGACGTTCTTCTCGGCCGCTCAAACGCCGACATGCGCGCCATCAAACAGGCGTATCACCAGACATTCCACCGTACCCTCGAGGCGGACGTCAAGGGCGACTTGTCGCTCAAGACAGAACAGCTGTTCAGCATGGTCATGGCTGCGACGAGGAACGAGGAGTCCGCGCCCGTCATCCCCACCGACCTCGACCGCGACTGTGCGGATCTGCATCGCGCCATGGACGCCCGCATCGGCACCGACCAGATCACCGTGTGCAGCATCCTGGCCAACCGGAGCGACGGGCAGATCCGCGCCATCAACCACCACTGGCAGCAGAAATACCACAGCAGTCTGGAGAAAGTCATCGAATCCGAGTTCTCGGGCCACATGAAGGACGCGCTGCTCTTGATGGTCCGCCGCGCTTCGGACCGGATCATGTCCGACGCCGTGCAGTTGGAGGATGCCATGGCCGGGTTCGGCACCAAGGATACCTTGCTCGTGCAGCGCGTGGTGCGCGTTCATTGGGACAGGGCCCATCTAGACCAGGTCAAGCGTGCATACACGCACCGGTTCAAGAAGGACTTGATCCAGCGCGTCAAGGGGGAGATTCATACGGATAAGTACTACGAGGCATTGATGGTCGCTTGCTTGTCTTGAGAGAGGTTTTTGCAATGCAGAAGCGTGCGCTTTTGTCGGTGTCTTCTTCGTATACCTTGTCCTCGGCATGATACCGACTCTGACGTGTCTTCGGTGGTCTGCTGTGGGATGTCCAGCTCCAGATGAGCGTCTTGGAGAGCGGTGTCTTGCTTTCTGTTCCAGGTTGGTCCTTGTGGAGTTTTATACCTTTCAAGGCCTCGCGGCTTGATTCTGGCGTTCTGGGACGTCTTTGCACTGGTGGATTGCCGTGTACCCTGACCCACGATATGCCTTGGTATTGCCAAGCCAAAAAGTTCAATGCAACGGCTTTTATGTATCGCTGCTTGATAGCATTCAATGAAGGAATAACTGACTGCGCCTGTAAGGTCGGGGTCAAGCTACGAAGAGACTACATTCATCTGTTTACACTACAATTATACTCGCTCTTTCTCTGCGTCATGGACACGCTTAAATAGAGGTATCGAGAGGTAAATGACAGACAAGGACGGGGGTTCAACAGCCTCGTTCTCGAATGATTTAAGAAGGGGGTTACTTTGTGTGACTTACCACCGCGCATCAGCTATTGAAGGGAGCATCACAATCTCTTTCGCCCACCCAGGAATCCGATCACGACGGTCTAGATCAACAACACAGCATATCGTGCAGGGGCATATCGGAAACCGTCATGGGTCGAAAAATCATGGGATTCGTCTCGTCCGCCGGAGATACGTACGTCCTTAGAGGACGAGAAGATGATGCTCAACTTCCGACTTCGCCCCATCGGGAAGATACGGGGGAGGCTGGGCTGGCTAGTAGGCGGATGAAAGACGGCTGAGCATCTCGAGGTATTCGTTCGTTCGGCCGATCGGATATTTTTCGGATTGCCAGTGGCAGCCGAAAGACATGTGAGCATGGTCGGACCAGACCAGGACAGAGTTGATTGAGTGTCTGAGTGTCTGTAATATCGCACGAAGCAATTTCAAGTTCAGAGTCTGATGGTGCATAGATTGTCCTACCTAGAGGTGAGCAGTGAACGTGTGGTAGAATGTAAAGTTAGGCATACCCAGCTCGACAGAATAAGGGAAGCGCAGGCTGGAATGGAACAACTGTTCTACCGAGGCTCATGAATCGTATGCGTTTTCTCTATCAGATGGCGGGGAACTGCGCAGGGTGCGGTCTTGTACAAGCCTTGATCCTTCAGCATACGACTCGCGGGTTTGTGTGAAATGGGACGTCTGTGTCAAGAACTGTGTGAAGGTAAGGCACTGACGCGAGCAGGAGTCGAGTCTTAATCTTCAGGTTCAAGTTTTCTCTTCACAAACGCCGAGGAAAGAACAGCATTTCCAACTTGCTTGTTGCTTTGAAGTTCAAGTCGAACGCGCCGAGAACCTCCGCATGTGTGAACATGATTCAGGGCAGCCTAAGGAGCCCCAGTGGTTAGTGGCCAGTGTGGTCAAGCCCAAGGAGCCCCTTAGCCTAAGGAGCCTAGTGCGCTGGCACCTAGGAGCCCCCAAGCCCCGTAGCAGCCCCGTAGCCTGCTATTCTCCTCTTGTCCTGGCTGTTCCCCCGACTCCCCGTGCCTGGAACTGAGCCTAGGGCCCATGAGTCCCCGCTCCAATGATGAAATTCCCCCATGTTCCACTAATTCATGGAACTGGTGACTCCAGATGTTTAGCAATGTACCTCGGCGGAAAGGGAAAATCACGAACCCTGCCAGTGGCACGATGCGCTTGAGAACACGCGCATGCCTCCCTCCGAGTCCATCATATCCTGTCTTTTCGGATTGGAACGGTCACTCGGGTCTTGGGCCAATTGTCATAATAACTGCCCACGCCTCTTCTGTTCGTCGAGAATGTGACCTCACCCTCGTGAGATCGCTGTCGACTCATCGCTCCTCTCTTGGCTTTCCCCCAGGATTGGCATCGGCCTCAGCTGGAGTTTATGATCGTTTCCTTGTCTCCGAGCATTTCCAGTGCCCTAGGTCTACTTACACGCCCGAGTGTCCTTTGTTCTCTGTCTCTCTCTCCCTCCCTGCTCCGACTATTCAGCAAGTCCGCTGGAGTCGCAGCGCTGTCCTTGCATTGCAGTGCTCCAGTCGAACGGCTCAGACGCCTCACCCTCTCGTCGAATTCACGACACAGATCTGACAGGTCTGCTACTGGCTCGACCGCCGAAGCCTACCATACCTCGTGAAGCTGTCCTACACAATGTCTGCGAAAAGTGTGAGAGGCGAAGGCGGCAAGAGGCCGGCCAGCGCCGCAACCAACTTGATTGCTGGAGGCGGGGCTGGTATGATGGAGGCTCTCGCGTGTCATCCGCTCGACACGATCAAAGTGAGAATGCAGCTGTCGAGAAGAGGAAGGGTGCCCGGCCAGAAGAAGCGAGGTTTCGTTCAGACGGGAAAAGACATTATCAAACGAGAAACCTTCTTTGGTCTGTACAAGGGTCTAGGTGCTGTTCTCACGGGCATCGTTCCCAAGATGGCCATCCGGTTCACCTCCTATGAATGGTACAAGCAATTCCTTGCAGATGAGAACGGTGTTGTCAGCTCGAAGGCAACTTTTCTGGGTATGTCCAATCTTGCGACCGGAATGTGATCGATTTGGGTTTGCTGACTTGACGCAGCCGGGTTGGGCGCTGGTGTGACGGAGGCCGTGGCCGTGGTAACGCCCATGGAAGTGGTCAAAATTCGAATGCAGGCCCAATACCACAGTTTATCCGATCCGCTCGACGTCCCTAAATACCGAAGCGCTCCTCACGCCCTTTTGACCGTTGTCCGAGAGGAAGGCGTCGGCGCCCTATATCGCGGTGTGTCGTTGACTGCGCTGAGACAAGGCACGAATCAAGCGGTGAATTTCACAGCATACTCCGAGCTGAAAGAGTTCCTGCAAACGTTACAGCCACAGTACGAGGGCAAGAACCTGCCGGGTTACCAGACAACTCTCATCGGATTGATCTCGGGCGCCATGGGTCCTTTCTCCAATGCACCCATCGATACCATCAAGACACGGTTACAAAAGACGCCCGCGGAGCCGGGCCAGACTGCCATGTCCCGCATCATGGCCATTTCGAGAGACATGTTCAAGCAGGAAGGTGCTCGAGCCTTCTACAAGGGTATCACGCCCCGAGTAATGCGAGTGGCTCCTGGTCAAGCTGTCACGTTCACCGTGTACGAGTATCTGAAGAAAAAGTTGGAGGACAGCAGTTGGGCGATTGTGGGAGGAACATACGAAGAATGAACTGTCTTCAATTGTCAAAAGGCGGGATGAGTGAGAATGATTTGTTTGCATTTTCCCGAGCGAGACCAAAAAATGTCGATTCCTGCGCGCCAGATACCACGATTTCAGTGTATATACCCATACCCAGGCAGATGGTCATGATCTAGGATGAATACTTGTGAAGGCCGAAAAGCTGAATAGCCATATTCTTCGTATACTTCGTCTACTTGTCTTTCCTTCTTTCCTTCTCATTGAACCCTCTGAATCCTCCAGCCAAAGAATCCATCACGTGGCGCGCGGCAAGGCTGCGTCAGGCTGCGGCCCCACCAACTTGAACTGTTTGGAGCCTCGTAAGCCTGCGTTGGCATAACATTGACCGTCTCCCCTGTCCTGAACCTACACGGTAAACGAACGTTCTCGGCCGACACAGAAGCTACCCCAAACAATCCTTCCGTCTGGACCAGATCCCGAATATAAGAAGACAGCCCTGCACAGCTTCGCAGTTCGACAGAACGCACCAGTCCTAAGCGAGCCCCTTCCGGGTCCTTTCCTTTCCTTCGATCGATCTCCTCCGCCTACAACAACACTCCCTTCCTAAGATACTAGCTAGCTACCCACCCATATCCATAAATCGGTACTCTACACAATGCAGTCCGGGATTTCAGGTATCAACAGACCCCCTCCTCAGCGTTTCCGACAGCCTTATTCGGCGCCCTATCCAAGAGCATTCTAACTGACCCTGTCTGCAATAGCGTCCTCGGACCTACACGAGGCGTTTTCCGACTTCGCATCGAACCATGACCTATTCTCCCTCCCAGTGACCATCACGACCGAATCTCTCACGCCTCTACCGTCAATCCGGTTCCCCTCGTCGTCCTCGACCTTCCACAGCACGCTGTCGAGTCTCGACAACCTCCTCGACCCAACCACCCCACTCTACCTTCTTCTGCGCAAGGAGCCGGCCAAACCGGACCTCGTGGCCGTGACATACATCCCGTCCCGGGCACCGGTGCGGCAGAAGACGCTCTTCGCATCGACGCGGGCCACGCTCGTGCGCGAGCTCGGCAGCGAGAAATTCGTCGAGACCGTCTTCGTGACGGAACGCGAAGAGATCCTCGATCCGGCGCAATGGCAAGAACGCGCGGGAAGTACAGCCGACACATCTGGACAGACTGGACAGACTGGAGCGGACAGTAGTGGTAGTGGCGGGGGCGTCGACCCGGGCCTCCTGAGTGTCGAAGAGCGGGAATTACAGGCCGTCAAGCGCGCCGAGGAGGAAGAGCGCCATGGCACCCGTGGCCGCGACCTCATGAACCAAGGCGGCAGCGGCGGGGCGGGGGCGGGAGGGTCGCATGTTCGCCGCGGGCTCACGCTGAAAATCACCGCCGAGGCACGCCGCGCTTTGGCTCAATTGCAAGAAGCTGGGGGTTCGTCTTCGCTGGTCCAGCTCGGCATCGACATCGCTACAGAGACGGTGACGCTGCTTTCGACCAAGGCTGGCGTCGCGCCCGATGCTGTCCCGGGTCTCATACCGGCGGGACAGCCTAGTTATAGCTTCTACAGCGTGCCGCGGAGTCATGAGGCTGGAAACCCTGGACCCGGAGCAATCTTCATCTACGTGTGTCCTGGCACCAGCAAGGTCAAGGAACGCATGGTCTATGCCAGCTCGAGACGGGGGGTGCTGCAGATCGCCGACGAGGAGGGCGTCAAGGTCTTGAAGACTCTCGAGGCTGGCGAGCCGGATGATTTGGTTGGGAGGCTGGACGATGAGGTGAAGGCCTTGGCTGGGCCCTCGGAAGATGCTGAAGCTGACGGTAAGGATGCGGCCCCGGCTTCGACGGCAGGACCGGCGAGGACAGGCTTTGCGCGACCTAAGAGGCCGGGAAAGCGGTAGAGACATAAGACAATATGACGCGAAACCAAAAGTATTGATCGAGTCTGCATTGGTTAATTCTGATCAGATTGGAATAACATGGATGTATAAGCATGGTTCCGGCGCTGTAAATTGTGTGTACACAGCGATCTGCGCTCCTGATGGACGGGGCAAAGATGGGAATTGCATGGGCACATAGTGCAGCGATCAGAAATGAGAGTCACAGAGCAGGAATGAGCAGGGAGATATTGTAAACAATAAGAGCGAATCTTGCAAAACCGCATGAGCGGCCGGTAAGGCTATTGGCATTGACTGTCATTGTATCGAGCGGCAAAGCAGCCATAAGAAGTCTTGCGACAGACCCTAGCATTCATGACCCTGGCACTCATTTGCGTCCCAAGAGCTCCATGGCCTATCTATCCATTTCACGCATGTTGCTGGATGTGCCAATTTCCCGTCGTGTGGGTTCGCCCCAAGCTGGCTGCTGGCAGGAATCTCTGCATTCGAATCTCCAGGCTGGGACATTGCTCTGCTGGATGGCTGTCCGATCGATTTGACTAATTCTCGTCTCGAAAATGTGTCGACGGCGGATATGACATGCCGATCCTTAGTTGTGGCTGGCACTTTCGAGGTCGGCAGAATAACTGCGGGGACCGATATGCCGGTCGAATTTGCGCCGTTTGCGACACGCGCTCAATGTGTGCTGCTCTCCCATCGGAAACCAGAGGACGTGAAGCCTCGGACAAGGTGTCGTTACCCGTCGCACCTGAGGCAGCATAGCGGCCGGGCTAGAATATTAGCACTGGTCGAGCAGAGCAGAGTAGTAGCCGGGTTCGGCCATTCCAGCCAGATGTATAGAGCCGTCCAGACTCCCACGATAATTCTCATAGAAAGGCGCATATCCAGCCAGAATTTCCCTTTTTCGAGGCGTCCTCCCGTCAGACAAGTCTGCGACCCGCGCTGCTCAGAGCTGGCATATCATTCTCACACTAATAGCATCGCTAAAGCGAGACACAAACATGTGATAAGCGCTTCTCAAGTCGTAACTCAGTATTGTTGTTGATTCCTGAAATTCTTCTTCTGGTAAAACAGATCGGTCCTGGAACTGCCCAGATTGATGATCTTCGGACACCCGTCCCGGTCCTTTTCCAGCCTTGTGCATTCGAAACAGTAGAAGGCGTCGCTGATGCCCTCGCCGCCGCAGACGATACATTTGTTCTGATAGTTTCCGAACGCGCACTCGTCGCAGATCCGGACCAGCGTCGTGGGCCGTACGTACGAGTCGCATACGGGGCATTTGCCGTCGCATTTGTCGCAAAGACGGCCAATGGAGATGCCGGGCGCCTTGCGGCACATGACGAGATCGGGGTGATGGCGAGACATGATGGTGGTTGATGGTTAAACGAGTTGAACTGGAGAGGAGAGATTGAGTGAAAGTGGTGTTGTTAAAGAAACGTGTTGGTAGGGGAGTTGATTGTTTGGGTGGTATGGTATGTCGACAAAAGGTGAAGATGAAGAGCGAAGGAGGAAGAGAAAGAGAAAGAGAATAAATGTGGTTGAACTATTGTTGTTCGTTGTGTCACAGCACTGTGAGCTGTGTACGCAGAAGAGGATGGCAACGCAGGGAAAAGTAGAAAGTAGAAAGTAGAAAGTAGAAAGTTCGCCTCAGCCTTGCACCTCATTTCAAAGCCTTGCACTAAGAGAGCGCACTAGTAGTTTACGGGGTTAGTGCAGACACATGATCCGCAGCAGTGCTGACATAATAATTATCTTCTCCACGTGTGCACGCTGGAGCCAACGGGCACGTGCAACTGCAACTGCAATTGATGGCGGCGGACAAAAGTTGCGGAGCTTTTTCTCTTGCGCCCGATTCGAACGAGGCTTGTTCGATGCTGTGACACCCATACTACGTAGTATCTTGTATCGAGGTACGGAGAACTTGAACACGGGATGGACAGCCTTGCCATTGTTTGACTACAACTGCACCTTGGTCTGGATTTGCAGTTTCGTATTGCTCATCCTGACTCGATCGAGGAAACACCACGATGATATCCTCCGCCGTCCTGATCCCCGAGGAGGCCCAACTTGAAGCCCAGCCTCCGGCCGAATCACAACATGCCAGTACCGACCGAGAAGCAAGCAATCCCCTCAAACGGCGCCCATCGTCGGCGTCGATCTCGTCCGAATCCAGCAAAAGACCACGCCTTGACGGGCGAGCGCCATCCTCGAACCATGATGCAGCCTCCGCATCCCCGTCTGCATTTGCAGAACGTTCCTCCAAGGAATCTTACCCTGTCGCAGACTCGTCTAGGGGACAGGATCAAGGCCAGGCAATGTCTCCTCCTCCCCCTCCCCCTCGACACCAACCAGAACCCCGATGCCGTTCAACAGCCGAGGGCATCGAGCAGGACAAGTCGCGCAATCGCCGTCTCTTTGGCGCACTGCTAGGCACGCCATCGCAGTCTGCTCGACCGACGAGACAAAAATCGACAGGGTCAGGGTTAGCATCAGCCTCGGCGGGTGCGGCTGCGACTTCGGCGGCGACGCGCAACTCTCGTCGGGAAGAGATCGAGAACCGGCAGCGGGAACGGCTGAGGCGCGAGAACGACGAGATGGCCGAGCAGGCACGCAGAAAGAAGGACGAACTCGATCGCGTAAGACGAATAGAACAGGGCCAATGGGACGAGGAGGGGATGAAGATCAGACATGGCAATTTGAGGGCCACTGCTTGTTTCTTACGGACGACGGCTGAACCGAGACTGGTAAGTCAAGTGCTGCGCTTCTTGTTAGGATAGAGATGGACGAGAGGTCCCGATACACGAAGACGGGGGAGAGAAAAGTGCCGAGTACTCGCAACTGAGAGGACAGGAACTGTATGACATATGATTGAAACTGAAACTGAAACTGATTACTGGTGCCCCCTTTACAGTATTATAAACCTTGGGAACTCCGTCCTCATGAAGAAGAGACGATAAACCGCCAAATCGAAGACGCCGAACACACCATCCAGCGCGAACTTGAAGAAATCGATGCAAAACGACAGCAGCAGAAGGATCAGCAGCAGCAACAACAACAACAACAACAACAACAACAACAACAACAACAACAACAACAACAACAACAACAACAACAACAGTCAGACGGGACCTCCAGTGATGCACCCAACCCAAAAAGCCCGAATAGGACAAGACACGAACAGAGACAGAACGGGAGTGCAGATGTGGAACAGGACAAGGACAAGGACAAGGACGACGGCCAGGGACAGACAGATGAAGTCAACGAGTCTCGAAATGGACATGCCGATAGAGATCGCAACAACAATTCACCACTTCCGGCTCCAGCTCCAGCTCCAGCTCCAAAGGAACTAAAGGATAACCTAGAAGATTCACAGCCTGATCCTTCAAACCGTGCTGATGGCGACGTCCAGCTCTCCGACGACACCCAGCCACCACTTTCGCACGACCACGACCACGACCACGAACACGACCACGAGCAAGAGCAAGAGCACCAAGACGACGCTGCGACAGGAAACGGCGGTGGCGGAGGTGGAGAGGATCAGCCGACCAGCAAAGACGACGACCATGGCGGCGAAGAGCTCGAGCAAGGACGCGAAGATGATGTTATCTACTAATACCGAATTCAATCTTTTTCTTATTCTTTTTGGGCCGCCCGTTCCCCTGTCTTGCTTGTCTCGCTTGTCTTCGCATTTATGTATCAATTTGGTCCCCTTTGCCGCCAGGTAGAGATCATCTGTCTTGAGTGTTTCCTTTCCCAGCGTCATTGGTTGTGTATCATACATGCACCACGCTTACAGGTCGTTGCATGTCCCCTGGCAGCCTGGAATGAATGGACCGGCGTGTGTTGGGGATTACAGGCCACAAACGGACTGCAACTGCGGGACTGAAGAGCCCGGCTATCTTCTGACACACGCTTTACCCTTTGCATCTTTATGGAGGAGAAAGAAAGAAAGAAAGGGCAGAGGATTCAAAAGTCGACTTTGTTTCGTTTTTGTTTGCTGCTACTCTATCTTGTACCCAGTACTTGAAATACCCTCGCTCTCTCCCCTTCTTTCTTGGTCGAGCTGTGACTCCTTGAACTCGAAGCATGTGGACCAGTTCCGGATTCTCCGGGGCGCCAATAGTTCAGAGAGAGGTATTTGGTATATACCATGGCCTGGAGCAGTGAGACCGAACGAAACGAAAAGCAGGGCTTGGAATGGATAACCATGCTGGGACGGGAGATACTCGAGGACGACTTGTTGATATCATACTCATACATCACCGTGTCTGTGTCAAAGGGAAAAAAGGAAGATAAGAATCTTCATTGGACTCTATCAAATAGACCAACAGATGATCCGCTCTGTTAAGAAACAACAAGGGAAATCACATGTAGTGTAAGGAAGGAAGGTAGATTCATTCTGGAAATCCATGCGCAGCAGCAACTCAACGGAAATGGAGATGGAGTGGGAAAAAGACAGAGGAGAGAAGAGAAAAGAGAATCTTCGGCTTGCACATGAATGTGCAAACAAAGCCCTAGGTAACTTTGTGTGATGTGAGCATGTTCATTGCGTATCTGTCTGTCGTCCACAGTCCAACCAACCCATCCCTCGGTCCTGACCCCGAGATGAATCCCAGCCCAGCCCAGCAATGCACAAGAGACAAACGTGTTCTTGCGCCAAAACCATAACCATGTCCGTAGCTCTCATGTCCAACCTTGGACGAACTGTGCTGTGCATTTGCCCCCACGCGTCCCAGTGCCAGTGCATCTCATCTCCAGCCAGATTCGTCTGTCGCGTCAGTTCACATCAGGTCACCTTTCCAGCATGCATGCGGGACGGTATGAACAGCGCAATCGCAATCGCAATCGCAATCCCTAACCACCGCGACCATGGACCAAAGCCATCTCCTCTTCCGCCCGTAGAATGCTACCAGGGAACGTGGAACCAGCAGGGAGGAAAGGAAAGGCGTGGCTAGACTTTCGCGACTTTAGCAGTCTTGCTACCCTTGCCATCGGTGCCTCTCATCTTCTTCGTGCCGGCTGCCTTCTTGCCAGGCTTGTTCTCAATCGTGCCAATCACTCTCTCGACCGCGCCCTCGATCTTGTCTGTGATGGTTGGCTTTCTCTTGTGCTTTGTGGCCGGGCCGGCGCGCTTCTTGCCAACTCCCCCTCCAGCCGTAGTCTTTGGTTTGGCGGTTGGCTTCTTCGTGCCTGCGGCGGTAGTGGTCTTGCGTTTGCGGACTGGGTCGGTCGAGACGGTGGAGAAGACTCGGGGCTTCGCATTGCCGGTTGCGCCGCGCGTTTGTGCCATTGTTTATGACTTTGTGTGGGGAGGTGTCGATTGATTTGACCGAGGAGAAGAGCGACAAAGGATGGATTTGTGAGTGCTACAGAAGCAATCTCGTCAGCTGGGTGGTTTGACCAGGTGGACTTTGGTTTGGTTGTTGTGTCCACTGGGAAGAAAGCGGGGTGGGTGATGGGCGACGCGAAAGGCCGATTGATGGTGTAGAGAAATGGCCACAACTTGATGGATTGTGGATGAATATTTGTAGAACAGGAAAACACAAGTATTTATATACTTGCGACAAGGAATGAGTCACAAGGGTTGATGCGAAGCAGTTGTGCGAGGTAGTGAGTAGGCAGCCAGGTTGTCGCTACCTGACAATCACGATCACGGCAGATAAGGACGGGGATATATATAGACATACCTTGTGAGTTGATTGTCGCAAACTTGTGAAATCGTGTCGATGGCTCAATCTGGACCAGGCGACCAAGTGGCAATTGTAGTGAGGGTGATAGATCGGTTGTTGTGGTGGGAGAAAGGGTGGAAAGTTGGACGCGACGAAGGTGGGTGGGAGTCGTGGTCTGGGAGGTGAGAGGTGAGAGGCGTCAGGCCAACAACTCACTCATAGGCGAGATCAACAACTGAACTCTCATGCTCCTTTTCCTCTCAGCCACCCTCCATAATATCCCAGCTTCCCTTTTCCCTTTTTTGCTTTTGCCATATCTTCATATCTTCCAATGCTTCTGCTTCTGCTTCTGCTTCTGCTTCCTGACTTGCTGCTTCATCCGGTCGCATGTGTCAACCATCAGCGTCCAGTCAACAGGGCGGTAGCGAATGAATGTATTGCAACGCGACCACTTGTAAGCGCCCCCTGTCGATGGGCGCTTGTTGTAGTTCAATCGTATGATCTCGTCGACTCACGATCCAACCTCACCCAACAGTATGCTATTCTGTCGAATTCGGCGCCATGGTCAATCATACCAGTCTCTGAAGTCCCGGTCTTCGACGGCTGGTCCGCCCGCTTGACTCAAAGCGTTTCGGATTTCCCATTCGAACTCTGCCAGCGCTCTCAATTCAGACCCTACGAAAAGGCCTCCGATCAGTCCGTCCACCGTACCCGCCATAAGACCCAAGCTGCTCAGCAAAATCAAGATGAACGCGACGAAATTGCGCGGTGACCACCATATGGCAACAAAACAGCCGATCGAGACGAGAGCGGACCCGACAAAATGCAGCATGCGATATCGTCGTTGTTTCCTTTCTCGCAGCGTGTACGTGTGGATCATGCGGAGGATGTCGTTGTAGAAGTCCTCCCCCAGACGATACTGGGTAGGCAAGGCGGAAGTGGCCTTCTGGAGACCCTTGTCATCAAAGTCGGCAACCTCTAAACCAGGATCCTCCGTCTCCGAGTCGTGGAGTGCCCCATGAACTTCGACGCTCGCAGGTGTTTTGGTCTTCGTTGTGGTCCTCTCGACAGTAGCGTATACCGCAAAGTGATCGCTCAGCGAGCACAACAGCGTCGGATGTCTTTCAGTGAGCACGACCTTGACGTCCGCAACCTTCCAGCCTCGGTCGACACCACTGAAGAAGATATAGTCCAGTCGCTTCGCCTTGGGATCGAGATCATTCCCCGTGATCCGACGGTCGTGGCCTTTCTCGAGCTGTTTCCGCTGGTCCTTGGTCCAGCGCCAGGTGTTCATGACGGAATCGCAGGTGTGGCCATGTTCCAGCAGACTGCTGTCCACATTGGGAGTCGCATCTTCACCCATGCGCTTTCTTCGTTCCCTTTCCGGTGGATCGATGCTGGCCCCAACACTACTGCCGGGTTTCGTGACCCGCCACACATCTCGCACACCAGCTCGACTTTCGATCAGCACATGTGCAAAGCTCAATGGGACCATGTTGAAGTCCCCCAGACCGATGACCAAGCTCCCTCGATCCGACGCTGCGCGCATCAACTTCGCAATCTCCCATGCCTGAGCCGTGCGATGACAGATGTAGCTATCGTTCGGTTCCTTCTCGTAGGGCGCGTGCAAGTGCGTGTTGAACACTTCAATCCGCAGGCCATCCGGCAACGAGATGGTGGCACATGCCACGCCCTTGCCGACAAACCAGTCCCCTCGGAAGAATGCGGTTGGTCGACCATTCAGAGGATATCTGTACATGGAGGAGTCGGTGATTGGCCACCGGCTGAGAACGACCAACCCGCCACCGAAGATGCCGGAGTGATAGAACTTGCCATATGGGAGGACCGACCGTGTGCGTTCTCGGATAGCCAGGTAATCGGCGAATGTCCAGCATTCTTGCAAGCCGACGATGTCAAGCTCAGGCGAGTAGGTGGCTAGTCGGTGACCTATTTCGGCAAGACGTTCCGAGCGGTACTTGGAAAGGTATTTGAGGCCCCAGCAGTTCAGGGTCAGAACTTTAATCGAGGAGACGGCGGAACGCTCATCGTTTCCGGTAGCGATTGGAACCATTTCCATGGTCATGTCTTTGGGCTAGCAGCGAAGCCGTTCTTTTCAGAAGCCGTGATATAACGCCGCCAAACAGTTCAATACAGCATGTAACTTGGGTGAAATTAGCATATTACCAACTTCACGTCATCCTCGAAACACTGAAGAAAGGTAAGACCTATGTCATCAAGTACAGAAATGTAGCACAGAAGAGCCAAATGAGTGCATCTGCCAGAAATTCACCGCATGTATAAATTGAGTACGGAATGCGAGGAAGATGGAAAGAAATTGAACGATGGAAGCATCATCACCAAAAATGTCTCTTCACGTGACCGAACCCGTTATGTAAGCAGCCTTGTGGCACTTGACGAGGCTGCAAGTTGGGCGACTCAAGAGCCAATGCTCACTCACAGTCAATGGCTTATTTTATGTTTACAGCAAAAGGATCATTTCGGAAGACCATTTATTGCTCATCTCAGTCGGGCTAATTCTGTACAGTGCACCACTCCCACTAAGCTGCTCCCTTCCATGATTCCTCCCAAATGAAGTGTTTGGTCGCCATCGTCCTCGCAGTTGTGATGCTGTCACCCATAGCCCAGTGCACCCGATCGCAAGTTCCTTTCGTGAAAGTGTTTATGATATACATTCTGGTTTTCGTCACTTCATGCCCATCAGCCTCGATCAATGTCTGACGACTCTGCCATCTGCAGGTCAATTGCATTTCTCTGACTGGAACCCCCCGTCATTGCCTATCGCCATCCTCGAGCACAGAATCAGTCATCAAGACTGTCACGTCTGTCACGTCTGTAGCCACCAGACTTTGCCTGGCCGTTCAATCTCGGCAGTGGATGATGGTATGCCTTCGTATTCTGGCTCTGGACATCAAAATCCAGCGGCTCGGTGAAGGAACCGGGCACATTTCGGATCGGGCGCTGAGGATTAGGATTCTTGTTGGGAGGATGGTATCGATTTGGACGGGGACCTTGGGGCGCGGTAGCAGCCTGAGGTGGTGATGAGACATTGAACGCGTTCTCTTGAGAGTAGGAGAAATCACGGCGGGTTTGACGCTTGTCGGGGCTCGATTGCCTGGAGGATTGGCGAGGCCCAGCTTCATACCCATAGGCGGATCCTTGAGGGATGCTGCCCATGTCACTGCAGCTGCGTTCTGTTGCGCTATAGTCGGTTCCGTAGAACAAAGCGTCCGAGTCCTTGTTGATGCCACCGACCCGTGCGGCTTTCTCGTGACGGTATGCGCGGACGTCGTTATCGTGAGCGCCTTCCCACTGCGCCTCCTTGGCTTCCCGGATCTTTCGCGCTTTGGAGGTTTCATTCTTCAATTTGTTCAATTTGTTGGTGCCGCGCTTCTCCTTAATGATAGGTGCTTCTGAGGACAAGTCGGTCATGGTCTCGGTCATATTGCCGTCGACCGTAGTGGCAGCGTCCTTGTCGGAGTAGCCATCTCCTACCACACTTCCACCACCGAGGATAGTACTCTTGGTAGCATTGCTCAGTGTGGTTCCGTTAGGACCCTTCCGCCGCAAGACGGTCGACTTGTAATCCTCCCAATCGCCTTTCCGCCACTGGAAGCCACCATTCTTCGCCCAGAAGAAGAACCAAATAGCTCCAAGAACAAACGCAGCCCCGATAATAGCGAAGAGCGCCTGGATACCTTTCATGTTGATTTTGGTAGGGTCGATCGAACCTGCTCCAGGGTCCGGGTCGCTGGTGGACTTCGCATCTCTGGCTGTGAGGATATTGAAGGTGTCCATTGGAGAAAGGATTGGTGAGGCATCGTCGTTCCGGGGGATGAGTGGGTTTGGAATTGAGTCGGAGAACAGAAAGCTGCGTTTGGTGAGAGGAGTTGCTGGTAGAGCCACATCGGCTTTGGAGGAGCGAGAATCGAGTTCAAGCGACGAGAACTGGAGGTCAGGTATGTCGATGTGAGAAATGACTGGTGCCATAATGGCTGGTATGAGCGCAAGGCTCCAGAGACTCCTCTTCGGTGGGAACTGCTAAAGAGTTGTGCAATGCGCAGCAAGTGGTTCGTGATCCGATCTGAACTTGAGGTAGGACCCGATGGTGGTCGTTGCGTCGGCGGAGCTTGTATAGCCCGGGCTGTCCTAAAGTACAGGAAGTTGTCGATGATTGTTAGTATTCGGAGGTTGAAAGAAGAAGATGGCGAACTCACTTTCAACTTGAACTGCAACAGTGCTGGCAAGGACAGTTGTGAATATCGTGGAGGCTGGATCGCAGGTGGCTGGTCAAGTGGAAAGTGGAAAGTGGAAAGTGACGCAGTGCAAAATCTCGATTGCGCCTGTTTACAAATCCGAATTCGGCCAAGTGCCATCTCCACGGTGACCACCAAACGATTGCTACCTGCTTAGTAATGTTGCACGTGATATCAGATAATGTAAGAAAGACATCATTAGGTCGGTATACAGAGTAGAGACCTGACTAGAACTGCTTGTTGATTTCCAGGTCATGTATCCTCAACTCAAAGAAGAAAAGAGACTCCTCCGGTCATCCCAAACCAACAGCCACACTGTGGATCGATGTGAAGGCATCGAATCCGGACTGGCCACGATTGCATACATATCCTTTCCTATATATTCTTCCCATCGTTCAATCAATCGTACAGATCAACTTGCCCATGGTCTTGTTTGACTCCATCTGCTTGTGCGCCTCCTGGATGTCCTCCCATTTGAAAACTTTGTCGATGATGACCTTGAACGTCCCATCGATGAACTTGGGCAGGGCATGCTCCACGAGCATATCCCTCAGACGGCCCTGGTATGCCTCGTCCCGACTGCGCAAGGTGGTGCCCTCATACCTGACCCGTTTGAATAGGAACCGACCGACGTCGACATCTCCTTTGACGACAGCGCCGCCCAGCGTGCCCAAATTGACAATATGACCGTCCCTCGCAGCGGCGTCGAGGTTCTGACTGAAATAGCTGGCGCCGATAAAGTCAATGATCACGTCGGCTCCTTTCCCTTCCGTGTATTTAAGCAGCGCCTTTGACCAGTCCCCTTCCTTGTAGCTGAAGCCTTCGGTGGCGCCGAGGGATTTGCAGAAGTCGATCTTCTCCCGCGAACTCGCCGTCACGTAGATGGCGGAAGCGCCGTCGGCTTTGCTCAGTTGGATCCCCGCGATGCTCACGCTGCTGGCTCCCGCATGCCACAGCACGCTCTTGCCGGGCTTGAACTCGCCGACCAGATACAATGCTTGGGTGGCGGTGATCCAGGTCTCTGGGATGCCCGCGGCCTCTTCCCAGCTCAATTCTTTGGGCTTGTGAACCAGCATGTGCGTGCTGACCGTGAGGTACTCGGCGTAGGCGCCTCCGTAGGCGAGTCCAAACACTTCATCGCCCACATTGAATCCGCGCTCGGGTTCGCAACCAAAGGCCTCTATTGTGCCGGAGAACTCGACGCCCAGCGTTTTCGGAGCTTGCGGAGGAACAGGATACACGCCCTCGCGCTGTAAGAGGTCCATGCGGTTGAGCCCAAAGGCCTTGACCTTGACCAGGGCCTGGCTGCCCTTGGGGACTGGTTTTGGTGTCTCCGGGTTCATGAAGAGGGCCGAGACGGGGCCTTTGCCTCCTTTGATGTCGATTGCGCGCATGGTGGCCATGCTTGCTGATGGTCCTGGGAAGTTCGAGTAGTGATACCGTGTACCTGGGAAGTTCCGTCTTGTCCCCGAGTTGCGATGCAGGTAGAAGAAGGAGGAGGAGGAGCGGACTTTTTGTCTATAGAGCCAAAGTGGCGGAGAGAGGATCCGATCCACAGCCGTTTTGGGGATGGAGCAAAGAGAATTATAACGATCTGATTTCTAATAATGCTCGTGCACTGGCGACGGCGAGTACATTTCTTTTCCCGCAACTTTCTTGTGCAGCACCGTTTCTGCTTCGGTGATGAAGAAGCAGTACAGAGTATAGTTATAGCTGTCGTGGTAGATACGTAATAGTTAGGTAAGTAGGTACCTGAGGTAACCTAGAATAGTAGTCGTAGAAGACTGTATGTATGGTTCATTGTTCATCTCTGCTCTGTTCTGTTCTGCTCTGATTATTATTCGAACTCCTCGGCTCAATGTTCAACAACTGTCATGCTGTCTGTCGTTATGACGCAATCCCTCGTGATCTCCATCGCACGTTGCTCGCTCTGTCTCTCTCTCTCTCTCGGTCTCTCTCGCTCTCTCTCGGTCTCTCTCGCTCTCTCTCGCTCTCTTTCTCCACGCCGTTCATCATTGTACAGAGTACAGAGTATCGATACAAAGACTAGGCCTACAGAGCCAAAGGACTGCCTGTGATAAGTACCTAGGTAGCCACAGGGCCAGCCTCCAGACCAGACATATCTCATTGCATTCCACCCATACACACTCTTCTCTAGTCAATGTTGTATTGTTTGATCAGCTCAATCAACTTGTGAGACTCCGTCACAAAGTTCAATGGAGTAGCCGAGTTGACTTGATATCGCACCCTATCCATCCTGTTAGCTCTGCGATCGTCAAAGCACGACCGATCATGGGACGGGGACTTACCGTTGCTGCTCTTGGAAAGTATCGAGTCTCGCCTTGCACCTCCAATTCCAGGTCTGACAATTCGCATCCGAGAAGATCTCGGCCACTTGCTTCTCGTCCACCTCTTTCATCTCCATCAGTTCGTCTGCAGTCTTGCCAATGATCATCCGTCCAGTCTCGTCGAAGCAGCTGACCCAAAGCTGGCCGGTGTGATCACTGATGTTCACGGACATGATGTACCGGTATTCTGGCTTGGGATGATTCTTGTCGCATCGCTCACAGCGCCATTGGCCTGGGTCGATCTCCACAACCTTCTTGTTGCATCCCTCTGACAGACAAGCCGGGTAACAGAAGTTGTCTTGTTTGATGTATTGGATGGAGGCCTTGACAGAGAAGAAGTCGGGATTCTCAGACATCCCCAGTTGCTCTTCTTTCACCTGGGAAATAGTCTTGAATGGATCTTTGCGAGAGCCACCTTCGCCGACACCCCCTTGGACATTGGCATGCGTGGCGAAGTTGCCGGACCGACCTTGAGAATCATACCAGCCCTTCAGCTTATGTGCCTCGGGCATGTCGGGGTTCGCACTGATGGAGCCAGAGCTCAAAAGACTCAAACTTCGTCCACCAAAATCCGACACCTTGACGCCTTTGAAAGCAACCACCGATTCAGGCGGGATGTCAAAGGAGGCGGCGGTCTTGCCCCATATGGTCATTCGCACAGAGTACCCCGTATCGTCCACCAGAGTAAGTTCTCGCTTCTCATATGGCTTGCCGGTGGTCTTGGATGTCGCTTGGCCGACCTCGCCGACTTCTTTGAGGACACCAATAATGTCGATCGTGGTATCTTTGTCAATGGTTTGCAGCTCTGAGATGCTGACGAAATTGTAACGAACTTGAGGAACTCCATCCTGCTCTTCAGCCTTTTCGACGACCGTGTCTTTCTCAAAGTGTAGTTCATAATCGTTTGCCAGATTCGAGAATTGTTTCTTCGCGAACGTCACTCGACATGGACTGGAGATGTAATAAACGTTGCCTTCTTGAAACACATCATACAGCTGGTCACACTGGTCATTGAACCCCGTGGCCCGGATCTCGCCACTTTCGTCCAACAGATTGACACTAAACAGCCGGCCTTCGCCGTTCCGGTTATGCCATGTCTTGATTTCCGACTTGCTCGTGCAGCGTGCTTTGATCGTCCATTTGTTCGAGTATGGTGAGATCGCTTCGATCGGGTAGATGTTGGCATGAGCGCTCGCAGACGAAGTGGGCTTTGCGTGACTCGACACCGATCGGTTCGGTTTGGGCTGCTCTTGCTTGTTTCCATAGAATCCGTTGCTGGTGATAGTGGTTGGGGAAGGCTTTTCATCTTCTTCGGCCTTCAATTCCAATTGTTTGGGTTCGCCGAGTTTCTCATGTTCGCCGTACTCTTCGAGGACTTTGATCTCGGTGACAATCAGGATGCTGTAAGATACTGTCAGTCTCGGCGCCTAGGGACAAGATGAGTGTAGAGAATACCGTTTTGCCTTGACCTTGTTTGCAGAATAGCCAACCAGTTGAACAAGCACTCCTCTCCGCAGGATCTTTTCTTCCACAAGATGGTTTTGATGCACGGCCAGCATAGTCTGAATGTAGTTCTTGGTGTCACTAAAGATCACGCGGTGACGTTCCTGCCCTCCTGGTTGGGCGGCAATCGGTTTGATCTGCACACATTGCATTACAGGCTGTTGGACACGCCCGGGGCGATCTTCGAATATGTCGGCTAGAGAGCCTGCGTCGACGCGCGCGAGCGCCTCAGCAACGCTTTTGCCCATGATGGAAGGCTGGTTACAGTGTAATGAAGGAGTTGTTTGAATCGAAATCTTGGTTGGCAAAATGGCGCAGGCACCAAATACTAGTAGTCGTAGTACACAGAGGGGATCCTGTTGCCTCCGACGCCTCGACGCGTGCAAGATGGTAATACGCGTAAAGTGGATTTCCACTTGGCGTCACGTGTAGCGCGCCGCTTTATGAGAGGCTGACACGAACTGCAGCATTCAAGTTCAGCTGTACTTACAGCGGAGTGACCTTGCAGTGAAGTACTTTGTAGGTAAGCAGTACCAGTGAGCATTTGGTCTACGCGGGAATGTATTTGCATTTGAGCAAGATGTCGTAGCAAACAAGAGAAATCTGGTATGTATCTAGAATAGCGCGTCTCGGGCTAAAGCAGCGTGCAATATGCTGCTAGGCCTTATTTACCCAACATACCACACTGCAGCAGGACACTGTACCGCCATCTCTCATCATTTGATGTGTTTCACCGACTCCTGGTATCCCATTATTCATACCTATTGATGATTCATGGTCATTGATGAGACTGACCATATTGCACACCAGCATCTCTCTTACTGAGGCTGTAACAACTTTCCACATCTCTTGAGACAGGTGCAGATAGCATAAGCCAACATGTCCGATCCCAAACTCGCGACCAAAGCCCCCGAGTCTGATGCCATGGAAGCCTCTGCTATTTCGTCTGAAGACTCGAGAGTCCAGACTGGCCCTAGTATGGGAGAGCATTGCGTGACAGACCGACCCAATCGAGACGATCGTCAACCATCAGGTGAGATGACCAAGTTCGGCGACATAGACGTCTATGTCTCGAAACCGGGCGACTATCCCAACTCGCCAGCAAAACTCCTTCTCCTCCTCACTCCAGGAACGGGTGTTCATTCTGCGAACAATCAGATCCAAGCCGACATCTTCGCCTCCAAAGGGTTTGTGGTGGTCATGCCAGATCAGTTCAAGGGCGATGCTGCGCCAAACAGTAAAACCATCCCGGCCGAAGAGCACCCGACCATCCTGGAGCAGGTCAAGCTGCGAGCTGCCGAGACCGCCAAATCTTTCCTCGTGGATATGTGGCTGGCGAGACAGACGCCGGAGAAAGTCATGCCCCTACTGCTCAAAGTCATTGAAACTGTCAATGATGAATACGCTGACGCCGTCGCACACGGAGAAGGCATCTACTCTGTAGGATATTGCTTCGGCGGGAAATATGTGCTCATGTTGGCTGGGGAACATCCAGATACGGCTGCCAAAGGGCACGCAAAGAAAGATGAAGAGGCGGGGATGTGGGAGAAAGGCCCGCTCATCAAAGCTGGCGCCGTGGCCCACGCAACGTTGGTGACGCGCGAGGATCTGAAGGCTGTGAAGGCTCCTCTGACGATGGTCTGTGTCGGTGAGTCAATCACACCCAGCCGGCAAGTTACACAGTGTGTCTGATGCTACCACAGAGAACGACCCCTTATTCCCTGATGAGATCCTCGATGAGGGTCGAAAACAATTTGCCACCAGTAATATCGAGCACGAGATCAAAGTCTACTCAGCCGTGCCGCATGGTAAGCATACGGCATCTACCCTTCTCGGTTGCATCAGGCTGACTTCAGCAGGCTTTGCGGTGTATGGGGATTATGACTCGCCTGCCATCAAAGAGGCCCAGACGGCTGCATTCGAGCAGATCCTCAATTGGCTCGAGACACACTGAATGATAACCAGCAGATGGGACTCTTATGCACTGTATTCTCTTACGAAATGGCTGCCTCACAATGAGCTGATGGTATGCGCGGCGCCAGTAACGAAATGATACCCATAGGAAAAATGAGAATGACCGAAACCGACGAAGTCTTTGCGAGCTGAAGAAGCACAATTGTTCTTGATTGGCCTTCGTTGTGCTGAACGTGCTGCAAGGGCCCCTGTGAACCAGAGTCCAACATCCCCGAGTACTCGATCCTTTCGTGGCAGAACTGACGATGCCATTGCCGCCATCACCAGGGGCGATATCCCGAACCGCTCGGTTGCTCTAAGACTTCAACCGCTTTGCGCCGTGCGTTTGCCCGCATCCTCGTCATCGCTCATTTCTGCATCATCAACTGTACGAATTCATTGTCTAGATGTTTGAATGATCAGTCTTAGTCCTGCCACATATGCCTCGGTGATTAGAAAAGGGGTTAGGAACGACGTACAGTCAATACGTCCATCACCGTCCTGATCGGCCTCCCGAATCATCTCATCGACTTCGTCATCTGTGAGCTTTTCCCCAATGGAGGTCATGACGTGGCGCAGCTCAGCGGCCGAGATGAAGCCATTGTTGTCGCGATCAAACACCTTGAAAGCCTCTCGGATTTCTTCCTCGGAGTCTGTATCTTTCATCTTGCGAGCCATCATCGTGAGGAATTCTGAGGCTGTAAGCTATTGTCCCTCGATAATGTATTCTTCAAGTCGTACCTGGGAAATCAATGGTGCCATTGTTGTCTGCATCCACTTCATTGATCATGTCCTGCAATTCGGATTCGGAAGGATTTTGACCCAGAGATCGCATCACCGTGCCCAGCTCCTTGGTTGTGATTTGGCCTGAGGGTAGAGGTCAGCAGTTTTGTTGCGCTTCTCAGTTGTCGCGACATGATAGTCAAGAGGGTGACGAACCATCGCCGTCTTTGTCCTGTAAACAGAAAAATGTCAGCCTGGAGGAGATCAAGTTGGGACAATTGCGCCTTACGAATAGTGAGAACGCCTCCTTGAATTCGGAGACTTGTTCTTCAGTCAACGAGTCGGCCTAGACACGCAGCATTGTCAGTGTCTGAGCATAACAGGACAATGTATCACAAGCGCAGCCACACGCGGCGGCGCCATCAGACAGCGTTACCATTGTGGAAATCTCTCAGCGCGGTCGCTTCTGCAGCTTATGAATAAGGTCGTGAGAGTGGTCTTTGTAGGGAGGCGTCTTCTTAGGGGCGTTGAAGTCGGAAGAGGGAGAGTAAGAGTTGTTTGGCAAGTTGGTAGCTGAATGTTCAAGTTGGTAGTAGGTGGCAGACGCAGCGTCGCCCGTAACAGTCTAGAAGGCGTTAGATCAATAATAGCTAAGGTACCTTACCTACCTGTACCAACCTGTTAGCAGCCTAGGGGCCAAGGAGGCTCCTTAGGCGTCCTAGTCCTGCGCAGAGTACCTGTAAGGAAGTACTAGTAGTAAAGTATCCCCCGGGTTAATGTATGTCCGTATCCCGTCACCTCTCAAGTGCAACTCGCTCCCCCCGTTTCGGTTCGAGGTTGATGCCGCCCTGTTCAGCCGGGTGAGAAATCACCCGTGTCTTACCAGCCGTGGCGAGGCGCCGGGGCTAGGGCTATATTTGGGACGCCCGACCCCGTGATCTTGTCTCTTAGCTCGGTAGGTCACATCACTACTGATTGGCGTATATATTGGCCTATAGATTCGGCAACTAGGCCAGAGAGACCATCGAATCAGCCTGTTGATAGAAGCATAAAAGCAGCATCGACGTATCGACATTCTCGGCCTCGTATCCTCGTCGGCTTTGCCTCGCGGCGTGGACATCTAGCTCTGCTCACTGCTATATCAGTGGCGATCCTCCCTCGCTGCTTTCACCTTTGCTTGCACCGTCTAGGCTCTTCACGGCTGCTGTCTTCCCATCGGGCTCTCAGTCCCGGCTATAGCTCGCAAGGGCAGGGCACTTCTATACTGCGATGGAGTAAAGGCGTTGTGAAGGGTGTCGATCAGGCTGAGGTGTGTGTCTGGTACCAATCCCGTCATGACGTTCTTGTCAAACCACCCCATCTGGCTCGCGGATCGTTGTCGTGGATCCAATTCCATGAAGGCAGATCTACCTTAGGTATTTAGTAGTACACCAAGCGGACTAAGCTTCGCTCTATCCACGATCAACAGGCTGAGGGATAGGTCATCTCGGATGTATGCACTGCAGGGCGCGAGAGAAGTGGCACGACCGTCCGACAGTGCGATTCTGTGAAGGAAGGTCCGAGATATCGCTCCTCCCAAGGCGCCGGTGTGGCGGAGAGTCAACAGCCGGCCGCATTCCTCTACCTGTTATGGGCTATCAAAGGCGGTAATTTTTATTGGACTTTCCCCAACATGTTCTGGACCTTGTTGGCAGCTGGAATCTGCTTCTATATACCCATCGCGCACGAGGCGCACTTGGGGCTGATAGCGTTCTCCGTCTTCCTCTTCACCGCTTTCTACACCGTCGGGGAGGGATGTTGTGCTTTTGCATACTCGGCCGAGGTCTTCCCCATTACGCATGCTGAGGTTGGTATGTCGTGCAGTGGGCGGTGGCCACCAACAACTTCTGGGTGGCGGTCCTATCTCTTACCTTCCCGAGAATGTTGGCCGTGATGAGTTCTCTATAAGTTCATGATTATCGCTTTGTCAAGGCGTCATGGAATGAAGCCTGCTTCCATGGGGCGCTTTGAGATGGTGTCTCACCTCCATTTCGCTGCTGGATGTCGAGATAGGGAACGGAGTAGATTGCATAGGCCTTTGGTATTCTTGCCCTTCTGTCCTGAGTCAGGAAAGAAGTCAAACTCGGGGTGATCCATGTTTCATCGACCTAGATGTCTGGAAGTTGGAAGACATCAGTTTCTGTGGTTGACCAATCAGCCGTCCCTCACCGACATCCCAACGACTAGACGTCGTGGTTCTACAGTATAGGTAGGTTCCCAGACCCGCACAACAGTTCTAGAACTTCTCTCGATATCGAGCCCCCGTTGAGATGGGTCAGCGCAGAGCAGTGTTGAGTGGTTCCCCAAAGATTCTAATCATCTCATCCTCCGCAGTAGAAAATGTCTGGCCGTTGCCACCGCTCAATTCGGACCAAGTCCGGGCGTCGCTGTCTGTCAAGTCACCGTACTGCGTTTGAACCGGTGTAGGCTCTGCGTCCGAGCAAGGTGTTCTTGCTTCGCGTTGACTTGCCGATCGTGGCGCCGCGTTGTGGGATTTGCGGTGTTGATTCAAGCTACTGCGAAGCTTCCTCTCGGCTTCACCAGCAAGCTCCCAAGTTACAGACTGTTCGCTGAGAGCCAACAGGAGAAATGACAGGGCAGAGCGCTGAGGCTCGGATTGCCCATGGGGCACAGCGTCTCTGACAAGTAGCAGGAAGCTCGCAGATACCACGGCCCCGTAGACAAAGAGAAGGGGAGAATAGCGGAGACTGTGGTCTTTCCGGTAATGTCGCAGCAGTGCAACAATGTTCTCTGAGGACGACGTGCAGATCGCCCACGGACTATCCTCCCACGGGCCGTCCCTGGTGAGTTTGATGAAGTTTCGATTCATGCAGATGCGGACACTGTGAAATAGGATGCTATGCGCGCAGGTTAGATATAATCCATGTCATCCTGGGGGCGTAGTAGACAAACTGCAGCGTGCCGACATGCGGTTCAAGGATGGTATTCGCTGGCTTCCACCTATTCCACCGTAGCTCGTCTGGCAACGAAGCGGACCAGTGGCACAATGTCAAGTTGAGCTCGTCCAGAGTCGCCAGTCGTGCAAAGTCGTCGGGTTCGACTCTCAGCTTCGCAAGAGAGAAGATTCGCGAGAGCATATATTGTACAATCTTACTGAGCTGTACCAAATTCTTGAATGTCGCCACGAATTTCGGTGAAGACCTTGGCTCAGTGTCGGAATTGATCATGTTATGATGCACCAGCCACACATACAACTCGGGAGGATCTCTTTGAGGGCAGGAACATCAGTCAATGTGACTTCTTCAAGCAAAAGAAAAGATGCACACTCACGATAGCGGCTCAGTAGGCTCAACGTCGGCATCGCCCTCATGGAGGAAGGTTGGTCGGCCGAGGAACAAGCTTATGATCCTATACTGAACGATTATACACTGCGTTGCACAGCGATAGGGAGAGAGGACGGACTTGTCTGACATAAAGCAACCCCAAAAGATTCGTCTTCTAATCTCAATATCTTCATCCGAAGCAATCGAGAGATCTGAGGAAATCCAATATTTGGGGTCATATTGGAATCCTATATCTTGGCCCATGCGAAATGCCAATCCTGATTGATTAGCATGAGCACTGGCCACACTGAGAACTAGGGGCTACCTGAATAGAGCCACCCCTTTGAGTGGTTTCCTCGCCCGATGTTGTGAAAGGAGAGACATAAGAAGGCCTGGATGGTTGTGATATGAGGCCTATCAAGCCTGTGGTTCATCAAGATATCTTCTGCATGCATGTACAAAACATTGCTTTGAGCTTTGACGTCCTTGTCAGGGGACATGGTTGCGCCCAAAGCACACACGGCATATAGCAGCGGTAGAGACCAGTATCTCTCGTCTGGCACGTGTTGAAGATGCTCTCTGAGAAAGGCTTCGCGATAGATGAACATGAAGTGTGGATATTGCCAACGGAAGAATAGCGAGAGTGTTTCCCTGACCACCCCTTCGTTCAAGTCGAAAGGATGGTTCAACTCGAAGGCACGTGGCATCGGTGATGCTCTCTGCCCCGTTTCTGACTGTTCACTCGACAGAGCTCCTTGGTACATGCTTGTCGGGCCGTGAAATACTAGTGATCCTGCCGTCCGGTCAATTTGTGTCGTCAGTGAAAGAGCCGCTTCGGAGCGAGAACAAAGACTGATCAAGGACGATTGGAATTTCTGCGCACCCTGAGTGGTTGGTTGCAGGAAAGCTCTACCGCTACGCCATTCGGATCCCCCGATAGGATCCTGGAGCGCATCAATTCTAGGAAGCGACAAATGGTCTTCGAAAGTGAGACTCTGAAGCATGATTTCCTTCATCTCGGGCGGAGCAACCTTCAGGGCTTTGAGCGTGGATTCCAGCCAAGCGATTCGGTCCTCCATGGCCCTCGCATGCTCCTGAGGAATCGGGGTTCGTTTTTTGTCGACTTGGCGGAAGATACATGGTTGTCCGGCCATCTCGCAGTTCTTGCAGGGGTGGACTCGTGAGCATTTGATCTGCAGGATCAGTCAGATTGCTCAAAGGTTCCGCTGTTTACGCCATGCGAGGTGTTACCTTGCGGGCCTGACATCGGTTACAGCTTCAATACCGCCTACGTTAGCAAAGTCCGATGAAGGAGTGGAAAGGTTGCACGAACGAAATGCGTTTAGAAGGCTTCACGGACAATGCAAGCATTGAGTCTGCCATTGCCCCTTTCAAAAGTTGTACTTGACAATATCATCACTGGAAGGTAGCAACGCCAGAGAACGCTAGCTTTCTTTTCGGTTGTGCTGCTGCACCCGTGGCAGGAAATCCTTGTCGTGTCTTACGGATCGAGTAAGGAATACATAAGTTGTGAGACGGAGAGTGAGGGAGACGGGGGCGGCGGAGGCGGCGTACCTTGTAGTCAGGTAGATACGGGTTGCGAGTCAAGTGTTGGTTGCTCCCGTGCTCAATCATACGTTAGACACGACGTCAAGGGAACCGGCTTACGGCACCCTTGTTGTCAGGTAGTGGTGGCGAGGTAGGTACCTAGGTAGGTTAGGTTAGGTATATTGTGGAGTGATAGCCTTCCTAATTGGGACAAGGGACTAATGGTAGTGGGGGCCCTCAAGTAGACATCCCTCTTGTACTAGTAGTTAACTAGAATTTGACAAGCTATACTAGTATATACCTTATCACTCATAATTGTAACAATCCTGACATCGTGTACCGTACTTCTGAGAAATCCCGAGATAGTGGGCAATGGTCCGTGCTAGCCACAAAAGGACTTGAACCTACAGTACTTGAAACCCCCACCTTGGGACCCGTCCTTATCACCCCGGCGAAGGTGGGATAAGTTTTGTCCAAGTCTAGATACGTTGAATCTTCCCCAGGGGCATCTCGGAAACTCGAGTGATCTGGACAATAATGCGACTACAGTGTTGGTCTTGAAGCGATCTAATCACAGGACGTACTATCATACCATTAGCATAATGCCGCCCACTTCTGGTAATCAACAATGTACTTACTCGGAAGTTCTCATTTTTCAAGTCCGTGAGATCAAGTAGGCCGTCTTCATCCGGGTTTGCGAGATGTTTTCCCTCCCTGGCAAACGCCTGATCCCTGGTGCGGTTTCGCCAGTACAGGAGTGCAAGAATGCCCGCAATGAGCACGAATTGGACCGCGACACAGAAGAACATCATGCCCCACCCGAGCGGGTATGCAGGCGCCTGGCGGGACAAGAAGAAGAACGGGCCCAGAAAATTCCCAAGGCAGTATCCCATGAAATGGATGGCACTGGTGGTGGTTTTCTTGGTGTGGCCAGCTGTGTTGCCAATCAACACGCTCATGCTGAGGGTCCAGGTGGCTGTATACGTATACGCAATCCAGAGGCAAGCGGCGCGACCCCATCGATGAGATTCATGGAGGATATGAATGCCGATGATACCGGCGAGAAAGGGGACCAGGAAAATCATCATCGTGATACACCGCAGATTTGGTCTGGACGACGCAATGAACCTGAAGAGTTTTTAGAATCAGCGCCCTCAAAAATGGCTGGTGACCTCTGATATGACGTGATACTTACGTGCCAGTCAACACGGCAATGAATTGGACCGCGCCGGTAGGCATCCCAATCAATGTGGTTTGAAGTTGATTAAATCCCATTTGCTTGATTATGAGTCCAGAAAACTAATCCCGTCCTGTCAGTAAGAAGTGAGACTGTGAGAGGTGTGCAGGATTTGTGCTCACTGTGGTCAGGCCACCATTGGGACAGTTGCTTGCGATAGCAAAGGCAAAAAGTAGCCAAGTCTTAGCATCTTTCAGCGTCTCGATAAACTGGATTGAGATAAGTCAGATTCGAGCCAGGGTTGACGATCATGGTCGAGAGGTGGCTAACCTGATCTTTCTTGAACTGACGATTCTCGATGCCAGTTCTGTTGTCCTTGACTTGATCAATCACACAGGCTCTTTCGGCCTCTGTCAAGAAAGTTGCCGTAAATGGGGAGGCTGGCAAACAGAACCAGAGGACAAAGCCTAGCTCCTCGTCAGCTCGCCGCCAGTCTGTCAAGAAGGACTCGGATCAAACCTACTCCACAGGACTGTGAAGGCTCCGAAAAGCTGCGACACCCAAGATCAGCCAAAGGTCTCTGTTAAGAAAGACGATGAGGACTCATACCAGGAAGATGAATCTCCAACTAGCGATCGAAGCATGAATATGGCCAATTCCAAAGCTTGCAATACCAGCCAGAATGTAGGCTAGTCCTCCACAAGCGTTCCAAATACCAAGTTTGAAAGGTTGATCGGCTCTCTTGTACCACATGGCGCACAGCAAGATAGCTGCAGGGTTGGTCGTGCATTCAAACACCCCCAGAAAGGTTCGCACAGCTGCAAGACTTGCAAAGTTGTCGCAGGCTGCATGGCACATCAAGACCAATCCCCACATGAAGACCTAGCACGCCGTGTTAGAGCAGATGGCGATGCCAAACACGCCATTGGTGCAGTGCCGCAGACACCAAACTTACCGTCAGCGATAGGTACTTGGCTATTGGGAGCTTCTGGAGAAGCAGGTTCGTAGGATATTCCCATGCAAAGTAGCCCACGTAGAAGATCGCCCCAAGCCAAGAATATTGGGAGCCGTGGAGATGGGTGTCTTCTCGCAAGTCGAAGACGGCTGCATAGCTCAGAGTCGTCTTATCCACACTCACGAGCATGAAGGTACCAGCCCTTGATTTTGTCAGATCGAGGTTGGGCACCAGCTGAGCTGTCAGGTTTCAACTTACAGGAATGGGAGAAGATGCAAATCGACTTTCCATTGCAGTCTTCGCAGGTTGACAGGCTCATGGCTAGCGTCGGATGCCTCGACAACGTTCTCGCGAGCAGCATAAATGCCAGGCTCAGATACTGCTTTCTCTTTCAACTCAGACATGTCTTTGAATCTCGTCGAATGTGGTAGTCGCCTTTGAAAAAAAGAATTCTCTGTGGTTGTAACCAGATACGACAACGATCAAGTGCCCCAACTAAGTCCATCTTTATACTGCAATGGAGTTGTGGATAGGAGTTATGATTAGGAGTTGTAATCGTGATGCCCGGGCCTGGACATCCTAGACGGACTTGCAACTCCGGGCCAAATGCCCCATACTTCGCTTATCAGACCGGACTAGGAGTTGCAACTCCTAGTAGAGCCGTATCCGTCTCGACCGGAGACTCTGATTAGCCTTTGTTCTTATCTGGCCCGCATCGTGACACGGGTGAGTACAAACGTTTTCGATGGCTAACCCATGTTCGGAAAGGAGTGGATTTGCTTGAGGATTTGCCTCGACCACATAAGTTGATTTCACTGCATCTTCAATATTAAGGTCGACGCAATTCTTTCTCCCCAAGAGGTGTGAACTGTGAAAAATGCATTTGTTTGAGAAGCTAGATATCGACGAGCGTGTCAAGCGCGTCTTACGCCAGACACCCCTGTTCGATGGCCATAACGATCTTCCCCAACAGCCGCGCGCTATATTCCATGGGAAAATCCACAGCAATCCCAAATTCGATCTTCAGAAGGGGTTCAGCAGAGGAATGACCGATATTCCTCGGCTACGAGAAGGCAAGTGCTCTGTGGATGCTCACCATTGCCTAGGTGTACCATACTGACGGTGTTCGTGGCCAGGTGCCGTAGGTGCACAGTTTTGGTCTGTTTGCGTTCCATGCCTTCGTTCCGCCGAGAACTTCTCAACGCCCGAGTACTGCGATATGGCGCGAGATGCGATCGAACAGATCGACCTCACGACGAGACTTGTTCAATCCTATCCCGACGACTTCGAACTGGCTTATGAGCCGTCCGACGTGGCTCGTATCTATTCTGAGGGAAAGATCGCAAGCTCCATTGGGATTGAAGGGTGAGACCGATCGATTAGCTCACGCCCTTCAGAATTTCGCACTCACACATTGTGAGCGCAGGCTTCATATGGCAGGAAACTCGATCGGCATCATCCGAGCGTTCTACACCTTGGGAGTTAGATATGTAAGTCGTTCACCCTTGCCCCAGCTCCGTACTGAAGCTGTGGGGTACTGATGAATGCAGTGCACCCTGACTCATTTGTCGAACAATGCGTTTGCCGATTCTTCCACCTCGAAAGTTGGTCCTGTGCATGGTGGCTTGTCGGCGCTAGGGAGGTCTGCTATCAAGGAGATGAACCGAATTGGTAGGCAATGCCCCGTAATGTGATGTGACGAAAAGGAAAGCGTTGCTAATGGTGTTAGGAATGATCATTGATCTCTCCCATGTTTCCCGCGATTGTGCGATCCAGTCGCTCAACCTGTCCAGAGCTCCCGTCATGTTCTCGCACAGTAATGCTCTGGCGTTATGGGATCACGCTCGGAATGTTCCCGATGAAGTCCTCGACCTTGTCCCCGCGAATGGTGGCATAGTCATGGTGACATTTGTGCCCAAGTTCGTCGCGGCCAAGGTTAAGTTGTCTTCTATCGCACATATTGTGGACCATATCTTTTACATCGCTAATCGCATTGGCTGGGACCATGTTGGCATTGGTTCTGACTTTGATGGTATCGCGTCTGTCGTGCCTGGACTGGAAGACGTCTCGTGTTACCCTCGACTACTAGAAGCAATCTTGGATAGAGGAGCTACTGAGGAGCAGCTTGCCAAGGTATGCGGACGGAACATGATCCGAGTTTGGGAAGGTGTGGTCGCGACACGAAATCGTATGGCGGCGGAAGGTGTTGAACCAGTCGAAGACGTATGGGAGGGCCGCCACTGGTGGAGATACGACGGCTTCTTCCAGATGCTGGACCCAGACCCAGAAGACAAACTTGGGTACGACTGGTATGGTGTTCCAAAGCCAAGTGACGACTGACGAGAGGCACAAAGCCTGAGTGTAAATGAGGTGGAAAGACGGCCAATGCAAATTTGATACTCGGCGAGCCTGATTCAGCTTGCAAGGATCGTTGTAAGGAACACCGAACCTGTAAGCTTCAACTTGTCTTGGTATTTGCATTGGTCTCCGCACTGCACCCGGTTATAATCTGTATGACCCCTTGAAGTACCATATCGTATGAGTTTCCCTACTGAGCCATTTGCTGTGAACCCTTATCAGGGGTTCAGAATCATGCCCGATGCGTTTTCCGAGACCGGCGATAAATCTAGGTGAGTATACACGGTGTGTCGCTACTCAGTCAGCCCGTTTCAGGAAAGGCTCTACGTCGATAGCTCCAGGTATCTACAGCTCCAGATTCTTACAGCCTCGGTGAGAAGTGATACACTGGGAAATCCCTCATCTAACGGGTAGGTATCACGGATTGACCAATCAGAGCGATGGGGGCCTGGCACCACTTGCAATACCTACTTAGGTAGGCTTGCTAGGCAGCTAGATACCTATAGTAGTCTTAGCATTATACAGGTATAGTAGGTACCTACCCCGCACGAGGCTGTGGGCCTGTACGGTTATATGCGCATCGAGCACATCAACACTCTCACAGATTCTCTGTACTAGGAATTTATATCATAATTGCATCCCAACTGTTAATTCAATCCTGTTCAGGCTGCGCCGTGATACTAGGTATATTCAAGTGTTGAACGTCTATCTCGTAAGTTCAGCCGGTTCTTTCTTTCCTGCTAATGCCCGTATGACTGAAAGACTCTACAGGTCCACAGCGGCTTGATCAGACGTTGAGACGGAGTTGCAAGTCCGTTCTTGAGCTCCGATAACAGGGCGCCATACTCGAGGGTTCACCACCTAGCGGCTAGCTCAACAGCAATCGATGTATTGCTCAAGAGATCATGCGCCAGCTGTCAACTGATATGACTGCGTGATGGTCTTTTTCTGTGAGCATTCCGAGAGCCCGTGGTAGTCTCGAGCTCTAGCGGACTTTCAACTCCGTTGATAAGATAGGAGGATCTTGTGCTGGTGAGATATATAGCCTACCACCCGAAGTAATTGAGATATCGCAGCCCCTCGCTCAAGTATATGTTCGACAGTGCCCCTTGATTACTTTTTTCTCGGTGACTACATTTCCGAAGTCAACGTTATGGTTGGGTTAGTCGTCAGTGACGGAAAGGCGGCTTTCACAAACGTCTTGTTTCAATCCTCATCGAAATACGATGTCTCACGGTATCGCGACCTGGTGCCTGTGGTGCAGAAGCCAGGTGTCACCTATCTCAACGCCTCCTTCCAACCTCCAATGAACAAAGTGATCCGTGAAGCAATAGACATTTTTGCGGACCAGGCGGTGTCAGAAGTGCATCCAAAGCCTCAATGGCAAGCAACAACGGAAGCAACGCGAGAGCTTCTAGGCAAATACCTCAACGTGGCCTCGGACTCGCTCGCCTTCACAAGAGACACCACCGAGGGTCTCAATCTCTTTCAACGCTCGGTCAAGTGGGTGCCCGGAGACAACGTTGTTCTTCTCGACGTCGAGCATCCCAACCATGCATATGGCTGGCTGGCATTGCAGGAACAAGGCCTCGAAGTGCGGATGGTTGACACGACAGGACAAGAGCTCTACGCCGACGCCTCAACTTTCGAGCCTCTGGTTGACGACCGAACACGCGCAATTGGGTTGTCCTCAGTCATGTTCCACTCCGGACAGCTGAATGGTGTCAAAGATATCTGCGACCGTTTCCGTACCCGCAACATTCATGTTCTGGTGGACTTGACCCAGCACGTCGGCGTGATGCCAATTGATCTCGTCGATCTCGGTGTCTCTGCTGCTGCGTTTGGCTGCCACAAGGGCCTTGCTGCACCTACCGGTCTGGGAGTGCTCTACATTGAGCCAGAGACACTGCCTTTATTGCGGCCGACTCCACCCATCGTCGGCGCGGGCGCCATCTCGAATCTCTCCAGCTCCTTGCTTGCATCGCCCGATGTTCAATATCACTCCACGACTCGCCGTTACGAGCATCTCAACATTTCGCTGATATCGGTCCAAGCCCTAAACGCATATCTGACATTCCTCCTTTCAGACGTGGGCATGGCGAACCTTGAACATCATCTGAGAGCCTTGGGCCGTACCCTGGCACTGGAGATGGAGAAGCTCGGTGTCAAGGTTGTCGGCTCGCGGTCAGCGGATCGACGAGCGCCACATTTGTACATTCTGGACCTGTTGGATTCAAGATGGCAAGCACACTTCAAGGAGGCAGGGATCATGGTATCGCATTATAGACTTGGAGTCAGGGTTTCATTTGGGTTTTACAATACCACTGCAGATGTCATGTCGCTGGTGCGTGTGATCGAAAAGGGGCTCGTTGCAGGCATTCCAGCATGCTAGTTTTTGGTACAATTGAATCATCATATTTGCATTGGAGGTTTTCTGTTCGTGTTGAACCTGAGGCCATATAATCGTGTTGAAAGGGATGCACCTAGGACGAGACGCATTTTGTATTATGAATGAGATTACGGTGCTTGCGTACCTAGGCAGCTAGGTCAAGGTAGTTATATACTATCACCGACCATAGATCAGCGTCGGAGTATGGAACTTGAAGCTGACAGTATTTCGACCCTATGACCGGTGAGTCGAGGGTAATAGAATATACCTAAGGGCGGCATCACCGTATTGCCCAATTGGGGTGCGCGGTCAAACTAAACCTGGAACCTTGGCGCTCTTTATCGTGTACTAGGAGTACTAGTGTTCACTAGTACTACCTAATATTCCGTACTCCGTAAGGTACATCAGGTAGCTAAACACTCCTCAAGATACAACAACATCTACGTTAGCCAAGGCCAAACTTGACACTCTGTGATGCCTGTCGCGCAAACAGTTGTCAATGTCCCCCAAAGAGGACAGCTCTCCGATTGACGCAGACATCAATTCACACCTCTCGTGTTCTGTCCAGTGTCCTACTAGTAGATGTTGATACTTGTGCCAACTATCGCACCATCAGCATGCGAACCACTGTGACCGTGAATCATCCCCATCCTACCGGCGGCTCATGTACATGAGGCTTTGCACTCCACCACCTCGAAGATGTGGAGAGACCGAACAAATCTGTAAACAATACCCATGTCACAGAAACCACCGACGGTCACTTGCTCACTGTTTGTCTAGCTACATCTCCTATCGCCAGTCATACGCGCATCATCCAACGAAAAGGTCCAGATATCCAGGTGGCTCCAATGGCTTCGCAGATCAAGGCTCCGAAGAGACCAGAGGTCTCATGTCGGCCGGCGCATACGACAACGATGGAGACGCCGTCATAGAGATGGACCTCCTCCCGCCGCGCTGGATCGATGTGCAAGAGGAGGTTGACGATACTCTCAAAGACATCACTCTCAAAGGTGCCAAACTCGACAAGCTCCACGCGAAACATGTCCTGCCAGGCTTCGACGACGAGTCGGTGAAACTGCAAGAAGAGCGAGAGATTGAACAATTGACGCAGGAAATCACCAGAGGGTTTCAAGAGTGCCAGAAGGCCATCAAGCGTATCAACACCATGGTCAAGGAAGCCAAGCAGACGGGCAACCTACAGAAAGGCGAGGAGACGATGGCGCAGAACATGCAAGTCGCGCTGGCCTCCAGAGTGCAGGAAGTAAGCGCTACATTCAGGAAAAAGCAGAGTACATATCTGAACAGTGAGTTTCGTGTCGGCTACAGCGGTCAGACTGGGTTACTGATCTGGGAGCAGAACTTCGAGCGCTCGGCGGGTTCGAGTCACCGATAGGAAGATCTTCCACCCCCGTGCAGAATCCATATTCGGATCCTGCCTTGATGGAATCCGACGCCGACAAGAGTTTCAGTCAATCGACGCTCCAGCAGTCAGCGCAGAAGCGACACCGCTCCAATGACACCGCCATTGCGCAACGAGAACAAGAGATCAACGATATCGCACGAGGCATTATCGAACTGGCTGACATCTTCCGCGACCTTCAATCCATGGTCATTGATCAGGGCACCATGCTTGACCGGATCGACTACAACGTCGAGCGTATGGTTACAGATGTGAAAGGAGCCGAAAAAGAGCTCACCGTTGCCACAAACTACCAGCGCCGCAACACGAAGCGGAAGATCTTGTTACTGCTGCTTCTGCTGGTGGTCGGCATGTTCATCCTACTTTTGGTGAAACCTAAAAGGAGATCTCAACCGGCACCGCCCAGCTCTCCTGTCGCGCCAGCGCCAGCGCCAGGAAGTCCTCCATAATCGAGACCAAGTGAACATCATGAACACATCCACCGACTCATGCACTCAGCTTGCCGGACCGACCTGGTAGATTGAGAGCGACCCCGATTCAGGATGTCGGTGTTGGAACTCCCCGGACCGAAGCTTCACTAGCCAACCGGCCGGAACAATGTCAGTGATCTGCACACAACCCGGGGCCCGCGCCAGCATCCTCATGCCGGCCTCCTGCCCATCGCCGGAACCTCCTCTTGTGCGAGACAAGACACGAGTCGCGAAGCAGAACTCCGTTGTCCTAAGCTCTCGAACCGCTCGATGGGTGTTTCTACGTCAACGACAGACACCACGTGACAAGACAGCGTCCACACTCTTCAAGAATAGAGGTGAAAGACAAGGCCCAAGTCGTCTCCTATCAGAATCCAATACAGGCGTTGCCGGAATGGCCGTAGGTAGACTTCTACCGTCCCGATTTGAATGTCCAGCTGACCGCGCTGCCGGACAGAATCGTCGAAAGGGCTATTAATGGGCCCAATACACATGTCCACAACCACATCCAGTTTGTTTTATATGGAACCGTCACCGAAGAAAGAGCAATCGCGGACTGATTACTCTCAACTCAGACCACAAAGCTTCTGGGTTTCGAGGGTACAGCTTGAGGAATAGCGACCGGATGGTCCGATAACAAACAACACTGAGACGATTTTATCCTAGGAAGAATGGAAGGTTCTGAGCCTGAATCCCATCCCGTAGCCATGTTGTGCTCGATATCTTCTTTGTACACTGCCCATTGGCGATGCCCGTACAAACCAGTTCTGAACATGAACAAAGATATATTGCGAATCGTCTTTTGTACTAGGGGTCTTGGAAGAATAGAGACCACCAAGGCTGCATCAGCCGCTAGCGCGCTCGTCGGACCTGGAGATACCATGGCCAGTAACAGCTTCTCCTGTACTACGAGGGCGTACCCAGATAGCTAGCTCTGAAGCACCTTGAAATGATTGATTCAAAAACCAAGCAGGAACAAAGTCCATTCAACGGTCACCACACATGTAGTCCTAGTACTATCGACTGTCGAAGATGGCAACAGACTACAGGCTACAGGGACCAAGGCAGCTCATGTGGATATAGGTTCTGGGCAGAGAACAAGCAAATGCCAACGAATACAGAGTACAACGGGGATATATTTGATCAATGGCTAATGCCAACACCAACATCGACACAACCGCCATCGCCATCACCAATGCCAACGCCAACATCGATGTCACGAAACGCCACCGGCCATGACGAGTTGTCTGACGCCCACGACGCCTTTTCGTTTCATGGTATTCGAGGTCGAATTCGAGACTTTCACTGTGCTTCCGTTGGTGGTACTGGTGTTAGTGTTAGTGTTTGTGTTTGTGTTCGTGACAGCAGCTCCAGCTCCAGCTCCATTCTCGCAAGGATCATCCACAGTCTTATCGATTTTCAGATTCCTCAACTTGGCAGCGACATCTCCGTCAACCACACCCGGCGCAAGTCCTCTTGCTTGGTCCTGTTGCCCCTTCTTGTTTGTGCCGTCACGACACACCTCTCCTTGGAGACCAGGGACAGGCAACTCGACGGTCCTGGCGCCCAGACGGCCTCGGATATCCTCGAACAGAACCTCCATGGGCGCAATATACGCGGTCTTGCTCTTGTCGCCCCAGGCGAGGACGTGGCCGCACAGACCTCCCGTGAGAGGATCATAGACCCAGGCGCCGCTGTCGCCGGGGATGCCGAAGCCGCCCTCGACGCACCACGACGTGGAGAAGGACTGGCGGCCGTGCATCTTGACCAGAGCCATGGCTTGCGAGATGCGGCCCTTTTTAAAGCCGGACGAGCGTCCGCGGCAGTGGACTTGTAAGCCGGATAACTTGGAGAGGGGGGTCACGGTGGTGAGAATCGGGGCAGAAGAGTGACCTTGTGGCGAAGGACTTTGACTCTGAGGATTTGAAGGCTTCGACATTACACAACCGTCTCCAAGGATCTCGTTCTCAGTCCGCAACCGATCGCGGTTGACTCGGATTAAAGCCCAGTCGACTTCGTGTTTCATGTCGCCTCGGATGACGCGGCGGATACCGCTGCTGGCAAAGACGTAGCCGAATGTATGGCTGGCGAGATGGTCGTCGTCTCGGTCTTCCTCGGTGGGAAAGAAGTCGTCGTCCACGTCGTCAATGGCCGGCTGTGTCACGGTGAAATCGTCGTCCGAGAAGGGCGCGACACCGATCCTGTCGCCTATGGAAGCCGCGTCGTCGACGTCGTCGGACGAGGAGGAAGAAGCGTCGTCATCGTCGGACGAGGAGGATCCGCCGTCCTCATCGAGTTCGGGCGGCGAATCCTCCAGAAACCAAAACTCGTTCCCGTCCGCATCCATGATCGCGTAGTCTGGGCGGATGGTGCTGGCGTCGCTCCCGTCGTCGTCACTGCCACTACCGTCGAACTCGTCGTCGGAGATTTCAAAGTCGGATAACCGCGAGGCCGAGGAAAGGTCTCCGTCTGACGACTGCATGAAGCGCACGTCAGCAGCAGCGTCGAATTGACCGGGCATGCTGCGAGGGGCTGCCGATCTTCGTGGTTGTTCCTGGCCGATGACCTCGCATTCCCCTTCTTCATCGTCGCTCGGCACATCGAGCATGTGATGCACCGTCATCCCGAAGGCTTCGCCATCCACGAGGATGGTTCCACCGAAGGACACTGGAGGCAGGTGTTCGCTGTCTTTGAAAGCCCCAATGCTGGCTCCACTGGAAGGACGTTCCTGGTATTTCTGTTCGCGTGGTTTTCGCGCCACCGCTCGGCGGCTTTTGCTGGTCGAGCTGTATCCCGAACGTCTGGGCTTTCTTTTCTTCCCGCTTCTCCTGACTTCCCCGTTGAGGATGACGACACCCCAGCCCTTCTTGGGTCGGAACCGCTTTCTCAGCACGTCGCGCACCTTGTTGATTTGCGCGCACTGTACACAGATGGTTGTCTTTGCGTTCTCAGGAGTAGGACCGAACATCATCAAGCTGAGGCTGCAGGACTCAGGCGAATCTTTCAGTGCGGTCTCTAGAATCTTGCCCAGCTTCGGCATCACTAAAGTGTTCCACCTGTCCAAATCTTCTTGAGGAATATCGACCTCTGGCCATTTCCTTAACGGCGCTTCTACGGTCCGATTTCGCTGCTGCTGGATCGCGTCAGCCTTGCGTTTCGAGTTTGCCCTTTTGGGCAGTTCCGGCTTGATCGCAACGTCCTCCGGCAGTGCCATTTGGGAGTTTCCAGCAGCCTTTTCTTCCGCCTTGCACATCTGCTCGATGATCAGAAGTTCAAAGACTTCAATGTCGGAGACTGGGGGCGGTCCTTCCTCGTCCAACGCACAGCATTGCTGGAGATCCTTCACCACTTGTAGCATAAATGCCCCGGCGTCCTCATAATTATTTCTGAACTGCAGCTCAGCAGGCGCTTGCAGACATTTCTGAACAAGGCGCATGTACTTGGTGCCACATTTGGGAGCGAGCTTATGAGAGTAGATCTGCTGGACTCTATTCATGAAGATCTTGCGATCATACTTCGGCTTCCACAGTTTCGAAAGAGGGATCCAGAGCCCGATCTCCAGCAGTAACAAGCCTAAGCTGTAGATGTCATAAGCCGGGACGATTTCGGAAGCATGGATGTCATGGTTGGGGTGGCGGTAGATCTGCGCAGCAAACGGCTCCTCTGCTTGGGATCTTGAAAGAAAGTCCTGACATGATTGCAACAGGTAAGGCGATCTCAACTCCTTGGGCAGGTTTGAACGATGCATGTTCTCGCTCGATCCAATGAGGAGGATGTTGCTGCTGTTGACATATTGATGTGTTTCGCCGTGGGAGAAGTAGCCCATGACTGAAAGCGCTAGATTGTATGCCAGCCGGAACCTGTCTTCCAAGGCCGGCTGTGATGCTTCCTGGTTATTGCTGGCGGCGATCAACGACCCTAACGTCCGGTGCTGTTGCAGACTACTGTGGTCATGTCCATCGGGCAGCGCGTAAACCATGGCATAGCGTGGTCCGTTGGGGTCGACGGTGAAACCCAGGAGCCGAAGATGGCCGCACCAGGAGAGGGACCGGTTTTTGCAAAGCTTTTCGCCGAGCTCGTGAACCTCAAACACATCGTCGGCACTTCCAACCACATACAGGGGAAAGTCGGCTGAGAGGTGGTCAACCAGGACATGCTGACCAGCGGTGCGATAGTAGGCGATCGATCTCTCAGACCTGGACGGGACCGAACCTTCGCCAGGGTCATAGGGCGGCGGATCAGCCGCTTGGTGCGAATAGGAGCTGAACTCGAGGCTGGCAAAGTCGATATGGAGCGGGTGGTCGGACAAGTGGCCATACTCGGTCCTGTCCGAAGAGTCGTGGGCATGCTTCATCCGTTTCGTGTCGCCCTTCTCGTCGGCCATCCTCGACTCCTCCAGGCTATAGAGCAGATCGATGCAAGAGGTCAACTGGTCGAGTAAGGCTCTCGCGGTTTTGACCTCGTATGTCGTCCAGTCCTTGCGCGGTGCAACGGGACTAGACCCCGGTCCTCGCATAGACTTTGCCGCCTGCTTCATCTCGTACCTTTCGGGGTGTTCGAGTCGACCACTTTCCTCGAGAAGACGCTTGATCTCGGACATGACGCTGGCCACCACCTCGCCCAGTCCAGCCTGGTCGATCTTCTTGTCGATGTCGACATCGCCCTGGCCCGAATAAGGAGCGCCAACATCGGTCCAATGCATGCCCCATGCCAGCAATCTATCCTGCTGAATCTGAAAATCCCGCCTCAGGTCGCGCACCTCCGGCAAGTCGGTAACATTGGCATTGTTGGCCTTTGCACTTTCGTAGGACTGCTTCGTATCGGAGTACAGTTTGGATAGGCGCTGAAGATAGGTGCCACGTCGTTGAAACATGATGAATGATGGCCAGTCAGCGGAGTCTGAATGATTGATTTATCGCCGGATGGTTTCCTTCATGGCGAGTCGATGTGGCATAGGACAGTTCGTTGAAATTGGCGCGCCTTGCATTGCATTTGTGTCGGATCAAGTTCTTGATCATGCATAGAGGCACAAGAGAGAACGCGACAATCATGTGAGGTGGTGGAGGGATTGATGGGTGATGGTTGACAAGTGATAAGTGACAGGCTGCACTGCGTATATCGGGCGCGGCGAGAAATCCTGCTGCCTGTTCGGTTCATTATTATTCGACGAACCGCACTCGGGCTCGCATCGCCACATCTGATGTGGCACCCTTACTTAGTAGTGTTACTATTATTATTATAATTAGAGAAGCCTAAAAGGCCCCGGACTGAATGAAATGCGGATGCCTGGAGTTCAGGTGAAGTGCCAGTGGACGATGCAGTGCCATCCATACAATCAATGTCTTTCTTTATGCTGCTGCCTCCGGAGGCCATATGTCTCTCTAACCGAGGTACATCCCCTACAGTGGTATCCTGCAAAATCTGCATAGATGATGAAGGTGCTTTTGTCAGGTATATAAGTCTCATCAGTTTGACAAGATAACTTCTCACCATGAGAGACGTGGTTCCCGTTCCCATAGACCTGACCCGGCATGTACTGGGAAGCCAAGGGGAAGCCAAGGGGAAGCCATAACAGCCGCCGCCACTGTGTAAAGTAGCTTTGGCATTCAAGTTCAACACGACACGGCCTATATACGACATACAATGATTCTACTACCTTAGAACGACAGGAAACAAAGACCGTGAGAATGTGCAATTCAGTTTGATTGTTGGTTGCTGTTCATTAGACTTGAGCGTCTCTCGCTCTGTGAATGCGAGTCACTGCTATGTGTAGTCACGGTCCATCGACGGTGCAACTCCCCACGCACTTGACATCTGGATGAGCATAGCGCCAGAGTCCTCTGCAACCTCCATCTCAGCTACTGTGTGAATACAAGTCCCGTGCGCCATTTCATCATCCGTATCCATGAGCTCCGTAACCCATAGCCATAGCAAGAGCCATAGCCCTCTCTCAAGAAGACTCTAGAAGGTGTACCAGTAGATTTGTCTCGCGAACAAATCTAGCCACCGAAACCATAGAGGGTCCTGCCTTGTCGCTTAAGAGCATAGACGACATCTGAACATCTTGTTAGTGCTTGCCCTTTATCAACAGATCCATGTTGCGATATGACTTACCCAAAGAGGTGACGGTCTTTCTCTTAGCGTGCTCGGTGTAGGTGACGGCATCACGAATGACAGACTCGAGGAAGGACTTGAGGACACCGCGGGTCTCTTCGTAGATCATGGCAGAGATACGCTTGACACCACCACGGCGAGCGAGACGTCGGATGGCTGGTTTGGTGATACCCTGGATGTTGTCGCGAAGAATCTTGCGGTGACGCTTAGCACCTCCCTTGCCGAGGCCCTTGCCACCTTTGCCGCCTGTAGGAAGAGATGTTAGTATATCTCATGTAGTAGACGGTGATGCACAAGTCAGGGCTGAGTGAGGCAGGGGTGCTGTGCAACTTTGTCGCACGGACTGTGGTCGAGATCGGCAACAAGGTCCACACGCGACAACAACTGTGATAATTCATAACAGAATAATAGACGTGATTACTTACGTCCAGTCATGTTTGCTAAAGCGTTGAAGTGATGGGATGGATGAAGATGATAGAGTTGTGGATGGTTGGTTGATGGAGACGCGACAGTTGAGAAGCGACGGTTGGTGGCGGAGAAGTGCTAAAGCAGAGAGGAAGAAAGGGAAAGAGAGACAGAAGGAGGAAAGACAGGAATATAAGCGAATGCACGCAGTGCTGTGACAACGGCAGATCAGGCCGGGGCTTGGCGAAAAGATCAATGATCTGAGCACCGGCAGAGGATTATTACTACTACAGATAGTAAATCTAGGCGGTCGAGAATCAGGCACAAGAAGTGCTGGAAATCAGTCGCTTCTAAAGCCCTCGCTTTGGGCGCCGCTGATTGGCTGTGAGATTCAGCTTCAATGTTTCATGCTGATCTGCGATAAGTGACGTATCACGTGCAACGCTAGACTGCCTTAGTGCTGGCCGCTATAGAATCAGCCTCTAAGCCAAAACAGGACATCGACATCACAAGAGGAAGACAAGATCAAGTGCAGCAATCAGATCATGACAGAATAATTCAACTCCTATAGCTTTTGGGTGGTTGACTGTACACACATGAGCTGTCGTGATTTCGCATGCAAGAAGGAGTCAGGTCGTCCTCTGTAGACACTCGCTATCCCAACGCCGGCCCCTAAAACCTAGAACCCAGAGTACCGCTGCTTCTCCTTGTACTTGGTATAGCCAGCATAGCCGCCGCCAACCAAGCCAGCGAAGAACAGCAACTTGAACAAAAACCAGCCCCACCCACCACTCTTCTTCTCCCTTCTCCCTCTCGCACTCGCGCGCGCCGCAGCTGCAGCAGTTCTGCCCGCATTTGCCGCCACCGGATTGTACAGATTCCGCGTCTCCACGCTGATGATGTCGAAGTTGTCGGACAACTCGCCCGTGTGTGCGCTGAAGCCAATATAGGCCGTGTTGGGGAGCTTCAGGGGTTGCTGCTCTGTAGGTTCCACCTTGAAGCAGTCGATCCACGCATCCGCCGCCTTGTATTGGAGTTGCAGACTCAGCGACTTGTCTTGGAAGTAAGTCAGTTTCGCCTTGGTAGGGATTGAAGCGGAGCGCAGTCCGCGAGCCTGACGGTCATCACACTGGTCAGTCTGGAGGTCACACAAGAAGCCACGCCACAAAACTCTGTGGGTCACGTTTGCTCCTGCTTACCGAACAGCCAGCCAGCTCATTTGCCTTGCCATCGTTCGCGGCATCATACGTCGTCTTGCCGTCGCCTATCATGGCCATCACATAGGGAAACACCACTCCAGGCCGGTTGTTCTTGTACGTGTCGAAGAAGATGCCCAGGCCTTCAAACCGGTCCGCATGGCCAAACACCGGCCCTGGTTGTGCCCTCTCCTTTGTAATCCACATAGCAAATCCATCTCCATGCAGATGCCCCTTTCCATGTATTGAGAATTCAAACTCCACTTCCCAGTTCGTCGCGGTGATAGGTATTCGGGAGAAGAGCCAACCTGACTGTGATGGCAGGTCGGACGCCAGTCGAATGTACTGGTCTGCTCGGATGATCGTGTCGCCGCCAAAATCCCACCATCGACTGGACATGTCTGAGTCAAGGTACGGAGGCGCCAGACTGTGCGTGCGCAGCTATCATGTCGTCCACACCTGTTAGCTCCATTCAATGCGATTTCCATGGCTTCGCGCCATTGATCTTGGTATTGTACGGCACTGCTTACAGGAATGCTTTTCATAGAATTATCTGCCTCGACTGCTGCTCGCGTGCCCACGGTGTAGACCACCAGCAGCCATAATAGCCACCCGGCGTTGTCGAAGAGCCACATCTTTGTTGTGTGTGGTGTTCGCCACCAGTGCTCGACTGTCCTGCGCCAACGCGACTGCTAGGAAACGTGGAACTTAGGAATTGAAGTGACAAGAAAATCTGTCTAGTCAGAGCCAGCGCATGGCAACAAATGGGTACTGAGGAAGACAGAAATGTCACCTCGTGAATGGCTCCGTCCCTGGGGATCAATCGACGATTATGACTAGCAGTAAGGTCCTGTAGTATAGCACAGACGTTACCACAAACGTGTCCAGTTTACAGATGATGCGGTGCACTGGCAGGCAGGATAAACTACGGCTAAGGCTTGTCTTGTGGGGAGACCGATCGCCTAAACGCCGCAAATGCAAGTACAAGTAGGTGGCTTTTAACCACCAAGCCCACCAATGGCTTTACTCTCAGCTGTGGGAGACCTGCGGAAGAGTTGCCATATTCACTGCTATAGTTTTTTGAATTATGTAAACTTGCACGACCAACTTGTACAGAGAGAGACCTAGGCTGCGGAGTACATACAAAGAATCTTGAAGCTCTTGACATACTACTAGTAGTATATCAACTCAATAAGCACTGCCCTTCATACAATCACACCAACTAACTCATCCATCAACAACCCCCTCTTATCCAACCCAGTCGCCTTTCCCAGTCCAGTCCAGTGGTCACCTTACCTCTACCCGCCCTCAATCCTCCATCAAACCACTCGAGTCCCCAGAACCACAACCCAAATCCAACCAACAACATGTCGTTCGGCGGCTTCTTCGGTGGCGGCAGCAGCTCCGACAAAAACAATAACAGCAACACATCCTCATCCTCATCATCCTCATCTCCAAGCGGCTTCAGCGGTCCTCTGTCTTCGTCGTCATCATCATCTTCCGCCGGCGGATCCGAGACGCTCCAAAAACTCCAAGCCGCAGTCGCCGAACAAGCCAACGTGCAAAACGCCCGCATATTGATCTCCAAAGTGAACGAAGTCTGCTTCGCCAACTGCATCACTAACCCCGGGTCGAGCCTGAGCGGGGCCGAGAACAAGTGTCTCAACGCATGTATGGAGAAATACTTTGACGCCTGGAACGTCACCAGTCGGGTCTTCACGAATCGAGTGCAGAGGGAGAGTCTGGCGGCAGGTGCCGTTGGGGGTGGGAAGGAGTTGTTTTGAAAGGGGAGAGGAGAGGAAGAAATGAAGGAAAAAGAAAGGAGTTGGGAGGGGTTTGAGTTGTCGAGGGGAATTGGGTTGAATGGCCTTGCGTCGGGCCAGTTTCATGTCCAGGGAGCCGAGAGCAGCGGGATGGATGCTGGAATTGTCGAGGGAGGGCTCCAGTGAATTCGACACTGCATCGAGGATGGAGGGATTACATTGAACAAGGAAAAAACACCCTTCCATGTGTACCTTGTGCGACGAGCTGAGTCCAGATGTCCAGCCTCTTCACTCAGCAAGTACAGCAGCACTCGCTTGTGCCGTGTTCTGTCTGAATCACACAATCCCGGCTCTGAATGAACTAATCGAAGTCCTGGCGCATTAATGCGCACACCCAGGAGGACTTCGGAGATGGCGCCTCGAGGACAAGCACTGTATGTAGAATAGACAAAAGAACACCTCCACTGCTGTACCATATGGAATAAAAGGAACGGATTCGACTTCTCTCATCAAGCCGTGGCGGAGATCTCTTGTACTAGGCTGTTCTTTATAGCCACCGCAAACATGACAACACACAAGCTTGACTTGCGCACTTGAGCTTCTCACCAACATCTCGCATGTTACTTGGGCACGTCGGTGTTGTTCGGTTAAATCGTATTGCAAGCTGACTTAATAAGGCTTTAAAATGGGCCGGGGCACTCCATCTAGTAGGTAAATACATACAACCACCAATTAAGCCAGAGAGCCTTGCAATAGAATCCTCCCGACCAACACAATGCCACCAGTCGTTGGGGAGGAAGAGCCCTCCCCCAAGTTGCGAACCAACTTATTTCGTTGCTGGACTGCCTCAAGTGCAGTCAAATCATATCAAATGTTTTCGTGCATCGTGAAATACTGCATGGATATCATCGCCATGGCGCTACCACCTGCTCCTACAAGTCGATTGCTCCTCGTCATGAACGGCCACCGCCACGATTTTTGTTGTCGTGATGTTGCATTCAGAAATCCGTGAAGAAATGACCAAATCTGCCGACCACGTTAGTTCAGGCGGCACATCGAAAGGCGCCAGGATTACTCACGGATCGTCTCCCTTCTTGCCATATTCCTCTGTCTCCTCAGGATACTTGTCAAATTGACTGGCATCCCCCGCTCCGCCCTTCACTGGCGGCACATAAGGAGCATCGATGTCCTTCTTGAGGAGCCTTTCCCAAGTCACTTCTGCGAACCACGGATGATTCTTGATGTCAGCTGGACCACCATGTAAGTTGCCCAAGCGTTTCGTCAGATCGCTTGTGATCAGCTGCACCAGGAGGTCTTGAGCGTCATGATGTATATATGGGGGATATTTGACCCGCCCTTTCAAGATGTTCTCGTAGATCTTGACCGGAGAACCCCCATCCCAAAACGGGGTGAAGCCACACAGCATCTCGAAGATCAAAATCCCCAGAGACCACCTGAGACACGTTAGAACCACAGATAGACCTTTGCTCTCAGTACAAGCTCACCAATCAACGGATTTGTTGTAGCCTTTGGAAGCCACCACTTCTGGTGCTAGATAATCCGGGGTACCGCAAAGTGTCCATGTGATATCAGGTACCTCTTTGGCGAAACCGAAGTCGGTGATCTTGACGTGACCATGCCTATCCAGCAACAAGTTTTCGGGTTTCAAGTCTCGGTAGATGATGTTCTGCCCATGCAGATACTCGAGAGCCAATGTTACTTCCGCGGCATAGAATTTCGCGACAGGATTGGGAAAACGCTGCCAATGTCAGCTCCAATATCGTCAGAGTCACGTTGGAATAAAGTAGTACCTGTGACTTCCGAAGTAAACTGAAGAGCTCACCGCCCTCGATAAAGTCCATGACCATGTAGAGATTCTTGGAATCTTGAAATGTACCCCAGAGTGTGATGAGGAAGGGGTGTTTCACCCGCTGCAGCATTCTCCTCTCATCATTGGTATGTTCGATTTGTTTCATTTTGACAACCTGGGCCTTTTTCAAGACCTTGATCGCATAAAAACGCTGGTTGTGCTTGGACTGTACCAGGTGGACCCGCCCGAACGAACCTGTGCCCAGTGTCCTCTGAATTGTGAAATCGGACAGAGTATATTTGCCTTTGGTTTGCCTTGCCACTGGCTTGGAATCTACCACGCCAGCAGCAGGGCTTACCAGGTTCGCAATGTTCATATTGGGCGTGCCGTTATTCTCAGCTGATTTGCCATTGGGATCCGGGGTCGAGGTTACGGTAGTGGTGGTAGCTGCAGTCGATTGCGTAGGGGCATCTGAGGCAGTTTTGGTTGAGGATAGGTGTGAAGAGGTATCAGTCTTGGGTGAAGACTTGTAATGGATGGGATGGTGGCCGCCGCTGCCGCTGCTGGCCGACTTGTCTTCGGTGGACTCCTTCGTCTTCTTCTTCTTGAGCAGTCCCCCAAAGGTCGGCATTTGGGCGCGGGTGGGAAGCGCACGTTCCCAAAGAATGGAATGTTAAAAACAGAGGGAGATAAAAATGAGCTCGCAAGCCCGCCCGATTGGCAACCGACTCGACGTGCAGTGGGACAGAGCGAGGGAAGGGAGGATGGAGAGGGGAGGGGTAGCAGGAGCAAGGACCCAGCGAGGGAGGGCTCGTTTCGTTTCGTTTGCGGTGCGTAGCTTTGCGTTGTGCTTGGGCGTTGCCGGCGGGCTGGAAGCTGCAATGCAGGCCGATAAGCTCCAATCGAGAAGGGGATGTGCGCAATGTGCACTCGATGGCGAGACTGCACTGGACACAGACACTTCCAGATACCGTAACGGGAACGATTGAGGCTGCGGCGGATTCGAAGGGATCTTGGAAGGGGAAACAAGAGACAAGTAGCAGGTCAAGCTCTTGGAGTGATTATTACAGGTTTGAGCGATGGGGTTTCGAGCTCGAATCGAACTGGCACCCTGGGACGGGAACTCAACAGACAGGACCTTAGGACTATCTTGACAGAAGGAGGAGCTCTGCAGTGTGAGCGTTGTCGATGATTATTGGCGATGAGCAGCACCCAGATAGTAGTGAGTGAGTGGCCAGTGGCCAGTAGTGGACAATCAGTCAGTACCGCGAAAAGTACGTAGGTAGCTGTAGTGGTGAGCGACTGAAGGGTTACAGCCAGTAAGTAAGTACACGGTGATAGAAGCGGGCAGCATTGGCTGGGAATAGTATGTGTCTTCCCCTCCTCCTTCTCTCTCCTCTCTCGAAAGCATCAGTGGCAGAGTGCGAGTGACTGCAGTCTGGATGTCCTCATCGCTCGGGACGCGGGGAAAGCCTTTTGTTGTGCTGTGCGCGTACAGAGTACAGATAGAGTGGGTGGTACTTGTACTGTGATACGGTCCGTCCAGGTGGCCTGGTGGCAGCGTTGGGGCATGGTGTAGTAGTAGCAACTGTATGGGCGTCCCTATCGTCATATCGGCATATCGTCCAATTAGGTACCTACTCACCCCCCTCGTCAGTCCAGTCCCCCAGCCACGTATGTCACGGTCCACCACTGCCAGCGAGTTGATGGGGTTGCCGGAGGGCTAAGGAGCATCGATCCTCCCCTCCGCCAGGCGTGATGTCGCATTTTAGATTGACCACAGCAGCCGATAATCTGAGGGTGCCGGGCTTTGGAACCGTGAATCTTGCTGCTCGGTTGGCTGTGGAGAGGTACCTTAGGTAGGTACCTAACATGTGGGATGTAATAATGGTACGTATATAAAAGTATCGTTACTTTCCCACAGCCAACACCGACGTCTTGGTTCTTCAGAAACCGCGTCAAGCTCGCGAGAGTTTCATTTCTCGTGTCACTTCGTCCACTATCTCCTGCGCTTCTCCTGCGGTGCGTGCCTCAAAGTCATAGCGCTTCGATTCGTTAACTCGACGAACAACCAATCTGACAATCTTGGAGTGCTTCGTGCTGACTTTACACCGGATGATATCGCCAAATGCGATCGAACTGAATTTGGCGTTCGAGGTGTTGTCGGCAGGCATGACATGGATGAGGTCGCCGTCAAACACGAGGACACGCTGGCTCCCCTGCGCGAAAGGGGCGAGTTGTTTCCTCGTCACATAATACTTCTTGAAATTGCTCGCACTGGACATGAGATCTTGCTTCTGCGCCAACGGATGCATCGGTTGACCTTTCTTGACCTTCTTTGGGCCCTGGATGTCCAGCAGGAGAGGGGCGTTGGGCGAGGAGCTGCCCGGTGAGCCGGTCAGACTCGTGACACCAGCTCCAAATCGTTTTCGCACCAACTCCAGGTCAGATCGAGGACCCAATGCCTCAACTGTCCGATCCAACGGCGCGACTGTATTTGTTCCCGCCACTTTCAGCACGAACCCAGCCTTCTCCAGGTTCCAGCGCTTGCAGACGTGATCGAGGATTTCGGCAATGTAGCTGTCCGTGGAAAGTTCCAGGGTCGTCGTCTGGGCGGACATGTCGATATCAAAGTAGCGCACCCTGATGGTCTTGGTCCTGCCCATGCGAGGTGTGGCCTGGGGTCCCGCTGGTGCAGGCAAATCCGCCGGTGTTAAAGAAGCATTGCTCAAGGCTGATGTGAAAGGCTGTCCGGCCAACAGGATGTTGTTCTTCGGCAGTGGCCCTCGATGGACTGTAAACGGCTGTGTTTGTGGGGCTGGAGGGTCTGGAGCCGCAAGTGGCAAGCCTTCTTCTTGAGCCGTCGGTATGTACTGCGGCGTTTCCTTCTTGTTGGCTTCTAGTTGGGAAGGTGATGCTTCAACTAGAGCAAACTCATCGAATGGCCGTTCTCTGGACCGCATTCTGCCGCCACGGTTATTGTTGTATGTGAAATCTGTCACTGGCCGTGTACGGACCAGCGGTGGGAAGTCGTAGTCCACTTCTCCGTCCTCTACCATTCGCAGGGTCCACTTGTTCACGTCGAGTTGCCCTTCACTGAGAGGTGGTTCTCGTCCTTCTTTCATATAGCTCCACAGACTGAGACCAATCGCCTCAGCAACTGTGACTGGGTTGTCATCTTTTGACGTTCTTGCTAATGGCATCTCAAACGACTTGGTAGGACTTTTGGAAAAGGGTGCGTATATTTTGATCCAGAGGGGATTGGGGGACCCCTTCCCAGACAATGTAGCAAAGGCCTGCAGCGGATTGCTTGGGGCCTTTCTTTGGGCGTTGAGTGCTGCGGAGAGCAAACTCTTCGGTTTTATCATGCTGATTGGCCGCGGAGGAGGTAATTCCTGTAATCCTGGCAAGGTCCTCTGCTTTCTTGGAGAATCTGAAGGAGGTATTCGAGGCGTAGACCGTGGAAGGCTGCTTAGGATTAGGGGCGAAGAGGTGAGGTTCGTCTCTTCCATGGTATTCAGCAGGGAAGTGGAATCGATTGTGTCTCCCAGTTCCGAGGACATTGCCGACCCGACAGACTCTGCATCAGAGTCATCTTGCTCCGGCCCTGCTCCATTATCCCCCCCAGTCAGCCCAGCAGCACCGTGATTTGGGAGTGGTGCCGATTTGGACGTCTGACCGGGAGGAAGTCGACGACGTTGGAAATAGGCCGGATTTACTTCGTTCTCCGATGACAAGTCACTGCTGGTTGTGGTGTCGCGTCGGGCACGAGCTTTGACGGCTTCCACTGCTCCGAGCGATCCAGTGCGAGGTCTGTTGTCTATTGAAGGCTTGGAAGGCGAGGTCGTCACAATCTCCGGACCATTGCCACTGATTGGAGAGGAGTCAGCGCGGTGACGGGCTGGCATCTTTGCAAAGCGGATCTGTTGGGCAGCGCGCTGAGCACCTTCGGCCTCTTCCTCCGACTCGTCCGTAAGATCACTGCTGTCATCATCGTCGGCGTGCTCCTTCTTCCGCCTCCGTCTGATGTTGAAGCCCGGACCTATAGTATCGTTGCTCGTCCTGCCAGTGACGAGGCCACCTTCGTCTTCCTCGTCACCCTGCGAGTTCATAAGTTGAAGGTCCGATCCATTCTGGAAATACTCGGTACTGATAGACGTGGGTATGGGCGGAGAATAAGTGCGTTGAACAGGATCCGCAGACCAGCCAGCAGCACGAAACGCCGCCGTATTCAGAATGGAGGAGTTGACGTCGATCAATCGTTCAGCAACACCATCTTTGACGTTGGCCAGAAAGGAAGTTCGAAGATACCAGACTGCGAAGCTGTAGTCTTGGTTCAGCAAAGGCGGGTAATCGGCAGCACGGCCACAGTAATTCAGAGCTGACAATGGAAAGACATTAACTCACTCTTCGTTCTGCAGAAGCGCCATGGCTGGACTCCTGACCAGTGATCAAATAAAAAGGAGCGGGTTGGACGGTGGAAATCTCAGGTGGCGGGCAGTCTAGTCGAGGGTTCCAAAGAGAAGCCCCATCAAGACTCCTGCGTCTACATGTACCCCATGAACACGATCCGGTATCTTTGGAATGCTTGATGGAGAACGAAGTCCTTTTAACCTCAGAGATGGTAGGTGTAGTCTGAGAGGTGACACGACAACAGCCCGTCGCGGGGTTGCAACCTGCAGTGATTTGGGGTTGCGGGAGGCTGAGGTTCCTGGCCAATCGGAGCGATGTCGGTCATTTAACTCGCAGCATGTCGTCAGCCTTGCACTAAATCCCTGGCACTAACGCCTAAGGTGGTAATAAGTTACGTTGCGGGCAACTTGAACTGCGGTGGAAGGGATTAAACTGCGCTCTTGTGCTTTCTACCTTCACCACTTCTCACCGTTTTCTTCTCACACCGGTTCCCTCACATCAGCATCCCTCTCTCACGCTCTTCTGTCCTCCCCGACCCTATCTGATCCAGCATGGAATGCCCACACGTGCACTCAGACGACCTCAGACCTCCTAGAGCCAACCAAAGCGTGTACCGGGAAGACTGCACTCAGTGTTTTGACTCGATAGACGATGATGCTGGGCTTGATGTCTGCCTGCGCTGCTTCAACGGTGGCTGTGCCGGGGAAAGAAATCATTCTTTACTGCACTACACTTCCACGGGCCATCCCTTAGTACTGAATATCAAGCGAACGAGACGACGAATTCACCGAGATGAGCCTCCAGCTAAACTTACCAAACTTGCCATTGCCGCCGAAACAGAGGAGGACAGGTACGAGACGACTACAACAGTCAAGTGCTATGCGTGCCAGATACAAGATGTGGACAAAACTTCTGGAAACCTCCTAGCCGTTGTAGATGGTGTCATGAAAGCCATGACGTTTGCCAAACAGGAGGAAGTCAAGGCGTGGGAACAGGAGTTCGTACCCTGCGAACACACACTCTACCTCGAGCAGCAGCCGAGCAGGCAGATCGAGTCTCAGAATCTGGGATCATGCTCCAAGTGTGATTTGAAAGAGAACTTGTGGCTCTGCCTGGAGTGTGGCAATCTGGGATGTGGGCGGGCCCAATTTGGTGGCGTGGGTGGCAACTCTCACGGCCTCGCCCATGCCACGGAGAAAGGTCACAGTGTTGCTGTAAAGCTCGGATCTATCACTCCAGAAGGAAATGCTGATGTCTACTGCTACAAGTGCAATGAAGAGAGAATTGACCCAGAACTGGCCAAACACCTCGCCCATTGGGGTATCAATATTGCCGAGCGGGAGAAGACCGAGAAGAGCCTGATGGAAATGCAGGTGGAGCAAAATCTGAAATGGGACTTCTCCATGACCACGGAGGATGGCAAGGAGCTGTCCCCTGTCTTTGGACCAGGCTTTACAGGACTGAAGAACATCGGCAATAGTTGTTATTTGGCCAGTACGGTACAGTGTCTATTCTCGCTCCCAGAGTTTCAACAACGTTACTACCTCCCCGACCAACCTCCGCCCAACGCTAACTCGCCAGCTGAAGACCTCGAGACGCAACTGCGGAAGCTCGCTGACGGCATCCTGTCTGGTCGGTATTCCTACCCGGATAGCAATGTCCATGCTTCTCCCGACAACCCTGAGGTGCCACACCAGAAGGGTCTTTCCCCGGCCATGTTCAAACACCTCATCGGCCGAGGACACGAGGAGTTCTCCACGATGAGACAACAAGATGCCTTCGAACTGCTCCTGCACCTACTCAAACTCATCACTATCTCCAATAACGCCAATCCTGCCCAAGACCCTGTGCAATCGTTTCGTTTCGCTCTCGAACAGCGTCTACAGTGCCTGAGCTGCAAGCGCGTTCGATATCGAACGGATGAACAGGAGAACATCTCGATCCCGGTCCCAGTTCGCAGAAAGCAGGTATCCAATGGAGAGGGAACACCTCAAGACTCAGCCAAAGGATCCGAGTTCGAACCGGTGTCGCTTAAAGAATGTCTGGACATTTTCACTGCTTCGGGAACAGTTGAGTTGACATGCCCAGCTTGTGGCTCCAAAGCTGGATTCTCCAAGTCATCAAAATTCAAAACGTTCCCGAAGAACCTGGCCATCAATCCGCTCCGTTTCGAAATCATCAATTGGGTGCCGACTAAGCTTGACATTCCTGTGGAAGTACCCGATGGAGCTTTTGACATTAGTAGTTACAAGTCGCAAGGATTGCAACCGGATGAGGAAGAACTGCCCGAAGATGCGGACGTAGGAGGCTCTGGGTCGGCTTCAGCGGCATTCGCTCCGAATGAGGCAGCTCTCAGTCAGCTTGAGTCCATGGGTTTCCCTCGCGTTCGATGTGAGAAGGCACTGCACGCTACTGGTAATGCAGATGCGGAAGCGGCTATGAATTGGCTGTTCGCACATATGGAAGACCCTGACATTGACGAGCCACTCAACCTCGGCGGTGCCTCCTCGACTGGTGATTCCGGCGATGATGCGGACAAGATTGCTCAATTGGGTGATATGGGCATCAGCGCACCACAAGCGCGGAAAGCTTTACGAGAGTGCAATGGCGATGTCAACCGAGCGCTAGACTGGGTGTTCAGTCACCCAGATGAGCAAGGGGACTTTGGTGAAGACGCTGCTTCGGGTTCCGCTCCATCGAAATCTCTTCCGGGGAGCGATCAATTGCCGGCGAAATTTGAGCTTCAAAGCATTGTGTGTCACAAAGGAGCCAGCATCCATGCTGGTCATTACGTTGCGTTCATCCGGAAGGAGATCCCCGGTGAAAGCAAGGAGAAACAATGGGTGCTATTCAACGATGAGAAAGTCGTCAAGGCGGTCGACGTCGATGAGATGAAGAAGTTTGCATATATCTACTTCTTCCGGATGGTTTGAAGGAGAGACCGAAGTACACCTGGCCATCGGCACAAAAGAAGATTGGCCTTCACCTGCTGCTTCGGAATTGCTGTGGAGATGTCGAAGTATTCTTGTTAGACCTTAACTAGCCAGATCCACGCCGTCAAACGTAGAGTCGATGGCACAAAAACTCGCCCGCTTGGTTCTTGTAGCCGGAAACAGTGTATCACTGGCTCTTTGGGGAGTCGCTGCAATAGTTACTGGTTGTCATGGCCATCACATAATCCGTCTACCGTAGTCCGTCGCTGTGATGACTCTCTGTACACAGTACTACTGTGTACCGACAAGATAAGCACCTGATGACTCGGCAATGGTAGGATGACGTCGATTGAACGGTCACGCAGTCCTCGCAGTCCTCGCAGTTCTAGATTGTGGGAAGAAGATCATCGCTACTCCTGCGGGTTAATACAACTCAGGGAAGTAGGTGAGTACCTGTTCATGGTGTATCGTATACCTAGATCACTCGCCACCGCAAGACCTAGTTGTCTTATGCGGTTTGATCCTGAAGGGTGAGTGAAGTCCGCTTCTAGGCGCGATCTAGAAGGGAATCGAGGGGTCTCGCCACGGTACCGAATCTGCCGCGTATCAGTACTCGTCCCGACTCAGCGTCATTAGCCCTTGACCGATCTCCTCGACTGAGCCTGGAAAGGCGTGAGAAAGCAGGTTGAGGAGAGTCCAGTGAAGCCTGGCCGCTACCACGTGAGTCCGTCGGTCTTCTGGGAATGATGGGATATGCTGGCTTCCCAAGGTATCCGGCAGTCCCCTGGGTCCATTCACGTTCTGTGAGCGATTGGGATGGCGTTGGCAAACCGAGTTGTGTCCACGATGAGCTTGATAGTCAGTCAGCAATATTGCCCAGACAGATTTCGGTGGGTTGTGGAGGTTGGAGGTTGCTGGTTTGCTGGCTGAGGGTCGATTTAACGTTGCCTCTAGCTTGATTCATCAGGTGGGGCCGCATGTGGACAAGGAGAGATCCCGCTATGCCTGTTCAAGCTGTCAGGACCACATTTCCCTGATTGGTCGGCGCCACTTGCCCACTGCAGTGCTAGGCTTTGGGACTCTCTCTCGCGCTCTCTCACTTCCACAGTTCTACATCAACCACCTACACATAGAGCAATTTCAAGTGCTACGTGCATAAGATCTTGAGCCCGTCAACACCAGCTTCTGGCACAATGTCGGCACGAGGAAGACGGAAACGGTAAATATAAAGCTGGAGATCGGTAGCGGCAATCTCGTTCAAAGTATGCCAGACTTTCACACCAGTTTCTTTCACAATGCCTGAGCCTGAAGGTACAGTCTAGTGCTGTGGATCCAAAAGCGCTATACAGTTGGGTTACCCGAATACCATACTGACAATATGTCGCAATATCTTTCGCACCCCGGATAGATCATCACAGGGATGAATATTGGAGGGATAGATCCGTATCTTTGAGTTGCAGTCGCCTTCTGAATCATGGCCATGGGACAAGGGTATCCTGGTCCCCTTGTTGACTATTTATTCGCTTAAAGGATGTCAGGTTTGTGGCATCGAGCCTCCTTTACGACGACTTTGGCTCGTGTGGTCCATCTCACTCTCATCACCTCGCTTGTTGCCTTGGATATGATGATTCCAATTAAACCTGACGGAGGCCTTTGCATTTGATTCTTGAAGCTGCCAGGCTGGGTGTTGTACTGTGCAGGAAGCCTTTTGACAGACACACGAAAGATCCCCCTTGATTTCCGAGGAGGGAATGCATTGCTTCTTTGAACAGGCTCGGAGTCTCTATTGCGCTCTGATCAGGCCTTGAAATCACACCATATCCTCAACCGCAAGACAGTCGAAGGCTTCGGCACTTCATGACTGGGGATGTAGCCCTGATACAGAAAGCAGGAGGTCGCCGCAAAGAAGCGTCCGTCGGGCCACCGCCGGCTGGGATGTCCGAGGTGATGGGACGTCTGCTATAATAATACGAGCATGCTTGTCGTCCAGCTCGACAGGGGCCTTGTGAGAGTTTCCAGACTTCGGCAGACGGATGCCCAACCGGCCTGGGCTAACCCCACTGGTAGCCCTATAAGAACAAAGCTCATCACCAGCATGTGTGGTCGAGTCAGTACGTGCACCTGTCATCGACCAGGCAGGGACCCAGGGTGATTGCCGGAAATATGATTTCCGAGTCTGTGGGGGATCCACAGAGATCCCTGAGACGGATGGAACACAACCAGGTCGTTTGCTCATTGCTTAGCGCTGGGCCTGGATCTGTCAGAACGTCGATGACAGCTCCCGAGCCCAACAACCTGTCCCAAAACAGCGACACCACTAAAAGACGTGTCAACATATGGATCTTCCTTGCCAGCTTAGGTAAGTACAGCCATGGCGTCAGCTGGGCCTTCACAAAGATCCCCACTCCCTTCTGTCTACTCCATCCCTGGACGCTCTCTTAGCAACAGTCCCCTTTTTTCCTTTCTGTGCGAAGTGCACCACGCAAAAGAGCGCGACGTGTGATTTTCGAATCTATGGGGATGGACACTCTAAGACTACATTTCTTTTCTCCTCCGCAGCAGAGTAGAAAGCGCCTCATCGGATCTCAGGAGTCTAATCAGGGGCTATTGAATTGAACATGCAGAACAAGGCCGACGGGGTCTTGATTCCCCCTCGCAGCCCTGGATGTGGCGCCGCCCACCAGATCAAAGCAACCGCATACACCTACTATCCTAGACCCTTCGCTTAAAAGCTTGCGTTTGGGCTGCAGACTTTTACGTATACAATTCCGAGCTCTGAGGCTGAGCAGTGAGCAGAGACCTTCAGGGCTTACAACGCTCGGTCCGCTCCCTCCGAAGATTGGCCCTGAATCTGCCCAGGCTACTGCTGATGCTCCTGTGCCCCGAGAAGCTTGCGTGGCAAATGGTAAGATGAGCGCTCGTCACTTCGAGTTCTCGGTACACGCGTTCTGACACCGCACGGTCATGTGACTAGAAAAGATGTGTCACGACTTACAACTTTATGTCAACGTCTAAATTTGCAGCGTCAACGTGGTGAGAGGGAGCCTTTCCAGTAACCAGACAGATATCATGGAAACTGTTCAGAATGTGGAATCCTCTATCCTTGGCATGCCTGGAGTCAGAGAACAGATCTGGAGGCACGCGTGGCTGGGCTTGAGAGGAGAGCATCGGTCTCTCAGGCATAATGGTCGATATCCTGCCTCCAGATTCAGGGAGATGGAGGCAAGCCAAGAGACATAACAGACCACAGCCAATCACAAGACATCGGTAGGAAGCGGCATCTCCGATGGAAGAAGCAACTCAAGGAGGATGCAAGCACCCAATACCCGCTCGTTATTCCGGACGGACTAAAACTGAGATTCTAGCCCGGGAAGACCTCGAAGACTTTCCGGACTCGGAGTCCAGACACAATTCATGGCCAGCCTCCCCTGGCCCATGTTCAACTCCCAGACGACCCACAAGGAGCAACTTGAAGCTCGGGTTGCATCCGGTCGTGCTGTCGTCTCGTACTTGGGTGTATCTTGACGATGGCTTCGCTTGATGACAATGACATCTGTGTCTTTCAGAGCTGAACCCCCAAAGCTCTGTGTGCTTGTGCTTGTCCCTTGAAAGGGCTCATGAATGTGGCAGGGTCAATCTCGCGCCATTTCCCCTCACAACCAACAGAGTATCTCATGGTAAGGATTCCTGTGACGGTGGCGCCATACCTCCTGTCTATAATCTGTCGTGGTCCCTTTGTTGCCAGTGTCTCATTGAGACATTCGGAAACGATGCCAGGCTATACGAACCAGGAGTATGATTACTCTCCAAGAACATGAAGACTCTGTCTACTCATTGGAGGTCCACAGGAGGTACTCCTGTCTTGAGTCAAAGCAGGGGGCATCGCGAGACGTCTTCCTATATGTGACAATACCGCATGTCTCGCTATTGACACTTGGCATGCCTGCCCGAGCTTCACAATTCACGAGAACCAGCAAGAAAATATTGGTCAAGCTTGAAGTTCAGCCTTCGGTAGAAGCTACGGCTATACCAGGAACCTGATGCTAAACACCGCACGGTCGACGCTTTGAGGTGACAAGATGTCCTCGCATTTGATGCTTTCCCAATCTCCTCGATGCCTGCCTACACCTGCGTGCCATCAGGTCCAAAACCATGTCCTCGGCCGTGGAGGTGGAGTCCAGCTGGACATAGTCAAGCTGTCATGTCCTTCTATTGAATACTATCCGCGACCAAAGGGGTGAGTGCTCTCCATTCTACCGCATGGAATCGCGTGCAATCAAGTCCAACACGATGTCCTCGACAGTGGAGGTGGGTCGAGCTTGATATAGGCAGGTCTGTCATGTTCTTCTGTTGAGCACTGTGTGCGACAAAAGGGGTGAGTGCTCTGTCCAAGCAGTGAACGTATAAAACACCCCTTCATCGACGTGATACCATGCCTTGCAACCATCGATTCTCTCTACAGTCACTCGTTCACATTGCTCTCTTCTTGTTTGTTTTCACCGATCATGAAGCTATCAGCATTGGTGGCCTTCAAGGCTGCACTGACCTTGGTGGCCAGCACGGCAGTGTCCGGGGAAATCCTGACCACCATTGAGCCTTGCCCCAGTGCCACAGCGCTCAGCTATGCACCCATCACAGTCTCTGCTCAGTACCAGCCAGTCTCTACCTGCAACCCCATGACTGCTTGTGTCAAGGGCCAATGTTCGACGATCTACCCGTTCACGACCTACCCCTATGTCTCCACCGTGGTTCCTTGCGCGTGGAACGGAACAATCACGCAGACGACAACTGTTACCGACATCAAACAACCTTTCCGAGCCTCTGAATACCTTGAGACCCTGACCCAAGTTACGGCTGTTCCATCAGCGCCTAAACAGCGTGGGAAAATCTGGGTTGACTGGTTCCATAAGGAGAAACAAACAAAGACGCAGACCTCTCTGTATGAAACGGTCACTAGACGCGCAGGGGCACCGTTCAACGAGATCGGACCTCTGGCCGTACCTGGCTATGACGGTAGTGGGTTGTGCCACAAATGTATCCAGCCCGACGGACGTCGTTCGCAGCTGTTGGCTGTCGTGGAATGCCGATTCGGTATTGGTCTATCGGGCAAAGAATATCAGAAATGTGTTGAGTGGTATGAGATGTGGATTGAACAGCCACCCATGTCTACGGCTGTCGAGGCCGTCTGCTCCAGCGCGGGAGAGATCCCAAGTGCTGGCGTCTATACGTGGACATTCCCGCAGATCGCACCTCCTGTCATCACCACTACCACCAAAACCGTCACTGTGACGACCCAGGGCCGACCCTCCATCACTTTCCAGCCTGAGGTACATACCTTCCCAGGACAGCCGTGGAATGCCTACGTGACCAAGTCCTTTTCGGGACCGACCACTTTCCACTTCGAAGTACACATCACCAAGACCATCATCTTGAACCTGCCTTGCTTCACTCAACCTGCAGAAACCACTCGCACTGTCTCCGTTCCATACCCGTCCGGTGTTGGTCATGGCAAACCTGGCTGGTGGCCTATCCCTGGAGGAGACGCAAGTTGGTTGCAGACGAAGACTGCCGGCCAAGCATGGCAAGACTGGAACCCAACGGCCTCGTCGGGCCTCTCTTCTACAGGAGGCCCATCCAAGATCAGCTCAGCAACGTCTACCACACTTCCAGGAACGAGCAGCTCAACCGGTGCAGCCACTGTGTCTTCCTCTACCCACTCCACCATCGATGCTTCCTCCTCTAGTGGTGCCGGTACTGGTACTACCTCCTCTTCTACCGACACTGCAGCTGTTAGTGTCGGCTCTTCCTCCTCTGCGGGTGCTGTTACTGGTGGTTCGTCCTCTTCTACCAGCTCTACAGCTACCTTCTCTTCCTCTTCCGGTGATGTTGTTACTGGTGGTTCGTCCTCATCGACAGGCGCTGCAGCTACTAGCTCCTCCTCCGGCGGTGCTGTCACTGGCATTTCATCTTCTATCAACACCGCGGTCAGTAGCCCAACTTCTTCCAGCACTATTGTCGTTGGTGGTTCGTCCTCTACTACCGGTGCTACAGCTACTAGATCATCCTCCTCCACCGGTATTGTCACTGGTAGTTCGTCCTCTTCCACCAGCACCACAGCCACCAGCTTATCCTCCTCCGGAAGTGCTAGTACTGGTGGCACATCTTCTGTCATTACCGCACCCAGCAGCCCGACCTCTTCCGGCAATGCTGTCACTGGTAGTTCGTCTTCTTCTACCGGCGGCGCATCGTCTACCAGCACTACAGCCAGCAGCTTGACCTCTTCCAGCAGTACTGCCACTGGTAGTTCGTCTTCTGCTGCCGGGAGCACATCCTCTGTTACTGTCAGCACCGCAGCCAGCAGCCTGACCTCTTCTGGCAATACTGTCACCAGCAGTTCGCCTTCTACCAGCAGCACTGTTACGACTAGCTCGTCATCTTCTACCGGTACCGCAGCCACCAGCTTGATCTCTTCCGGCAGCACATCCTCTATCAGCACGGTAGCCAGCAGCTCGTTACCTTCCAGCAGTACCTTTGCTAGCGACTCCTCTTCTGTCAGCACGACAGCTGGCAGTTCGCTCTCTTCTAGCAGTTCTGTTACCAGCACTTCGTCCTCTATTAGCACGACAGCTGGTAGTTCGTCGTCTTCCAACAGCGCCCCGACTAGCAGCTCGTCGTCTTCCGGCAGTTCTGTTGCTGGCAGTTCGTCTAGTGGCACTATTACGAGCGGTTCGTCTTCTTCTACCAGCAGTGCCGGCAGCTCGGCTTCTATTAGCACGACAACTGCTAGTTCGTCCAGTGTGCCGGTTAGCAGCCAAACCTCGTCCGGCAGCACTATCTCGGGCAGTTCGTCTTCGTCTACCGGCAATGCCGACAGCTCGTTGTCTTCCAATACCCTGACTAGCACTTCCACCTCTATTAGCACCACAGCCGGCAGCTCGTTGTCTTCTAGCAGCATTACTAGCGGCGGTTCGTCCTCTGGCAGCGCCACAACAAGCAGCTTGTCGTCCTGGTCAAATATTATCACATCTGCCAGTACGACCTCTACTGCAACGATAAATCCCACGGGAACGGGATTCTACATTCAAATCAGCGGGACCCCGGTGTCTGCTTCTCTACTACCAAGACAGACTGTCGACGGCTTTCTCGCTTTCGACTCTGACAACCGGGGTATCGTGGTCGGTGACCTTTCTTCAGCAGCTTTGATTTTCAAGAGTGACGACGGTACCTCCTTCCTATCCAACAGTCAGATACTGGGTACAGCAAGGCGCGTCACATCTTTAGTCCAACGCTTCTTGGACTATCCCACCGGATTTGCTGTTTGGGAGATTGTCCGGGGCAGATTTGCACAATTGGCCGACACAGCAGGATTTTGCTTCGACAACGGGTTTGTCTTCGCGTATCTTACAACTGAGCTATGTGAAAACCCCATCGTCTTCGTTCCTACCAGTAAGTTTGGTCCCTGATATTCGAGAAATACCTGGTACTCACTCACAACCATTAGCTCCCGCTACAAGCACGACCATCGGCTCTACGTCAACCAGCAGTGGGAGCACTTCTTCATTCACATCGACAGGAGGCGTCGGCTCAACAACAACTGCGACAGGTTCAAGCAGCACAAACTCCGGGTCTGCATCTTCCTCTTCTTCTAGTATTGGAAGCAATGGGTCTTCTACGTCTTCGGCTTCCGTGGTCCTGCCAACATCAGCAACCAGTACTGGAACGTCTTCGTCGAAATTTAGCTCGTCAATCACGGCTGAAATCTCGAGTAGCTCCCCCACTGGTGCTATCACCACAACTGGTATCTCAACCGGCTCTTCGACTGGCTCCTCGACCGGCTCCTCGACTGGCACTAGTATCTCGACTGGCACTTCTTCTGGATCTGGGATTTCCACGAGCTCTTCTGGATCTGGTCTCTTGACGACCACTTCCTCCGGCGTTTTCCCCAGCTCTTCTGCCAGCTCTTCTTCTGGTTCTACCCCTGGAACTAGCATCTCAACGAGTAATTCCTCTGGATCTTCCTCTGGATCTGGTCTCTCCACAAGCACTTCCTCCGACGTTTTGACCAGCTCTTCTACTGGATCTACCACAGGGACTAGTATCTTGACGAGTACTTCCTCTGGGATCTCGACAAGCACTTCCTCTGGGTCTGGTATCTTCACAAGCACTTCCTCCGGCTTTTTGACCAGCATTTCCACTGGCTCTTCTACCAGCTCTACCACTGGAACTGGTTCTTCGGCTGTTATCTCCTCTGGAAGTTCGATCAGCGTTGCTACTAGCTCTTCTACTGGAACAGGTGTTTCAACTGGTGCTTCCTCTAGTTTTTCTACTGGCACTTCTACTGGTACTTTTTTAAGTGCTTCTTCAAGCACTTCCGCTGGCTCTTCCACAGGCACTGGTATCTCGACTGGTTCTTCTTCTGGCATTTCATCCACCGGCACTTCTACTGGCACTTCCGCTGGCTTTACCACCGGAAGTGGTTCTTCGACCGGTACTTCATCTGGGATTTCATCTGGAATTTCGACCAGCGTCGCTACTAGTTCTTCTTCAGGAGCGGCTGTCTCAACTAGTGCTTCTAGCATTTCCTCTGGCATTTCTACAGGCTCTTCTACTGGTACTGGTGTCTCGACTGGTTCTTCCTCAGGCGTTTCAACTGGGTCTTCCCTAGGCGTTTCAACTACCGCCTCTTCTACCATTACTCCTACTAGTGGTTCGTCAACAAGCATTTCGACTGCCTCTTCCACAGGTACTGGTGTCTCGACTGGGTCTTCCTCCGGCATTTCGACCAGTGGCTCCTCTACCAGTACTTTGACCAGTGCTTTCTCTAGCATTTCCGCTGGCTCTTCCACAGGCACTGTTATCTCGACTGGTTCTTCTTCTGGCATTTCATCCACCGGCTATTCTACCGGCTCTTCCACCAGTGCTTCTACCAGTGCTTCTACCAGTGCTTCTACCAGTGCTTCTACCAGTGCTTCTACCAGTGCTTCTACCAGTGCTTCTACCAGTGCTTCTACCAGT